TGACTACCTTAACAACTGTATTTGAAGAAAAAAAACAAGGCGAGCAACATGGAAAGCATGTCAAATTATGAGTTTGTAAAGTTTAAATATCATATTAGTCATCATCCATTTGTCAAACTCAATTTTTTTCTGCATGCATAGCGAAAGTGATATGTTGGCATTTTGTCAGTGCAGACTAACAAACCGGATTCATGAATGTTGTATCTAACTGTGTGCTCTCTCCAAAAGTGAGGCAATCAGCCTCCAAAGTGAGCAGTAAACAGATGATTATATGATAAAGTGCCCTCTGTGTTGAGAGAATGAACTCTGTTGATGAGATAAACCCCCACCCGTAAAAAGCAGTACATCCACATGACCTGGAGCCTAATGCGTTGGCTAGGGACAGAGGGCATGTTGGGTAAGGAGAGATCCTGTATGGGCCAAGGTTTTACTGAGTTGCGACCCCTCCTCCTCCTCCTTCTCCTCCCTTTAAACACTGCATAACCTTCTGGCTATCAGCACTACATTCCACAGACTGTTTCTTCTTCTTCAAGAACAACAACAACCCTGCCCTGAGGTGCTCCAGCCACTCAACCAACCCAACTGCCCTCCAACAGGCAGAACAGACAGATCAGTATAGATACAACAGCCCAGCACAATCCATAAGTCCTGGTGGAACATGTCAGCAGAACATACAGCCTAAGAAGCCTTACTGCGTTTACTGCCCACACACGCTGCTGTAAGCCATGATGGATACAGCACAGTGTCCACACACAAGATACTGAGCCAGGGCTGAGGCGCAGGGAGGAAGGGACAAGGAGGGTGAGGCAAGACCACCCGACCTATCATGAAGATCATGAGGCGCGCACACTCACACAACCACATAGAGGGGCTTCAAATTACCCTCCAAGCCCCACTTTGTAGTCCACAGTAATCAATGAAAGTAGTCACACTGATCAGTTGACTTGACTTGCTCATTTTAAAAGGCCTATTATTAGAAGCCTGGACTCACAATGAACATTTGACAAGAACTACAACATGCTAATAGTTAGGATAAGCAGTGAAAACCTATCCAAACAAAAATAACCTGCTTACAAAATATTTTTTCACTATTTATTTTTCATTCTCCCCAAATATTTGTTTCAGGGTTATATCAGATCTACAAACTGAAGCAGGAGGGATTAGTTAACATGCAACAAGGTAGCCCCTCAGCACAGTTTCAAGATTTCAGCAAAATACCGAGAGCACACAAACTGTACATTTGTCACCGTCAGCCTTTGAACTGTATTGCTCCTTCAGATGCAGCATTGTCATCGCCAAATACTTAAGGCGGCAAAGCCAGGAGCATTTTCCAGTTTTACAAGCCGAACCCAATTAGATTATGTATGCAAAGCACAGAATGTGTTTGAATGCCCTGCAAAAAGCCTCAGAAATCTCTCTCTTTTTTTTTTTTTTTTTTTACTGAAGAGCTGAAAACTGTGGTAAACAGTCAGTCAAATTTCAGGGTGGCAGGCAGGGAAACTGCTAACTTCACTGTAATTTAGAGAGGGTCTAACTATCTACATTAAAAGTCCTGTAATTCTCATAATATAGGCTTTGATTGTACCATGTTGAATGAGATATTTAAGCATTTACAAAGAATAAAAAAGAAAAGTGGGAATTTTGTAAAGTCATGACCAAGTTTTTAAAAGATTTTCTATGTTAAAATACATGAGCACACTGAAAATAATACACCTCATCAACTTTACAGAATTACCTCGATCATCAAGCACCAAGAGGGACACATTTAGTACAAACCTAGCTCTCACTTAACACACATAGTTGTGTGCCTTACAGATACACCACTTCCATTTATCCTGTGTGTATCACATGTGCAATGTCAGAGCTACTCCTTGAGCACTGTTTGTGCCAGTTCAACCAAGCTGTGTACAACCAACATGGAGTAGAACCGAACATTTGGTCTGTACAGCAGCCAGTCAAGGGAACCCACATTTCTGACATTCCTGTGCCTTATTATCTCCGTGCCCCTTGGTACTTCAACAACACTAATCACCTGAGAAGCCAAGCAGCCTTCACACCTGAGCACATACATTGTTTACCTGCTACCGAAATATTTCACTTTGGCCTCGATTAAAGTTTAATCTAGTAAAGACTTGTTTTTTTTCCTCTTTTCTTCTCTATATTGTAATAACTCATTACACCCAGAAATCACTGTCACGCAACACTGTTTCTATGGAGCAGTTTTAGGTCACAATGTAACGTTACACCCACACTGTAACCGATCACAAAGATGGTCGATGTATAGCAGTAGTCCACCTACAGGCTCAAAAGACACATTCAGCCCTTGCATCGATAGAATTCTCGTTTATGGTGCGTTTCAAACATTGGAGAAACATCTGCCTTGTACTGAGCATATCTGCAATCCCGTTAATTCATCTTTAATGAGCCCAACCTGACACAACAGCTACTTAACCCACATATAAACAATGCAGGTTATACTACAGGTATCGACTACAACATCTCTTTAACTACCGGGATGATTGCGTAAAAATCGTGCGTAAAAAACCCCAAAAGAAAGACTTCAGTATCGATGGACCTACTCAGTGCCATCTAAACTCAATTTCGTGATTACATGGGGGCAATAGATTAAAATGAAACATCCGGGTAGCGACTAAAAATCCACATCTCTTAATAGATTTAAAGACAAATAAACGAAGGTACGTGTGGAAACATTTCGTTACAGCGCTTCGACGAGCCGTTTGTGGCTCCTTTTTTTGTCGCCTGATATGCTTTGCCAGCTTGGTAATCGTTTGGTACACACACTCATCCTGTTGGGCATCTCTTTCAACGAGCACACGACGCCACACGAAACGTCAAAATATTAACTTAGTATTTACGGTGCGGTTTTCGAGCACGATGTTTTCAAAACGCAGGCAAACAAAGCGAGATGTATCGGCTTGCCAAGCAGGCTGGTAGAGCCAGAATAGGTACCAGCAGAGCCCCTTTTTGTTGGCACGCCGTGGAGAAAAAAAAACCCAGCGTAACGCCGAAAACCATCTCGATCCTAGCAGCAGAGGCGAGAAACACGATCCGACCAAAACACGAGCAAAAGCAGTCCCATTATGCATTAAAAAGCCATGATATAGAAAGAAAAATCACTTTAAATACCTTCTTACATCGGTAGGATCGTTCTCAAGCGTTCTTTACCATCCTCCAGCTCATCTCACAGCCTTCGGGACGCCATGTTGCAAGCTTATGACGTTAGGCTTCCTCACCCCTGACCCACATTTGAATAGGAACCAGCCCAGAGTGCAGCAGAGAAAACATCCCACTGTGGGAGGGTTTGACCACTTTCTCAGCCCAAGACCCCTGGCAACTTTACCTGCAAGATGGCAGAGAGAGAGAGAAAGAGAAAGATAGAAGGAGGGAGGGGTGAGGAGTGTTCTCATTGAGGTTTAGGCCTTCTTCTCCCAGCACTACGACTCTGCCATGTAGACCTGTACTGCTCAATGCAGCTCCACACTGCAAAAAGACAAATGCCCTACCTGACAAGTTCTATTGTATAATGTGTAGGTTTCCCTTTTCTCATGGAAAACGATTTTTAAAAGAAACCAGACGACATGGCGTGGGTGAAACTCGCTGGTTTGAAGGTGAGGTTGCGCAAAAATAAATGCGTGTGAGCCGGACAGGTTTTTGAACAAGCTTCTTTATTGCAACATAAATCCAAATGGATGAGTTTGTGATGTTTTGAGAAGTTTTGCGCAACAGTAAAGTTACAGTTTGTTTTATTTGCTACTCCACCAGATCTGAGTGTTTGAGTGGTGCTGGTGCAGATTAAGTTATCTGACATTTTTTGCAGTGTGCTTGATTCCTCTGCAACCTCAGCAAGACTCATCACTTGTAGACTGTGATTTCAACATGTAATATGCTTTATAGCCTACGTCTCATACAGACAGTGCAAACAACTTTATCAGCTTATATTGGACTGAGATTGATTTATGTGGGAGATATAAACCCAGACTTTAAGTTACATGATGAACACGATGAACTTTAAAGTATTATTGTGAATGGAGAGATAGGGAGTAGGAGATGATGGTTATGGGTTATGATTTGGGCACCAGATGTGCGGAAGTGTGTCGATCTGTTGGCCCCTCCTCCTAGCAAAGGCAGAGTCGACCAGCCGTCAGCCAATAGGAAACCCCCAAACTGATGAGCCTAATCACTACACTTCTATGAACAGGATGACTTTAATCATGCCAACTGGCTGTGCTTATCGTGAATATTTTAGTAGCAGAGGAGAAACATTAGTCTACATATTCAGTTTATTGCAGTTGTTGAATCCTCCATGCTTGGTGCTTGTGGTCCACATTCCACTGATGTCCAAGTTATGGCGCAGAGCCAAAGAGTTCTTCTGACACTGTGTGGTTACCGAGGAAACTGCATCCTCTGAGGAGAGGGGAGGTGCGCTCGAGCTTTATTGCATAATCCAGGGGCTGAGACGCACTGCATGTGTTTCTGAATCAACAGCTTGATCTGATCGGGGTTCCCTCTGATGAGAAACTGAGCAAACCCTGAATGATTGTTTAATACATTTTCTTATAACTGAGCTACAGGCAAGCATTCTGTTCATTTTGTATTTAGTCATCTATTTTTAAAAACACACTTAGAGATGACATTGTAAATAAAATCAGATTCAGTTCAGAGAGGCATGCTCACATTTCTTGAACTTGCAGAAATAAACAAGTTTAATTAGAATCGCAGACAAATAGTGAAATATGACTTCATTCAAATGTGACATGGCGTTCATTTGGACTCAAAGAAGTGCTCTGTGGGACATTTCCCATCTACAACATTACATTCTTTCGTCATGGTTAAATATGTAAGCTTGAACTACCGAGGCTACTTACAAAAACAGTCTTTGGATCAGGTTTAAAATCCCTTCAAAGCTCGAAACTGTCAGCAGTAGTCAATCACTGATATTTGATCAGTTTGGTTATGTTACCGTGGATTGAATCAAGTGTTTACTTAGACATCTCTCCAACTTTCAAGCCACGCCGCACGAACTGTGTGTGTGAGGGTCCGAGCCTTCCAATATGTTGCCTAGGAGATTGAGGACAGAGAAGAAGGAAAACGAGGATTATGTAAACAGTAGGAGAAATCAATAGGGTCTCATAATTGCATGACAGGAAAATACAGCAAACTGACGCATTTCAAGCAAAATCAAATAGAGAGGGTGCAAAACTTTGATGTAATCACGAGCTGCTATTCACTTTCTGTGTAAAACCTTCAACAACAATATAGACCAGATTTGGATAAAGTTCAAGGCTCACATCACACACACTTCTTCTTACCTGCACCTGCAGAATTTCCACACCCTGTTGAGGAGTGTATCTCTGAGCGCTGCGCACCCTCTGATGTACAGGATGGGGGTCAGACACGCGTTAACTCGGGGCAAAATACGCAAAGGGTCAGTTCCTTCATTCCTATAGTTGTCACACTTGTAACCTATTAAGTGACACACCGTGACATGACAAAATATAGGGAGCCACGCGCTTAGGAAAAACGCAGCCACCACCAGAATCAGATAGACCGAGGCGCGCTTGTTGTCTCTGTCCTCGGAGGGTGGCTCTCTCCCCAGCTGAAACCTGGCTATGATGAAGAGTCTGATATTCAGCCCTATCATTATGACCACAGTGATTATGTTCGCCACAAATGAGCCAAATGATGTGATCTGTTTGGCAGTCCCGATCGGAACCAAATTGTTCACGGCTACTATCAAAAAAGCATAGACCCAGTATGCGACAATGACCAATACGGTTCTGTTTCTGGTCATGCGCCGAGTGTATTTAAAAGGTGCCACCACGGCGTGGTACCTGTCCGCCTGCGCGGCCAAAACAGCCATGAATGACAGGCCAAGAAAAGTGGGGACAATGTAGAAGGTTGTCGTAGGAGAGCCGAAATTGTCTTTTACATCGAGAACACCAGCATAATAATAAGACACACCGCTGCAGACGTCGCTGAAACACGTGCTCAGCATGTACATAAAGCGGTTCTCGCCGCGCAGTGACTTGTTCAGTAGAATAGAGAGAGACACAGACACATTAAGGAAAATGATGGTCGCAGCCAAGAGAATGCTGAAAAGAAACATCATCACATTGCCGAAGCTTGTTAGGGGAAGAAGAGGAGCTAAAACCCAGCTGCTGTTACTCATCGGTGCGAAAAAGTGTGCGTAACAGAGGGTTCATGTCATCGTGGCACCAGAGTAGCTGTATGACTGTACAGCTGAGAGGCTCAGCCCAAACCCTGATTTATGGAGGGAGAGCGCTGAGGCGTGCAGGTGAATCCCAATTCCCCGGACAACATGTCAACAAGCTTCTGACAAAAACATACACAAGTCAACGACTCACTGGAATAGAATGAATAGGCCTGGTCCTGTGGCAAACTTTGACTGGAATCATCCCCAAGTGCACAGTTTTCAATGACAGGTTTACTTTATCATTACGACTTTATTGTTCCACCTTAACAAGAAACACCAGAGCAAGAATCCCACTTTTTTAACCTTAACAAGCAATCTGCTGACAATCTGTTATTCACATTGTTGAAGCCGAGGATACAGTTTGATTCATATCTTTAAGCCAAAAACTGCAGTATTGGTTTTTATTCCTTCACTGCAGAACAGGGTACATACTCTTCAATAGAGAAGGAGTATTTTTTTTTCTAATTTTAATTGTTGTTTCGGCTCATAAAAGATCAATTATGACAATCAGTTTCTTAGTCTAGTGGTTAGTGAGGGTGTGTGTCTGGAGGAGGATTGAGTTCACAGGGTCCTCATAAGGGAAGGTTCCTCAAAGATATTAAACTGAATATATAGCTGCAGAGAGAGGCCAGATTACTTTTGTTCAGGGTCCACAAGTTTTGTCACCCTTTCACAGGCCAGTGCAAATGAATTTAAGATGGCTTTTAAGTCTGGAAATGCCAAACTGGGAGTTATTACAGCACCAGTTGTATACAGTTTTTCTCAGTGTCTTTGGTGCATTTCTCAGATCAGAATGAAAGTTCTCATAACTATTAGTTCAACCTCCACAACATTGAGTCATTTGTGCACATCATTGTAGCAGTTTCTCATTCCTCTGAACAAATTGCAAATGCTCTTGGACATGTATCAGTTACTTTCATACAGATCTCTGCTGTTTTATAACGTAATCATTTGCTTATGTCATGTCAGTCAAAATAAACTATACTTATGAATGCTGAATAGTCATTCCCTGTAAAACTAATAGTCCTCATTTCATTGATTGAGTCATTACATACAAAATTGTTGAACTAGTTCTCACAATCTGTTAAAACAGTTTAATACATTTTTAAAATCTTTTTTTCTCCTGAAAATGTCTCCTAAATTGAACAGTTGCTCTCAGGTGAACCTCAGCTTTGACTCATGAGGAGGTGTGTGAAGCATTAGTTGTAACCAATGACAAGCCACTTGTCCACAGTCACTTAGAGCTGAATCCCATGAACCCTCACTTGGCAAGCAGGACATAGTGTGTACCATTTCTACAATTCTGTGACACAAATATGGAAGGTCAGCGTTGTGGAGGAGGGATGAGAATGTGAGGAGGAAGAGGACGGGGACAAAACAGGGTCAGAGGAAGAAGAGGTGAAGTACATAAGACAAATCCCTGATGAAATTAGGGCTACACTTGTGAACCATGTTGTCAATCATGGCCTCATTATGGCTGAGGCTGGTCGACGGGTGCAACCAAATATAAAGAGAACCACTGGGAATGTCCAGGAATAATTTATGTTCAGTTTACAGTAATATGTACTGTTATATTTATTTTATATGCACACAGTTCCACCAAAATGGTATTTCTCGTGTTTGTTCTAAATAAGCGACTCTGAATTTTTCGTTTAATTAATTTTTTTTGCACAATGCTGTAGAATTGCAAAGAGCCTATGCAGTAAATATGTGAAACATACGTGTGTCTTGTATTCAGTTAAAATACAGTAATGTGTAACTTTACTGTAGTTTATAAATGGATGTACAGGTAGTGTATGGTGCTGTCTTCAGCCTTTTCAGGTAGTGTCACCAAGATCTGACATTTTTTGCACTGGAAAACACAGAGAGAGTAAAGTGTCGTACTGAAAACATGACAAAGCCATTTGACTGTCTTGTTCATAAACAATGATGTTGGGACTAATTATTTTGATGACACAGACACTTTCATTGACATGAATACTTGCTTTTGAGGAATTAACTATTCATTTTGAGCAAGTGACGCGCTTTTGCAGGTTATCAACTAGGTTTTGCAGTTTGTTCTAATTGTTCTGAGAAATGCACCGACTGTTGCGATTGAGAAAAACTGTAAGAGTTGATATATCCTGTGAAGTGTTGATAAAAAAAGATGCTTTTATGCCTTGCAAATCTCTTGAAGTCTGTCTTTGATTGAAAATTGAGCAAAACAACACAGTCAATGTTGAAACTGAAAAACTTGTTCCCAAAGAGAGGCATGTTTACCACTGCGTTGCATCACCTCTTGCTGTATCAGCACTCTGTAAATGTTGGGGAGCTAAAGAGACCCTTTCTGGAGTTTTTGAAAGTGAAATGTTACCCCATTCTTACTGGATGAAGGATTATAGCTGATCAGAGCTCGCTTTCATTGTGAAGCAGAGGATGACCATGAATTAAAAACAAAAAAGTCAACTTGTGCTTGGTCAGGCCCAAGGACAGATAGTGTAGCCTCAGCTGAGCTAAGAGAGTTTCCAGATTTCCGTTTTGTGTGGAGTTTGAATCTACTTTCATGTATGCAGCAAGAAATTGAGTTCTCAAAAAATGGCTTTTTTTTTTTTTGATTTCCACCACAGAGACATGTCTGTCTCTAATCCAATGCTGTCAGAGGGTCTGGCCATTGGAATTGGGTCTTGTTTCTGAGATTCCTCTAGATTCTCCAAATCTTTTAGTGACACTGAATAAAATGATAAAACCCTCAAACTAATAATAATAATAATAATAATAATAATAATAATAATAATAATAATAATTTTATTTATATAGCACCTTTAAAAACAGAAGTTTACAAAGTGCTTAGACAACAGTTGCATCAGCACATTGAAAATAAAAACACATAAAAACAAAAGCTCAGTTAAAAACAGGCCTCTGAATTGTAGGCCTGTTTCACTTTTCGTATTTAAAATTTTACTCACAGGAACATCATCCTGGAATCAATATATCACCAGAGTGGGAAATGAGGCGGCAGTCGCTCAGGAGGTAAAGCAGTCGTCCAGTAACTGGAAAGTTGACAGTTTGATTCCCCCCTATCCTGAATCTGTCCGTTGTGTCCTTGGGCAAGACATTAAACCCACCTTGTTGCTCCCAGTGTGTGTCCTCCACTGGTGTATGATTGTGAGTGTTGTGTGGTGGTGGTCGGAGAGGCCGTAGGCACAAACTGGTAGCCGGGTTTCTGTCAGTTTGCCCCAGGGCAGCTGTGACTACTAAGGTAGTTTACCACCACCAAGCTGTGACTGTGTGAGCGAATGAATGATGTATCCAATGTAAAGCTCTTTGAGGGTCTCTGATAAAGCGCTACATGAAATCTGGTGCATTATTATTATTCATTCTCTCCCAGACTCATGTTGATGCCTTTTTAAATCTTATTCATGTTTTTAAACTTTTGGAAATGAACCTGCTTAGATGGGTGATGTCCCTCCTGGTGTATTTTTATTTTCTAGCACTGCACAACTTTTCCATGACCAAACTGTCTTAGAGTGTGTTGCTGGCATTGAATTTAAAACGCGGAAAAAGAGGATTTGCAAACAACCAACCTTTGTTTTTATGTATTTGAAGTGTTTGTAAGTGAATGAGGTTGAGGAGGAAACTCCAGCAGTGCAAAGCCACATCCAGGTCAACACTAAAGCAACGATATGTGAGTGGATCAAACTTTACACATTACAATATGTAAACTGCATTTACTGAATGACAGAGAGGAATAAAGCATCCAGATGTGATGAGCAAATATACAAGATAAGTTTAACCACTAACAGAGACATAAGGCTTTTGTCATAAACAATGGCTTGTTGCTCCCTCTAGTGTCCGAAAAACGCATTGACGTTCAAGAGCTATGGGTAAGAGATCTCAATTATGAGGAGACTCTTTAAAGGTATACTCAACTGTAGCACAGTATTACAAACAAGAAGCTCTATGGTCACTTTATGGTCACACTAGTGCATCTCATAAAATTAGAAAATTGAAAAAGGTTGTTTTAAATGCAACATTTCTAAATTAGTAAAGTAAATCACAACAACATAAAATATGGGATGTCCTTTCTTTTTCCATTTTGTGCTTTCGGTCATAATTATCAAACTTTAAGAAGAAAATGCTCAAATATTCTAGTATAATGAGTCTATAGAAAGTAAAGTTTTGCTTGATTAAAAGAACTTTCAAGATCTATTGTTTTAGATGCACTAGTAATACAAGCAAAGGATGTTAGATGGATTAGATGAATTTAGCAACAACTTATGGGGCAATTTAAGTAAGATAATTAACACAATAAAAAGCCTAAATACGATCCTGAAGTCAAGAAAAAAATCTAAACTTCTAATTTTGAACAGATGGTGTGATTAAACGAGCGAGGAAGAGCAGATTTAGTTAAAGGATTTCTGTTGATTGAGAGGACACTTTTTTATTTGAATGAAAAAAGGGAGCTTAACAAACATAAAACTTAGCAAATGTAAGTTTGTTTCGATCATTTTTAAGTGTTCATACTCCATAGTGAGAGAAAAAAAGTTTAAGATCAAACTTGTACAAAGTTTGATGTTGAAAAGGAGCAGCTCAGTGTGGATCATTAGATCTCAGATTGTGTTTGTTCCTTCTTCCAGCTGTCTGTCACTTGATAGCACTCGAACCTCTTTCCTCTCGGGATCCAAAGGGTCGAACTTTCCTCTATAAATACAAAGACTGCTCGTCTCCAAGCGGAGCGTCAGGATGCTCCTTAACGCCACCATCCCTCTGTCGGTTGACTTTGACACCCCCGAGGACTTCCTCATCTTCATCTTCCACATCCTGTTCGCAACCAGCTCCGCGCTCGTGGCCAGCTCGGTAGTGATAGGGATCTCCTCCACGCGCTCTCTGAGAGGCCAGAACCGGTTCATCTTCATGCTGAACACGAGCATCAGCGACACTTTAACCGGTTTCTCGGCCTACTACCTCGGCCTCTTCGACGTCCAGGAGGGCTACCCCTCCAGAAACGGGACTTACTACATTTTGCCCTCCTTTCTAGGTGTTAATGTGCTGACCTTCCTCTTTGCTCAGTTCGATCGATACTTCGCTGTGTGCCATCCTTTCTTCTATAACCGCTACATAACCAGGTCCGTGGTGATCTGGATCTGTGCGTTCTGCTGGATTTACACCTACACCATACTCACGGTGCAGAACATGGTGCCAATCTCAAAAGCTGCTCAAATAAACGCGTTTGGAGTGATGACTCTGCAGATCATAGTTCTTGTTAAAGTGTTGATGACGATTAAATTGTACATCATAGCCAGGAATCACCTGGTGAGAGAGGTGCCGAGCGCGGAGAGAGACAACAAAAAGGAGTCTCTGCGCATCATTGTGTTTGTAGTGATCTGTTTCTTGGCTCTGTGGTGTCCTTCCTTTGTTAATATCATAGTCAGACAGCTGACCAGGAAAGGGCTGAGGTTTAGGAATGAGGCCACCAACCTGTTCGCCATCATGGCGCGCCTGAACGCATTGGTCACCCCGGCTCTGTACATCTGGGGCAGCCCGGCGCTGCGTGAGGCCGTGTGGAGGACTGTATGGAGGAGAGTGTGTCCGTGGGGGAGGGCCAGGTGAGAGTGGTGTCAACAGTGTGACTGACATGCAATGATTCAGGTGGTTTTCACGCGCTGTGATCTGCTGCTTATATCATGCTGTGCGCTTTATTCATGTCATGTTTACTCTCTCTGACCTGAACCCTTCTGTCTCTCTCTTTTTCAGAATCGGCCTTACCTTCAGTGGGGTCGCGAACAAATCTTGATGAAGCAGACAGAATCTTTAGGAAATGGACTCAATGGTCAGATCTGGTGTAAGATAATGTGTGATTCAATGTTATGAGTGGGTGTGATTGCTCGTCCTCATGTTATAAATGTTTGAAAACGACTGAAAAAGACAGAGCTGGTCCTTTTGTGTTAATCCTGAGACTAGAGGTGGTCAGGGAACTTTTCAGCGTGTGAGTATCCTGCTACTTAACCCAACAATAAAAGAAGAGAGTACGCAGCCCCTCTGGGTGGGTTTAAGAAATGATCATGCATGTTTAGTGCTGATATATGAGACATAAACTTTTATGTGAACGCTTGATGCAGATAAATCTGATCTCATTTTGTTTTCAAGGTAGGGGAGACCGGGCGTGTTGTCACACTTTTTACACTCTTATATTTCTTGGAATCAATACATCATATATAAACAAAATGTGAACCAGATGAAAGACCAAAGTCTCAGGTACATGTTTCATATTCATGTCATTTTTATATCTTGTGTCAGTGCAGAGTTACAATCAATCAGATAGAGAGTGTGAACATGTGACATGTTGACCCACCATCAGGTAAGTTGTCTCACTACATGGGGTAAGATGTCATGCTGGATTTTGCGACGAATAAAACAAGGACAAAATTATTTTTGTTCTCATTTTTTTTTACATGAAAGTGAACATCAAAGTCAGGCACAGAAAATGTTTATCATTGAGCTAGAAAAGATAATTGAACATACATTAACATAAAATATTATGCAACATGCTCTGGAGTTTGGATAGCTGTCTGACTCTGTGTTTCAGCTGGGGTGAATGTTTTGCAGTACATGCCAAGGTATGGTAGTTGACATTAAAGTCCTTTATTGTCCTCCAGATTGATTTATTAGCTAGACTCACATGTCTGACTGCCCTCAGCATCACGTCAGGTACTGCACTGCCATGTTCTGCCTTTCTTTTGAAATTCCTGACCATGTTTTCTCGCTTTCTCCTCTCCTTTAAACCACTCTTTTCTCTGTAAAGATAAATCAAAACTTTCTGTATGACAACTGCTGATAAGCAGACTCTCTATGTTAATTTTAATCCCTTTTAAACATGTGACAACTAACCCCAAAATGACTGCGACATGTTGCCTCAAACTGCCATGTTTGATAATTCTAGCTCTAGCTTAAAGTTATCTTAAAACAGAACAATGACTGAGGTGTGACAGGATGCCTTAATCTCTCCTCTAACAAGTCCACATGTGTCACTGCTAGGAATTTTATCTGGAAGAAGCTTATTTTAAAATATATAGAGTTAAAAAAATTTACTTTGGTTTGTGCAAAATGGTGAATTGGTGCTCATCTCAGCACACAATGTGGTCTTCTCTTCTCAGACAGGACACGACCCTTGACAATGTAAAGGATTAAAACTAGTATTCCACTTTTTAGTTGCACCCTCTGGTGGCAAAGATTATTGCAATGTGACAACTTATTCATGTGACAACAAGCCCCGGTCTCCCCTATAACACGGCATGTACCTCCGTGGCCCTCCAGCTCCTGAGCTTCTGGGTGAGGTTAATAAGTCCCTCTATTTTTTAAATGACTCACCTTTAGCACATAGTTCTTCAAACTAAAGAATTTTGTTGCAGTTTTTCCGAATCCTGTCTGGTATTTTGTCATTTGATTTTTTTTCATATTCTAAAAAAACTTTGTTATGAAGCCTACAGTGTAAATAAAGTTGCTATTATGACAGGACTGTAATGGTTTTAGTCGTTTTTTTCTGACAATAGACATGAACTTTAAAAAAGAAGAAAATCAATCAGACTGTAGTGGATTAAATCAGTTCTAGATGAATTGTAATGGTTTTATTCTGGTACTTACTGATTGATGATGTTGAAAATGATCAGAAAGCACATTTAAATCTGTTTGACGTGGATTCAGGACCACGGACAGAGACATGGACTGGACACTCAAAATTGATGTTACAGTATGAGGGCCTGGTGTCATGTTCAGCACTCCGGTCAGCTCAACTTTTTTGTTGTTGACAATATTTTTCAGTAGTTTTGAAGAGGAGCCGGAATAACTGTGATGCTTGAACTTAAAGGAGCATTTCCAAAAACTAAAGAAAAAGTTAATCGCAAGAGAGAACGACAAAGTGGCATCATTAAACATCTCATGACACAGTCACTATCTCCTCCTACAGGAGTCTTTAAAATAAGAGTGCTGCTGTATTGTTATCACAGTTCAGGGCTGCTTCCTATCCCATAATGCTTCTCTCTCTAAACCAAACTTTGGTTCCTCTGTGTGTTGACTTTGACAGCGTAGGGGACTATTTCCTCTTTATTTTCCATATCCTGGCAGGGGCGAGCACTGTAGTGGTGGCCGGTTCTGTTGCAATAAGTATCATCAGAACTAACGCCCTGCTCAGACAAAACCGCTTCATCTTCATGCTCAACACCAGTATCTGCGACACGATGAGCGGCTGTGGTATTTTCTATCAGTTCCTCTTCGATGTCCGGGTTGGCTTCCCCTCTAAAAACGGGACTTACTACATTTTGCCGACCCTTCTAGGAGTCAACATCATGACCTTTCTGTTTGCTCAGTTTGAGCGATATTTCGCCGTGTGTCATCCGTTTTTTCACGCTCGTTTTATCGGTATAAGAATTGTGATATGTGTTAATATGTACAGTTGGGTGCATGTTTATGGAGTGCTGCTTGTACAGCAACTGGTGCCGCTGTCTATAGCCATAGATATTGCAATATACAGCAGAATAAGTCTAATGTTCATTATTATTACTAAAATAAGCATGACTGTGAAGTTAATCATCGTGGCCAGGTATCAGCTGCTGCGTGAACCTCCAAGCCCGGAGAGAGACACTAAGAAAGAGTCTCTGTCAATCATAGTGGTGGTGGTCGTGTTTTTTCTCCTGCTGTGGGGCCCGTCCATGCTCTACACCGTGGTGTCCTCGCTGACGGGGAAATATTTAGCCATGAAAAATGACGCCGTGAACCCCATGAAGATCTTATCCAGGAGTAACGCTCTGTGCACACCGACCCTCTACCTGTGCGCGAGCCCCTCACTCAGAGAGGCCGTGTGGAAAACTGTGTGGAGCAAAATATGCTGCTGCAGATTCTACAAAAGGTATAACGTGCCGTGAAAAACTGTGACACTCAAGACAAAATGTTGTTCATTCTGGGGGTTTAGTTGAAAACTCATCAGCTGTCTTCTATTTTCTATATAGGCTCGGTAAGGTTCGAGGATTGATGGTGGAGACATGACAGTGAAAAGAGCGCATCTCTCTGTCTTCTGGAATATTTCAACACGAAGACTCCCCATCAGTGGAAATTTGACTTTTCAAATATGTTTTTTTTTTATTTCGCACTATAATGCGTATTTCAAGAGTTTATATTTTGCTAGAGCACAAACTGTATTCATTAGGTTATTATTATGGTGGTGCTGGGGTGATGGTGAAGACTCCACAAACAGTAAGACTTCTCATCTGTGTAAATTATATATCCTAAATATGTTTTTTTATATTATATCAAATATCATTAATGTCCTTATTGTGCTCAACGGAAAACTGTAATAATACAAGATATTTTTTTCATGTTCTCATTCATTTTAATCTTGATTTTATCCCACCTGTATGAGTTTTATGTATACAAGTGCATCTCATACAAGTTTACCCCTCCTCCTGTGTTAGAGTCTGCACCGACCCATTTTTGTTTTTAAATGCTTAAAAGAACCACATGAATTAGCTTTTTTGCATCAAGACTTTTTGACTTTGTCAGGATCTTCTATTTCAACAAAATAAGAATAGAAAAATTAAAATAAGATAAAATGAGATAAGATAAGAACTTTATAAATCCCTGAAGGGAAATTCAGCTGTCTGTTGTTTCACTTGACATGTCTCTAAAAGTTATCTACTATTTACACAAGAGTTGTAGAGTCTGATGGCTGTTGGTACAAAATATCTTCTGAATCTTTCTGTCCTGCAGCGAAGAGAGAGGGGCCGTCCACCACCATTTGCCCTTTGGTCCATTGAGGTGTTGTGAAGTGGGTGATCCATGTTCTTTAGAATAGTCTCCACCTTCCTCAGTGTAGATCTCTCCACCACATCCTCCACTGAGTCCAGCTTGAGTCCAACCACAGAGCCAGCCTTTTTCACCAGTTAGTTCAGACGTCTTGCATCTTTGTGTTTGATGCTTCCTCCCCAGCAGACTGCAGCGTAGAACAGAACACTGTAGACACCACAGAGTGATAAAACATCTGCAGCGTCTTACTACAGATGTCCATTGATCGGAGTCTTCTCAGGCAAAACGGGCGGCTCTGCCCCTTTCTGTAAATGAATATTCTTAGACCAGTCCAATTTATTATCCAGATGTACACCTAGGTATTTATATGATGTCACCACTTCGATGTCCACTCCACAGGTGTTCACTGGCTGAAGAGGGGCTAAAAAAATGATTGACTAAATTATAAAATGCTCGTATTAAAATTATGGCACTTGTTGTGTTAGGGTCGCTGTTGACCCAGTTAGATCAATATCTAATAATCAGAGCAAACCTGAAATCATAAGTGTCCTGTCAGGCCCCACACTGACAGTCAGATCCTCTTCCAATCATGGGAGATTTAGGAAATTCTCATTTTTCCATGTTTTTATCTGCACAAAAAAAACAGCCTCAGCCATGTCCAGACATGTGAGATCAATTCAGTATAGATGTCTGTGTGAAGGGTACACTGACAAAGAAATGCCCAGAGGCCCACAACAAAAAATATTATAAACAATATTTTCATGGATAATGAAGCCTAACAAGGTAACCTAGAGATGAGAACCAAATTGGATGATAGAGAATTTTTTTTAGTGTAATTTACAGCTGATTTGAGACACAAGTCAAAACCGACCCTTAACATGATGGGTGCATAGTAAAAGCTAAAACAGAGGGGTTTAAAAGTTAATAAAGGCTCTGTATTGTTTTTAGTTAAATCACAGTCAGCTGTGTTGTTGCTGCTGATATTGGAGATGATGGAGACAGGCCGGATAAGCTGATCCAAAAATAAAGCTGCTCTTCACACAGTCTGTTTCTGAATTCTTTTGAATTCCACCTCTAATATTCTTGTCTAAAATGTTACTGCTGATGAAACAGAACAGGAAACTCTGGGTCCCTCAAATGAAATAGATTCAGAAGAGTATAAAAAAAGCTTACAGTACAGGAGGACAGTTTTGCAGGAGTACTGTGTTAATGAGTTTAAGAAGTTTGATTTTTACTTTATTTTATGGCTGCGAGCAACCCAAAGATGCTTTTCTGTTTTGGTCTTTCAAAGACAAACAGTGTGTTTGTACATGACTTCAATTCACACTGTTTCATAGTGAATTAATCCACTGTTTTTCCTTTTCTTTTCCTTTTTTTCTTTCTGATTGATGAATATTTCAGTTTAAAAATATAAATACAGAATTTTAAAAAGAAGTCAAATATTATTAAATTGCCCAGAGCTGAACTTCACACTTGTGTCAACATTACAGTAATTTTTAAAAGGACATGCAAATTTGTGTGACTGGTATCATAAAAGTAATTCTGCAAAAAAAATAATCTTCATTGTTCCAAAAGTTTTCTCACTTGAAGCAGAATTAAAACTTTATCTGCTACCTGAGAGTTTCTTCACGAGGCTGGGATAACGACATTAGATCCAGATGCCTCATGAGATCAGGTGACTTCACGGTTGTCTTATAAAACAACAGATTCACTTGAAGCGTTTGCGCACGAACAATGCCCCTCTCTAACTCCACAAACTCTCTAACAGGAGGAGGAGGAGTGCCTCTGTCGGTGGACTTCGACAGTCCTGAGGATTATTTCGTCTTTATCTTCCAGATTTTATTCGCTACCACCACTGTCATCGTAGCTGGAACTGTAGTCATTGGTATTTCGGCCACTAAAGCGCTGCGCCTCCAGAACAGATTCATTTTCATGCTGAATACGAGTATCTGTGACACTCTGGTGGGCTTCTCAGTGTATTATCTGGGTCTGTTTGATGTTCAGGAGGGGTATCCGTCTAGAAATGGCACTTATAATGTTTTACCCTCTCTTCTAGGGGTAAATATATTGACTTTTTTGTTCGCACAGTTTGACCGGTACTTCGCTGTGTGCTATCCATTCATCTACAGCCGCTTTGTAACCAGACACTTTGTGATTGGCATCAATATTTACTGCTGGTTTTATAACTTCGCTCACCTCCTCGCCAGAAACTTGTTACCCGTTTCCAAAGCCCTACAGCTGTACGTGTTCAGCATTGTCTCCTTTCAGCTAGTTGTGCTCACTAAAGTGGTCATGACGATCAAACTGTATGTTGTGGCCAGATTCCAGGTGGAAAGAGACCCTCCGAGCGCAGAGAAAGAGACCAAGAAGGAATCACTGAGAATCATCATTTTTGTGGTCATAAGCTTCCTGTTGTTGTGGTGTCCCTCTTTTGTAAATATCATCTTTAGATTCATGACAGGGAGGGGACTGACATTCAGAAACGAGGCCACCAATCTTTTCGCCATCATGGCTCGTTTGAACGCGGTGTGCACCCCGTCTGTGTACATCTGGGGGAGTCCGGCTCTGAGGGACGCCGTGAGGAGGACAGTGTGGGGAAGAGTGTGTCCAAAGTGCAGGAGGAGGTAAAACTGTCTGCATGCAAAACAACGACGCTATGTTCGCTATGTGCGTGTTCTGGTTAATACTCACATCAAGTGTGTTTCATCGTTTTCCTCAGAGTGGGCTGCCACGGGACGAGAGGAGCAAAGACTCCAAAGAAATAGGAACCAGGGGTCTCCATATGACGCGCAACTATCAAAATGAATAAACTGTGATATATTTTTTGACATCTCTCTCTTTCTACCTCTTTCTGCCTTCCACAGTCTCTGAGAAAAGTTAGAAACTGGAGTGGACATAGATGATATGCAGCAGTGTATACACAGGAAAGTAATGCGTAAATTAATAACAAATCCGAAATGCAGGGATTTGGTACAACTGAAGTGCCTGATCCGTCTCAAAATAACACGAAAACACGACTGAGTTTCCACTTACTAACAGTATAGTTTTCAGTGTAACTTCCACTCTGTTTTCAGCCACGGTGGATGACTCAGGTTGACGTGGGTGTTGATCAGTGTCGCTGTCCACGGATCGTGGTGCTGAAACTCATTTAGGCTTTTTGAAGACACGTCGCTGTGGAAGGTCATACTCTATTTTAGTGATAGTTCAAGGTTATGTTGAGTTGTTGGTTCTTTTGAGATTCTTCTGATTTTAGCTTTAAAATGTGCATTTTATCAATAATAGTTGATTATGAAAATATGTCAGTGAAAGAGGAGTATTTTTCTAGTTCACATATCTAACAAACTGTAATTATCCTAAGGCACCACAGCAATAACATTCAACTTGTTCCTCAATGATCTGGTACAAATCATGATCAGACATGTGGTGTCTCGCAGTTTTCACCCTTGAGTATCTTGTGCACATGGTATCAGTAACAGAGATTTAAATTTAGGAGATGACTTATCTCCATGATTTCTCAGATCTGCAGAAACAAAGTCAGACTTTTACTACAAAGTTCCTGAAATTTGCCATTATAAGTAGCTAAATCTAATTTATCAAGTCTCTTTTTAGTTAAGGTTAAAATTTATGATATTATGTGATAATCCTAAAGGATTTTAAACAATGTAATACAGCATGAATTGGCTGCAGGGAGCTTGGAGATATATAGTTATTGCATTTTTTTAATCAAAAGATTAAAACAGACCAAACAAATTTTTAGACTTAATCTTCTCTGACACATACCAAGACAATAAATACTGATCCTTTTTATAATTTCAGTCTACTATCAACTAACACTTTATAAAAGTCAGGAATTTAATCGATGTTTGGGTCTACACGCCTCACGTTATTATCAGACACAGAACTATTTTGTATACAAAAACTCTTTGATCCATAAGATTCAAACTATGCAGATTCATATTAATAGTTACTTGTACAAGCAGGTGCTAAAAATAATAAATCTAAAATAAAATTCTAAGTAGACTCAAATGTCTTGGCTCTTTATTAATGTGTGATTTCTTTTAGGGACATTGCAGTATATAAAGAAAAAAATCATGCATCTGTGTGTGGGATTTTACATGGCTTTGTTTGTCACACATGCATTTTAAAAATATAGTGGTCTTTTCAAGTTCAGGGAACACTTTAGCCAGTACACATGCAGGTTCACTGCAGTAATAGCAAGGCGGCTAAAAAGCTCCAAACAGATGTGGTGTTTTTCATATTTCAACTCTCTTCATAACCTGCTCTCATCAGCGTATGGGTACTTCCCTCCCTGTCATCATCCACAATCCTTCACAAGTGTGAATCATGTAACATGTGTGCATCAGTAAGGTTCAACGACCTTTAGGAAAACAATTCCTGATCAAGCTTTATTCACATGAGGAAAAGAAAATAACTTTCCATGAGCTCACATGAGCATTGTCAGTCTCTCAGAAAGGAAATTCCCAGTGTTACGGTTTCACTTCTTTAGCTCAAACATCAACATCCAAAAATGAAAGTTAAACTGTTTATTTCCTGGTCAAATTCCCACAATGACTCAGAAAAAATGACATTTGAGAATTCCAATGAAAGCAAGGCACCCACAACTTACATTCACAGATTTACGGTAAGGAAAACTGTTAACTGCGAAGGTCACACCACCAGACTAAGGTTTAAGTGTTGATGTAAACACAGCACATACTGAGCTGAAATCTATTTGCTCATTTTAATGACAACAGAGTAGCTAGGATGAAAAATTTTTTAGGAAGTTTCTTTTATATTTATGAATTCTCATGCACCTTTTAAAATAGAAAAAAATGACAATGCCATTCAAAGTCAATATCAAGTTTTACTGCTAACAATAGTCTAGGAGATAAGAAAAACTTTTAATGTGAATTCAGCACTTAAAATGCATCATTAGGTTTGTGAATATTCTTACAAGTGACTGTGAGCATTTATAGCAACTAATAGCAATGTTTATGAAGTGCTTTAAAAATGTTCTTCATGAATGTACAACTTAAAATGCATCACATCTTCATGCAAAGCAAACAGTGTCCTTTGAGTTACATAACACATCATAACTCCCACAACTTTACCCAGTTATAAAAGTACATATGAACTCATTCACCATACAAACAAGACTCTTTATATCGTATTGACTTTCAAAAGAAAGTTTGATTTTAACTAAACATGGCCCCTTAAAAGAGCTGTCCCTTTTTGTTTAAACAGTAAAAAGTAGCATATCTTTTTTTCTATCTTAATAAAGTGAATGTAAAATTATCAGTCCTTTAACTTGATTATCCATTAACCCAATCTTTGTTGGAGAGAGATCAGGTATGCCATTAGGTATAACTACTTTACTATGGCAATTATCCAAAGTTAAAGGTGAATTCGGAACTTACTGGATCCAGTGTTTCATCCAATCAGCAACACTGTTAACAAAAATGCTCAGCTGATTTATTTATCATATATTCTAGTTCATATTTCCCTTTACTTAAAGCACATTAGGTCACACTGTATTCTAAGTATTAAAAACACCTGTTTCAATTTGAGCATTGTGGACTTGAACTTTTTATGATACACTTGAACAGCTCTCTATGAACTTTTGTAAGTGGATACAGTTGTGGGAGTGATAATGTGTTATGTAACTCAGAATTCAAAAGATGCTGTTTGTTTTACATTCAGGTAAAATGGGTTATGAATTGTATGTTCATGTGGCAATTAACTCACTGCTTATAAAACTCCATAAATATTGCTTTAAGTTATTATGATTGCTTTTAACCACTTATACAGAATGATATAAAGCTTCATAAATAAGCTTTAAATGCAGTTTAAGTAGTGGAGTTACCACAAAATGCTTATAGTCTTGAAATCTAAATTAGTGTCACCTGATAAAGAAAGTTATGAAACGTATACTTCACAATTATGCAAGAAATAGTGTTAATGATATTACTTTTTTGTTAAGAGTTTAACTTGAATGTAAATGAAAATAAGCACGAATTTACAGCTTGAACTGTTTGGTTAATTGAAAGGATGGGTGTGCTTCAGTCTATTTATTACTTGGTATCAACTTCAGCAGGCTTAGGCACTGACTTCAGACCGATGAATCACCTGCGAGTAGCTTCTGTGATAAAACTAAGAGTGTGCGATATTTGCTTTTAAACCATGTGCAAAATAACAATATTGAATATAGCTAACATTTTGCAAATACCAATCAGAACACATCTAGAGAGTCCGTATAAATCTACTGAATATGACCAAGCTTATTAGGACAGACTGTACAATGCATGTGCATCGAGGAAACATGCCGTTTTCACGTATCACAAGAAATAAGCTGCCTGCTTAAGAGAAAAACTGGCGAGCAAAATGTACCAGGAAACACTGCATGGAGAGATGGTGGTAGCGTGGCATCAAAAGATAGATGCTGCTGAAAAAATACCAAAATGACTGCATGTAAAGGCAACTAATGACAGCTCAACACCCCCACACTGAATATAAAGAGTATGATAAGCTTCAAGAGTCAATGGTCCACCATGACTCCCCAGCTAAGTAAAACAAAAACACCTTTTAGAAAACTAGTTATGACTACTTGTATTATTGTTCAGTTTTCACAAAGTAAATCCTGGAGGTTCCTTGGAAATGTTTGACTCATACTTGCACTAGTTGACCTTAATCCTTGCTTTGGTGATTTCAAAGGTTTCATATTGGATTTGCTTGAAAGGCTCAGTTGTCAGTAAAAAAATAAGACCTGTTTTTCTTGAATAGGTTAGTCTTATCAATAACATTTACAAAATCTGGTATGCTGCTAAAAAGAGCAGCTGGCACAATACCTTTTTCTGTGACAACATGGGAATCATTATTTATTGTAAAACACACTTTCTAATTCTGTCAACTCTATTTGGGAATAAGTATGTTAAATTTTTGCTGAGTTTCAGTGTCTACGCCTGGTTTAAAGGCTCAGTTAAATCCAAAGGTTAGTGTGTACATGGGTCAGTCCTACTAGTTCACATTTCAGACAAGTGCATTTGCTTAACCACCATCGAAGAATTTCCCTAGAGGTGAGAGATTATTCAAAGCTGACAGAATATGCATGATAAAAGGAGTGTTCACTGAAAGAGGAAGTGGAACAAGTTGTGGGTGTGCGACATTTCTACCACAGTGTCCATGGGGGCTGCTTCAGTGGGAATGAGGCCAAAGAGGAAACATTGACGGGGATGGAAATGACAGCCCACGGCAGCGCCTGTCTCTGAAGAGTTCGTCTGATCATCATTCTGTGACACAAACATGAAGTGATGAAAAGTGATTAAAAAAATCAATGAATGAAGGGTTTTTTTATTCATGCTTGTATTAATAAAAGAGTTGGTCTTACCCGTCGCGTCCCAGCAGGAACAGAGCAGGTATGCTTGGTTTGGCGGTACTTCCATCTGTGATCATATCAAGGTAATGGCTGTCATTATCCGCTGCATTATCTGCAATTAGAACAGCTTTGCCTCCTGCTTCCTCCACATTTCTGGCTTTTTGAACAAAGGAGCAACCTCTGGAGGACATACAAAAGAGAAGAAATGAGAGAAAATGCATTTAAATGTTACACACAAGAACACAAGAAGATGCATTTGGGGCTTCTGTCAGCCCTACAGACAAATAAAGTTAATCACATTTTGTCATATAAGTGGGAGACCTTTTGTGATTTTTTCTAGCTGAATATCAAACAAAAAAACCTCTTGATTCCTTAAAAAGACCACAAAGACCTGCCCTGAAGTTGATCCAAGATGTGTTAACAACTGAAGGAGTTAAATTTTGTAATACGAGCTAGAAGTCAAAGCTACCATCTTCTATTTACCTAGCAATGCCCAACCCATGTTACTCAAAATGTCATGTGCCGCTACATCAATATTTTAACTTTCACACCCTGCATAAGAGCCTGCAGGCCGCTGGTGTAATCACATAAAGACTCTTACATATAAACAAACTACTGCTTAAAAAAATCTAGATCGGGGTGTTTAATTTCCACCAAGTCAGTGGTTCTCAAGTCCAGTCCTCGAGGCCCCCTGTCCTGCATGTTTTGGATGTTTCCCTGCTCCAACACACCTGATTCAAATGATTAGCTCGTTATCAAGCTCTGTAATGGCTTATGCTGCGTCCGAACTGCCCGCTCGGATACTACATGCTACTGCTACGTGCTACTGCTAGATCCTACTCCTACATACTAAAAACGTTGGCCCAATTCGGACACACTAGACGAGCGGTGGGGAAAGACGACCCCCGCAGGCAGAGAGTAGGTACTGCGCCCGTGCAGACAGTGGTAACTGAAGCTCCTCATCTGCGGGCCTGGCTGTAGTACTGCAGCTGTGCAGTTTAATGATGGAATAAGTGAGCTTTACCTCCATGATGTCGCCACATATTTGCTCATAAAATGATTACTTGGGCAAATATGACACCATGACATGACAAAGAGATACAACCGCACATTTTTTAGGACAGTGTGTGAAGTTACATGAAACTTACATCTGTACTGCTGCGGTCCCGCCTGCTGCTGCTGCTGCTCCGACATGGTGCGCGCTGCTGTGGCCAGCCGGCGTTCGCGACACTTTTAAATAGGCAGAGCAGCTGGTGGCGCTAGCATCACATGCGCTTCTACAACTTTTAAGAGGACGAAGAAGAAGCCCGCGGTGCATTTTGGGTCAGTAGCATGCCCGTAGGATGCACCGAGACCAACCTACAATGTGGGCGTGTCTAGCATCTGAAGTAGTATCTGAAGTAGCATGCTACTCGCTCCGGTGGCCAATTCGGACATGCTAGATACTACTTCGACTACTACTTCGACTACTACTTGGCAATTCGGACGCAGCTTTAATAACGAGCTGATCATTTGAATCAGGTGTGTTGGAGCAGGGAAACATCCAAAACATGCAGGACAGTGGGCCTCAAGGACTGGACTTGAGAACCACTGCACCAAGTGATCAACTTTGACTTATAAATGCTCTATAAAATGCTTCATATTCTCTTTTTTAGTGTTTATAAAGCAGCACACGGGTGTCCCCACAGGTGAATAAACATGCATGCATACCCTCTTTCCACCAAAATGACTTGTCCCTGAATTATTTCTTTGTCTTCCAGGTCTGTGCAGCCATCTGTTGGGTTTGCTGGCACCAGGTAAATCTCATCATAGTATGATGTCTGGGGATAAAAAGACAGGGTAGGGTTCATATTAAGTGGAGACATGTGTCTGTGGCTTGGGCATTATTTGGCCAACAAGTAGAAGGGTCACGTACGAAGTGTCCACCAAAGTCTTTGGCAGGTGCAGCACTGAATATATATCCTATCTCCTCTGGACTGATGACTCGGAAATACAGCAGTTCATTGACCCTAATACCTAAAGTGGAAAAAAACAGAGACATACACATCATGCTGACTCGTGAGTTGTAAATAGCTATGTCGTCAAAACTGTGGGAAACCGCGACAGCGGATGGAAGTTAATCGAAACTATGACACAGAAACCTCAGGTTACTGTCTCACTGCCCAATATAGAATCTACACATGATTTTACAAGTACCACAAGAGCTGACATATGTCTGATATCATTTCTTTTAAACTGACGTCAAGTTAACGTAGGTGGTCATTATAGTTAGCAGCTGAAACAATGAGAGCTCGCCCCTGCCCCACGCGCTCACCTGACACACAACTGAACTGCAAGAGGCTCCAGAGGTACAACAAGAAAGCCTCCGCGGGAACAGCTTTCGCCATTTTCACATTTACCGACTTCCTCGGTGTTGCATAGACGAAACGTTAGTGTGACTTTACGTTGAAAAGCACCGTTTTATCCATTAGCGGCTACTGCTCTGTTTACGTACAATAAAGCAGCAGGTTGGCAGCCACTTCCGCGCTTTCTTTACTGCGCATGCCCACGCTGCAGAGCCGGATTAACCTGCTCGATGGCCCTGGGAGAGTTGGGCCCCCTTCCTTTATTTACACATATTGATCCCCCTATAATATGAGAAAAATATCACAAGTGATAGGTCTGTTTGTCATGTACTCTAAAGTTTTAATGTTTTACAGCAATCACCAATTATGAGCACATTTAAGTGTAGTTAACAACACTGGGAATCTGACCCTCTTGGGGCTTTGGGTGTTTCTCAAGCCCCCAATTCTTTTGCCATGTGTGATTGCCTAATTTTTTGGAGCAGTGGTCACCAACCTTTTTTGTACCAGGGACCAGTTTCATGCAGGAAACCTTTTCCAAGGACGGACCGGGTAAGGGCGTGGAGGTTCCAATAACAAAAACCTTAATCAGTACATAGTATGTACATAGTATGTAATCTGGATACAACAATTACATTTTATATTAGGCACTTTTCATCACACTTTAACATCACCTCACCATAATGCAGAATCAACCCTTCTTCTCTCCAGTGAACTCTGTTTCTGGCTCATTTTTGCAAGGGCTAGCTTGTGTTGCTGGTGAAAATTGCTGAAGAGTCAAGCGCAAAAGTGAGGCGATGGGGGAAGTGGTGGTCTTTCAAAATAAGATACTGGGAGGACGGATAAAAGAAAAAACATTATTTAATCATCGTTATTATTTTTTTTTTTTTGTGGCCCGGTACTAATTGATCCACGGACGGGTACCAGTCCGGGGCAGGTGGTTGGAGACATCTGTTTTAGAGGGTCAGAAGTCATACAACAATGACTGTGTGATCACTTTTACACTTTTTAGCAGGAAGGCATCTGAAGGAGGAACTTTCTGTTTATGTTGAATTTGGCGCCCCCTGTTGGCAAAGTGATATCTCATATCAATATTGTCCTTGCAGTTGAGAATTTTAGATGTCAAAAATTTATTAATTATACTAAAGAACACAATTGTTTTGAGGATCTGTTTGAAAACGGAAAAAATACAACTTTAACAAAATATAGACGATCTCTGATTTGCTCTTTATTTACATTGTAACATATCAAATATATTCACTTTTAAATACAAGCACTGTCTCATTTAAGTCACATCTGTTAGAAATACAATTTAGTGCTCTAGTATCACAGAAGAAACTCACAAATACAATTAAATCCATAGTTAAATAACTTCATCAACCCAAATACCTAATACAGGGCTTTTGCTGATAGAACTATTCTGATAAAAATGTTGTGTTTTTTATTGATGACCTTTTTTAGGTGTTTCTATTTTCTTAATTTCTTTCTTCCCCTTATTCTTCCTCCCTTTCTTCTTGCAGCGAAGTATCTCTGGACAACAAGACTTTGCTGTGTTTGTGCATTTGTCTTGCTTCCTGTTGCGTGTGGTTACCTGCAATGTGCAAATGACAGATTAGGGAAGTCAGAACTGTAGCGATAAGAGAAGAAAAAATAGGTCCAACAAATTTAAACATGTAAATTCCTGTTTCTGCCTCAGGGTCGTGGATGACTGTGAATATGTAAGATGACTTTGTTGATAGTTTTTAGATCTTGGTTTGATTATTAGGACTGTGCCTCACTCTCATACTTAAACACGTAATCTCCCTGCATCAGAGCGTTTTTATATCTCTCTCTGTAAAGCTCTGCTGCAAGTGTGTCAATATAAAATCAGGCTTTTAAAATATTACTGGCTAATGAGCCGTAAGCAAATAAAAACAAGCTCAGTTACTTAAAAAAAAAAGAATATTTTGGTCAGATTTTCAGTGCTAAAACCCATCAACTTCATGATTTTGGATTAGATTTTGGCCAAAAGCCCATCTGTGTCTCAAGGCATTTATCATCTTCAAATGTTTTCTTGTCCCATGTTATTCCCAGTCTTTTACCAGCTCCTTAACCCCACACCTTGTCCCTTTTTCTTAGTGACTGAATGAAAACCCCCTCAAAGTAATCTCCAAAAAGGGGAGGCTGACGTGATTTTGCACAAGCTAAATGTGCAGAATTTATTGCCAAAAGACTTAAAATGTATTTACTGCTAAATCAAAAAGGTACTTATACTTATGAGAAGTCTTTGACAAGGGTTCGAGAGCAGACTTCAAATAGTCTCTGTTCATTTTTCCCATCAGAAAATGTTTGTTTGAAGCTACATGATCTATCTGCTTTTATATTTTCAACCAATGACCTCAGAGATTATATTTGCTGCTTTTACCTTAACTCAGTGAAAACTCCGTCAGTACACTCTGAATGTACCAAACAGTTCTGAGAATCTGCCCACCCCCATGTAGAAATGTTGGTTGAAACTGCCCGGGGATTTTAAGTGGTCAAGTACACAGGATATGAGCAACACATAAATAAATAAAGAACAGATATAAGGAAGGAAATGAAGAGCTTTTAATTTTTTTTTCTTTTTTTTTCTTGCTAAGTGTCAAACCACCACAGTACACAGAAACAGTAACACACTCAAACAGACAGACATGTATAATTCTGTGTGTAGTGCAGACTGAGCTGGACTCCTAAAGCTGATTTTCTTTGATTTAGACATTAAAGATATTATAGCTGTGTAATCTTAAATGAATAATAAATAAATATTTAAATAAATATTTTAGATAATAATTAGGAATAGCTTAAAATAGTGTCTTGCACCTATCCTGTACCATTAAACAGAGATTATGACTTTTGACTGAGCTATTTGTGGTTGCTGTGTTATGTCTCAGTCATCAGTGTGAGACAGTGAAAAACCAGAGTGACATCAGTTAGGTGAAAAGACGTGAAGGGAACTTGTTGTGACAGACATAAAAGGACAAAGACAGAGCAGCAGCAGACAATCAGTGGGTTACATTTCTCCAGGAAGTCCACTGGCTCCAGGTGGAGTTCACCAGCGGGTCTCTGGAGCGAGCCCTCAGTCTTCTGATCCTCTTTGGTATCACAGCAGAAAGAGAAGTTTTATTCTAAAACAGAGAGAGTCACACAATGAGAAACCCGAATGCAAACACCTGGTGAGTATACCTGTCTGTCTCTCAGAGCCCGTATGTGTTTACCTGGCCGTTATCTTGAAGCTCGTATTCAATCTCATGCTCCAGACTGAAGAAGCTGTGAGGAGTTGACCAGGTGGATGGAGGATCGATGGTCACGTTCAGGTTCTGCCCCACCTCCTGGCATTTAACAATCTGGGGACTATCGGGTTTGACTGTAGAGAACAAAAATTCATCCTTTCTGATTAATTTCCTAATGACTTATTGATATTCGCACTTGATGAAAAACCCTGTCAGTGATATTTTAAGCTGATGCTTTTTCCTGTGTAATAATCTCCTGATAAGTGCATTAAATGTCACTTAGTGTAGCTCAGCCTACCGATGTCTCTGAGATAAAATCTCTTGGTTCTCCGGAGCATGGAAGAACCAATAATGGCCTCAGCTGTGAGTTCAAGCATGCTGCTCTCCTCCGCATAGGGGGAGAGGGAGTGGGACACCTCAAACTGGAATTCCCCGTCTGAAAGGCTGCTAGTGACCCAGTGACACGACTTCCCACCTTCACTGCTACATAGAAAGGAGTAAAACACAGAGTGAAAACTGAAACTGGGAAAGGAAAGAGTCTGCTTGTACTAATGCAATACTAACTGGAATATACTCATATATACACAAATATTTTTTTACCAGTCTTGGCCCAGTCCGAGGCGCACTAGTTTGTGGTTTCCCTGGATCCAGTTACAGGTGAAGACACAGTCGTAAGATTTAGCACGACAGCTGAGGAAAGAGTCTGTAAAGATACACGATAAGTGCAAGTTCACTGTAAACTGTTTATTCAAGAGTTACTGAGCGTAAAACATTTGATCAATAAATACATGTGACATATTTCAGTTTCAGCCTTTAGAGAGAAAATATTCCTCTCAGCTTAGCTAAAGTTAGAATCACGTTTGTTTAGTTAAAGAGAGGTGTCTTACCCAACTCAACCCCCTTCTCAGCCTCCAGTAGCAGATATGTTGATGATAACTTCTCCTCTCCTCTCCAGCAGCTGTATTCCCCCAATGTAGGTTCATCTACTTCTAACACAGTCAGATTTGGACCATCCAGCTGGAACAGATCCTCTAAATCCTCATCTATCTCCTCTCCTTTGTGCTTCCATGTGACACTTTCTCCAGTTTTTGAACTGCAGGTCAGTGTGATTGGATCCTGATTTTCTGTTTTAGCGACCACATCTACATACATAAACACGAACACAGGCAGGTGCACACACACACAACAAAACACTCTTATTATTCCACTGTCAAGCCTTGGCACTATATTTTTTTAATGATTAAAAAAAAACAAATAAACCAAGAGGAAAACTTACAGTTTGTTGGGAATTTATCGAGTCCATGTGCCCCTGACAGGCTGATAAACAGGAGCCCAAAAGTCCACAGTGCAGAAGTCTTCTGAGAGATTGTGTCAAATCAAGAGGAAAACAGAGAATGAATCATTTAATGGTCTTAAACTAGAGAGATAATGAAGAAACACAAAGGAAAAACTTGATTATGGACATTTAAACTCCTGGAGAAACTTAATTTTTCTTACTTGTAACAACATTTAAAAACCAGAACAACATGCGTAGCGTACTCTCTATTCTGACATGTAAGAATCCATTTACCTGCATCATTTCAAAGAAGTCATGTCTTACCATTGGGGCGCAGTTACTCTGAAGTGCTGCTATGAATAATGCAGGAGTGGAAGTTCAGTTGTGGCTGTCTTGATGACTGTATGTGTCCATTGTTAGCTGACCGTCATATTTATAGTGTGACCTCCAGCATACATCATCGTCACCTTTAGAAGCGTGAAAGAAACTATGATACAGTGCACTGATTAAGAACCTGTGAGCAGTGAATTTCCTCAAGAGTTATTTGCATATCATATTTAGTGTACAGATAAAGTTTTGCGAACTGGAGATAACAAGAGTTAAGTGTGGGTGTTGCGTGGGGTGGGGGGTTGCCCTCAGCCTTTAACATGAATACAGCGGCATGAACACAATATCTGAGATCTACTGTATCTGATTAACAAATTTGGGATTTGGGACTTCCACAAACACCAAACACACAGGTGTAGGAAATAAACACTCATTTGATCCACAGTATTCAAGGGTGGTTAACAAAATTAGCAGAATAATTATAGAAAATAAATGTATATAAAGACTTTCTACTTTAGTACTTGCTTTTTGGTTGTGTCTATTTTTAATCTTATTCAGAGATTACAGGTTAATCTGTAGAAATCTGAGCTTGATCCGTAGCTGTTTTTCATAATCATTCAACCTCATAAGAAAGTCAATACATTCACAATCCAGCGATTTAAAAAAGAAAAAGGAAACACTGAAATCCATGGATCTTAAACAAAAATGTGTGATCAAAGGTCCAAAAAGTTTTATTACGTCTTTGTTCTCGTCTCTAGAGTAACCTCAAGTGACTCTGGGATAATGCCAACCACAGAGCCAACCTATGATCTGCTTATTGAGCAAAAAAAAGGACAACAGCGAAGAATCCCTGATAAAACCATGAAAAAGGTTTTTGTTAATGTCAAAGGAGCTTTTTCTTCCTAGGGAGCTTTCTCAAGAAGAACCACCTCAATCTCCTGATGCTCTATTTATCTATTTACAGTTGTTGTTTTTAAACTGAAGTATCTAACTAATCCCTTGATCTAACCTCTCAAATATGAATAATTGATATTTATAGATTTAGATTTCTGTAAGGACTTTTCTGAAACATTGTGGTTCAACAAAGCAAGCAAACTGAACCTTTTGACTGAGCTTCGGAAATCTGAAACTACTTCCCCCCACTTCGAACCAAATGAATAATCTGTTCATTTGAATGACTGTTTGTCACAAGTTGAGGCCCCCCGAGAAAATTCTGTAGAAATGTATTTAAGAGGTGATGGTTTCCTTTGTTGATGTAAATCTACTTTTAGATCCAAACTGCATGAAACTGAGCTTTTCAAGAAACATGATCTCAGAAATGTTTTTTCCCCCCTGTCACGCTATATTTGCGAGGACGTTTGATGCCCTTCAACTCAGACAGGATTTGCGCGTGTACCAAGTATCCCCTTATGGTCACACAGGAAAAGAGAGAGGGCTTTCCCTTGGTCTTCACCTCAGTCATGCGTGGAACAAACAAATTTCGTGGCCAAATGTCAGCTATGAGAGAACAAAACATCAAGCCCACTTTAAAAAGGTGTTAATTCTCACACATTAGTAAATCATATCATGGTATCAGGTGCTGAAATGTTTGTGACATTCTGTCAAAGCAAATATAGCACTGCTGCTCAGGTTGTCATCTTAGTTGGAAATAAAACACTTCTTGTGTACTCAGATAACATACCATAAACCACAACTTGACCATCTTCGAAACCACTTGTGTCATTTAAAGAAGAAGGCTGATTTCAACTTTCAGTTCCTTAAAATCCTCAAGAGCATTACTCACATTCTTGACAATTTTTCTGTTTATTTCATATTTATTTATATTTGTAGATAAAAAGTGCTGCCTTCAGGCAGTCTTACAAACCAAGGGAGAGGAGGTGAACACACAAATGGATGTTGTCATACAGGACAAAGCACCTGTGTCCGTGTCAGTGCAGGTGAGGTACAGCTGCGCATGAACAGAACAGTAAACGCTTACATTTTTTAAGCGCAGTTACGGTGTTGTTGTTTTTATTTTTTTATTGGTTACAGAACTGTGAATTCACATTACACTAGAGGGGCGTATAGTGAACAGATTACTCTACCCCTACCTAAGTCTGACTTTATGAAGAAGACTGTATTCTATAGGTCAACTGTGTTTTGGAACAATCTTCCAGTTATGGTTTGTTAAATTAATGGAAAAAACGGTTTTAAAGGGAAACTAAGAATTAATTTGTTCTCAACGCCATAATATCATCTTGATTATTGACCGAGCAAGGTTTCGTCATGTATTACATGTAAGGTATGTTACTTTTCCTTATTTTACTGTTTTTATTTTTTACTTTCAGTGTTGTTGTTTTTTTCTTTTAATTGACATTGTGAGTAATTGACATTGTAAAGATTGTGTTTTGTATGTATTGTCTGGACCCCAGGAAGACTAGCTGTGGTCTTGGCATCAGCTAATGGGGATCCTTTTAAATAAAGAAATTGAGCTTAAACTTGGTGGCCTTAAATTCACAGATATGAAACAAAAATTTGACTGTGATGGCAATTTAATGTACTGAGGATTTGAGAGGCATCACATCTTCATATTTAAGTTCTTTATAAGGAAAAACCCCTGAAGATATTTGATCTGATGTGAACATAGATGATCTTCCCCTTCAAAATTAGATTTATACGTGTGAAAAGCAAAAATTCCCCCTGCTCAAATTCCATGTAGTACTTTGCTTTTGTGAAACCAAAAACTGAAATAACTTTCATGGACAGTGTTGAGTCCTATGTCTGATACTTATGTCACTTCAGTTCAAACGATTAATCAACTCCATCACAGCCCATACAGCTGAACTTTTCCACACCAAGGCCATTTAGGACCAAGTCTTTGGGTATTTCAACTAACTGTGAAAACTGTAAAGCCATCAGATTCTAAGTAACAAAAACGACAGACAAAATGTGTCTTTACAAGTGCTACAGAACAACAGTTGAGCTTTTGAATAAATATACAATACAGCAGTGGGATGTATCAGTGATTTTTTTTATTACTTGATTATTCCACCAATACATTTTGGATGTGTGGGTATCACAACGCAGGAGAGGCAGAAATAGAAAGGTTTGCACATTCCACTGAGTTAAATAATTTCACCGGTACAGCAAAGCAAGGCAAATCAGACAAAGGGGTGGCTGTTAATGACCATAAAAAGTGAATTTGAAGTCATTTAGTCCAACTGGAAATGTTACAATTAAAAGCAACTTTGCTAGAAAGCAAAGGGCAATAACAGATGAACAACTAAAAAATGCTGCTGTGTCAAAGTCTGATGCGTCAAGAGGAGTCTTGTAACAGTCAGCGTCTAGTTTGCCTCGTTCTTTGAAGCCTCGTCAAAGTTTTCAACGAGATCTGAAAATAAAGACAGAGGGATAGAGAAAGGTGAAAACAAGAGAACATGAGGCTTATCTTCAGATACACTGAAACTGAAAATGTGGGTGTAATTTGAAAAGATTAGATGCTATATACCCAGCAAAAAAACCAAAACAAATAAACTTAGAAGGACAGTCCCTTGGGAACTGTTTTGTGCTTCAATTCTTCACAGAATTTATGCAAATCTTGAAAAAGGTTATTTGCTTACCTGGAACCTCATCATCTTCCTCTTCAGCAGCAACCATGGGGGCTTTGTTCTCTCCAGCTATGACAGGGGAAGATAAACAATCAGCTAAATGTTGTCAGACGTCATACCCATGAGCTAAACATGCACATGCATCACTGAGAATGTCGTAGGTACCTGGTTTGGGCAGAGTCTCTGCTAATCTCCTAAGGCTGGTCAGACTGTCAGCTCCCAGCTGGTTTAGGATTCCTGGGAGCATCTCTGTGAGCTGCTTGTTCTCAGCATGCCCTGTGATTGTGAAGGTGTTGGCAGCCAAGGAGGCCTGAACTTTGGGGTTATTGAAATGGATCACTGTTCCCTGGTTTGTGAACATATTCACCTACAGTTGAGCACCAGAAGATTTGGAGGAGGAAAAAAAGACAAAACAAATGGTAAGCTTTCTTATTATGACGACACAGCCAACAACAACCAACGCAGGATACTCATCAGGCAACATAATCAAGGCTTTATCACTACGCATGTATTTTGGAAAATGATCAAATTCAGATCGTTGACAATGTCCCAAATTTGATTGCTTTCATGTTTTTTACACATTTGCAATAAGTCATAAGTCATAAATCCTACAAAATAAAGACCACTGTCTGCCTGTTTATCTGCGTGCACAACAGACCTCCTCGATGCCTGAAATGTTGTTGACACCCAGTTTCTTGAGGGAGAACTGCAACTTCTTATCATCTGCTGTCGCTGTCCTGTGCACCACCTTCTTCTTTCTGCGGGCTGACCCCTGAAGAGAACAAACAGCCGTCATATACAAATCAAAGGAAAGTCTTTAAACAGAAAAATGTTTCTGCTGTGTGGGTGTGGATCACTCAAACTCACCTTGCCGCCTATGCGGACCTGCGCCTGCAGTTTGGCAAGCTTCTCCTGGTTCATTATGGACTCCTTCATCTGAAACAGTGAAACACACATGGTGGATTTTAGTATTTGCAGAGGACAAATAAAAATGCAACAGTCAAATTTGATATAATCAGTGACAGAATGACATGCACAGTAAACCAACTGACTAACTTGAAAAGAAATGTAATGACATCTGAAACCAGGACTGGAAGGACAGACAGACCACAAACTTCCCCAAACCCCTAGCCTTTAGTACAGCACACTTACTAACAAGAATGCACAGCTGCATGGAGCTCAAAATAGCAGCACACTTTTTTAGTCCGGACTCAAGTTCTGAAGGAATCTGACAGAGGTGATCAGACCAACTTAGGGGCGAAGTTAAGAGTTTTCAGAGTTAAATGGACTGTTTCATTTATTACTTTAAAAGCTTTACTCCTAAAGTAAAGAGAAGTGGTACACTGTGGCTTTTTCCTTCAGCCGTGAACATGTGAAGCTTATTTTTTACTCAGAGTTTTTGTGTATGACAACTAAAACTGCCGGCTAGTTAGCAAGCCCGGCTAAAGTGCTAGCTCAGGCCCCTTCAAAGTTATGCCAGCATTTGGGTAAACCGGACATTTTCCTCGCACAAAAATGAAATATTTAGGGCAGGGGACTGTTGTTTCAACTATACTCAAAAATATACGAGAGTAGAAAGAGCTCTGGGGGTACAGAAGCTTGGACTGACCTGGGAGTGTGTAAACACGCGGATCACACAGTCGACAGGAGATCGGAGAAAGGGGCGAGCAACGGAAGTGACGCACTGACCACTACAAGTTGCCGGATGAGCTAGGTTTTATTCTTTTTTTCCCCACAATATTAGCTCTACACTTGACATTACTTTAAATAATAACATGTTTATATTTTATAACGTCTCTCATAAAAATTTGAAAGTTAAAAAAAAGAAAAACAGACCGGGTTTCATGACTTCAACCTTTTCTTGTTCCGAACAACAATAACACAGTCAAAATTGCAACACCTGAGCAAGACTTTATTTCATAGGTATCTAAAAAATACTCTTAAGAAAAGCATTAGCAATCATGGATGGGCCGAACAAGCACGAGGAAAGGTTAGATGTAACGGTTACTAGTGTTGTGTCGTTCGCGAACGAATATTGTTAAAAAGAACCTAATCTTTTAAGTGTACGTACTGAACCGAATCACTTCCGCAAGTGATTTGTTCGTTTCTCACTTCAGTTGAGCTGAAGTGAGAGCCTGGATCACTTGGTGAACGAATCACGCATTGAACTACACTCTCTGGAATCTTTTTTGGCTGTGTACGAAATGGATCCCTAACCCTATAGAACCCCTATATAGGTAACTACATGGGGGTTAGCGCCATTTTGAGGGGTGTCCGAAACCTGAGTGATCAATTCCAGTGCCCCATATAGGCGACTCAAAATTTCCCATAAAGCGTTGCAAAATGTAGTGACCATCTGATGGTCATTCACCGGTGGTTGGCATCTTGTCATGCATTGCGTCTTGCCATGTAGTGTCCGAAACCTCTGGTGATTAAGTTCACCACATAGTCAGCTATATAGTGAAACCCCATATGGGGGTTAGTGATTCATTTTGGACCTAATAGCAAACCATAGGACAGTACACTTAATACATCATGACTTATAAACAAGTACATTTTTACAAACCCGTTTGCCAAAGTAACACAGCCAAACACTCCCGGTCCCAGAAGCTATGAATTGAACTGAATCCTGAACTGTTCAGCTGTGTATCAGTTCAGGAGGTCGAAGTCGCAGGCCTCTCCCGCTATATGATCTGGTGATTTGGTGAACGAATCTTTTGAACGAATCTTTTTAGTGAATCGATTCTAGTGATTCAGTTCATGAAAAGAATCGCAGTGCCCATCACGAACGGTAACAGGAAAAGAGAAAACGTAAACTTCTCGATTTAAAGTCCACTGCTATTTTCACTGAAAATATAATTTTGAAAATGAATTTTGGTTTTTACTTTTAAGAATTATGAGCACACATTTTGGGGGGGAGCAATATGACATAAACAACGGAAGTCGTCACGTGTACAATCATGGCGTCCTCCTATGCAGAGAGAGGCAACGTGATAACTCTCTAAAATGAGAAACTTTTGTTTAACTGGGTCAACCTTTATCCGTATCGTATCATTTTTAACACATTCACCTTTAAAATACTAATCTTCATCCCTGGACTCTTACATTCAAAGGTAAGGATGAGCTGAATTAAGCTGAGGAGAAGATGTTAGCCGGCTTCGTGCTAACTAACTTCGCAGGGGAACATCAGGCACCGACCACGTTGGTCACAGTCGCTGTTATTGAATATGGATCAGTTTTGTTCACGAGTTTAAAATAAGTTAGAATATAGATATCGATTAACTTTATTGAGCTTTGATCGCACAACTAAGTAAACAGCGACTGTATCATAAAATGTGAACATGATCATGGGTGGTATCACTTTAATTTATGTTATTGAACATGATGCCTTCTGTATTCGTGTTTTCTTTTGATCGAAACAATGTTGGTCCTGAAATAATCTATCTAAAGTGATATTATTCAATCTGTGACTTTCACTTTATACTCATGCCTTTCGTAATCGCCTTATTTTCAGATAAAATGGCTTCATTCAAACCTACAAAAATCCAAGTTTATCCTAAACTCGGAGAGAAAGTCACCCAAGATACACTGTACTGGAAAAACTACAAGGTAAGTTTTCTTTTCTACTCACTTTTAAGTGCTGAGAGCAAGATTTGATTATATGTTTTTTTCAAAATTTCTCATTTTTAACTGCATCATGTTTTTCATCTCCTAGGCTCCAGTCCAGATAAAAGAGTTTGGAGCGATCACAAATATAGATTTCTCCCCTGTTGCTCCACATAACTTTGCAGTGACTGCATTCACAAGAGTATGTTGGCTTCTATTTTATGGATTCAGCAAAATTCACTAGTATTAACCTGGTTCCTGTTCATTATCTGAATATTAAGGTAAAAAGTGTGCAATAACGATACTTTCTCTGTAGATCCACATTTATGGACCATACTCCCAGGAGCCTGTAAAGTCATTTACCCGATTTAAGGACACTGCTTACTGTGGGAGGTTCAGGTCAGATGGTCAGCTGCTTGTGGCTGGATGTGAAGACTCTGTGGTTCGACTGTTTGATGTTAGTGGCAAGGTGGCACTGAGGATGTTCAAGGGGCACACAAAGTAGGTATTCCATATGGCATTGTCTCACGTGGGTGTAGTAACACTATTGTAGCATGTAAGGTGTCATTGAAATATCCTCCTTTTCCCATTTGTGTTGATAGGAAATTTTTATTTTTATTTTTGTACTTGCAAATGCATACAATGTCACAGCTATCAAACAGTAGTAGACTGTACACTTGTAAACCTGATCAAACATAAAGGAGGCATTTGACTCACCAGTTGAGTCTTGTAGGTTAATTTTTGGATAGAGATTGTTGAATGATGATTTCTTGAGTGATCCATCGACTGAATTTCATGATGATCTCAAGAACTCTGACAGCCACTTTGACCACTTTAAGTGCCGTTCACTTCATAGCATCTTTACCAATCTCAACTCCAATCTCAATTTTGTCTCATTTTGTGTCCTCTTAGGGCTGTTCATGTGACAGACTTCACTTCAGACCGTTACCAGATACTCACAGGCTCAGACGACTACACCTGTCGACTTTGGGATATTCCCAATGCAACCGAGCTCAACACATATCAAGAGCACACAGATTATATTCGCTGTGGTGTCACAAGCAAACTCAACAGAGACCTCTTTGTCACAGGTGAGATGAATCAAGCTAAGAATTGTTGTTTTGGTTATATTCTGCTTTTGAGTCAATAAAAAAGGGGTCAGTAATAAGGAAGTCGAGTGTTTGTAGTGTTTCCTAAAATCCACGTGTCTCTCCCAGGCTCTTATGACCACACAGTGAGGCTGTTTGATGCCAGAGTCGATAAGGGCGTGATGACCATGGAGCATGGTCAGCCAGTGGAGAGTCTGCTTCTTTATCCCTCAGAGGGACTTCTCGTCTCTGCAGGTAGTTTGACAGAGCACCCACGAAATATGCTAACATGTTGTTTAACCAAATGCTGATTTGTAAACAGTGAATAAAGTCTTGGTTTGAAGGTCAGGTTCATTAGCATTCACAAGGTTGTTGTTTATGGCATAGTATGCAGGAAAACCTAGAGTGGATACTGCAAAATAAAAAGATGGCATCTTTTCAATCAACTGAATCCTTCACAGAAAAATCAACTCATGACATGAAGAACTAAAATCTGTGTTCTTTCACTTTTTCTACCCTGCAATTTTACACAAACACTGTATTTACTGTTGGTTTAAGATGTTACTAAACATCTTTAACGCTCTTTTTAGGTGGTCGCTTTGTTAAAGTGTGGGATCTGCTAAAAGGAGGCCAGCCTCTTGTGTCTCTGAGGAACCACCACAAAACCGTCACCTCTGTATGTCTCAGCAGCAATGGGCAGAGACTGCTGTCTGCTTCTCTGGACAGGTAAAAGAGCAGGGCAGCAGACAGGAAAACAGTGAAAATGTATAAGTCATAGATGCTGCGCTAGGCCTTATGACGGGTGAACCTTGATCGTGTATACAACATCTGATTTTTTTTTTCTTCAGGCATGTGAAGGTGTACAACACAACCACCTATAAAGTGGTCCACAACTTTGACTATGCTGCCTCCATCCTCAGTGTGGGTTTGTCGGTAAGAAATAGCTTTATTATCAAATGAAAGAAGTAAAGGAAAGTATACTAAGATGACGTGACAAATCATGCCGGGATCAAGACTAGTATGACTAGGACTGTAGTCTCTAAGCATGAGGAGCACACTTGGCCAGCAGTCCCTCAATATTGATATGTTTTATGAAAACATAAAGATATGCTCCATTTTGATAAAATCAGTTGCAGTGTAACAGAGGTCCAGAATCTTTGAATGTTGAACTTTATTTATATCTCTTTTTCCTCAGCCGGATGATGAGTCCATCGTTGTGGGTATGACTAACAGCATCCTGAGCATCAAACACAGGAAGAGCCCTGAGGAATCCAAGGAAACATCAGGCCAACAGAGGCGGCGACCATCATATCGTGTTTTTGTGAAGGGCAAGAACTATGTTCCCAAACAGGTGGGTTAACACAGGTCCTGTGCTGAGGCCAGCGGTCTGATACATGATTTGATTTGTGGGATTATTCCCTAAGAGATATGGTGCAGTGAGTGAATTCTGTGTCTTTGTTTTCCATCTTCTTCTAGGATGATTATCTTGTCAGTAAGCCGGTGAAACAGCATTTGGCCAAATATGACAAACAGCTCAAGAAATTTAATGTGTCGAAGGCTTTGGATACAGCTCTGGAGGTATGCTTTTTTTATTTATGTAAAACATGAACAACAAGGCCTAATGAGGTGATATTTTCATTGGGTTTCTTTTGGTTTTTATGACAGAGTATTAGGGCCACATTAAGAAAAAAAATAAGTAGACTGTGAGATTAAAGTCATTAATTTACAAGAATAAAATCATTATTAATGAGAATAAAATCGTAATAAAATAATTGCTTACGAGAATAAAGTCGTAATAAAATCATTATGATACTTATGATAATGCGGTGCTGATGTGCCAAAAGATTAAGTATTTCCTTGTTTGAGAAACCTGTATTGTACATTTAAGTACATTTTCACGAAATGCTCCATGACTCTCATTTCAACAACTGTCATCTTAAACAACAGGCTAGATTATAAGGACTTTATTCTGACTTTACTCTCGTAAGCGATTACTTTACAACGACTTTGTTCTCATACGTAATTACTTTATTAAGACTTAATTCTCATAAGTAATGATTTAATTACAACTTCATTCTTGTAATGAAAGATTTTACCACGATTTTATTCTCGTAAATTTATGACTTTAATCTCAAAGTCTTAAATTTTTCTTTTTCTTAATGTGGCCCTAATAGTCCGTTGTAGGTTTTTAACTTGGTTTAAGTTTTAAAAATTGGAAATCAAACAACATCCTTCATACCTAAAGAAAAAAATGGTGGTAGTATGATATATTTTAATGAAGATAAAAACATTTTCATAGACATGGACAAGACTGAGGAAGCCAGAAGTTACAGTGGCTGTGATCAAGGAGCTAGATCGAAGGGGGACGCTGAAGAACGCTCTGGCAGGGAGAGATGAACAGGAACTCTCTCGGCTGCTACACTTCCTTATTGGGTAAGATGCAAATAAAACCTCTTTGCTTAAACAGAGTCAAATAAATGATCAAATGTCCTGTATTTGACAGTCAGAAAGTTTGAGTAATAAATACGCTTGTTGTGTCTTGTCCAGGAATTTGGTTGACCCTAGGTTTGCCCCTGTCCTCGCAACAGCAGCAGAGATGATACTGGATATCTATCAGTCAGTAATCGGACAGTCACCAGTCGTGGACCGACAGCTGCTTCGTCTGCAGGAGCTGCTGGAGAAAGAGATCGACTACCAGCAGGAACTCCTGGAGGTGTTGGGCATGTTGGACACGATGTTCGCCTCCTCCCTCCCTCGGAAAGAGGTGCCTTGTTCTGGCATCAGCAGGTCCAATGGCCTCATTCAGGGAGAAGCAAGCACCTCGAGACCACAACTGCAGACTACCTGAGGCCTGTTGAGAGCTTAAAAACTGATTCAGACCGGGTTAGAGTGCCTTTAGGACTTTGAAGTCTCCATTGTTGAGACGGCAGACACAAATATTGTGACACGACAGGTGGCATGTCCTGAACAGGAACGTTTTTGGAACCGGTTTCGAGAGACTGACAAACCCATGGTCTCACTATGAAGAGTACAAGTTTTTATTCCATGAAATGTGTGTGTGTGTGTGTGTGTGTGTGTGTGTGTGTGTGTGTGTGTGTGTGTGTGTGTGTGTGTGTGTGTGTGTGTGAGTGAGAAACTGGAAGTAAGTACTCTCCTAAATATGTCATAGGCGTGTGCTCTTGTCTGTTCTCTGTGAATGTCTGCCTTCTGTTTTCATAATATTTGGCATTGACAAATGCTTTAATAAGCAGATGAAAATAAATCTTTGTAATATTGAAAATGACCTGAAGTAATTGTGTTCAAATGGAAAAATAATGAGAGGTTGCAGCATGCAGAGATTCGCTGCGTCCTCGGGAGTATATCGCCAACCACCAGGGGTCGCTGCAACCCCAAAGAAACTGAACTTTATCACATAGGAATGAATTTGCATTTAAACAGACGGAAAACAGGAAAGCATCAACAGTGTCAGAGAGGGGGATGCTGTGTCAGAGGAGGCTGCAGCTGACACTGTACACAGCAGCCTCACCGACAGAGAGACACCTCTCAACTTGTAGCTTAAACAGCGACTCAAACCGAGGATGAGACCAAGATAGCTGCTGCTTTTTCTCTCTGCGACATTCACGCTGTCTGTCAGCTTTCTTCAGCCGGAGTTTGAGCTCCTGAGAAGGTAGGTATATAAAATCCTTTTTCACCCCTTTCTCTGACTGTAGAAGAGTCCAAAATCGAAAATATCTATATTACAATATCGAGGGTTTGCGTGCAAGTCAACCCGGTGTTAAATGGTACAAGAGGTCTCGTCTATTTGGTAGCTGAAGAGGTCCCCAGAAAACTAACACTGAGTCACTAAAGAGGGAACAAATGTCTTTAAAGCTGCAGTTTTATGCTTTTGTGTAACTCTAAAAATAGTCAACACATGAACACCAATAACTGAGCTATGAGAGGCATTTGTTTTCATCATAAAATTGTCAATCTCTTCCTAGATTGGAAAAAAAAAGACTCATAAATGCTCTTGAATTCACATGAAAATGTTGCTGCATTGGAAAGAGTGTGTCTGTAATGGTTTTCTTCGACTATTTACTCAGTTTTTTAAATTTTTGCACCAGTATATTATGGGAATATTATTGTATGTGAAACCTTACTTGACAGTTGCATCCTTTCACTGCAAGCATGAGGGGATCATCATTACAGTCATTATACTCATACTTAAGATCAACACATAATCTAGTCTCCTCAGACACAGAAAAGGGTCTTAGTAGAAAGTCAATAAAAAGACCACAGAAGTAACAAAGATCACTGCAGTCCTCTCTTTCATATCTGTTGATGTTTATCTTTGTCTGCAGTTGCTGAGCAGATGGAGCTGAGCAGGAGGAAAGTGCCTCTGTATGTGAGTATGTGCTCCAGTTTGCAGTCAAATTTGAGAGCAGATCAGCCTCTCCTTTTTTATTATCTAGAGAGTTTGCTATCCCTCTGGAAAATCTCTGCAAATTGAATTAAGAATACAAGGAGAAATCAGCAGCCACATTTAGATCAACTGAAAGTCTGTGCAGAGGTTTGGTGCTCATGACCAAACAATTGTGTTAAATGAAAGTGAATCAACTGTTGGTCACTATCTGAATGGATTTAATTGTTTTCGATTTATGCATCAGTACAGAACATGTAATCTAATCACGGACTGCAAAGTTGTGCTTTTATTGATGAAAAATAAGACATCAGAGTCAGGGGTCAGTGAGGGCGCCATGATGAAAGAAAAACTGCTCTCACCACTCATCAAACATTGTTGGTCTTTGAATGAAACGTACAACAGTTTTGCTGACGGGTTATTTGAGCTCTGACTCATACTTTGCAGTAAAAATAACCGTATTCATCAGCCTGGCATTTGTGTATATAACTAGTAAATCAGTAACTGTGGTTCATTCATACTAATGTTTTTATTTGTGTTGTACACTGAGAGATGTGTATTTGCAGTCAGCCTGATTTGTATTGTCTGTAGTCGTGTTGAGCCATTAAAGGGCTCTCTTTTTTGTGGGATTAAGCTGAAGTCAAACAGGGCAGGACTGCTGTCAAATATGTTTTTGATAGTTTCAGTTTTGGATCCAGTCCATTGCTGAAGATCAAAAGGGGGACTACATCATAAATTCAATTGAATCCTTTGACATGTTTTTAAAACTGTTTTCCTTTGACTCGAGGTAACTGAGGGGTTACACAACTTTGATTGTGGACACTTGCCCAGTTCATGTAATGAAACACCCACGTCCCACTTTTGTACTTTCTTTCTATAGAAGCAAACAAATGAAAAAGAAAATACATCCATTTCTGCAACACGTCTTTTGTACGGGAAGAGACTTGGAGCAAAATGCTAACAACAGTGTTGTTGGATACCAACAATGACAGATCTTGACTGCTTATGGGCACCAAATACATAATAAATCACAATACTTATGATGGTAGGTATATTAGGTTGTTAGCATGATAACAGTTGCTAGCTAGGACTATGATTGGAGTTTGATTTTAGAGGCGTGTCCAGAGACGTGGCTGAGGATGGCCTGAGCTTTGGCCAGTTCAAAATCTCAAACTATCAGTACGTTTTCACTGTGGCAATTTCACTGGAATAATGTCTTGAGTTTACAAGCTCTGGATAAGAATTGAGTTATTGACAGAAGCAAGTCTGCCTCTCAGTTTACGACTATCTGAACGTCTCCCACTTGAACTATTATGTAACAAAAACATCAGCTGAACCCATTACCAAGAGGCTAACAGGATATGTATGAAAGCACCATCATTTTTACAGTTTAGTACCTTTTGTTAGTGTAATAGAAAAGTTCAGTCTTTTTAATGTCCTTTCTCCGTCTGTTGAGGTTTTGATTACTTCCTGGCTGCCTTGCAGTCCATTTATGTTTGTCCCAGTTAGCTGCAAAGTTCGATTTAGTGCAATTTTACTTGAACTAAAATATGAACAAGATTTTTAAAAGTCCAGTTTCTATCAATTTTTTGGAACAACATGGAAATGTACTCTATGATCAGCTGTTTGCATGGTCAGAGTTGGGATTTAAGTTTTTTGGCATTCATTAAATTGACTGAAATTAGTAAAAAGGACATGAAAAAGTGAACTAGACCATCAGTGGCAAAACTGGCTATTTTAAAAGTGTATTTCTTTAATGCCTTCATTGGGGGCAAGGGGGTAGGTGTCAGCCTAAGTGCTGAAAAAAAAAACACCCTGATTTTGTTTTTTCAACCTAAAATATTCACACTGAATGATAGATTTGACTGACAGAAGTGATCTGATTGAGATTTATTTGTTAGAAAACACTTCTCGAGTAAGTAAAAGTCCCTTATAGGAGCTTTAAGTCCGAATCAACTATTTATGCTCCACTGAATCAGATTGCTAGCTGCTTCCTCCCTCCTTATCTGTTAATGCTTATGATTATTAAAAACCACTTCACTCACCGTTTTTTCAAGAGCACAGGTGCATAAAGAAGAAAAATATTTATATCTGAACGTCGCTGATAAATGTTGACAGCAAGTGTGCAGGGTTTGCTTGCAGTTTTTGAGTCTGATGATTAAATGTAATATCTGTGTAATACTGTAATGTGAATTGTCAAAGAAGATGCAATTGATTGAGACAAAAAGGATGAAATTAGTGCTATATGGTTGTTCATGTTTGTGCACATATCTGATGAACACTCCCTCTATAGGTCAATGAAATTTGAACACACCCGTCTTAGAGAGGTATGATAGTCTGGTCCTATTTTCTTGCCAAACCACCAACCCAAAACCACGTATACCTGCCTGCCAGAGCAGCTTTTCCCTATACAGACACACAGCATATACATGAGTGCCAGAACAACAGTTTTTTTGTTTTAAAGTCAGTATCTATCAAGACATTCTTTAAGGTTTAATGTCTAGTATCCTATCTGGAAGTCACAGCTTCATTAGTGCTCAACATCTGGTCAGGTGAGGAGTTTTAATGAGGGCAGAGGAAGGCGGTGCAAAGCTGTGTGTAAACCTAATGTTCCCTCTGTCAGAGAATATCCGGCTCAGGGATGAAGAAATGGATAAGTGAACTGAAAGGTGGGATTAGGTGAGACAGAGAGCCATGGAGGAAGGATTACTGACATTGTTTCTATCTGAGAAAGTGAGAGGAGTACAGAGGAAAGCTTCTCGGTTTTACAGCATCAGAAATGAGGTCAGTGCTCGGGGTGATGCAAGGCTAATAGATAGACTCTCATGAGCAAAAAAGAGAGAGACTTTTAAAAATATCTCCCTTTTTCTACACCATTAAAAACTCAGACAGCACTTCAAGTCAAGCCTCAGATTCTATATTTTTGGTTTTCTCTTCAGCCTGTCTCCGGTGCTCCTGCTTCAGCTGGTCATTTGATATGTTTCCCAGAATAACCCATACACATTGTGTCATGTGGCTGCACTTCTGTTTGGTCTATTGAAGCTGCCGTAGGTGGACAAATGATGTTTTTTACAATAGATGCTTCCCCTGTGCTGCCATACACATAGGTGGAAATCAGTTACTCCATGAAGGTGCTAATTTTGTTGAATTATCCTGAGGGACTGAAACTGAGATATTCTGTTAAATCAGCCATAGCCCTAAACACTGGGGTGACCAAGCCTTTTCAGCTGCTGGTCCCAGGCTCTGGAAAAAGCTCCTCACAGAAATGCGACTTATTTCTGACCTGGGCCTTTTCAATTCTTGACTGAAAGCCTATTTATTTATGCTGGCTTTCAATACCCAGTAGCATGGTGACACTTTTACTTTATTTCAGTCAGGATCACTTTAGTCGAAACTAATTATTCATTACAAGCAAACATTTTTACATTGACGGTATGGCTCTGTTCTGAGAGTTCCCTGCCCTTCCATGCGCTTGCATGGAATGCCACGGCTATAAGAGGGTAGAGCTCCTCCCCTCCCTTTTATGTGCATACATGAAAAGCCAAAGGCAGAGAAGCAGCAGCAAGTAAATACGATTAAGATAAATACATCAAAATCCCCCTACAGAACAGAGCAAGCATCAGTGAGATTCATATGACACTGGTAAGATTAGACACAACATAAACAGGAGGAGCTGGGGTGGAGGTGGGTTGCAGAGTGGTTGCAGCAGGCAGAATAGGCAGGAGAAGCAGATTAAATAGGGCGCCATTTTGACATTAGCCAATAGGATGTGTAGAGGGCGATCACCTGAGCTGTCAGCTGACTGAGGGCTAGCTTAAGATCAGCTGAACGTAGCCTTTAGCTTGACTCTGTGACCTGCCTGAACTACCGCTATGCTTCATTTTATTGCGTTGTAATTTATTATTTTTATTCATTTTATTGCTTTTTATTGTTTTTATTTATTCATTTTTATTTACTATGTATTCTAAAGCACTTTGGTTCACTGTAAGGGTTGTTGTAAAGGGCTGTATAAATAAAAAACATAGTGGATCCGATTGCTTGGCCCAGCAGCCACCAATCACTAACTGAAAAAGTCAACAAGGCTGATCCTAAGTTATTTATATCCAGCCAAAAACCCCTTACTGGAGCTTTAAAATCACTGTTTTGGTTCTTGTGAGTCTCATCAATCTTTCTGATTTCCTACTAAGAAATAATAACTCTTATAAACCCCTGTTACACTTCCTGCCCAGACAGCAGACTTGCAAAGTCAGTGGCGAGCTGGTGGAGATGGTGGAGCATTTAGCGGCTAAAGAGTGAGGTATTTCCCTTAAGCTTCAGTGTGAATAATTGATTTCTCAGGCTGACATTAAGTTATTTAGCTGGTGAGGAGGTATCCATCAGGAACTGTGTTTGTGTGTGTCAGGTTAAAAATCAAACCTGACACATTTCAATGACCTGGAGTTTGAGCGTGGCCTCTTCAGTGAGGGTTTACAGACTGGTGAAGCTGACACCACACGTTGTTAGACCTTCATCAGACCTGGACAAACGTTTTTAAAGGCTCCACATCAGTCTATCTGCTGTGCCTTGTTTCACCTTCCTCCACCTCAGATCAGCAGGTTGTTCGGGTGTGCTGGGATCAGGGCAGGTCTTTGCTGTAGACGTGAAAGACATTCCTGTTTTTATTGAGGAGTGAGTGCTTTAGTGTAACCTCAGAAGGAATGCCGTCGAGGGATTTGCTGTGCTTTACAGAAATGTCGAGCTCTGCATCAGAATAGAGTTTGCCTTTGAATGTGAGCCTGCATCTATGAATAGGGATACTTTTTTACACTTGAGCATCCTCTTTTTTTCATCCCCCCTTTTCAGCCTCTCTCACCTTTCTTTATCTCAGGGCCAGGCAAAGGTATTTGCTCTGCTGGAGGGTTTAGACTCGATGCCAGAGGACACAGAGGTCTACGTTGTTTTGGAAGGATCCACGCTTGTCCATGTCACCCTGGCCCAGCATGATGTCATGCTATGCTTTATAGTCCCTGGTATGTGCATAAGTACTTGTATTGTAAGTATGTGCTAATGTCCTCAGCAGTCATTTCCTGTGTTTTACAAGCTTAATGGAGCGGTGTATTCACATGCATACTTCAAACTACACATCCTGACAATCCAAGGTTTTCCACTCCTGTCTGTTGAGACTGTTAATCTCTGTTTGCATCCCTGCACAAACACACATGCACACACATGCACACACATACACACACTCTCACTCACACAAGCACATATACGTAGACTGTCTGTCCAAGTGGTCTGGAAGGATGCAGAATCTTATCAGCTTCCTCTCAGGAGGGAAACGTCTCCATAAACAATACGTCAACATTACTGAGCCTCTGTGTAGGTTGACACAGACATCAGGAGCTCCTGCAGGCTGGCTGACTCTCTGCAGAAGCTCGACTCTTAAAACCTACTGTTCTCCTGCCTGCTCTAAAAAAGACAAAAGCAAACATTTTTTAGGCGTGAGAAACTTAGTCTGGGCTGAAATATGAAATTTCTGTAAATGAACAGTTCATGAGGGTTTGTGTTTTTGCCTTGTCACTTTAAATGTGTATAACTTTGATTTTTAATCCAACTTTTAAAGACTTCAGATCAATCTTTTTTAGAAAGACAAGTATTTCAGTTGATTTTATTAAAAGTAGATCTAATCACAGTTGGGCACAGACTGTTTGATGACTATGGACAGTTTGGTGTAGTTGTAGGTGGAGCTTTTTTTTTGTTGATACTTTATTTCATTAAGTTATTATATAAAACATTCAATACAAACCAGGAAAAATCTAAAACATGTGAATGAAAAGGAGAAGAAAGAAGAAAAGTCTTATAAAGTCTGCCCCTCTTTCAAGATGTTAATCAGCGAAACACATAATAAAAAATAAACAAGAGCTGCGGGCCGACATACCTTTTTATAGTTCATTATTTCTCATTTTCAAAAACAACCCACAAAACAAACAGAAAAGACCACTTGTTAATTCATATTTTTTACCAAACAAACACAACAAGACTTTAATTACCATATTTCCCTGTATTTACTCAACATACTGGCTTTGACACTTTTTTGAAGATCAAATTTGATTTAATTTCTTTAGTTTCTTTGTTCAGATTGTTCCATAAACTGATTCCTCTCACTGTAACACAGCGCTCATTTGGTTTAGTTCGAAATCTTGGCTTTTTAAATATTTCAAATCCTTTGAAATTATAACAACTTTTCTTTTTTCAAATCGGCTCTGGATGTTGACTGGTAAAATTTTCTTATGAGCTTTATACATAATCTGCAACATACTGAAATCTACTAACTCGCTGAATTTCAACAACTGCAATACGTCTCATTCTGTACATCGAAGCTCTTTTTAAATGTGGGCCTTGAGTAAAGCTTGGCTGTGCTGTGCCCCTTTTTAGGGCACAACCTGGCTGAGATGGTCTCGGTGCAGGCCTACATGTGCTCTGAAACCACACCCCTCACATGGGTGGGTGGAACTTCACTGGAGTATGTCCAAGACGATGCTCAGGTATGGAACAGATACAGATTTGAGCCTGTTACACACATGTCCTTAAAGCTGAAATTAAGTCCATAACATCGTTTAAATCACTTCTTAAAACTCACTTTTTTAGACTTGCTTTTACATGATGCACTGTTTATTTATTTTATTGCCCGCTACCTCTTGTTTAACCTTGTCAGTTATTATTATTATTATTATTATTATTATTATTATTATTATTTTTAGTCCTGTTTTTAACATTTTCTCATATTTTAATATACTCCCTCTCTTTTCATTATTACCCTTATTTAACTTATCTTATTTTATTATCTAGGTATTTATTTCTCTTCCTTTTATCTGTCCTCTATCCATCTTCTTCTTTTTCACCATCCTGGTGTGATGCCGTCAACCAACTGCCAATCTTTAAATGTCCATTTCTAACTGTGCTTTTTTTTTTTTAAACTGTCAATTTTCCTTTGTTTGCTTCTTCTGTTAAAGTACTTTGTGAACATCTGTTTTTAAAGGTGATATATAAATAAAGTTTTTATTATCTTCTTTTATTATTATCTAACTGAGGAAATAAATGAAAGCTGTAGGAACAGCGATAATCACTCCCCCTTGAATCAGACTAGAGCTGAGAGAGAGAAAATCTTCTCACCTCGGTTTGCTGCTGGCTGTTTTTTTTTTTTTTTCTTTTTGCATCTCACAGATTGTACCTATTTCTTGACTGTGTTTTTTTTCCCAGGAACTGGCAGAGCACCTGATTATCCATGGACACTGCCTGAGCTCCACAGATCACATAGAGTTGAGCAGCCTTTTCAACCTGGGCCAGCAGAGCTCTCGCTGGGCCATGGATCGTCGCGTTGCCCTGGCCATGGCCAACCTAGATATACCGCAGAACTGGAACGTACTCGGGGGTCACAGCGGCGATGGTGAGAGCAGGATTATCTTCATGAATATGTTCATAAAATCACGTGAGGAAGAAGTGTTTGAAATTTAAAAAAAAAAAGCATTTTAAAGACGGCAGAAATTCTCCCAGGAGGGTGAACTGTTGAACTCTGCTCACCTCCATCCAGCTACCTCGCAGCTATCAGTCCCATTTTCCATCCATGCTCACTAGGCTGAAAATCGGAAGAGAACATGGTCACATGTGTGTTCCTGTTGAATTCATCAAAGCCAATTAGGCAGCATGTAATGCGGTTAATAGAGCCTTTCCATCCGAAAGAAGCCCGAGGCAAAGCTCGATAAATCTGAGGGCAAGAGCGTGTATGGATGTACAGTATATATATGTGTGTGTTTGTGGTTTATGAGTACACCATGTTTGCTAGATGCCACCATCTGTTTGTGTAGGGCCACCTACATAAAATACAAACCAGATTTAGCGTTAATATAGTTATGGCAGTCTGTTTCATTGCAGCGTCTCCCTCTAAATGTCTGTGGTTAATCTGATAAGACTGCCGCTGACATCACTCTCTCGCTGGAGCTTTATGGCACTGAGTGATCTTTCTCTGACTTGCCTTTGGTGGCTGCTGTTTTTCTAGTGGCTGCATTGTTATATAGAACTATCTTGATTTCGTTGTAACAGCAGTCCCAGAGCATGATGGATTTTGATTTGGGTATCTTTGATCTAATGGAAACAGCCATTAGATCTGAAAAAAAAAAAAAAACTTTATTTATTGTTTGTGCCTCAAATTAAGTTAAAAATGTATCTCATGAAAACAAGTCTAAGTTTTTCTTGCCTTCGTTGGAATAACAAATGATCATATTTATGAGACTGATGAGAAGTTTTTCTTCAACAGAACAGAAATGTCTTTACATATTCATAAGTTTATATAACTGAATTAAACAACTTTTGTTGGAGTGTAACTTTGGATGTTCCCTCATAAACCCCATTATGCTAAATGCATCCTTTTCAAAAAGATATATGACATCCAGCAAAACACTTTTCAGCAGCACAGTCCTCCTGTAGCTGCTGGTGTGAGTGAATAGAACTGTTATTTGAATGAGACTGAGGTGTTAATCAGGCAGAAAAGCCAAAACGGAAGCTGAATTGAATCAGAAACATTGATTTTCAGAGTGTCAGTCAGCGCTGTCAGTGCAGACGAGTGTTTCTCTTTCCCAGTGTGTATTTCATCAGACTCACTCCCACTTTTGACTCCTTCTCTTGCTCCATTCTTGCAGTATTGATGACTGATGTAGAATCAGCTCACAAAGCATCAGTCTGGCTTCTTTGAGTCATTTTTTGTATCTTCCCTTTAAAACTCAGGTGACCCTCTGAGTCTTGAATACACTGCTGGTTCCCTGACTAATGTGACGAAGTTCTGCACTGACCGTCATAAATGTGACTTGGAGTCTGAACTACTGTTGCATCAGTAATGAGACCTTCAGTGTGATAACAACAAAAACATGGATTTGAAATTCTACTCATGTATAGACTGTAAAAAGTGTTTGTCTCCAGAGTGCATTACTTTGACAATGACCAAAGATTGTCCCTTTTTAAAGGATTTAGCTTGTAGCTGGACTGTAGCTGATTCAGTGCAGTCAAGTTACCTGGATACATGTCTTGTTCAGCGTGAGTGGCAGCAATATAAGCTCTGGTTTCCTTAAAGTGGGTCAGTGGGGCAGAGAGATCCAGCGACTGAATCAATCATTGACATTTAGGTTAATTATCACGAGGAGGTTGGTGATTATAAGGAAAGGATTTGTTATATTAGTGTCCTCCTAGTTTTCTCACATTCAGTCATTTCCGATGTGCAGAGCTCCTTTTTATCATTTTTTTGATATCACTTCGTCTCATATTTTTTTCTTTCACTCTCAACCTCACCCTCAGATCACAGTCTCAGGGAGTCCCCCCTCCACCTGGCCGTGAGGTGGGGTCTGTATCGCCTGGCTGAACTGCTGCTTTGTCAGCCAGGGGGTCTGATGGCCATCAGTCTGCCAAATGAAGAGGGAGTCACGCCGCTGCAGCTGGCGCAGACGGCAGGCAACACCGAGCTGCTGGAGCTTCTCACACAGTAAGATTATTGGCACAGACCACACACTTACTTCAAGCAGAGGCGTGGATGAATCAATCACAGCTATTATCCAGTCATAGATTTACTCGTTTTTTAAAAGGTCAAAGATTCATGACCTAGACAAAGACAGGTTTTATATCAATCACAGGTTTAACTGTCAGTAAACCCAAAGCTTCGTGTCTGGAAGTGTAGCAGAGAGGTGGAGCACCACAAAAATTCACAAAGGCAGGGTAAACTTAGCTGAGTACAGGTTCAAACCCAGAACCTGCTATGCTAACCTCTGCACTGCCATGCCTCCGAGCTATTAGCCCAGATAATTTGGATTCTTTAGATATCTGCACTAATGTAAATATACAGGTCAAAGGACTTTTTTATGAAGATGTAAAATGCTAAACACCAGTTTGTAAAAGCTGACAAACCCAGGAATGTCTCAGGCTCAATCTGGATCCATAAATCTTGGAGCTCACCTCTGTAGACCTGTTTACTTGGCCTAAAAAGCCAGACTATACTTTCATCTGCTGAGTGACAGGGAATTGTTTATACAGCCACATAGTCTGGAAAGTCTTTGCAGCCGCATTTCAGAATGTGAACCCTAATGGGTTCCCTCTGTGATTAAACTAACCCACCTGTCCTCGTGCAGCCCACCCAACCCACTCGCCACCCCGCCAGCAGGTCTGTCTCAGGTTTGGGCAGACCGGTCCAGCTTGCTCAGGTTCTGCCATGACACAGGGAACCTGACTCTGACTGTTCGGCAGAACCTGAGGTGGAGCTCTGAGGAGAGCCGGCACTCTGACATCCTGCTCCTCAGGAACCGGCTCAGGGACGAGGAGTTCCTGCGGGAGGTGAGTCTGGGTCTACACTCTGAGGGACTGTGCATGTAAACAAAAATGATCATGTGTGTATGAGAACATTCAAACAAGACAAGTGGACAGTACACCCCCTCCTCATCGATTTCAACTTCTACTCAAACATTACCTCTGCACCCACAGATCAAAGCTCTGAGGAGGGAGCGTGTGGAGACCATCTTAGAGAAAGAGGAGCTGGTGGATGATCCTGCAGATAACGGTACCTCACTTCTCTTATCCACCTGACTTTGTTGAGTTTCTAAGACCTGGTTACTCTAAACCATCTAGACTTAACTCTTCTCTTTCATGTTGAAGTGACCCTTTTTTCAGTTTTTGGTGGTTTATGAGGAAAGACAGTTAAAGCTTGAGTCAGGCCACATTATTTATAGACATTGGCTGCCCTCCACTGAGGGATTGAGGTACTGCAAGTACAGGAAAATGTGCTGAAGGGAATTCTCGTGTCTTGTTTTGATTCAATTAACCATAGATGGGGAAAAAAGGGACTGGTAATCATTTCAGTTATGCAACTTCTAATGTGAGACATGGAAGTTATTGCATAATACATGTTCAAAGTATCAGTGTGCCAACCACTGTATGCTGATAAACCTCAATCTTTGACACATTACACAAATATTAAATGTAACGTTCAGCTCATGGCCAAAATACACAATAACAATAATGTGTTTATTTCTATTACCTCTTCAAGTCAGTATATTTTATATACTTGTATATTTTTACAGAGTTGAGTAAAGCGATAAAAAGGCACGTCTAGTTAATTCTGAGGTGAAAATTGGAAGGTCACAGCCTCTTTTACAAGATTACTCTCCTTTTTCTGTGGAGCAGCATCAGAGCCAGCTGGCATCACTGCATCAGCCTCCAGTGAATGTGTTTTATGGTCTCATACTGTATACAGTTGTTGTCAGAGGTCTAAGCTCCTGGTTCATCCTCATCTCACTAATGTCTACAGTATCTTGTTCCTGCCGCTCCGTCCCGGCCTTTAAATCCTTTATTGGTTTCTGCTTCTTCCCTTTTCCTGCACTTCCTGCCTTCATGCGACCCCAGACCTCATATCAAACCACCAAAACTGCTCATGTCTGCTTTGTTTGGGTTTCCTTTGATCCGGGAGGGATGTGGTAGTTAAAAGAGATCAAGGCTGCGTGGTAAAGATCTCCCCAGGTTATGTCAGGAAAAATGCGAGCCGTACAGGGTACATACGTTGTTAAAAACGGACAAACATGTGTGCCTCTTTTTGAAGTTTAATGGATGCATCTCGGTATGTTTTCTCTTCTTCCAGCTCTGTACTCTGATTCCAAAGGAGGGCTCTCTGCTGTTGGAGAAAATGTGAGTGTTTGATTTGAAAGGCAGTAACACATCTTTTACTATGAACTTAAATTTGAACGAAGCTGTAAAACCGTCTATGATTATGTTTAAACAGCTGTATCTCATGAGTCCAGTTAGCGCTCCCTCTAACACTTTCCAGACGAAGTTTCTCTTCTTTTTTTTTTTAATAAGTCCAGGTGTTGTCTGGGTATCTTCTTTCAAATCTGAAAAACCCAAAGGTTCATTTTAAGCTGCGAACATCTGTATCAGCTCTTGCCAACCACTGCAAAAAGGCGCTGCACCTCAATGTTGGACGTTTGTTTCACTCTTATTGTTAAGGTGTTGGAGTCTGCACCTCACACACTTCAGTGAATAGGCGACTTTGTAAGGAGTCAAGTGTATGTTTCATGTTTGTAAAGGTGTGGTGTGTGCAAACGACATCCCATAAGACCTGTTTTATGTGATACAGATGCTTGTCTAAGTAATGATCTGTTACACACCTCCACACTTTCTCTTTGTGCTTGTTCTGTTTTTTTTTTGTGAGAGAGGTACGCTGACGTGAAAACCACAGAATAGGAATGGGTATGCTGTTAGGTAAAAGGTTCCTGTTTCTCCACTCAGGACTATGAGGAGCCGCTGATGTTCTGTCTGAATGAGGAAGATGAAGAGGATGATCCATCACAGCCTGACCCTGGTAAATGTTCCTTTTTTTATTCTCTCTCTGGAGAGGCTCTTTTCTTTGAAACCTGTCTTTAGGCACTGCTTAATCTCAGAGCTTGTGAACAGATCGTGTTTTGTCTGGGGCTGAAAGTTTTATTCATAGAAAGTTACGCAAGCAGCTTCCAGTCATCGATGAGTCCAAGAGCAGGAAATATTTCCTTTCCTGGACAGACCTCTTATCCTGAGCCGTGACCTTCTGCCATCCCCGCAGACTTTGGGATCACATTTCAGCGCTCTTCCTTGTCTTGCCCCTCTTCCTCTGAACCTTGGAGTCCTGTCACTCTCTGTTTACAGTGATCATCGTACTGAGAAGGAATTTCTTTAATACCACATGTTGGGAAGACTCCTGTAAGCCATCCTATTAGTCATCTGATTCTTGCATACTTTGACAGAGGCTCCTAACTGAACCTGAACTAAGTGACTGTAGGTGACTTCACTCTGATCTGCCTCTGGACAGGAGGGGGAGGATTGTGGAGTGGGAACATCCTGCGGGTTAATAATTGGCTTGTATTGCAGCAGAGCAGACTGATGCCTCGGTGTAAGAATGCTGTGGTCACAGGCTGAGGCTGCAGGCTTTATAACACTTGGCATCGGACATCTGCAATCTAGACTTCCTGTGGCTGATGTTTTCCGTGCTGTATGGCTTGGCCACGATGATTCTGTGTGCGTTTGTGTGTCTGTTTGTCAGTGTCTGTGTGTGTGTGTGTTTATTGGCTAGTTGAGGTTGTCATATTCCTGGGCAGTCTTTGAAGATGCCTGCCTGTGACCTAGATTGATCCCTTTTTGGTGGTTCAGACGAATAACACTGGTCACCAGGATCCTGTTTTTCCCCTCAGTGTAATGTTTGATGAAACAATAGATCGGACTGAAAATGACTCAGCGTTTATATATGCTATTCCTCCAGGATTACGATGCTGGTCTGACCTCTGAGGAATTTTGATTCCTTATTAGACATCCTCAAGCTGTCAGGCGTTACGAGTGACTGGAAGGTTTGATTTCTTTGCAAACTAGTGAAGCACAAAGTGGGATTCCAGTCTGTTTTTATCGAATGCAATATGGCTGCTTGACTTGAGCTAATGCGTCATCAGACGGACACACAGACAGACACAGCTACCCTACCAGAGCTTCAGCAGGGGATGAGGAATTTGGAGCCAAACTGTCATGTTCCCCCTGTCTTCTTGATGCCAGCTTTTCCCTCTCTCCACTTCTGCTGTCAGTTCATTCCTATGGCCATAATAAAATACAGTCTAACTACAGCGAGTTTTACAGTTTAACAATCTGAGTGTTGGAGTTAGAAGATTTTTTAACACTTGATATGAACGTCCTTGTAATAAGCATCAATTATCAGCTAATTAGCCACTTAAAAGACCTTAAAAGATGCTAACAGACATGAGTAAATGTTAATAAAACATAATTAAGATACCTATTATTACTTATAAAACACTTACGGGCTCTCGTAAGAAACTTGTTAACAGTGTTAACACCTGTTATGAACATCAGTAGGGTGTTTATTTTCATTAATCAGAGTTAATAAACAAACATCATAAGGGTTTATCAATAATAAATGAACATCTATTATTAGACATGCATCAAGCAGGGTCAGGTTAAACATGTTGAGGATTTTTAACCACATAGAAGGTCTCTGTGTGATTTTATGCAGGCTAAAAAGGAGCACTTTTAACTGTTCATAAATCTTAGTCTTGATGAGACACTGGTCCCACTTTAGATCCATCGGCTGCAAACTGATATTATCAACTTTTAATCAGTGTATAAAAAGATTAATTAATATTTTTGATGCACTTATTTTTAACCTTTTGTAGTCATGTCATATACCGTCTAATCAAAGTAAATTAGTGGTCCTTATATTTTATATTTGTAAGATTCTAGTGAGTGCTTAAAGGGAAGCCTCAGAGCAATGATAAATGTTATTTATGACTTTAATAAAGACCCATAAAGTTATACTGATGTAAATAAACATCTAGACAGGCGTGATAAACACTGTAAACAAGTTTGTAATGTGTTTATTATGCTTATTATGGTTATTATAACACTTACTAACCTCATGTTATGAGGTCTTATAAGTGGCTAATAAACTATTCATGAATGCTTGTTATAAAGTGTTAGCGATTTCTCTCTCTATCTCTCTCTCACTCTCGCCCTCTGTGTATATACAGTATATATTTATATATAAAAAGTTATATATAAACATGCATACTGATACAAAACACACGACTAAATAAAGAAACAGACGTAATAACAAATAAAGAAATGAAAGAAAGAGTAAAAGCAAATGAAGAAAAAGCTTCTTTCCTTAAATACAGTCAACAAACAAACAAACATGAACTATTTCAAATGCGTTGATAGAAGATGACCTTCCAAATGACTATTCAGGGTATGTGGATCAATTGTACAGTTAACCTACAATCAAACAGAAAAAAAGATAACCTTCTATCTGTTGTCTGAACCCCCTCCTTTCCCCCACTCCTGCCCTCCTCATGCCCCCTGAAATTTAAATACCCCACCCTAAACACACACTTGCCCCTAAATACCTACACACAAACAAACCCTCATGCACCCATACCCCTCCTCAGGTCCCACCCTTCCAGGTCAGCATTCTGATGTGAGTTTAGTGAACAAACAGCAAAGACCACTTCATCCCGAGGAGCCCTGCTTTCCACACTGAAGAAAGGAAGGAGGTCACTGTGTGTGTGTGTGTGTGTGTGTTTGTATGTGTGTATGTGTGATGACAGTGTTTGTGTGCAGCGGGGAAGAGCGCTCTAAAGGGGGCAAGGGGTATGAGGAAGTAAAAAAAAAGGGGTAGTTTGTGGCTGAATGGGGGTTGCCAGGGCTTTGCTGAATGCAGTTTTCCAGCAGCTTGTTGAGATCCCCAGGGAGAGGAGAGTGGAGGCGTGTGAGAGTGGTGTGTGTGTCTGTTTGTAACTGTGTGTAATGTGGGGACGAGAGAGAGAGAGAAAGAGAGAGGGTGGCCACCAGAATGGGATTTATGATATGGATAGTTTGGCAGGGCGACAACGGACGATGAGATCAACGCCAGAAACGCTAACAAGAGTCTCCGACCCCGGCTGAGCGATCTAATTGGAGAACGGAAAAAAGGATTAAACCCCACACAGACCCCACAAAGGCAGCATTAATGTTCACCAGTACAGTGCCAACACCCCTTCCCATGCACACACATACACACACACACATAGAAACCTCTTTCTATAGACTCAGTGTACCTCTCCTCCCTCCCCTGCATATACTCCCCCTCCAAAACCCCTCTCATCCCTTTTATTCTCTCCTCTTTTTATCACATTCCTTCATTTATGTGCATTTATAAACCCATGTTTGGCCTCTCTCCAGAGAGCCATTGTTGGGCATGTCTCTTAAACCCCCTTCACCATCCCATTCTCTCACTTTTACCACCTCTCACCACATTTATCCCCGCTGCTGCTGCTGCTGCGAATGAGGCACTGTACGCCTCCTGCAAGTTGGCAAAGGGGGAAACAGGGGTGGCAGAAGAAGAAGAAGAAGAAAACAGCGGCGGCTCTCACTGCTGTCTCCATGGTGAGGCTGCTGACCTGGCAGTCTGCTACCCCCCCTCCTCTCCTCGCCTCTCCTCTCCCCTCGCTCTAAACCTTCTTTTCCCCCTTCAGCTTGGCTTTGACATGCTAAAACATAGAGAAAGACACAGAGAAAATGGAGTGGGACAGGGAGGCTCTTCAGATGTGGCATCAGGCGTGTTTTAGGGTGAATACCTCCGAGCGTGTGGAGTGTGTTGCAGCTCCGCAGCCTCGCATTTCTCTGAGAAAATCATGAACTCACAGGGTTAATGATTTCTCCCATGTCTGAGACTCACCTCCACTTAACTGTCTGCCCTCCTGTTTGTCTTCGCTGTAGACTTCGAAGTCACTCCTCTGTTTGACTTTGCCTCTTTCCCTCTCTCTCTCTCTCTCTCTCTCTCTCTCTCCTTCAGTCACTCTTTCCGGCCGTCAGTACACTCCTCCCCCCTGCTCCTGCTCTTGTCAGCATGTGTTGATCCCCCTCTTGCCCCCTCCTTCCCTCCCTCTGTACTGTGTGTGGTGGATGAGTGACTGACTGAGGGGGGACAGACAGAGAAAGATTTGGAGACCTGTATGTTGGCACAGATTTGGGAAAGGCAGTCAGAGGAAAGTCAGAAGAAGAAGAGGGAGATTCAGAGAAAGTAGCAGAAGGGGAAGACAAGCTTGGTCCCGGCTCTGTCCGAAGTTGGTACAAAGTTTTAGAAGGGGGAAGGGGTGGATTTAAGGGGGAGGGGTGGCGGGGGGGAGACAGAGGGGAACATGCTGGCTCACTCCTGAAGTGTCAGAGTGTCTACAGCGCAGCTCTGGAAAAAAGGAAAGTGAACGCTGCTGCAGCTTGTTGGCAGTCTGTGAGAATGGATGTAAACTGAGGCGCTGTTTATTTATTTATCAAACACCCCGAGCTGTTTGGATGAAGATTTTCTTGAAGATTACAAACTATGGATTCTGACTCCGACTCTCCTTTCAACTACTCCTGGCCCTCTTTTCCTAAGATGAGGATGCGCAGAAAGACGGGGAAGAAAGACAACAGTGAGTGGATCTGTGATTGATACCTCTTCATTTATTCATGTACAGAGGAGTCCTCTCGTCTTGCTTCCTTGGTGTATTAGAAGTGATAGAAATCTACACTTTTAGAGATTGTCACATATTCTCAGATCATTGTCTCAGAGTGGAGGTGGTGTTTCTGATCTGTCAACTGATGCTGCATGTGTAAAGAGAGTGTTTGTCTTTATTCTGTGATATGTCCTCCCTACACATAGGCTTCACCACGAGGCTCCCTCCCTACACGCAGACACGTCTCAGCACTCAGTCAGTGCTGAACAATACGGTTAAAATTAGACCGCTTTCCATTACACACTCTTATTCACAGGCCTCCTCTGCTGCAGCGAGTCAATCACAGTGAGATAACTGCATGTTTGCCGCTGATGTAACCTGATATCTGACAGTACGTTGGGGAATGTCAGATGTCCACTCAAGCCTTACTGAGACTCTCTGGGCTTTCCACATCCTCAGGCTGCTCCGTTGTTTGCATGAATGATCCCCGCTGAGAAGTTGTGGCCTGGTGTGACTGCAAAAGAGAAAACCCAGTTCTTTATATGGTCCTGAATTTACCAAAAGCTGAAGCACCTGCTGTTTTAAGTCATAATCAGGCTTGATTATAAAAGTGCCACTCAGTTTTGCCTCTGTTTGTGTCTACCTCTGGAGTACAAGTTTGTTGCTTCATTGTTAGTCATGGGAGAGCTGATGCCGATGCCTAAAATAGTGCAGAATTAAACTAGAATGGTTAAACAGTTCATTGCTTGTGTGTGTGGGAAAAGAGAGAGAGACTGAGAGAGAGAGAGACACAGAGGGAGATCAGGTTACTGCCATGTCTGTGTCATGGCTCAGCTCCAGGTCTCTTTTCCTCATCGTTCAGTATAAACCTCCGCAGCAGTATCCCTGTCATTGCTTTGTTATTGTGATTGACATCACTCGTTTTCATACACACTTTCTGCCTGTCTGTCTGCGCTTTGCAGAAACGGCAGAGCATCAAAAAGAGGTGGTGGATTTATAAACTCACAAAGTCGAGCAGCTCTGGTGTCACCGTGCACCTGCGAAGAGAAAAATGTGATTTCAGGTGTGCAGAGCCACAAGTTTATTTCTCCACTCTGAAGACTGATGGGCGCTCACTCTGCGTTTACCTCTTCCTGGATCTCCTGGACTGGGTGACATGCAGAAATGTAAACACGACGGGAACGCACGATTGTGATGCTTGGACCTGGATGTTTGACCGCAGGTGTCATAACTCAGAGCGGGTTTGTGGATTTTTGTGGACAATTGTTTTAATGATTTAAACGTCCCCTCTGTGAGCGCTCAAGTCAAATAATTACATCTTTCTTTTTTATGAGCTAATAACAGCCGCTGTTGTGATTCTTTTAGACCCTGCTTGTTATTTCACTCCGCTCCTAATTTCTCCCAGCTCTCACCATAGTGACAACTGTTTAGCGTGGCGCGTAAAAAGCAGCTTTCATCATAGAAAAAGGGAGAGTGTGGACAAATAAATACAGCCTGAGTGTTTACACGATTAACAATCATATCACTCCATTTAACTTTTTTTTTTAACCCTTTTTAGCAGCTTCCAAAGAGAGCAAACCTTTAGAAAGAGGCCTTGTGACAACTCTGCCTCCCCCCTCTCTCCATCCTGCCTTCCCCGATCTCTCTCTCCCAGGGGTGTGCACGGGTTGAAGGGTCACTCTCTGTGTTTAACTGCCCTGGTCTGGAAACCTGGCAGTGACTGCTGTCTTTGTCTGGCTCTCAGCACAGCTCCAGCTCTTTCTCTTTTCTCTCCTGCTGCAGCTTCAGGCTCTGCTACTGTATAGGGTTGGCTCTCGCTCAGGGACATGCTCTGAATATCACATTGCTCCGAATATACCTTCTCCGAGCAAAATCTTATACAAATAGCCCCCCATGCCGCCCCGCTTCCCTTGAAACCTCTTTGAAACGGCAACCTGCGGACAGCGCTCTCCATCCCCTGACAAAGACAGCCTCTCCTGCAGAAAGATCGATTCAGTTGGGCTCTAACTTGTCAGTAATATGAACTCCCTCCTTCTCTGTTATTCTCAAAGTTAACTAATGTTAAACACAGATCGCAGAGTCTGACAGTAATGTTCACTGAGGCAGTGTTTATGGGTCAGAGGTGTGCGAATGATCAGGCTTGTGGCAGCCAGCTGTGGCTTTGGACCTAGCCCAGAACCTGAACTATTACTCCTGCCTGTCAAGTCTCTTAAGTGGGCAGCAATGAAACAGTATCTGCTTTCAAACAGTGGTTTGACCCACATCCAAAATCTGACCCCCAGTCTGGTCTAAAACTATCCCTACAATGCATAAAAGAAGGTCTGACATGGCTTTATGCAGGTAGTTTGATATTTCTATGTGGAACCTAGAGGAGCAAGGTGATGCTCAACAGCAGAGTGACAGGTTGTAATGTTTAGTACATGCACGCCATTTTCTGCCGTATTAACTTATACACATGCTGCTGTTTAAGAGATACTTGACATTTGATGAGGAGTGGGTTTTGTAAATCCTGCAGCTCGTTTCTTTGCATTTGCTCTAGATGGAAGAGGGATCATCTGGAGTCCTCATCAGTGTCTCCCTGTTGCCTCTCAGATTTATTGGACTGACCGCCTACAGGAAGTAAAGCCAATTGTTGCTGTGATTTATTCTCTGCTGCAAATGCTGGAGCTCTCCTCTCCTTCCCTGCGGTGCTGGCAGCTTGGAAAGTATGGATAAACTATGGATTTGTTTTAAGGTCTCGGTTTAATATCTGCTTGAGGGGCTTAGTCTGAAACAGCAGTGCCAAAGGTAGGCTTTAGCACAGCTGGTGTTGTTGCAGGCACGGCCTGGCCAGCGTAAGGTGAGACTGTCATTAGGAGCATAATGATATAACTGAGCTAATGAGGCTGCCTCTTCTTATTAGAGTGATGAGCTCTGCGCTGTAGATCTCCTTAACTGATGTGGTCACGGATGTTTTATTCCACTTCGCATTTATAATCTTGTTGTACCTGCGAGACGCTGGATTCAACCGCAACCTGCATCTGTGAGCTCACTTAGAGGCCTCACTGGACCGCCGGGTGGGAGTTCAAAGATTCATGAGTTTTTGGGGGTGAGTGCTTTGTAATTTGGTGATGTATTTCTCCGAGTCGGTTTATTACAAACCAGGCATGATGAGAGTTTGTCCAAAATGGTCCATATGCTTAAATATCATGGGTTAGCTGTTTAAGTTAGAGCTCCTCAAGATCAGGCACCTCCTCCTTTAAGATTTTGTGTTTTTATCCAAGTTTTGTTTGTTCGTTAATGATCAGTTACCCTGCGGGGAACAAATCATCTTCGAGGACGTCGTAAACAGTTACGACCTGCAGCACAAAGACTTTTAAAGCTGGATGGAGAAAAAGCTGTTTTATGTTTCATCAAAGTGATTTTGACAGCATTCAAAATCAGTTTTCCTCAAATAACTGTATAGGTTGCAGATGTAACACAAGGGCCACACAGTGAGTAGGGGGTTGGGGGGGCTAGAACAGTGTTGGTCCTGCTGGGCCTCCATCTACATCACACACATATATTTAAACATCCATCTGTGAAGTCAGATCACTATAAAGATCAAACCAAAGAGCCAGAGGAGAGTTATTATACTAGATTTTAACAGACAGTTATGCATTTTATGGATCTGATATTACAGTGTGTATGGGTTTTAATGTGCATGGAATAATGGATTTTAATGGTTGTAATTTTAACCAGCATTTTACACTTGTATTTTTATTTCTTTTTCGAGACGGCAAACATTTGACTCAGTGGAATATTTTTATGTCTGTGTGCAGTAAAGTGTTCACTCAAGTTCAGCAAGTTTATCTCTCTTTTGTTGGTATTATTGTGGTATTTAGTCAAGTACATGAAAGACAAATAACAGTTAAACACCTGCTATCAGCCTACCTGCTCTCCTATGATTGGTACCAGCATCGGCCATGTAATCAGTCGATCACCACTTACATTAGGGGTGAGAATCACTAGTGGCCACACGATACGATATTATCATGATACTTGGGCCACGTTACGATATTATTGCGATATTTAACATTTTGCAATACAGTGAGTATTGTGATACAACACATTATGACCTTTAAATTTTTTTCAACTGTTTAGTTAATTTAGCATTTGTCTATCGTTTATGTTTTTCTTATTTACACAGTATTTTATTTTCATGTAACACATCTTGCTAACCTTATGTATCAGGTCCATCTCATTTGTGCCCTGTTTGCGTTCCTAATGTCCTTCCCCAGGGGCTGCCACTAACTTTCTCCTGCTCTATGATGTCACCTCTGCCAACCTCAGTGGACTAACGATTGTTTTTATTTTTACATTATCAAAGATTTGACTTTGTTTGAACAATTAATTTGAAAAACTTTACTTGGTCAATAAGACGATATGATAAATCAACAGACAAAATATCGTGATACTATGCTGTATCGCTTTTTTCTCCCACCCCTAACTTTAATGTCATCAAATTTCATTATTTATCTGAACTGAATTAGATGTTCAACTTTCCATTTTGCTGAAGAATTTCTTTTCTTTTTAAATTTTGTCGTGTTCAGTCAGTGTAGAACCAGCATTTACTCAAACTGTAAAGGTTTCATTATTCCTTCATTAAACAGGTTTTTTATTCATGAGTAGTTGAGAAATGCACATGAGTGTGTTCATGCTTGGGTTTTGTTTCATACATCTTTTGTATCATATTTCATTACACAGGGCAATGACTCTATCTTCTCTGAATGATCATTTGTTGTGTTTTTGTGGTGTAGCAGGTAAAAGTTCAGTCCTGAGTTTGTGCTTGTGAGCGTCTGTAGGTCATTCTTTGAGCTGAAATACTTTCTAAGAAGCGGTTTTGTGGAGAGGCTGTGTTTTTGTACGGAGCAACATCCCACAGGGGTGTGTGTGTGTAATGTGTGTGTGAGTGTGTGTTTGCAGAGCAGGACTGTTTTCTCCTGTTTTAACAGCAGAACCAGGCTGCTGCTCACAGTGACTCCACTGTGCTGAAAGAGTTGCTCTCAAAGCTACTGTGTGCTCACCGGGAGTTATTTCCACTCACTCACTCACTGCATCGAAAGCAGGGTGGGGAAAAAAACATGTCTTCAGATGCCTGCTCACAACTCCATGCACGCCCAATCACGTGTGAGTGCAAAGAACCATTCAGACAGGCACACACTCATACAGGGAGTCTTGGTCCTGAACAATGATATGCAACTGCCCAGGATGTGTATGTCACTTCCCGTGTTTGTGAGAAGTTATTTGGTGTTGCTGTGGAAACCAAATGTAATATTGAAAAATCTCCTCTCTCCATGCCCCCCTTCCCTCTCTCTCTCTCTTTCTCTCACTCTGTAGAGAAAAGCCAGTCCATAGGGGAGAGCCAGGCCTCATCTCCAACTCTAGCTGCTGCTGCCAGACTGTCAGCGATGATACGCGGCAAAGATCGAGTATTTGCCAACACCATGCTGGTTGATCAGGTGAGACGGACTGGAAGTATTCGATGTAGAACGATGAAGTAGTTGGGAGACTCGCCTTGAATGATGTCAAATGTTCCTTTAACCTGTTTGTTTCTGACCTCTCTCCTTTAGGTGGGCGACGCTGACATCAAGTACCGCTCTCCAGTCAAGGAGGAGGTCAGTCCCGTGTCCCAGATTGGCAGCCCATGCTGGGACTCCTTCCCCACGACTCCCACTGACTCAGGGAACTGCTCCCAGAACCGGTACCCATTCTCTGCCCACAACGGGGTGAGAGGGATCCATGGTCCTGGCCTGGAGAATCACATGGAGCCGTCCCCTCACGTCTCTCCCTCCTCTCCCTTTGCTTCCTCCCCGTCCTTTCCTTCCTCCCCGCTGGCTTCCCCCTTTCGTTTGTTGGAGGGAGCACTGAGGCGTCAGACTCAGCCCTGTCTGCCAGTTTCTCCCGCTTTGAATCACAGAGGATGCAGCTTAACGGAGGCGAGCCGGGGTTTAAGGTAGGAGCTGTATTAATATCATGAAAGTTTTTTTGAATTTCAGAGTTTTAAATATGACTTACTGAATATCTGTCAAGTTTTCCTCTATTAAACAGAGACAAACACCCTTAGCATTGAAGCAAACTTACATTTTTTGACAAATCAAAACCATCATGTCATCTTGTTGACAAACTCCTCATAATCCGTGTGACTGATACTCTACAATAAGTCAGTCACATGTCAGCAAGTTGAAGTTTTACTCGAGGCACTTCTTGGATTTTGTGCTGGGTGCGTAGTCTTTGAAGGTTCAGAAAGCAACAGGAAGCCTGGAAACAACTGAGCTGATTGTTTGTTGAAAGCGTTGAAGATTCCCTCCAGTGCTGCTCGAGGTTCTCTCTGAGGACTGAAACCAGCGAAATCCATCACTGTATGAAACCGGATTATGGACCGGACTCATTCAGGACGGTTGTCTTCAGAGATTAAGAGCAAATGTTCCTCTCTGTGCTTTAACTTTTCTAGCAGGCTTACATGACGTTGCAGGGCTTCTTTATCTCGGCTTGGAGACTGTGTTGGATACCATTCGATCATTAAATATTAATTGATAGACTTGAAAGATGGGCTGATCTCTCAGAAACAGCTCTAATCATACTTGTGTGATAAAGAATTCCTTGTAAGAGTCTGTGATTCAGTTTCTTCAACTCACGATTGAACATGGCGTTCCTCAGGGAAGTGTTTTAGTCCCCAACTCTCTTTTCTTATACATGTTCCCTGTAGTTATAATGATTAATCCTTATCATGTCAATTACCATTGCTAAACTGATGAAACCCATCTTTATAAAGTGCTCTGAGTTTGCTCTGTATTGCCCCAGTTATCATAGTCTTTAAATGAGTATGATCTTATGATAAACAAACGAGCAGAAAAGTCCAATTTTATCTGCTAATCCTCTAAAAATACAACAGCTGAGATTTGAGGTGATTTTAGACTCTGAGCTTGATTCCATTAACCGTTTAACCAAATCTGCAAAAACATCATTTTCTCATCTTGGGTGTATTCAAAAGTCAGACGGTTTCAACACAGACAGACGACAATATATTATAATAAATGCTTTTATTACAAGCCGCTCAGGTTATTGCAATTCTCTCCTTACAGAGCTTCTCAAAGTCTTAAAGGAAATTACAGTTAATTCAGCGTCTGCAGCCAGGATTTTAACAAACTCCAAGAGAAGAGATCACACTACCTCTCTGCTCACATCACATCATCGCCTACTTCTTTCTTTTAGAGCTGATTTAAAGTTCTTTTACACGTCAACAAGGTTTTACATGAGTTCACACCTTCTTATACCACAAACAGGATATCATTTTATGCCCCCAACTCTTAAATCCTGCACTGCTGTTATTCAGAGATCTTGTTCCAAGAGGCAGATTTAGATTTTAAGGTCTTAAACTGAGGGAAGGCTCCGGTTGGATCTTGGATCACTAGCCTCACCTGGACATGCCTGTTTGAATTGTCTTTTAACTCTGTGAACTTTACTTTATGAGAAATTTTATCCTCATGTCTTTCTATGTTGGTTGTTTTGTTTGATGGAGATCCTGCTGTATTTTTGTTTGTTTGTTTGTCTCAGATTTCTCATATCAGAGTTTTTGTTTGTTGATTATTGTTACCCTGTCTTTCTGTCATGTTAAGATTGTTGGCTGCAGTTTTATCATTAATTCAGTTTTTAACTGTGGCTGTGTGCCTTCCTGTCAACAGTCCCAGCCTGGAGTGTGACAGCGGAGAAGAGGACATATTAGGACATTCCTTCCCCTGCTCCACACTGAAGCAGCAGCCAGTCCTGCAGTCCAGCTCAGGAGAGGAGAGGGACTCTTTTGATACCTCCCCTGACCTAAACCGCACCCTCTCAGACAGCACTAACAAATCCACCAAGGTACACATTCCCCAAACACATTTTATAACATATCTTGAAATGCTGTTTCCTCCATGCATCTGGGATCTGATGAGTCCTGAGACAGCATTCCTGCAAAAGTTCTCCCAATAGTTCATTTCCTTCTTGAGCTCATGATCTTTAAAAGTTTTGTTCTCCTCTTCCTTTGTTTGCTTGTGAAATTTCAACTTACAGGCAGTTTGTTTGTGTCTGTTTTCACTTTTCAAAAAGAGATTTTTTTTGCTTTATTTGGAGTGAAATAATACCACTAGACATTCAAAGTAAAAGCACAAGAGCAGACACAGCCTGTCTCATAGACAAACATCACTTTATGGGTCCAGACTGTCAGCAGCTAATACATCTAGGTTGGATTTGGTGGATTTGACCGCTCTGTGTGATTCTTCAGCTCTCTCAGTTCTTCATTTTGAATATCCCCTTAATGCTTTTTTCTGGTCTGTTCCTCCTGGTTCTGTTTCTTCACTCAGAACACAGAGGACACCGAGGTTCGTCTGCGCTCCTACTCCTACTCCTCCCCCAAGGCAAAGCCGTCACGGCCACTGCTAAACCGAGACGCAACCATCACTGATCTGGCAGAAGGTGGGTGAACTTTGACCCCTTTGCCCTGTGACCTTTCTGTTCTAGGAGCCAGCTGAATGGACACATGTCTAACAGAGGGGAGGACCAGACAGGTGTCATATACCAGCTTAACCTCTATAAAGTATATGTATGCTGACGGTCGGCTTTAACCGTATGAGCGCATGAGAGTGCACAGCATTAAGGCCATGTTCTGTCCTGTGTAGATGGTGCGTTCAGCAGCAGCGGCCGTTCTCTACTTCAAGCGTTATCTCTCTCTAAATCCCTCTCTCGTCTCAACCAAGTTAGTAAGTACAAGAACAGAGTCACACAGCGAATGAAAAGCTGCTGGCTGGCTGGGGAATGAATTCAAGTTTGCCTTCTTGCTCCCTCATGGGATAGAGTGGTGATAATCAAGCTCTGCATAATTGAAAGGCATGCCTGCTACATTCAAACTGCTTGGATTTAAGAGTATGGGTACAATTATATAAGGAGGAAAAGTGGGTTGAGAAGCCTCGGGGAGGAGAAGAAAACCAAACCATTTTGCTGCTTCTTTGGCCTTTCAATGATTTTCCCAGATAAATAATTTTCCAGTACAATAGTGTGTCTCATTGTGGCCCAGATTGAGCAGCCTAATATCTGTGTTTTGTTTTTGGTGGTGAGTGCAGCGCTCATAATATGCAGGGCATAAACCACTGTCTCATAGGAGGAGATAATGATTATTATTTTGAATCTCTGGGAGATCAGGAGCAGACTTTCTCCAAAGCTTGATGTCATCACTTTTGTTTTCTTTTCACTTACAAAACAACAGTCACCCAAACTCAACTCCACACAGATTTATGTGTAATGACTGACAAGGAGAGGGCTGCATCCTTCAGACTGTGGATTTTAATATCTGGAGGCTTTGGAAAAGTGCTCTCTACTTAAGTCTTGTCAAAGATCTGAAGGAGGAGTGGTTTCTCCCCTAAGGGTTCTGTTTTGCTTCCATTTGAGTGCATACTTTGTTTCCCTCTCGGTCTTGGTTTTGATTTTCCATCTTTGGTGTCTTCTGGGTTTTTCAAAGCAAAGTTCTCAGGCTGTGTTTGTTCTTTCTCTGTAGGGGTTTTCTGGATCTCACATGTTTCAGGGTTCTTTAATTTATTTCTAACTCAATTTTGATTGTGGATGGAGGTTTTTTAGAGTCTTTCAGCTGTTTCACTGAGATTCTGTTATGTCTCCAATTTTGTTGATCTGTAACTCTGATTTGTATTTTTTTTTTCCTGTCGTTGTTGCTTTACCTTACAGAGCAGAGAGCGTTCAGCCTGACTGAGACTGCTAAAGAAAAGAGGTAAAACTAGTGTGCAAAACCACGAGCTCAAGAGCTGTACCTTCATCTGTTCTCAGTATCTGCTCCTTTTTTTAGCTGTCAGTGTTGACCTGTGGTCACAGAATGACTCTGAGGCTGTGTGTGCATCTGTGCATTTCCTTGTGAATCCTTAGTATCAAATCTGTGGTCAGTGTGCAGGATGTGACATACTTCCTGTTGCAAGACTGAGGGTCAGAATACGCTCTGATTGCAACCTCAAAATAAACCCTGAGTAAACAGTAAACCTCCGGGCTTTCCTGGACTCCAGACCTCAAAAACATTTTGTTAAATCGTCGACCACATCAGTTAAACTGAGTTTGCCATACGTACACATTATTTCACCAGGTAGACTTCATCAACATCTGCTTAACTTTAACTTTTTCTTCATTTCATCAATCTCACAGCCTATTTTCAGTTTAGAGTCCATCTGACCGCTACGTTTTTACTGCGCTAACATACATTCTGTATCAGTGACCATGCATTGCTAGCTAACAGCAGAAATTTAAAGGCACTAAGATCATCATTTATTTATGACGGAATATTAGGGTCACATTAAGAAAAAAAATTAAGACTTTGAGATTAAAGTAATTACTCACGAGAATAAAGTCGTGATAAAATATTTACTTATGAGAATAAAGTCGTAATAAAGTCCTTATATTCTAACCTGTTGTTTGAGATGACAGTTGCTGAAATGGGAGCCTTGGAGCGTTTTGTGAAAATGTAGGCTACTTCAATGTAGGTTTCACCAACTAGGAAATCCTTAATTGCAACTTTTCCCCAGAAAAAAACAGGCGGACTTGGAGGTAATCACTCAATGTGAAGGGGAAAATGGCTGGAAATGGCAGTGCAGAGGCTAAATCCGTCAATGCAGCTGTTTATAGCAATAGCATAGGGCTTTAGCTCATCGTATGAATCTATATGCCATAAGGTGTTGGTGCCTCTGCAGGTGTAGGTTGCTGCTGGCGTCAGAGACAGACGCGGTGCTCATTGGAGCTAGACTTCCTCTGGATTGCAAATGTTGATCATCGGTTGGATTGTTTCTTGAAAAACCACAAACTCTCTGAATGACCCACTGATGCACCCACTGACAACTGTACAGTTGACCAGTTCCATCTCCTCCTCCACAAAAGCAACTTTAGGACTTAATTTACTTCATGACTTTATTCTCGCGAATAAATATTTTATCATGACTTTATTCATGTGAGTAATTACTTTAATCTCAAAGTCTTAATTTTTTTCTCTTAATGTGACCGTAATACTCTGTGATATTTATTGTATTCAAATAGAAGATCATTCTTTACACCAGTCTAATCTGACACGTCAACCTTATTTATTCCTCATAATCTCACTGTCAACGGTGTCGCCTCTGCCCTCTGCATTGGCAAAACTAGAACTGATCCTCGCTCAAATATTCATCTAACTTTCAACATGTAAAACCTGCAGTCATGTTCCTCTCCCACACACACTGTACTAAGCCAAGAAATCATGTGTGGACTTGAAATCTTGAGCGCCACACCTATTGCCAAAACACAGCTGAGGTGTGTTATATCCATGCAGGGTTTTGGGTTTCCGTAAGCGGGCCCAGTCAGCAGAGGAGGAGAGCAGCGCTTCACTCCAACATCTCACCCTCTCAGAGTTCCTCAAAGAGTATGTTTTCACCCATGTGCCCTCGCAGCCATGCATGTGTGGCTTAACTCATTCTAACCCCATCGTAAATCCCTTCCCAGACTCATCCATTAACCACATGGACTCTTTGCAGCTGTATTTGTCATACCTGAGTCCTTAGGAGTAGATCATTTTAACGTCCTCCTGTCAGGTCACAGCCGAGGTTTGCATGTTTGTCTTTGTCATGTTTTTGTCCTCGTTCCCTCTCAGATTCTGTGTCTAGCATAAGTAGCTGTAGATTTTTTGACATGTTATTAATTGCATCCTGTCAAGGTCATACTATAAATAGCATCCAAGCATGCCAAGCATGTTGTTCAGAGTAATCATCTGTAGACCAGGGGGTCCTGGAAGACTGTCTGGACATTCTTTCACTCCAGCATGACACTAGTGTTTTGGATTATTCGGCTCTGCTGTATGAATACAATGAAGTCCTGAAAAACCTGATCGTTTCATAGAGAGTCTGCATGTTGGATTTGAATGCTTCAGTCTTCCTCAGACCGAAATGACAAGAGAAACTTGGATGATGTTTACTGATATGTTCACACTGAAACAGGATCGAGGATGAGGAGTGGGATAAATACATAATCCCGTCAAAGGTTGAGTCAGAGAAATACAAAGTGAGCCGGACCTTCAGCTTCCTCAAAAGCAGGATGTCCAGCACTCGCAACAAAACCAAGGTGAGTCAACGCAAACATGTGTATCCTGGTTAAACATCATTGTTATGATAACTCATGGGTATAATGTCACCTCTCGGAGCTTATATTTAAAAATAAGGGCTAAAGGCCTCCCAAAGTCGCACATTTAAAGGTTTACCACCTCTCAGACAGTCCAGGTCAGAATTCCTCTGCCGGGGAACCTTTGTCTGTGTGCACTGCCTTTATTTGGCCGGAGAGAAAATTCCCTCTCCTGTGGTCTTAGCAACGCAACCTGGTGAAAATATCCCCTTACATAATATGTAGACCCCCTTCCACACAGCACGAGGATCCAAAACACATTCCATAGTATATCCTCAAACTTATAAACGCTTGTGCATGTGCTAGAGGACACGTTTCCATGTATGCCCAGACACGAGATGCACATGAACTGTCAAAAAACAAACATGCACTCTTAGACTTCCATGTAAAGTTTGATAAGAAAATAAACACTGACCTATTAAACACACATACACACACACAGACATAGGAATCCCCCCAATGCCCCCCTGAGGATAAAGCACCACAACAGCAGCCAGTCCCCATGGACCTTGGCAAAGTAAACAGACAGGCTTGCTCAGAGGCCCCTTTATCTCAACTAACTCTACTTTAACAGGTGTGTTTTCGCTCCAAGATGAGAGCTCTGTGCCTCTATCTGTCACGTTATTTCTACTTTACCGGCTTATGTGATACTGTGGCATACACTGCGCTAAAAGTCCACCAGGTGAGTACATTTAAAACTCATGACTTGTGTTCCAGGTGAAGGGAAAAGAGGTGAAAGAGGGAAAGGAGAAGACAACAGCCGCTAATGGACACCAGTTTGCGCCTGTGTCTCCATCTGGTGCCACTCTCTGTGTGGCCTGTGAGAAGTCTGTTTCTGGGAAGGAGCTGTTGCAGTGCTCCAGTAAGTACTATACTGCCAGTGCCGTTGTTATTTTATGTGTGAGGTGGCTCAACTGTTTAGGGTTTGTGTAAATCTCATTGCACGTGCTGCCTTGATGTTTTGTTTAGCGGTGGACGTACAGTTGCTTTTCTTCCTCCTACAAAGCCAGCAGGAACCGTGAGCAGCAGGCCAGTTTGACAGCCATCTGGACATTGAATCCAGGGATACTGTAATTGTGTTTATTATCAGCTAACTGATGAAATTAACCAAGAATTCATGCGTCTTTGTCTGCAGACTGTTTCCTGAACGTGCATAAGAACTGTCGAGAGTCTGCTGCAGCCTGTGGGAAGGTAAAAAAAATAAAACACACCATGCACCTTATTTGATCATTTTGACAAAAGCAGGAATAATGAATGATTTCAATAAAAGTTTTAAAGCAGGAATTCATTTTAAATGACTTACAAACATTCAAAACCAGCTGTTTGTGACCAAAACCTGGTATCTGGGACTACTTTGTGTTTGATGTGTTTCTCATTATGTCATGGATTACAACCAGATGCTCACATTGTGTCGTGATTTTAAGATATTTACAAGAGTGTCGACTGTTTAAGGTTGCCTGATTTCATAAGCCAAACAACCCAGAAAGTAACTCTCACTATATTTTACACATGTAAGGGTTTACTGGTTGTAGGTAAAACAACTCAATCAATAATTATGGATATGGGATCATGGGTTTTCAGACTTTTAACAGACTTTAGGGGTAAAAATATCCTTTAGATTATGAAAAAACGCAGTTACCAGCATTGCTTCAGCTGGATTTTCCAGAGACTTGACGTCATTGTTTTTCTGTTTCATAAAAATATGAGATCTCAGCAATCCTTTGACCCTTCCAAAGTGCAATACTCCTTTGGTTGATGACCCCTAACTACATAAAATCCCCTGAGTTCAGTTTAAGTACAATAATTTGAGTTTAAGGTACCTTGTCAAGCTTCCCCTACTCTTATAGTTTTTGCTTTGCAGTTTCTTTAAATATTTTTAATGCTACAATGCAAATATTGCTCTGGAGAAACCCCCTAGCTGTTTAAATGGAAATTATAAAAATAAGAACAACTAATAACTAAGCATCGGACCAGCTCATCTGAAGGTAAGAAAACAGTAAAACTAAAAACAGTCAGAACAGTGTAGTGAGAGAGGTTAAACGCAGGACCACAGAGTCTGGAGGTTAATTTTGACAAATTGGATTGTCAGGTGTGGCTAATAGTAGCAGAGCTAGCACCAACAGCCTGTGGTTCCCCTAACAGGTTCAGGTCCATATGCCTGTGCTGGTTACACATTGGTTATGCCGAGTGGTTATTTTCCAGTTCAATCTGACACAGCCTATTTACAACTTTATCTCCATTTTCTAGATTAAAATATTGTTGAACTGATGCCCTCTGTCATCTGTGTTTTTATGTAATAATCAGTTCAATCGACTACAACCTTTGGTGACGACCAATGCACGTCTTAAACACTTGTGTTTGTTTGCTTGCAGTCTTTTTAAGCACTATTTTTCACAATTTGAGGTTTCTTACTTCCATGTCTGAGCTTACGCCATGCCTCCTCAGGAGAGGCTTTATACCTATGGAGTGGGGTTACAAAATCTGTAAAGATAATACTGCTTTTCTGTAAGTATACAAATTAAGGGCCTGTGTCCACCAGTGGTGTTTTTTGTGCTAACAGGGTGTTTTCCATTCAAAACCTATGCAGGTCAGTGTTTTTTGTTTTTAGTGCCTGATGTTTTAACAAAAGCTGCTTTATGTCTTATTGGTCACAACAATCTCAGCTGAAATAGTTTAGCTAAACTCAGTAGCATCATATCTTCATCACAGATCAATCATAATCAAGAAGGGGCCGGACTTCATCATGGGATAGGTTATTACATAAGAGAAACTGACTACGCTTGTTCTTTCACTCAGTGTAGGGTGGCTGCTTACGATACAACGTAATTTATATCAATTATTGCTACATTTAAAAAAAAATTCCAGTCAAATTCAAAATCAAAGCAACAATAAAAACGACTTAAATTTGAGTGTGTAAAATCAAACTGAACAGTCACGACCATGAAAGCCAAAATACTGCAGGACAACTTTTAAAAACTTACAACAATAAGCATCTTTTTGAAACTTAGCCCTTTAATGCTCGAAACCACAAATTATGGCCAAAAAATTCAGTTGTTTTTGAGCTGAAATGTTTATAACTCCCCTGATACTGAAAACAAAAAACAAAAATCAAAAGTCCTTAAAATTTTACAAATATATTTATTTGTCTCATTTCATACATAAGATGTTCTTGGAAACTGAGAAACCAGAAGAGGACAATTTTATCATTCATCAGACTGTATTCAGGTGTTTTTGAGCAATTTGTTGATCGTATATATTTGATGGAAGTATCATAAAAGTATGTATTAAATATGATAAAAAAGGCATTAAAGGGTTAGACTGAGGACTGTGTTAGTGGAAAAATGCCATCAGTGGACACAGGCCCTAAATACTCATTTTTTAGACTGAAACAAGTGAGTAATTGCAGCAGCAACACGCAAAAACAGTTCCTAAAATAGAAGAAGGCTGATGGGGACACGGTAAACAAGAGGAGTGAATTCCAACACTTGTTTATACCAGAACTTATGGAGTATGGTCAACATCACAAGTTTGTATAACAAGAGTATCAGAGTTCCTCAGGGTTTCTTCAGTGTTTTTGCCTTGGCCTAAACTGACTCATGTATTGACCAAGGGTTGTTTTCCAAGCTGAATAATCTGATTTCTGAAACAAGAACAGGATGATTTACAGCTGCTGATTTTGATATTATTATGTCTGTTCTCAGAAACCACAGGAGAGGAATGCAGTGCTGATGAAAAGCAAGACTTTGTCCCTCCCACAGAGTGAGTCAGAAATTACTACAGGTCCCCCCTCCTGTTTTGTCCTCCTCTCTGTCTTGGGTTGATTAACTTTCACCTGTCCTCCCTCATTCTCCTGTGCTAGATCCAGAAAGATGTTGCTTCCTACCTCCTTTTCCTCTACCGTGTTTTTCTTTCCCTGGTAGAGAAAAGTTAAATTTTAATCCCTCTCAGTGGGGGATCTGGCCTGGATTGTGTTTATAACTGTGGTTGTGCATGAGTGCAAATCCTGAGTGTTCCTTCTGCAGTTTTTTCTTTCCATTTCTCTCCCTAATATGAAACTCTGAGTCTTAGCTGACTGTTTGATGTCTAAGGATGGTGTCAAAGTCAAACACAATCAGCTTCAATTACTGCAACATACTGTCACAACTGCAGGCCACACGCCCAGTTCAACACAGAAAAATAACAAACCAGACCTCCTCACAGCTTTATAATCCCGTTACTGTTATGTTCGGGGGACTACACAGACACATAAACACAGCTTTTCAACACAAAACAGACATGTGAAGTATTTGTTTGTAGAATGGGAAAGACGCCAAGAAGTGACCTAATCCTTTTCCTGCTCTTTGTCCTGGTTTCTCCTTCAGACTCTCAGAAGGACAACTCTTCAACCTTCATTTTCTCCTCCTCTTCTTCACTACCCACAATGACCAAAGAGAAGAAAGAAACCACGGCCCCCTTCTCCAAAAGCCTCTCCATCTCTATAGACAGCAGGTAGCCTGTTTCACCACTAATTTTCCAACCAGAAAGATTATCAAACTTTAAAGTTCAGCACATAAAGACAAAAACATTTCACTTCTGTTGTTTCTCTGCAGACGTCTGAGTGATGCAGCAGTGGTGGACGGTGAGTGCAGCGTGACAACGTGTACTAACAGCTCAATGTCGGATGAGGGAACCCCGGTCGCAGCAACACCGCCCTCAGTCGAGCCACCAATCACCTCACAGGGTGAGACAGGAAAGCTGAAATCATGAGTTATCACACCTATTGCTGTGTAGGAGAACAGTTTGGACTGTGATGAAGAATAAAATATATTCTTATTTATTATTGATGCTTAAGATGCTGTTGAAGCTTCACTACTCAGCGACCTGTCAGCCGACCTGCTTGGACTTGAAGTGGAGTCGTGGAGTCAGGCGGTCAGTCCGGAGTTTTGCAGACAACACGACAGGCGAACCATCAAACGGCAGGACGTCATTTATGGTGGGTGGATTCTTTTAAATGCATTATTGTATTTGTGTAAAATGTCTCATTTATACACTGTATGGTCATGTCTTATTGGCTGAGTCAAACCTCGGAGGATGGAGAGATGGAATCAGGTTTCTTAACTAGCAGGAATGAAACCAATTAACCCTCTGAATGCCTGCTAACAGTCTGACTTATTGAACCCCATAAAACTTCAAATGTCACTAAAGTTTCCTTTTTTAGCGGCTCAATAGAAACTGTTGCCGTTATGTGGCTGATTATAACCCCTGTGCTTCCACTGGATCCAGTCAAACGTGACTGTTTTCAGCAACCTCATTACCAGCTGAGGTTTTTATCACACGATGAGGTTATTCCAGCTCCTGAAGGATGTTGTATTCGCCAAACTCAGCGTGTGATCTTCACCTGTTAACAACCCTCCCACAGAGCTGATGCAGACAGAGCTGCACCACATCCAAACCCTGACAGTGATGTCCGAGGTCTTCAGGAGAGGCATGCTGGAGGAGCTGCAGCTGGACCTGGACTGCGTGGCTCGGATCTTCCCCTGCTTGGATCCCCTGCTGCTCTTCCACAGAAACCTCTTTGGTGCGCTGCAGGAGCGCCGACAGGCTACAACCCAAGCTGAGAACCCCCGAAATTACCTCATCCATCAGATTGGAGATGCGCTCCTTCAGCAGGTTAGTGAGGACGGATTGGAGCAAATAAACACACACACACACAGAGGTTCATGTCTGTGACTTATTTCTGATGGCCTCTGTCTCAGTTCTCTGATGAAAATGCCGAGAAGATGAAGCAGGTGTACGGAGAGTTCTGCAGCCATCACACCGAGGCCGTCAACGTTTTCAAAGAGCTGCAGCAACAAAACAAGAAGCTCCAAAACTTTGTCAAAGTAGGCTCATGGATCCAGACTTCGTTTGCTTTTGAACGATTAAATAAGAGATAAAAAATGCTGTGATTCTCACATTTTGTGTTATTATTTCACCGCCCACAGCAACAGAGCAATAACTCTCTGGTGAGACGGAGGGAGGTGCCAGAATTCATCCTGCTGGTCACGCAGCGCATCACCAAGTACCCGGTGCTGGTGGAGAGGATATTACAGTACACAGAGGGTATGGCTGCTCCACACCATCACTAAACTGAGAAACATATAAAGATTTAAAGTGCTGTCTGACTTAGAAACAAACAAAAGCATTTCATCAGGACTTTTCTGTTACCTTTTTCCCCACAGAGGGAAGTCAGGAACACTCTGACCTGTCCAGTGCCCTGGTACGGATCCGAGACATAATCGCTGCCGTGGACCTGACTGTAAATAAGTATGAGAGGTGTCAGGAGCTGCAGGAAGTGTTGGCGCGGCTGGAAAACAAGAGCTTTGCCAAGCTGAAGAACGGCAAGGTTTTTCGTAAACAGGACCTCCTTCGCAAACACAGGGATCTGCAGCATAAAGGACTCGTCTACTGGAAGACCGCCACAGGGCGTCTAAAAGGTGTGTACGAAACCATCAGTCCGGCAAGATGTTTTGATTTGAACAAACAGGGAGTCTGAAAGTTTTTCTCTCTTCTGTCTCTTCTGTTTTCAGATACTTTGGCTCTTCTGCTCACAGATGTTCTGGTTTTCCTACAAGAGAAAGATCAGCGCTTCGTTTTTGCGGCTGTGGTAAGAGAGAGAGTGGACCCGAGGAACTCCTTAAAACCAAAGATGTCTCTGTCTGTCTGTCTGTTTTTAACTCGGCGTGCGTTTCGTGGGTTTACAGGACCAGAAGCCTCCTGTGATCCCTCTGCAGAAGCTCATCGTCAGAGAAGTAGCCAATGAGGAGAGAGGGATGTTTCTTATCTCCGCCTCCTCAGTGGGACCAGAGATGTATGAAGTTCACACCACCAGCAAAGACGAGAGAAACGCGTGGATGAAACAAATACGACAGGCTGTGGAGAGGTGAGTTTTTGGGATGAGTGTGTGTCTGTTATTGTGTGTTAGTGTACCTGTGTGTGTGTCATTCTCTAATCCAGGGGTTCTCAAGTCCAGTCCTCGAGGCCCACTGTCCTGCATGTTTTTGATGTTTCCCTGCTCCAACACACCTGATTCAAATGATCAGCTCGTTATCAAGCTCTGTAATGGCTTAATAACGAGCTGATCATTTGAATCAGGTGTGTTGGAGCAGGGAAACATCCAAAACATGCAGGACAGTGGGCCTTGAGGACTGGATTTGAGAATGACTGCTCTAATCTACTCATCATCCACGCAGTTGTCCTGAAGAGGAAGAGGAGGAGGAAAGATCTGCTGAATCAGAGGAGGCCAGGCGAGCAGCAGAGGTGAGAGCCCAGAAGATCACCAAGTTCCAAGGTGAGAAAACATTTGTGCGCCCACATGAAAGTAAAACCTGATCCCTGAAGCACCGTTTTTAAACAACAGAAGGTCCTCATCTTTGTGTTTCTGCAGAAACTCTGTTGGGTCAGGACCAGCGAATCTGCAACAGCTTAGAGGAGAAGTTACAGCTGTATGCTGAGCTGACGGAGTTAACCCTGCGATCACCTGAAGCTGCACCACACCGCCATCTGCTGGTACAACCGGAGACTGACAGTGAGATGCCAAGGCAGGCGTCCTCCCTGATCACAGCTGCACTCAGAGAAGGTAAACATTCATTCATCTTTTCACGTCCTGCATTAGAGAGGATCATATTTTTACCTTTGTAATTTATTTACATTGTAGTGAAGGAATATACGGTCAGAGTTGCGGACGATGTATCACTTGATGTTTTCTTCTTCTGCAGCGGAGAACCTGATCTCCATTCTGCAAGCTCGTGACAGTTTATCTGCACAAAGTCAGAACTCTCCTGTGCGAGGACCAGAGGGCTGCAGCTACAACAGCCATGGCAGCAGCATCCAGGAGTCTCCCTCTGAGCGTGAGTCATTTACCAACACTGAAATGCTGACGCTGCTGCAGACACGATACTTAACCTCTACAGATGCGAGAAAACTCACAAGGCTCTCACAATAAGACAATATCCTTATGGTATTTATAGGAAAAAACAACCCTCTGAGTCAGATTCATCCTCAACTGTATTGTTCATCTCTTCTTTAGCAAAATACTCTTAACGTGAGAATAGGAAGGTGGAGACACTGAGAGCATCCGTGAGGCTCAACATCTGCCACCAATGTGCCAGATAGTTCAAACTCGCTGTGGGAGAGATTATGTGTGAGACCACAGAGTGTCCACAAACACCCAATCATTTCAACAAAACCTTAAAAACTCACAAACAGTGAGGAAACTCTTACTCGTGGAGGGCGGAGTTTCTCACTTTCATCTGTCATCCTCTCAGATGTGATTTCTGCTGCGTTAGTAACCACACACTTATTTGGAAGTCAGTTATCAGTAACCCCTACATTCCCGGTGAGAACCACAGCAGTGTCACTTACTCCTTTTTCTTTTCCTTGATTCCTCAGCCGACTATCTGAGCACGCTCAGTATGAGCTCCACTTCTCTCGGGTCTGACAGCGAGTTGACGGGAATGGACAGCGCGATGTGGAGCTCTGCTGCCGAGCTGAGGAAAGGAGACACCAAGGGGACGCTGTTAAAGGTCCAAACACTTTACATCCCCGTGAGCCGTGTTTGTTAATAAATAAAAAACACATCTAGTGTATATTCAGTGTCCCCTGTAATAACACAGATTTCTGCAGGTGGCAGAGAGCGTCCAGAGTCTGACTCAGCTCCTCTATAGTCTGCAGGTAAGAAAGTATCTGTGACTGAATACATGAGTGTTTGTTTTTTTGGGGGTTTTACCGTCCATCTGTGTTTTATTTTTTATAATTCTTGATTCAATAAGGTCCAAATTCAACAAGCCGGTTGATCAAAAGCAACTACAGCCTAAAGAAACAGTCAGTGATGATACAGAGGGATGCATTTTGTGAGCAAGTGTCTCCTGTGCTGTGTTGGTAGGCTGCTGTGACTCTCCAGGACAGCTGCTACGAAGTCCAGAAACTCCTTCTCCAAGAGGGGGACAAACCTCAGCTCCGAACCCTCACCTCCCTCCAAAACAGTTTGGTAAAATAAACACCTTTACTAAACAAAAAGTAAATGAGCCCTTTGAGGAAGTTCGACTAGGACACTGCTGCCCCGTTTTAAAATAAGAAAAGGCCATGTGAATTTCTGTTGTTATCCAGGAGCTGGACAAGCAAAGGAGTGTGGATAAGAGGAAAGATGAGGCAGAAAAGAAAGGTTTGGAGAGGAAGAAAGAGGAGGTGGATGAGGTGCAGAAACTCCATGTGAGGCTAAAACAGGAGCAGCAACGCTGGGACAAAGAGTGCCTGACCAGAGAGAAACAACAAGTGAGTCCTGTGACAAAATCTTTCAGCTCGTTCGGAGTCACTATCTGTCTTTGTGGTTTTGTTCTCTGCCGAAACTGTCACCTGAGAGCTAACAAGTCAAGAGCATAACCTGTTTACAGAGGGTTACTCAGCATTATTGGGAGAAATAGTCAAACTGATGGTAGATTTTGCTAAAATATAAAATCGAGGTTTATGTATTTTTTTATTTATTGAATGAAACAAAGCAACATGACGGGTGAAGGACAATACGCTAGCTTAACATGCAGACATTGGAGACAAGACACAACGTTTAGACGAGCAGGGACTCGAACCCTGCTGAAAGGGTTACTCTGTGTGTGTGTGTGTGTGCGCGCGTGTGTGTGTGTGTGTGTGTGTATAGACTATAGAGAAGAGTTCTAGCGAGGGAAAAATAGGAGGAAAAAAATACTAAATGTTCAAGAGGAATATAAATATTAACAGTAATACTACGACTACAATTAGTCCCACTACCACCACCACTGCAACAGCTACTACTACTACTACTCATAATATAACACCAATAATAGTAACATGAATAATAGTAATAATGATAGTGATATTAATAACAATAACAACAATAATAATAATGATAATGCCATAGCTTTTTATTATTAATTAGTAATTTCCCATCTTTATAGTTTTTTTTTTTGTGTGTCATAAAATCCCACGACTTGAACTTCACCTCTCTGTTAACGGCTTTTATAGATAGCTGATATCAGCAGAACTTCCTGTGCAGCTATGTGGAGATGTTATTTGTGGTGAAATGGTGCAACTTCCTTTTTCTTGAGAACACGGGTTTGAGTTTCTGCCTGAGCTTAAAGCCAACTGGTCCTTAACACTTGCAGCTCTTGTTTAGAAAAACTCTGAGTTTTTAAAACGTTTCACATGTTGAAAATAAAAGTTAAAAATTCTAAAATTACACAGCTGCAGTTTAAGGGATATTCCAGCGTAAGATTAATTTATGGTCAAACACACCGTAACACTGAGTTAGACCCCATCTCGAGAGATGAATGTTGCCGACCGCTTGCTTCTCTATACCAAGTTTAGTAACGACGTTCTTCATTCTTCCTCGAGCTGCGTCACCCCGCAGCAGTCCATAATGGACTGGCCCGAGGTCTCGCTACAAACAAGCGGCTCCTGGAAGAGAGTAGGTGAGTTGTGTTTAGTCTCTTTCGTAAAAAAAAGTTAGGCAAAGTTAAAAAGATGTTTGATGACTAGTTCTATGGCGTGGACCCTATATGTTCTGTTGACGAAGTTAGGTGCTGTTCTGAGCATTATTTGTGGCTATAGAGTGGCTTTTTGGTTGAGGTTTGTTTATGGCTCCTCAGACCGCTGAGTCTTGCTATCGTGCAGTTGTCGCTGAAGTGGTGTTCGGTGTTCTGGTGTGTTTGACCCTAAATTAGTTTTATGCTGGAATATCCCTTTAAAGAGTAAATCTGTGTCAACTGTGTCTTTACATAGAAGCCCTTTCTGGGGTCGTTTGTTCCTGTTCCTCACAGGGGAACTGTGGCATATCAATATCACGGTATTATCAACACTACACCAATAAAATCAGCATCACATACCCGTGTTAAAGTAGCATGTATTTGTGCAGGGTGAGCAAGAGAGTGCACTGGAGCAGCGGGAGCAGCAGTGCCTCCTGGAGGCCGAGCGTCTGCGGTTTGAGCGTGAGGAGCTGGAGGCCCAGCTGCTTGAGTATCATCAAAATCTAGAGCGGCTGAGGGAGGGTCAGAGGAGCGTGGAGAGGGAGAAGGAGAAGGTCGAGGCCCAGCAGAGGCTACTCCAGAGCTGGAGACACACCCGTCAGAGCAGCCTGCCTGTTACCATACCACTGGACGGATACAAGGTAAGAAGTCGGCTCAATAAGAGACTAAAAGTTTAAAAAAGCAGAATAACAGGTGATTGTTTCCATTTCTAAGGTGTCTGGACACAGTCGTTCAGGCAGCCTGGATGGAAGCTGCTCTGTAAACGAGAATGAGGCGACTCTCCTCGCCTCCCTCAGGCAGAACCGACTCCACCCGCCCGCCAACAACAACCAGCACCAGCGTCTGCTCTCTGTGCCAAGAAAGAACCAAGACGGCTCTCTGCACAGCTCCAGCTACACCGCAAACCTGGGTCTCAGCGCCAGCCTTTACAACAGCCTGAACACCCTGCTGAGTCAGACGCACAGCAAACAGCCTGCAGACGGGCTGACATTCCCAAACTACAGCAGCAACCACGGCTGCACCCAGCCTCTGAGCGACTCCATCCACCCCTTCAGCAGCAGCAGCAGCAGGGTCACTGCACAGCCACAAAGGACCAACAGTGAGTGCAGATGTAGTTCCTGTAGTGTGATCAGACTGTTAATTTGGTCTCTATATGTACCTCTGTCAAAGCTAAAACATACAGGATGCGTATTTGGAGTGTTGCAGCAGTGTCGCATATCACGCAGCAAATAGGTTGCTATTCTGATCAATGCAGCAAAGTGTACAGGACGCGTATCAGCTCCGTCGCAGCTCCGTATCAGAAGCGTATCGAGCGCTGCTCTGGTAAAGATTCGTGCCAAGTCTCTTTTCTCTGCTCTATGTTTCTGATACGCGTCAATCTGCACAGAGAAGATCGTTCTAGACAGGATGTCAAGCACGAAAACATGTGCTTGTCATCCGGTATTTCAAAATATAATACCATATGCAAACTCTTGACTGTGTATCAGTTCATGTAGATGAGAAATACTTCCTGGTTCTGGATTTATCAGGAACACAGAACAATCTGATGGTCAATCCCTGATCCATGTGGACCCTAACAGGACTTTTAACTTCTAACTCTGTCTGAAGGTAACAGCACAGCATAAAGGAACAAAGTTTACTTTATTAAACATGAGTGAACCTGCAAAAACAGAAACTGTGAAATCATGTTGCTTGTTTCCCATGTAGTAGAGGCTCAACTGTCACTGAATTTTTTCCAAATTAGCAGGAAATAGACCACAGAAAGGAAAAATAACCTGTTGTGAGCATGTTGTTTCCTCTATACTGAGCCCAGCTGACCAGGGCTGCACTACGCTGCCGCTCAAATACGCATCCTGTATGCGATATCAAATGCTGCTCTAAGGAGCAAATACGGAACGTGCTCAATACGGATCCTGTATGTTTTCAGCTTTATAATATTTTACTTCATATCTTCTTTTTGAGAAAACTTCATTTTGTTCCTCAAGCTTTTCCCTTGTTCTCTTCCCAGCAGACTTCAGCCCACCGTCAGACAGGAGACCCCTCGGTCCCTGGAGGTCAGAGGTCACTGGCCACAGACTGTATGAGGATGACTACTCCTCGTCCCCCTCTCTCACTCCCCTCCTCCCCCCGCAGGCTTACCTCTCCCTGGAAGGACAGAACAGGGAGGAAGCAGGCGAGGAGAACATCGTGTACCTCTGAATTGTAACCTGCCTGACCTTAAATGAGACAGACAGTCATCTGTGTTTTTGTTGCTTCGTCGTCGTGCTTGTGTATGTTTGCGTTCACACACAAGTTAATTTTAAAAACCTTAACAATCAGATAAGGAGTAGATTCAAGGGAGGAGTATCCGTGGGTGTATGTGCCTTGGTCAGTGTACATGTGAGACATTAATCCCTCTCTTCCTGTGTGAGGAAACCATCGTGCCTTTTTGCAAACAAACCTTTGTAAATCCGCTTTTGTAATTCTATTTCTCATGTTTTTACTTTTACTCTGATTCTTTCAAGTGTTTGTTGCACTTTGTTTGTTTGAAGATGTACAGAGATGCCCCAAAGCCTGAGTGCTAAAGTATCAGGAAAAGGAAAAGAAATTTGCGGTTTTCTTATGAGCACTTAAGAGAAATATTTGAAAGGCGATCGAGGCCCTTCCCCAAACTCTTGATGTACAGAGTACTTTTCTTTCTCCATGCAGTTTTCACTATTTATGAGAGTTTATTCGCATCTTAAAGACGAACAAATGTGCTGAAATGATCATATAAATGTTAAATATGTGTATAGTTCATTTAAAAGGCTACCTATGCACACTATGTTTGAAGAGGACGTTAACCTCCTGATTTTATTTTTCTCACTTAAGTGCCAAAATCTTGCGAAAAGTGATTTCTGTAAAGAATGGCTGTATTTGCCTGCTCCGTTTTCTTGGATAATTTATTGTGTGTAAATTGCTCCATGCACTGTCAACATTAATAATATTTTGTTTGATATGTGTCCTCTTGTAATCTCTGTAATCAGATGATGTGATGTGCCATGTTAATATTGTGCTGTACATAAAACCATAGTGGTAAACGTCTGTGTCTCATCATCACTGATATCTACACACCTCCCAGGGACTGAGATGTGACCTCATTGCACAACACTCACACACGCTGCCATTAATCATCGACTCGAGGCTTTCGGTTAGTCCGAGCGCTGAACGGCTGACTTTAGTCATTGCTCCATCAGGAGGATGCCTCTCAGGAAATCCTTGGTTAATCTGTTTCTGCTGTGCTTTATATTTTCTGAGAATAACAATGGATGCTACTTTGACACAGGTGAGTTTTATTGATTCGGATTCTCTCATTTCACATTTTAAAATCTTAAACAGTGTCCTGTGACTTTTCATTCATTAAGCTGAATCAGTTCGGCAGCTGCCAAGACCGAGCATCAGTGATTTCCAGGCTGTCAGAGACAAGCAAAGCCTCGTGGTGAGCTGGCAGCTAAACCACAGTGGCTTAGTGGGAGATTTTTACGAGATTCAGATCGGCCGCACTGAAAACCACATCATAATTTACAGTGTGAGTACTGAAGGCCAAAACTGGAGGAGGGAGGCTTTCTTTGATTCAAATAGGTGGAATTTAGAGCTGTTTGGTGTTTATAGAAGCATGTAGTCATAAAGGAACAAGTAAAAATCCATAATGTTTCTGTGACTTCTGTTTAGTGTCCTGAAAGTGTCTTCATGCCTTAAATTTGATCTTAACATTTACTTAAACATGCTATGAACAAAAAGACATTTTAACCCTTCAAAGCTGCATCCCACTTATTATAAGAAGTAGACAGTCTTGTTTTTGACTGTAAGTATGATGCTGATAAAGCTTCTGCAATCTTGTGTGATATCCTGTTTGTTGCTCCAGGAGAATTGTAGTGTGCTTTCTTCCGATCAATATGAGTACACATGGACATGGACCTCAGATCTGCCTCTGGAGTGTGCTGATCACTCAGCCAGGATACGTTTTTTCTACAACCAGTTTATCCCGAGTCCCTGGAGCAAGTGGAAAACAAACCGCAGTAAGATGCTTCTGCGCTTGTTCTTAATTTCCTTTTTGTCGCCATTGATCATGAATCTCTTTAAATCTCTATTTAACAGTATATTTTGTCACTAAGTCACACATAGTTTTGATTAGTCAGTGTGGGTTAGTGAAACCAAACCAGGTGTTTAAAAAAGGTGAGTTTGTGGTGAATCCCTGATAAGATCATGACGCCATGTAAGTTCTTGTTTGAACTTCCTCAGCAGAAATGAGGGGCCCTCCCATGTTTTTTTCAACTATCTCAATATCTGAGTTTCACAACTCATTGCAAATGCGTGCTGCATTGTGCATCCTACATGAGGGACCGCCAATCTAAAATTAAAGGACTAACATATGTAGAGTCGGGGGGTATGTTTTCTCTACTCCCTTCAATCACATGAAAGGTGTCTCATTGATCCAGAATCTTACATTAAAGGTTGATATTAAGGTAAATTTACTGAGGAGGAAATACAAATCTATCAGCACCTCTTTATGAGGACACTACTGTTACTGAGACTCAGATATATTTCTACTCTGTGACCTTTAGGTGAACAGGCGAAGGAGAAGATCCTGATTTACCCCTTCCAGAGGGTGCTGAGAGAGGGCACCAGTGCCATGTTTTGTTGCATTCCCCCAAAAGGAGAAAATATTACCAGCATTTCCATCAATAACAGCAAGCACCCTCTTATTAGCGTCGACACCAGAGTCAAGGCTATATCTGTAGAAAACGTGCCCGTCCAAACATCGTTTATCAACTCTCTGACAGTCACTTGCAGCACTGACTCAGGAAACGTCAGAGAGATCTGGAACTATGTAAGCTGTGAGTTTAAATGATGACATTTGTATTCAGTGTTTGATCACATTTATTTAATTAGACATACACTGGGTTGTCCAAAGAACCTTTACCTTCATATTTATGTGTGTGTGCTCTGCAGCTCCTCCCCAGAAGCCCAGAAACATCAGCTGTGTGACCCCAGACATGACAACTGTCACTTGCACCTGGAATTCAGACCACACAGAGGAGGTGGATAACCACAACAAGAAAACGCACACTCTGCACATTCAGTAAGTGCACAAATGAAGAAACACAAGGAATTTTTAGGCAGGACATGCTTTAATCAATCAGACTCAGATTGAAAAACACTTTTCATACAACCATAATGTATTAAAATACATAATGCTGTAGATAGAAATTAAAAAACAAATTAATTCAAAGGGATCATTTGCAGCAGTTAGAGTTGTTTTGAACCTTGTGTTCAGTTCCTCAGTCTGTGCACCAGTACCAATGACTAAAACCTGAGTTTTGTCCTGGTGGAGCTGTGAAAAGTTCTCTGCCATCCATGACCTGATATCTAAAATACAATGAAAAAGAGTGTAAATTAGATGTCAGTTAGATCAGCAGCAGACATGACAATATAAAGCTGTTAATCATCTGCATAGATGGAAATAGATGCTGTGCCTCCTGCTGACATTTTCAAGAAGTAAAGGGTCAAAAAGTGTGGGGCCTAAAACTGACCCCTGGGGGACACCGCAATTCATTTTCTAGCGCCTAAATGAGCATTCACCTATACTGACTTAAAATTATTGTGTTTCATAAAACAACTTTCTATTTCAGGCAGCATGTTTGTTCAGTGAGGCAAGACAGTGTACCTCAAAATACTGAGTACTGATAGTCCCTGAGTGAATCATCCTCTGCCATCAGTGTATGTGTGTGGTGTGAATGGGTAAATGTGACGAATCAGTTTTATAAGGAGATGTTTCAAACAGAAGTCATTGCACTTTTTTTCCACCTTTAAAACCCTGATGAAACCATGTTCAGAGCAGGAACAGTTGGAAACACTGTTTTGTTTTTGCTGCCCCTTAAAATCCAGGAACTCAAACCAAGGTCCCGTCGTTTGCCAGCAGTTGTCTTGTACTTTCCCGGCTGTCCCCCAGCTAGAGAAATACAATATCAGTGTGGTGGTGGAGGACCAGCTGGGGAAGGTGACGGAGATCTTCAGCTTTAACATCTCTGAAAGAGGTCTGACATCTCAACAGAATGATGAATTCACTAAGCGAACTTAAAAACAAACATGCTCAGACAAATGTACTGTTATTTTAGTGTTTCCTGTTGTGGAGTGGGACACAGTGAGCCCTGCAGTGATGGACACCTCTGTGTCATGGCTCGTTCAGGGGAACTTAACTCACCTGGACGTCCTCTGTCAGGTCACCGCAGAGCCGTACATCAGCACCGAAGTAAGTTTAACCCACATTTTATTCTCCTCAAGTGAACATTTTTGTGAGTGTTTTCCAAACTTGAATGTTTGTGTGATGACAGGTGAGATGCTCAAATGTGAGAGGGTTCTGCAATGGCAAACTGGAACATCTGCTACCCAACACACGCTACACTACAAGGGTTCGCTGCTCTGCTGGTAGCAATGGCTGGGGAGAGTGGACTCAGCCTGTAACCTTCACAACCTGTAAGTAATAAAGGTCTATATTAGCAGTGAGGTTTGGTGTGTGCTGGGTACACCCAAGTGAGTTTTACGTATAAGTTACATGGAGTTTGGCTACATTGAGTTTAGCCTAATAAGGGAGAGGGGTTTCAAGTTAGCCATGGTTAGAAACCTGTAGTATAGCATCTACTTAGTCTACACTATCAATTAATGTCCCATGCGTTTGTGAACGAATACATCATTACACATTACAATCATTACACATGATAAGAGTGATTAAGTGATCTTCTATGCCCCTGACGCCTTTAACAAGAAAGTTTCTTTTTCCTCAGATCCTTTGGTGATTTTGGATGTTTGGAGGAGAATAGAGCAGCTGCCGGACCCAAACAGTCGTGAAGTTACTCTGCTGTGGACTTTAGTGAGACTTAACGCCTGTCTTTTATCATAAATACAGATCAGATACAGGATTAGTCACACTTCTCTGGTTATACCAACTTCAGCAGTGACCGCATGATAGCAATTCTCAGCGATCTATGTCTCCACGCGCAAACCGCAACCAAAAAGCCACTTTACAGCCACAAATAATTCTCAGAACAGCACCTAACTTAATCAACAGTAGATATAGGGTCCTTGCTTTAGTCCTAGCCACCAAACATCTTTTTAACTGCTTGGTTTCTTTGGCAAAGAAGCCAAACACAACTCACCCACTTTTCTCCAGCAGCCGCTTGTGCAGGGGTGGGCAATCATGTGCCATGGAGAGCCGAGAGGCTGCAGGTTTTCTTTCCAACCCAAAACTCCACCAGGTGATTTCACTGATTACCTTACCTCCAAGCAGAGAGCAGGGACTAATCAATGAAATCACCTGGTGGAGTTTTGGGTTGGAAAGAAAACCTGCAGCCTCTCGGCCCTCCATGGCACATGGTTGCCCACCCCTGCACTTGTGTGTGGGGGGAGCCCTGATGAGTCGATCACCGAGTGCAGCGGAGTTTCGCAGCTCAAAGAAGAAAATTTATGATAATTACTTCATGGAAACGCAATCAGAGTTCTGGTATATCTTGTATGTGAGTTTATAACTGTTATTACCGAGTGCTGGCTGGGAAATGAGCACAGATGAGCATAAGATTTTTGATGATTGATCAATAGATGGATGAATAGTTGGATTGATGCTTTATCGATCCTGAGGGAAATAATAACAACACCAACCTTTCCATAGTTACAAGACTGTAACTTTAGCATGTAAGATATAAAACATGTACAAAATAAACTGTAGAACCAGCAGATCAGATATTAAAATTAATCCATTCAAAATTTTGAATTAGATCATCACAGGAAATGTACATTTAATGTTTGCAAAAAGAAAACAATTGGAACCTACGACTGCAATCACAGAATAAATTTTAATAGATCGAAGCACATTTATAAACAACTTACAATAAAATATATGCTACACAACCAAGCCAGAAAATAAACCTTAAATCAAATAAAATAATAAAACAATACTTGAGAATGTCTGAACAGTAATTATAATCGTTTTAGTTCACTTGACTTAAAAATTATATGTAGCTGACCCCCTCAACCACTGTTTTCAGCGTATTCCTGGTTCAGCAGCTACAGTAAACATCCAAAACTACACAGTCCTGTGGTCACAGGGAGGCAAAAACCAGACTGAGTGGAAAGACAGCGGACAGACACAGGCACAGGTGTCCATAGGACCAGAACAGTGTGACTTCACGCTCCAGGCTGTTGTCAAGAGAGGCTCTACTATCCCTGCTCACATCACTGTCCAACAGAGAGACGACCAAGGTGGGGGACACATGAGAAACCAGTTTAGACTATCAACACAACAGCTTAAAGCTCTAAATACAAGATGCCTACTTTGGTGTCAAAGCAAATTTTAATGTTGGGCTGTTTAAGTGACATTTATACTTCAGTGTGGGTCAACGTTTGTGTGATTGAAACAGTCTGATGTTGTGTTACTGCGCAGCAAACCCCCCGGTGATAAGGAGGTTAAACAGCAGCACAAACGCTGGTTTTAACCTATCCTGGGATCAGCTTGAAACTGCCTCCTGTGGATACACTGTGGAGTGGTGCATCATGGGAACTGCAGTGCCTTGTACTCTGCAATGGGTAAAAGTGCCAGAAGGAAACAACACTGTATTTCTCTCTGCAGGTCAGCCTTGTTTTCAGTTTTTTCTTCATTCCCTTTACTTTTATGTGAACTTTTTAAAGCTTTTTTGGGGTTAATTTATCTATTATTGCTTTTACATGTGGCAGGACATTTCAAAGCAGGTCGCAGGTACACATTCAACATCTATGGATGCAGAGAAAACACACACCGACTACTAGAAGTGCAGACTGGATATTTACAAGAGCTCAGTAAGTTATCACACTCCTGTAAACATGTCCTCAATGTTTTTAAGAACATCAGATTACATTTCCTGAATATCACTGTGCGTCTCATAAACACAGATAAGATGATTTAATGTCACCAAACTAACTACGAGTAGAACCAGAGAGAAACAGGATTGATGCGCTCATAGTTACAAACAAAACCAGATATCTGAAGTTTTGACACAAAGTCTGCCTCAGAGGCTCCAGTATGAACACCCTCCTGAGGCCTCCTTCGGGTATGTTAGGTGAAAAGGAGAAAGTTCAGAGAAATTACTCAAATTATTCATCCTCTGACACCTTTACTCAGAACACCTGAGGGAATTTTATTGTAAGAAAAGAAACGAGAAGGTTATCATACTGGGAAGAGAGCCAGCTCAGTGAGACGTTTAGAAGCTGCTTTCTGGCATTTTTCCTACAAGTTAAAACTTGCATTGTTAGATGAAGTCTGTTCCTTTAATTCCTGTTCACTCAACCCCCACACCCCTCGTTTCCCAAAATCTCCTGAATTTCTCTAGAATCAGTGCCCTCCCCAACACTGATGGAACCTGTTCAGAGCACTTCCTCATCAGTGACACTGGAGTGGAGTTACAGGGAGGATGACACAGCTTATCCTGCGTTCATCTCTGGTTATCTTGTCACAGTGCAGGAAGTAAGGTCTGACAGGCAGTCAGGGTACAATGCAGGTGAGTGCAGAGGCAAACTCTCACTGCCAGCAACTCCTGATAAGGATCTGGTCGTGTTAAAACATGCAAATGATATGAGAATCTACTTGAACATGCAATGTGACACAGACATTGATTTGAAGCGTGAGTCTGTGATGGTTCTGGACAACATGAAACAAAGCCCTAATATCTTTGTGCACCTCCAGAGCTGTTCAACATGTCAGTGGCAGACCCTCAGAAGAAGTTTGTGACCGTAGAGGGTCTGCAGCAGAACCAAGAGTACGCTTTCTCTGTGAGTGCTTTCACTAGAGAGGGAGCAGGACAAGCAGCGAGTATCACAGTCAGGACCAAAACCAACTGTAAGCTCCATCACCAATCACAGCTTCAATGATATGATATGTTTTTACAACATTTGATCCGGTTTCCCCCCTTTTATATTCTACTACACGGGCTTGTGTTTGATCAGTTGAATTTATTCTCTTTTCTCTGTCAGACTCTGGTCACATGGTCAAGGTTCTGACTCCCATCTTGTTACTGCTGGGCTGCACTGTCCTCCTGTGGCCTCAAAGAAAAACGCAAGTCACTTCTCTGGACCTAATTTCACAAGTTGTTCCTGCAAAAGACAACCCTAAACCTCTCTCCATCCTCTTCTTTTTTTGATCTGTTTCTGTCCTGTAGGCTGCAGAGTGGGCTCAAGGGAATATTTGTTTATCCTGCTGGTATGAACATCAAGATTTCTGAGTTTGACAGCTTCCTGCAGGAGGTGAGGACAGAGCTGTGGTAGTCAGATCTTACATATATGCTAAGCTATATTTAAAAACTAAACCGGTTGACCTAATGAGTAACCTTTAAGAATAATTCCAGTCTTGTTTCTGCCTCCTTCATAAGTAAAAGCCATTACTTTGTAGCAGCTAACCCTGAACTTTTGACCTTTCTCCTCCTCCCTGATCCGAGTTTGGCCTTGACAACATCTCTCATCCTTAACAGACAAGCCTCATTGGAACCACTGACAAACCCTCACACTGTTTTACATCATACCTCTCTGGCTGTGCTCAGTTCATTTGACGTAAACCTCCCAAATCCCAGCCAATTCCAATTACTACTGGTGTCCCTCAGGGTCCTGTCCTGAGGCTCCTTCTTTTTTTATCATTTATTTACTTCCTTTTGGTCATATCTTCTGTAAATATTACACTAATTTCTATGTAGATGACACCCAGCTCTTACTTCTCTTAATGTCTTAAAGGGATATACTGGCATGAATTTAAATTAGGGTCAAACACACCATAACACCGAGTTAGACATCCCCTCGAGAGATGAATGTTGCCAACCCCCTGCTTCTCTAGTTATACCAACTTCAGCAGTGACCGCATGATAGCAATTATCAGCGATCTATGTCTCCACGTGCAAACCGCAACCAAAAAGCCACTTTACAGCCACAAATAATGCTCAGAACAGCACCTAACTTCATCAACAGTAGATATAGGGTCCACGCCATAGTACTAGCCACCAAACATCTTTTTAACTTTGCCTAATTTCTTTAGCAAAGAGACTAAACACAACTCACCCACTCTCCTCCAGTAGCTTCTTGTGTGTGGGGGGAGCCCTGGCGAGCCGATTACTGAGTGCAGCGGAGTTTCGCAGCTCAAGGAGGAACATTTATGATCGTTATTTCATGGAAATGCATTCAGAGTTCTTGTGTATTTTGTATGTGAGTTTATAACTGTTATTATCGAGTGTTGGCAGGGAAATGAGCGTAGATAAGCATAAGAGTTTTAACTTTACTTCTTCACCTTCAAGAGTGAGGAGATAGCATGATATTGTGGTCGTTACTAAAGTTGGTTCAACTACAGAAGCAAGCGGTCAGCAACATTCATCTCTCGAGGGGGTGTCTAACTCAATGTTACGATGTGTTTGACCCAAAGTTAATTTTATGCTGGAACATCTCTTTAAGTGAACCATATCCTGGTTTTGAGAAAGAGTCAATGACCTGAAAGGGAGAAACCAATGAGCTGTCAATTGTAAGGGGAAAACAATCAAGTTTTGGATGGTGGTGGATTTGATGTAGTTTGTTCATTTAACTCTATTTCCTTCTGCATGTTTACACAGACCGGTGAGCGACTAAACTCTCAGAGCCCAGAGGAGTGCAGAAGCTGTGACATTGAGATCTTGAACACGAGACCCCTTCTGACTGAGACAACAATACTAGGACATCCTGAGCACCTGAACACAACGCCCCTTCTTGCTCCCGGGTCCTCTCCTTCAGCTCTACCACTCTCCTGTGTGCCCCACCATGCAGAATACTGTCCTCAGCTTTGGGACCAGGCAGTTCTTCAACAGACTACATGCATCACTAACGAGACTTATTTTCACACCATGGAGAGGGACCCGTCTGAAACACAAGGAGTCACACTCTCTGATATCAAGATCAGTTTAAACTTTTCTGACTGTCAACAGGAGCCATGTAATGTCATGAGTGGGTATATCTCTAATGAGAATTTATGACACAAAGTCACAAACTTCTGTTTCTCTTGCAGTCTATGTTTTAAGAGTGAAGACACTGCGGTTGATCAGAATCTTGAACTTGCTCTGTTAATTTCTAACGCTCACTTTATTTATGTATTTAAAGCTCCTGACTTTTTCCCCTGCAGCGTTAAAATCTACTCAATGCATGTAGAAGTGAGAGTGCAACAAAAGAGGAACTCACCATAAACTGTGGAGCAGTTCAAGTTCAATGTACAGGATGTAAGGCGAAGGCCCCGATAAGCTAGAATTTCCTCAGCTGTAGTTGAATTTTGCATGAGGTGTGTTGCTGAAAATAAATGCTTGGAAAACAAACCTGTGCGAGAAACTGTCAGTCTGAGTTGAGAGAGATTAATCATTACATGATGAGATAGTTAAGAGATGATGTGGTGAAAGCTTGTGGAGGAAACGTTGATTCCTGAAGTTCCACAGGTTTTTCTGAAGAACTGGCTGTAATAGAAACACACAGAACTGGTTCAGAGCAGGAAGTCTGTGTAATCTAAATTATGGCATTTTACCAGAACTTTAATCCAAAAATAGCATGACTCCAAATCTGTTCCACCATCCTATCTTTATGTTTTTTTGCACAGAATGATTCTTTCGTGTCTTATTTATCCATTTTTAATCAATCAGCATCTTGAGTAAATACTATCATTTTATAAATCTAGCAGAACTTTGAGCCACATTCCCTGTCCATTACTTAATTCACTTACATAAACCTCAAAGCTGAGCTAAGTTGCAGAACTGGTTCTGATAACCAAAAGACAAACCCATGCTGGGATGTTGCTGTAACAGATCCAGCTACTCAAACAGTGAGTGACAAACAACATACTTGGAGGAGGCTCAGCTGCTGCTGGACCGAGTCCATTCATGCAGGATGTGTCCATCCGGTATCAATGCGATCTTAGTGTTGGCTTTATAGACTCAGGGATTGAACAGCTTGAAGACTGACCTGATCTGACTTGATGACAAACAAAGACTCAGATTACACACTTCTCCTTTTACTCACTTGGACCCTAAATCTGTTCACTCTTCTGTTTCATATAAGCTCACTCCATCTGTGTTAAGTTTTTCTTTCTTTATTCCTAAGTAATCACAAATTAATCAAAAATACACCATGGAATAAATTCAAAAATATATAATTGAGTCTCATTTGAAGTTTCATCAAAATGTGGCTACCTGATCTCTGCATTTATTTCTATTCACAGATTGAGTGAAAAACAAAAGTCACAGTTTAACGTAGAGTGTCGTACAGTAGTTGAAAAAACATGTTGGAGACATCCTGAGTGTTGTGCCTCAACCACTTGGAATGAAAAAAAAAAACAAAAAAAACAAGAAGACATTTTGAACGACCTATGAGAAATTCTTCAACTGGGACAGATTTCATTGTATTGAAGATGTATGTGAAGCCATAAAAGAGGACGTTACAAATGCAACATTCAGTAAAAATACACTAAAATACCACGATCCATCCATCCATCACACATGTGCACACACAGCTAATGAGTCAGTAGAGCAAGCTGCCTCGGTCCAGAGAGTAAAGCAGCACAACCTGACCCGCCACAAGAGTTTTTCACATCAACACAGTCTCTCTGAGTGGACAGCGGCCCACATCAGACAGTTGAGTCCACCTTTTGCAGTTGATCTTTGGATCCATCTGAGGATATCCTCCAGCAGCATACTGTCACAGTTAGAGCAAGGTCCGCTCTCAGATTTTAGTTCACATTGTCAACAGATGAAATATATCTCCAAGCTGGCAGTCAGCTGTCACACAGTACTCCTCTGCTGCACTCGCACCCTCACCTTGTTGTGCTTTCTGAAAGGAAAGATGAAGAAATGTGTTTCAGCGCCAACAAAAATAAAGAGAGAAGTTTTTATGAAGTGGAAAACATTGTTCATCATGTGAGGCTCCATGACTTTTTTTTTGATGAGCTGGGTTACAAAGTTCAGGTGTATGACATCAAACAGCTAGGCGAACAAATGGAGGCTTGCTGTGTCAACAAAATCAAAGCGGGCTAAATCAAGTTGGAGCCTGTGTGTCTGTTCTTTACCGTTGTGGTGGGGACACCATGCACTTCCACAGGACGGCATAGAGAGCGAGGAGGAAGGTGATGAACACTGTGGCTGCAATGGCGCCTGGAGGCATAAAACGTACAGATATATTCAACGTTTCTGGATCTTTTAAAGCTTCTTCTTCTGTCTCTGGTTCAACTGTTGTATCTTTGTAGGTGGGCTCTGTTTAAGCTAAGTGAAGCATCTTACACATGAGGGGGGGTTCTCTCTGAAACTGGTTCTGCAGAGTCTGTAAAGAAACCACATTCTTGTCAAAACTGGGCTTACCGGGTATGATTCCACTATTCCTGGTTAAAGGGTCCTCTGTGTGAGAGGGGTGAGTGGCTGCTGCTGTCGAAGCTGGGTGTAAAAGAGGATGACAACACTTGACAACATAAAATTACTGAATGAGAGTGACTAAACGATTCAAAATCCTATTTGGACATGAGACCTTAGGCTCTGGGAGACTTTTACAACATGTTTGATAAATCGGAGACTAATTAATCGATTAATCTGGAGTATAATCAGGGATTCATCAAATATAAAGATGACATTTGAAGCCCTAATTCCATCTCCTCATGCTTCTCTGAAAGCTTTACTTCTTGAGTGTTGGCACTGTCTAAAACTGAGATTACATGGAATTCACCTGAAGCAGATCTCCCTCTGATATCTGTAATGTGATCCAGATAGTCAAAGTTGTGGCTCTTTTAGCTCACCCCTCAATGGATCTATTTAGCTCTAAAAGTAGACCTTCGTGTTGCAAAGCTTTTCCTAAAATCCACAGTATCAGCTTTGATCCAACCACAGACACATTAGAATTGCATATACTCACAGATAAACTTTATTGAACAGAGTGGGATCATTACTAAAGAAGAAAAAGGAGGGATAAAACCTTACAAGGAGGGGGGAACTTACCATTTCTCTGATGAACTGTGTGCAGAAACTGCCATGAACGGAGATCTGGGTCAACCATCTGAAAACACAGGAAAACACAAGAGTCAGAAAGAAAGAAAAAAAGTGGAGCAAAGTGCAAAGAAAGGACAGGCCAGCTCGACCTGTGCATGTTTTGATCAGCCCCCCAGTTCAAATGGCCTGTTCTTGTTTTAAGCATGCAGAAATGAAGAGAAAGGAGGACTTGTGTGCAGGTTGGATCAGTAAAAAGTCATGCTTTATAGCCTGCAGCAGATGTGGGAAACTGTGCAAGAGGTCGACTAATGTGGAAAATCAGAGAGCTTTGGGCAGCTCCAACTAACTTTAAAAAAAAACAATCTGTATACTTGATGAAAACAACTTTAACTTTGGTGTTAAAGTTTTACAAACGCCACCCTCAGAGGTTTTGTAGACAACAAGTCAGTCAGGAAAGTCCGTGTGAAAATCCCGTCACAGAAAGAGACTCCTCACTAAACATGCTGGTTTTGGTTTGTTAATGTTCAAAATAGTCTGTCCAGCGTCAAATGTCGTCTTTAGCTTCTTACCTTCGAGTTGTTTTCGTCGCTCACGACCACCCTGCTCCTGTTTGTCACCTCGGTCCACATTTCTGCTGCTGTGCACCGAGTTATCAGTTCATGTTGTTGTCTGTCTGCTGACTGACTTCGGCTGCTCGGCTGAACCGCGCTGCTCGTGATGCTTTTAAGTGCCGCTTTTAAAGTCGGACCACTGTGTTTTGCTGATTATAACCGGAGTCAGGAATATTAATTAAATCTAATCACCGAGAACTCTGAGTGGGCTTTTTGAATATGATATTTTCATGTATGGATGAGTATCAACGTGGTGAAAATACCGTCTAGTTTTTCGCCTCAATCTTGTTTGTATGGCATTCAGGACGACACAGAGGCGATATTTCCTGCACCCCATGAAAGTATCGCCCGTTCAGTTTACCCTCCCATTTCGGGTAGTGATGGGCATGGCAGTTCTTTTAGATTTACTGAATCACTGGAATCAGTTCTCTAGAAAGATTCGTTCAAAAGATTCGTTCACCAAATCACCTGATCACTTAACGCTTGGTGGGAGAGGCCTGTGACCCCGACCTCCTGAACTGATTCACTGCTGAACGTTTCAGGATTCAGTTCAATTCAATTAGCAATTAGCAAAGGTCATGATGCTTTAAGTGTACTGTCCTATTGTATGCCATTTATCAGGTCTGCTCATAGACTGTATATACTATGGACAACTTGGTTCCACCTCCCGCCTGTATACGGATTTGAAGCCAAAAAGCTCTTGGTATTTCCAAGATTTTTCTTCATTTCCTGAAACCAGCGCTGGGCAGTAGCGTTGTGCGCATTCAACGGGAGAGTTGCCAAGAGTCGCTGTGATGATGCTCGGCTCAAACAGCGTATCCCCCGGGTGAGCTACGCAATCCCTGAACGCCAATAGGCTGTATCAGGTGTCAATCACAGAAAACATGAACCTCCTAATAACTTTTAAAAACGTAGCTTCACAGAAAAAAGAGGACTTGAGCACAAACCAGTCTTACTGTAACTACATGTCAACATCACAAGCAGGGGGGAGAAAATTTTGTTCTGTGTAATAAATTTCTAAAGTTTGTCCACAGCTCCATAAGCTTTGCTGGCGGAGGCGGGATTTATGACCTATACTGCAGCCCCGTCACCTGAGGGTGCTGCTCTCAGAGTGGCTTCACCCAGGGAGGAGGCAGACGCTGTCCATTCTATATACAGTCTATGGGTCTGCTCAGTAAACTGGGCTCAGTGATCGATTCGTTCACTGAATATTTAGAAGAAGTCAGACTGAACATGCACCATCCCCTCGCAAACCGCTGCTGGTTTAATGCGCTACTTGTTACATGCTGTGTCCTATTGTATGAAAGTTGTTGTGGTGGCAGTTTAGCAGTAGTAGTTCAATGCGTGATTCATACACCAAGTGATTCAGGCGTCGGTGCATATGGTTCCTCATTCACCGGCTGCTGCCATGGCAATGCTGTTTCTCACTCCAGCTCAAATGAAGTGAGAAACGAACGAATCGCTTGAGAAAGTGATTTGGTTCAGTACGTTCACTTAAAAGATTCGGTTCTTTTTAACGAATCGTTCACAAACGACACAACACAAATGAGAGGCTCCTAATTTCAGTGCTGATTAAAAGGTTTAAGAGAAACAACTTTTGGCGTTCACAGAGAATAAGTTTTTTTTACATGATTCCCTTTAACACACCACAGGAGCCTCCACATAAATGCCTAAAACTATCACCGCCACACCAAAAGGCTTGTTTTTGTGTGTTTATCTTGGCGAGATAACATGTTCTGTACACAGTGTGAACACACATGTCCCTGAAAGAAAACAAAACAATATTACAGAGAGAAAAGAACAGTTTATTATCCGATATCTGTTTTAAATTTGCAGACCACATCAGGGCCCAAAACGTTTAATGCAGACCATTTACAATACACTGATCAGCAAAGCCTGACCTGCAAAGAGCTACAGCATGACTTCATAGATCTGACAGATTTTTAATTCAGTACATCAATTTGAAATTTGAAAAAGAAGAAATTAAACAAAATTTTCAAATACAACCCTGGACACACTTCAAACTGGAATTAGTCATAAGAATAGCATATACAAAGGTCAGTTTACTGTCCTTGTTGAGAATCATTTCAATTCTCTCCACATTGAAGAGCGACACACACACCAACAGTCTGCAGAGATATTGCACACAATTTTACACTGTAAAAGCAGAGAGAACAGTTCAGATAACACATACAACACTCATTAGTTCTCACACACAGGCACTCAACAGCAGCCTGATGGTGTATATCAGCAAATCATACACACACACATACGGCAGAAAGCGAGCAGAGAAATATCTAAAATACACAACCGAAGGCATCTCTTTATCTTTAACTGATCTGCAGTTCCTGAAGAAAGATCCTCTACCCAGTCCCACCTACAAACAAAGCAAACAGTGCTGACAATAAAAAGAGTCAGCTGTTGTGGAGTGTCTTTAAAAAGACTTGTACGTGAAGAAATTTAAGTTATAACATCACTGAGAAAACATCTGTTCTCTTTTTAGATCCATTTTAGGGGAAACCAGCAGGAGCAGCTCCTGAGGTTCTCCAGAATCACCCCAGTCACAATTAGAGATGGTTAAATATCAGTGATCTGAGATTAGAGAGGTACGGGTAAGTCCAGGACTGGACTTCAGCTGTCTGGAAAACCTTCTTATGGATCACTGTGTGTGGTGGCTGTCATAGTGAAAGCAAAGCTACAGTACACAGAGTAAAAGAGAACAGCGTTATAAGTCCAGTCCTTCCCAAGAGACATTATAATAAAACAGGACTGTGAGGGGTTAATGTTAGCCACACTGCAATAAGGCTGTGTCAAGAAGAAGAAAAAAAAAGTTCTGTCTACATTTTACATCAAATCTATCACTCCCCGTCAGCTTTCAGATGCATCACTCAACAACACACTCATCCAAAGTGGGAATGTTTCAGATTTCAATATTACGAGAGAAAGAAAAGCAGAGAAATCACCAAATCCTGCCGAGCTAACTTCTTTCAAGATAAAATTCTTTAAGATTTTGATATCAAACATCGAGGCGTTCACCAATGCCTTCACTCACACTTTTTGAACTGAGCCCTACGACGAGGCTCACTGAAACAAAATGGTGTAAATGAACAGGGCCACCTTGTGGGTTTCTGAAAAACTGAACTAAACGCAACGCTTAATTGACACCTAATGAATTCACAAAATAAGACTGTGAGATTGTCAGAGTGGCCTTGAGGCACAAGCACAACTGTGGTTAATACTATCGCAGGTGTTAGGACTTTTAATAAGACTATGAAGATTTGATTAAATCTGAAAAACATTTAAAGATGTTTGAAACACACATCACCGATCCACGTCACACTATTTGTCCTCAGCTGGTATTGAAACACTGCACAGATGTTAACCCCTGTAATAAGGTTAAAAATTATTCAAATGTTACGTTTCTCCTCCCTCAGACAGAACCCCATCACTGCTTCAGCCCCCATCAGTCACAGTCCTGGATCAGCCACTCTTCGCCTTTCCACCCTTTCTCGCTCTTATCCTGGAGCCCCATCTCAGATAAGACAAAGTCTGTTCTGTCCTTAGTGTTGAGAGCTGGTGGCTGGTGCATGATGGGAGTTGTAGGAAAAGCAGAAAGGCAGAGAGGCATGTGTCCACGAGGAACGAGGCAGCAGCATCACATGATTTCACAGCATGAGTTCTGTTTCCGTGCCTGCGGGGTCGACACACAGACGCACAGTCAAGGATTGAACTGAGTGAACGAACTCTAGACATTCATAAGTGAAAGAGCTGAGACAACAGTACTCACAGTCTTGTAGAAGGCTTTGGACTGGTTTCCAAGGTGCTCTGATTTTGCAACAAGATCATCCAGCTTCTCTCCACGTTCCAACAAACTTTCCATAGTGTTGTGCTAAAGAAACAAAATAATAGTTTAAACAATGTTACATCAAAATTTCAAGTATATAGAGCCACAAAATGATCAGTCTGTGTTAAATCAGAATCTACATGCCTTCTAAAAACTTGACTTGTTTCTTCAGTTATGTATGATCAACTCCAAAACAGGAGCTTATTAGAAACAGTTACACTGGGCTGTATCTTTGAGCACACTGTGGCTGTCAATGACAACTTGTTTTCAAGCAACCAAGAATCTTTTTCAGGCAATTTGCTATGTGAGCAGCAACAGTGTGGTGGTGGCAGGTAAATACTGGCATCAAGAGTTTGTCAGCAAATTTGCACACTGGAAAATCCTGGAGGTTAATTAATGATGAAAACTCTGCTACAGATTTCAAGACGTTGTACTTCTGTTACCACTTATACATGAGTAAATATATATTTTAAAAATACTGTATATATACACTACAGGCCAAAAGTTTGGAAGCAAGGCCATTACAAGCCAAACAGTTGGGAGTAACTTTACGTTTTTGTTCAAAATGCTTTTTTTAAAATCCAGCATGAGTTTCATGTATTTTTGGATGTATTTACTTCATGATCAGATGTTGCTTTCACGGAAATGCACCATTTTACTCCATTTACCTTAAGATATGCATTGATGTTAACAGACCATTGCCAAATATATGTCAGCAAAAGATAATAAGGGCTTGGTTGCAGGGTTGAAAACATTTGCAAGAGTCACAACTTCAGTGCAAAAGCAAAAAAACAAATCACAGTTGAATTTCACTTCAACTTTTTGGCTTTTGAGAGTCTGCATACAAAAATTCTAATAAATCTCAACTGCGTTCAAACTACCGCAAAAATGGCTAGAAAGAAGCAACTGAGTAAAGAAACTAAAGTACATATTTGTACATTGAGGAAAGAAGGATACACAGAAACAGAAAATTGTAAAACGCCTAAAGGTGTTTAACAAAGGAGTCCACTACACTCTGAAGAGACTAGAGGAACCTGGAAGTTATGATGATAGAAAAAGACCTGGATGAAAGAGAGTTACTACAAAAGCAGAGGATAAACATATCATTGTCACCAGTAAGAGAGATCAGGGAAAGACAGCACCAAAAATAAGGGAGGAAATCAACATGACAAGGTCGAAACCCATATCTCTGACAACCGTGAAATGACGTTTGAGAAAGGCTGGTCTGAAGGGTTGTGTATCTGCGAAAAACACTACTTCATCCACAGAACAAGAAAAAGAGATATGAGTGGGCAAAAGCTCACAAAAATTGGACTTATGATGACAAGAAACAAGTTTGCACTATTCGGTTCAAAACACAGAGTCTATGTCCGCAGACAAACTGGTGAACGTCTGAAAGTACCATGTGTTACACCCACAATTTAGCATGGAGGTGGCAGTTCCATGGTATGGGGATGTTTTGCAGGTGATGGAGTAGGAGATTTGTTTGAAGTAAAGGGTATTATGAAGAAGGAACAGTACCACTCCATCCTCCAGCACCATGCTGTTCCATCTGGACTAAGACTTGTGGCTCAGCAAGACAATGATCCTAAGCACTCTGCCAAGCTCTGTCAGGGTTACTGAGACAAAAAAGAAGAGGACGGTGTTCTTCAAAAGATGGTTTGGCCCCCTCAGTCTCCAGACCTTTCTCAATTGAGCTTGTGCTGGATGAATTGGATCTATCGGTCAGAAAAACACGTCCCACAAATCAGCAGCAACTTAAGAAAGCTTGGAATGCAATCCCTGGAACATACCTTAAAAAAACTTGTGGAACGAATGCCTGGTATATGCCAAGCTGTTGTTAAAGCCAGAGGAGGGTATTTTAAAGAAAGCAAAGTCTAAGCAACAGTAACTCAAATACCTAATAATTATAGTGAAATTATAAAATTATAAACATGAAACTATGATCTTTTTTGTACAAATCTGATCTTGCTTCCAAACTTTTGGCCTGTAGTGTGTGTGTATATATATATTTTACAACACTAGAACCAGACTGGTGTTCAATATTAGTTTGCATGCACTGCTACAATTCTGGGTAACAAAAACTTGGCGAAGAAAAGTTTTTTTGTTGCATTTTACATTGATAAAGGAGTGTCAAGTATTTACCAAAATGATCTTAGTCTCATCCAACTCTGCCTGAACTTTGGTCATTGCATCTGCTTCCCTGGGATTCTGCGGGGAAAGACCAAACAAGCTGTTAGAAACATGGCAATTACATACAAATTTGTTAGCAACATTTGGGATAAAAAGACAAATTTAAGTGAATCTCTTTTATTATTTATGAACATATCTAGTTATGATTTAACAAACAGTGCTAGGAGTGTGAAGTAAATCTGAAAACTGCAGGCACCTACTTGAATCTTTCAACAAAATACAGTCACTGTCTAGTCATACTGATTACATTATAATAACGAACAGAAAACAAGCTCACCTGGTATTTAGAAAGGTGAATATCCAGGGCTTTATAGTTGATGGTTTCGGGACTACCGGAGGGCCAGTCTATACTGTCCACCTGCCTGGAGAACTCATCTAATACCTACAACAAACAGATCCAAACTGAGATGTTTAATTCTATGGTTTAGAGGAATAACAATGATATGTTTTTACAGATCTTTATACCCACCTTGTCTAGCAATGTAAAACAGACTCTCTGTGGGTATTCATTATCAGCAATGACCACTGCGCCCAGGCTGTCATTTCTTACATACACGTGGCACAGGTACTCTGAAAGAAAGATCAACTATTTATAGAAAGGAAACATTACCTGGTTATAAGTTACAAACTTGTGCACTTTTGGCAGGAAGGCAACAGTCCAAGTGCAAGATTCTGTTACCCCAAGTTAATTCAATATCCTCCAAACAAGGGTTGATTAATCCACCACTGTAGCAGCGTTTTTTTCCCACATTATATCCTGACAAAAGCTTCATGAATCATGTGACTACAAGTGTCTTTCATTTTGGTAGTTAGTTTTGGAGTTGCTTACTGATCTCTGCTGATTTTACAACCAATGCAACAAACATGATAACATCAATACTAGCCACAGGATTCTGCATTACATCAAACACATGAGCTGGCTATGGAAAGTAGGACTGGGCGATTATATGATTGTGATAAATGATCGTAATAAATTTCAGTTCAATCCCGTTCATCAGCTGAGAGCACATTTACTTGATCAAATATAGTGGAATGAGCGTGACAACAACCAATTAGAGTCAAGCTTTTCCTGCCCCATTTCAGCAAAACCCTGAGCTGCGGGCAGCAAAATAGATGTCAGCCATGACTTTGAGTCATCCTCCAAAGATGCCATTGTTGAGAAGAAAAGTTACTCAACGTTGGTTGTGTGGCGGTGGTTCGGGTATCTCTAAAGTGACGTCGAGCAATGAAGCCAATGTGCAAGGTATGTCAGTACCCTCAAAAACCGGCAACACAACAAATCTGTTTAATCATTTGAAGAAGTACTTCCTGAGTGGTTATGCTGAAAGCATTAAAAAATGCGAGGAGAGTCTGCACAGCCTGACACTGCTGACGGTACAAGCGGTTCAGCCACCAGACCAAAGCAGCTATGAATCGTATCATCTACGTTTACATCATCTAATGTTTACATTTTAAGGCATTTCATTATTCCTGAGGGGGTGATTTGTTTATTTTGGGTCTTGCATACCTGCAGAAACACTCAGTACTGTAAACTAGCTCACTGTATTATTTAGTATTTAACTACATTTGCTGTACTATTGAGTTAAAATTTTTCTAAGTGTATCTTGTTCAATTTGCTTTGTTATTTACTTTGTATGTTAATAAAATGTTGAACTAATCTCTAGTTTCTTTAGTTTTTAGTACAGATACTTTAAAACTGGCAGTTAAAAAAAAAGAATCGTGATAATAATCGAGATCGGACGATATGACAAAATATATTGTGATCTTTCTTTTTTTTTGCCAAATCGCCCAGTCCTGATGGAAAGCTTTGAGTAACACCCACAGGGGTTGACAGATATGCCTCTGTTACCTTGTTCTTTGACAGAGGCACGGCTTCCTTGTGATGTTCGCTCTACGATCAAGGCACTGGTGAAGGTCATGAACTCTTGAACACTAAAAGAGGAAAACAGTGTCACTGAGTCGATATGATCACACATTAAAATGTACACAAATGACTGGAAACTTCTTTCTTGACAACACAAAATGAAGATGATTAAATGTCTTGTTTATTAAACATGGCTCTGAGTAAGTGTCACTCACCTGGATCGCTGAAAGAAGCTGAACGAGGAGAGATCATAGGCCGCTTTGAGGAGGTTTGCTTTGGTCGCTCCTTTATGGAGGATGCTGAGACTGTAGAGTTTCATGCTGCCCCTCTGTCTGGATCACTTCCGCCCAGTCCGTCACAGCAGATTCAACCACACAACCACGATGATCTAATTTCAAAGATGACACAGGCAGAATCACATGAGATTATTACCCCTGATCCAGCCCAGTCAGCAGGCAATAACAAAGCTAATACACACCCACACCCACGGGCTGGCGTGATGGACACTTGAGTGAACTACAGCTGACAGTTATAATAGCGTCAAAGCTAACCCAGACAAAATGACTATCTGAAAGAAACTCCAGGAAGGACAAAAATGCGGCTCAAAACCAGTCAGTCAACTTGAATCTCTATCTTGAGTTAGATCAAGCTCTCTGCTAGCTCCAAATGTTCTCCGGGCTTCTCTGAGGCCTTAGCGAACTCACCGCACAAGTCGGAAGCAAACAGCTCGATTTCCGTCAACAGGACCGTTCAAACTTTCTGAGCGCAAACAATAGAACTCCTTAATCCTCAGGACCAACGATGGGCGACCCAAACACAATAAAATCGATTTCAGCTGTAAACAGATTTCACTACACAGCTAGACGACCAATCACCACGTCACGATCTCCACACGGTCTACCAGGAAATTGTCTCCGGAGTAAACAAAGACTAACACGCCTTCGTTCCGCTGAAATAAAAAAATGTTTAAAGCTATTCAATGTAATTTAATTTGACTAGGTATCAGTTTAAAATCACGTTTTACTGAAATCAGACCTAATAATTTTTATATTTTCTTTGATTTTTGAACTGAGGGCATATAAGTGAATGACGGAATTTGTTTTCCATTACGTCTTTAATCGTATTTTTTTTTTTAACCAAGAATTGTGCTTGTAGACTGAAGCTGTGGATGACAAGAGTATACCTGATATCTTTGTTTTTGTTCCACCATTTGTAAAATAATAATAATAATAATAATAATAATAATAATAATAATAATAATAATAATAATAATAACAACAAAATAAATCAAAAAAATCCAACAATAGTTATTAACTCCTACTACTGCTCATCATATAATAATAATAATATTAATACTAAATAATAATACTAATACTACTACTACTACTACTGCTATTACTACTCCTACTACTACTATTACTACTAATAATAATAATACCTAAAACAATGATAATAACAATAACATAAAACAAAAAATAATATGATAAAATAATAAAAAAATAGAATAATACTTCTAATACTCCCTCTTTTAACACTACTTCCACTTCCAATACTACAAATCCTTCTTCTACTACTACTACTACTAATAGTAATAATAATAATAACAATAATAGTAATGATAATAATAATAATAATTATAATAATAATAATAGTAATAATAATAATAATAATAATAATAATAATAATAATAATAATTATTATTATTATTATTATTATTATTATTATTATTATTACTATAAAGTGTTATAAATAATAATAAAATAATCTAGAATAAAACAATATAATAAAATGAGATAGAATAATGCTTGTATTACAACCACTTCTTCTACTATACCTCTCATAATATAGAATCTCTATATATAGGTACTTCTAATAATATAATCCCATTCATTATAACTTTGGATATGAAAGAAAAAAATGTATGATTCACATGTAACCCACATAGTGGCAGCACCTTTTCCCTGGTAAAGTATATAAGCCTTCCTTCATAGTACTCAAATTTATTTTTAAGCTGTTGTTTTTTAATTATCTGTGGTCAAAATGAAAATAACGATGGCGCTAAGACTTCCAACTGCTTGGTGGCCTTGCCTTGCCCGGCTGAGAAGTTTCGTTGTCTGGCAAAAACATGGCACCCTCAATTGATGTTTTCTCAGGTAACCATGCTCCATTAAACAATTTCGTCCTGGCCACTTAACTCGGTGGTGAGTGTTTTCCATGGCAGAAGTGTGGCTGTAATTCATTTCCCAGGCGACACAGTGAAATCGTTTTGGCATGGAAACGGCTGAGCCTTTGGGTGCATCTGTTGACAGCAGCACCTGCGGGAGAAATGTTTTTGGTCTTTCTTGGAACAGGTAGGCCTTTTGTTGCGTGAAGATACTGAGATAGCATGTGACGAATTGATTTGAATCGATAGTTTTTCTTCACTTTTTGCAGCAGTACTTTGGTTGGTCTCTCCAGCTGAGGTTCAGATGGAAATTTGCGAGCTTTAATCTTTCATTTCCTCTCTAACTCAAAGGGGATTTTTTTTTTCTGTGTGCTGATGTGGACGGTAACTGAACTTGTTCAATGCAAAATGGAGACAGATTCACCTTTTTCCACCTGCATTTTCTAAAAAATGAAGACTTTAAGTTACTTTTTTTGTTTGGATGCATAGATTTGTCTTTTCTTTTTTTAATCTCAATTTTCATTGAACTTTTTCCCTCTGTCGTTTGCACCTGTCATCTCAGCCCTGCTCGAGAATATTGGCCTAATGCGGAGATGTGATGTGACTTGTTGCTGAAAATAATGTAACCCCATTTTTTGGAAATATAATCGCAGTTGAACTAAAGGATATCTTAAACTTTACACCTGATGAGTGGACAAAGAGTTAAGACACCTTAATACCATACATTTGGGATTATTTGACGTTTTCGCGAGGAGCGAGTGAGTTTAGAGGGTGCAGATGGCCGGAGGTGCACTCAGTCCTCGTCGTGACACGATGGAAAAGGTAAAAGAAAAACTATTTCAGTTTCTTCATGGTTTCTGCTGAATATGGATTCTGCACATTTGGCTTCTGTTCCTTCTTTTCTTATAACATCACACAATTTTTAATGGGAATTCATGATTGAAAATCCCAATCCTAGATAAGTGTGTTAGTGTGTATAAAGCCAGTAATCCATTATGAATTCATGTGTATCCATAAAAACAGGTAAAAAGTGCAAAATTGTTTGTAGGACTAATCAAGTACAACAGCCGAGGAGTCATACTTTTTAATTGTGTTATATGAATTAAATTAAGTTCTACATTTTGCATGTGAAAATGGTCACCAAGTAAAAAAAGATTAATGAAATTAAAGATACTATGTCTGACTCTAAGTAAATAAATCTTTCCTATAAACTGAGTGTGTGCTATACTTACAGCAGAGAAACTGAAAAGCCATGGTTTCTTCTGTTTTAATGTTGACGATACAGACTAAGTTTCAAACATATTGCATTGATTAAAAAAAGGCAATAATTAAAATAGAAAAGTAAGAATGAATGTTCTTTTCTAAAACTCAAACAGCCCTTAAAAAATAATATAATCTATGAGCGATGTGGGACTATTTGTGTCTTTGGGTCAGTGTCACTATTTGAGTTGATCGGGCATCAGTCAGTTCATCACCGCAGTGATGTAAGGGTCACAGTTACCTTACACCCAGAGGTCAGAGCTAAGAAAAGCTCTGACCTCTGTTCAGGTAAACCACCAGAGCTGATAAGTGTGCGAGGCCTTCACCTTAGCCTATCTACTGTTGGCTTTACAGCTCCCTCATCAAACAAGATTTCTAATTTTAGACATGTTTCTAAATTTACTGTGTGACTATTTCAGGACTTAAAAGTTCAACCACTGTTGTGATGCAAAGTTCAGGTTCGTGCTTGTTTGATGTGTTGGGTTGGCTGGTTGTAAAGAGGTCACAGGTCAGAGCCTCCTGCATGAAAAGAAATAATGATTCACCAAGTCTGTGGTAAATCTTGTTGTTTTTTTGTTTTTTATTTGCTAAAAGGTCACCTGAGAGAGTTAACTTTCATAGTTGTGATTATGGCATCTGAATCCTATGTATTGACAAATGAAAGTGGTTCTCTCTGGACTAGGAAAACTAGAAACAAGTTTTTCAATTGTTTACCCTGCAAAGATTGATTAAAGATGAAAAGTACAAGGCAGAGATACGTCAAAAGGCTGAATTAAGTAGTTTATTTGATCATCAGGATTTACATAAAATTATCCTTATAAACCAAAGTGTTCAAACTTAATCATGCATTAGAGGCTTTTTTTATTAGAGGGGATGTAGATAAAACAAATGACTCATATAAATCAAACTAAGTGAAATGTAAACCTCTTTCTCTATGCTAAAAAGTGAAGCTGAACCATAAAGCTTGATTAATACTCCGTAGAAACTGGGTCACGTTGAACTTTGCGTGATTTTGTTTTTGGACAAAGGCTGCGTGTGTTTGTTTGCATGTGTATGTATGTATGTATGTGTGTATGTGTGTACGTGTGTTTGAACCCTCATGACCAGATGGGGTGATACAGGAAAGGGGTGGGCGTTTGCATCTGGTGTGACCGGCCCACTTCACCTGGGCATAAAAACAGCTGAGCCTCTCATTCAGAGGTACTCACACTTCAGTGACTCTGCACACACACAGGGTGGACACACACTCACTGCACTCCTAGAAACACACACGCTGAGGCTCATTTAGTTAAACCTGTGAAGATGCCGTGTGTCAGCTCTCCTCTGGACCAGATGGTGAAGATGCCATGTAGCTACAGTTCGGCGGTTGATAAAATCTTCATGGTAAGGCTGGATTTTCTCTCGGATAGTCCCTCCAACTTTTACTTTTATTTTTTTGTGCCAGATTGTCGGTAAATCCAAGTCCTTGACACAAACTCTTCTGTGGTATTTAAGCAGAAACTGGAGTGTCTGACTTCTCCTGACTTTCTTTGCAAAATATGTCAAACTCTGCAGTATTTTGTCAATCAAAAATGATATTAGATTAGATTGTGTGCAGCTCCTGACTTCATCTAATTTCCCCTGGGTCGCAGGTGGAGCAGATCCTGTCAGAGTTCAGGCTGAACAAGGAAGAGCTGAAAGAAGTCATGAAGCGTATGCAGCAAGAGATGGACAGAGGACTGCGTATAGAGACGCACGAGGAGGCCAGTGTCAAAATGCTCCCAACTTACGTCTGCTCCACCCCTGAAGGATCAGGTATGTGCTTGTTTCTGATTGTACGTAGAAGCTTAAACCAGCATAAAGTGAGATAAAGTGTACGTTTTGACAGAGGTGGGAGATTTCCTGGCTTTGGATCTTGGGGGAACCAACTTCCGGGTGATGCTGGTAAAGGTGGGTGCGGATGAGGAGAGGCACTGGAAGGTGGAGACCAAGACTCAGATGTACTCTATTCCTGAGGATGCAATGACAGGCACTGCTGAAATGGTGAGGGAGTCTTTATTATTAGTTGTACTAATTGCTTAACCAGATATATCAGACTCAAAAGAGCTTAAGTTGTTGTGCAGGTTTTAATCATCCATCTTTCTCTTTCTGCAGCTGTTTGACTACATCGCAGAGTGTATGTCAGACTTTTTGGACAAACATCACATTAAGCACAAGAAGCTCCCTCTGGGTTTCACTTTCTCCTTTCCCGTACGACACGAGGACATTGACAAGGTAAGGTTTTACACTCTTTGCTGACATCACCCATTTGGTAAAAACTACTTTTAGCAAACCTCTCCCCATAAATAAAAAAAACATTTATTTGACAAGTTGATCATATTTGAGTTTGCATTTTGGTGTTTTTACATTCAGGGTTTCTTTTCTTTCCACAGGGTATCCTACTGAACTGGACCAAAGGCTTCAAGGCATCCGGGGCTGAAGGGAACAATGTTGTTGGTTTACTCAGAGACGCTATAAAGAGACGAGGAGTGAGTTCGTGTAAATGAGGGTATTTGTTTTGTAATTTTGTATGCAGCCCTATGATTCTAACTGTGATTGATTTTTGGTGTTGGTATTCAGGAGTTTGAGATGGATGTGGTTGCCATGGTGAACGACACAGTAGCCACCATGATTTCTTGCTATTATGAAGATCGCAGCTGTGAAGTTGGGATGATTGTCGGTGAGTATTTAAAAACAAACAAAAGCACCACGTTATACCACAAAAAAAGTAGATCTAACGGTCGTGTTTTCTCTTGTCTCTCACCAGGTACCGGCTGCAATGCGTGCTACATGGAGGAGATGAGGACTGTGGAGCTGGTAGAAGGCGAGGAGGGTCGTATGTGTGTGAACACAGAGTGGGGGGCATTCGGAAAAAACGGGGAGTTGGAGGAGTTCAGACTGGAGTACGACAAAGTGGTGGATGAGACCTCGGTTAACCCTGGACAGCAGCTGTAAGTCTTAGGGTGCAGCCCAACACTTCCTGTTATCGTCTTCATTTACTGCACGCACATGCAGCCATGAGTTCATCATTAGACTTTAGTGCATCACTTAGCGTGCTGGTGAAAGATTAACACTGTCATTTAAAACGTGCCTCGCACCCCCTCCCTCATTCTCTCACTGTTTCTCTGCATTAATACCACCTCGAGGCAATACTCACCTGACTCGCACCTGAGGTCTCGGTGTTGTTGCTAGACTACCAGGCGGTTTTCCTGAGGATGTTTGTAAATGATCAGACCCTCATACGTCAGAGGTCAGTCAGTGGCTGGAGGAGTCAGATTAATGATCCCCCTCTGCTGCTTGCTACACGACCTGTAGGACTAATGGCTGTTTACCTTTTGGACCAGCAGCCCCTTCACATAGACAACTGCTGAGGCCAGCCTCATTCAGCCTCTTTAGCATTGACGTTGTCACCCTCATCTTCCTCATCTGCTCCCCCAGCCTGCTTTAGGGAAGGGAGTTAGTGGCTGATGTGTTTCATTGCATTTACATCCTTCCTGTTCATTCTGACATTTCAACATCCTCTATTGACTTCTCCTCTTTTATTTCTTCCTCCCGTAGGTACGAGAAGCTGATCAGTGGGAAGTACATGGGCGAGCTGGTCAGGCTCGTTCTCATGAAGCTGGTGAATGAAGACTTGCTGTTTAACGGTGAAGCCTCAGAGCTGCTGAAAACACGAGGCAGCTTTGAGACGCGCTACGTCTCACAGGTCGAGAGGTGAGCGTCAGTGAATCCAAAGCAGCTATCTAACAAGCATAAAACTACCACATCCTTAAAAAAAAAGATTTGATGAAAACAGTCGCTATGATGAGAAGAACTGAAAGAACAGCAAAGCAAGGGGCAGCATGAAGCCAGATGGGTTACATAAGCGGCTACGCTGATGACACACACTTACATAACGTTATTGATGGGGAATACCGGGAAGCAGTTTCTTTCGCTTAACTTGCTGTTGTTGAACACAGCTGTATTCTTAGACACTTGTTTTAATATTTGACCACTGAAAATGAAAAGAAGAACACAGTAAACTGAGTATAATCTATCAAGAATTTAAAAAATCTGTATGCCAATGTTAAATATTCCACATAATGTAAATTCTGTGTCAACACTTCACAGAGCTTTTCCCCTTTTTTTACAATCTATTTGTCCTTTTTCAGTGACACTGGGGACAGGAAACAAATCTACAACATCCTGTCCTCGCTGGGTGTTCTCCCGTCAGAGCTGGACTGTGACATTGTGCGGTTGGTCTGTGAGAGCGTGTCCACTCGCTCTGCTCATATGTGTGGCGCTGGGCTGGCCGGTGTCATCAACCTGATGCGGGAGCGACGCAGTCAGGAGGCCCTGAATATCACAGTGGGGGTGGATGGATCTGTGTACAAACTGCACCCATGGTGAGGGACACCTGACTGTTTCAGATAGTTTGCTGTGTTTAAGAACTTTGCAAAGGAAATATGGGGATAATTTGGCGGAGACAAAAAGAGCATTTTCAGTACATATCAACATGGATAGATGCACCAGTCATAGGGTATAGGTAATCCACAGAGGTTTTTGCTCTAGTCCTGTATATTCATCCTTTAATTTTTACTCAAGTTTAACTATCATATATTCTGAGACATATAGAGGTAAGAGGGATCAGGGTTTTACTAAACTTCTGTTTTTCTACCCTTAGTTTCCGTGAGAGGTTCCACAAAATCGTCAGAGACCTCACGCCTCACTGCGAGATCACCTTCATCCAGTCGGAGGAGGGGAGCGGTCGCGGGGCTGCTCTCATCTCAGCGGTGGCCTGTAAGATGGCTGCATGCATGTTGACTCATTAAAGAGGAGCTGTGCACCCAGCTTGTGAAGCTAACCTGAGCTCTGATCCACAAACTCTGATCACATGTCCTTCACAGTCGGCAGCTCCTGACTACTTTAAGCTGTGAGAGGTGTTCGTCTGCAAACTGGGATCTCACCACAGGACGACGTAGAATGAAGAATAAGACAAACAGCTTGTAATATAGAATATATTTGTTCAACCAATTTACTTGTTTCTGTTTTGGTAGCCTGTTGCACTTAGCATAGGCTCATGTCTCATGTCTCACCAACTGTTGCAGGTGTTTGAGCTTGCACGGTGTATGATAGTAAATCATAATATGGATTTGTTTTTTGTAAATAATGTTATGGGTCATGACTTAATTTGGGTCATATCTTTGATGTGTATTAATTCCTCTTAAAAGTAATGAAATATTCCTCCTTTTCGTACACCGTTTATTTAAATCATGTGTTTATATCCTTATCTGTATTTGCCTGTGGGTTGTAATTTTTCATCAGTGCATTATGAAATGGACTTTGAATGTGAATAAGCTTGACTGTATATAGAATTGCTTGAATAAAGGAATGTACATTAAAATTTAAGTTTTGTTTTTATTTTTATTTTTTGTTTTTATTTAGCAGTGCCACAGTTTAGATTGTTTAAAACGTAATTTTCTTGTCCACGTTTTAACTCATGAGGCACCACAGACCACTGAGGTTTGTGGCTAATGTCACAATGTTTTCTGACACAATAACTAAACATAATTTTTTTTCTGGTCATGAAAACATAAATATTTTTGTAAGGAAATAAAGTTTATTCACTTCTATTCAAAATATCTCTAGAGCAAGTTTTCCCCTCTGAGGAGTAGCTGTCAAATGTCAGAGGTCACTCTCCCCTCTTTCCTCTTCATTATCTTCAATTTCCAGCCAGAGGAATCCTGGCTGCTTCACTTCTTATCAAGTCCCTTCACTGACACACAGACAGCAGCCATGGCCATGTAAGGGGCTTTGCTGCCCACCAGGAGCTATTATAGGAGGGCAGGAGATAAGATGGGCTGCACATAAAACCCACCCCAGCATCACACCGCTGCTGGGAGTCCACATACAGTCACTCAGACATGGTAAGTCAGAGAGCATCTTTTCATCATTTCAGTCAGTGATCATTTTTAAAAAAAGTAGTCAAAAAATTCCATGGTTGGATTTAGTTGTTTGTGTCTTATAATACATTTTATCAGTGTGAAAAGTTGAATGTTGTATTTGTATGTGGTGCAGGAATCATGAGGCTGTAGTAAAAGTCTTCATCTGTGGGTAAACTATTGAAGTTTGTGATTCTTCATCCTCTCAGGCGAGTAAGAAAGCCTCCAATAAGAGACAAAGGGGAGCTCAGAAGTCCTGCTCCAATGTCTTCTCCATGTTTGAGCAGTCACAGATACAGGAGTTCAAGGAGGTAGATGGCTGAACCTTTTCACATTTGTTATTTAAAAAGAAAAATAATTGTACTAAAAATGCACCAACCTCCAATCTGCCTCCAAACCTTTGTCATGTTTTCGTCTTTTCCTTTTAGGCTTTTGGCTGCATCGACCAAGACAGAGATGGTGTTATCAAGAAACAGGACCTGAGGGAGACCTATGGACAACTCGGTAAGTTACATTTAATGGTGTGAATTTTTGATTCTTCTGAGTTATCCATGATAAAATTGTTATTGGGAACTTCCTTTTGTTCTGACAGTCCTGGATGATTCTTGACTGTGCATGTGTCTGTCTGTCTTTGTCTGTACCAGGGAAGCTTAATGTCAAAGATGAGGAGCTGGACGAGATGTTGAATGAGGGAAAAGGTCCCATCAACTTCACCGTGTTCTTGACTTTATTTGGAGAGAAACTCAATGGTGAGAGTTTTTCTCAGACCTTCATTCAAAGGTTTTAATTATTGAAGTCCAACAGTGTTTCTTGTCACGCAGGTACCGACCCAGAGGACACCATCCTTGCTGCTTTCAAACTTTTTGACCCCAATGGGACAGGCTTTGTGAATAAGGATGAGTAAGATCAACTTTATGATTTTGTGTTATTCAAAATGTAACATTAAAATGTTGTATCTTCCCTTCTTTTAAATTTTGTGTCTGCCCTCTTTGTCCAGGTTTAAGCGATTACTCATGAACCAGGCTGATAAATTCACAGCAGAGGAGGTTAGTGTTCCCTATTTCTAAAATGACAGACTCTCATTTTCACTAAAACAGACATCCTCACTGCTCACTTCTCCTTCACAAACCTCTGCAGGTGGATCAGGCTTTTGCTCTGGCTCCCATCGACCCTACAGGCAACATTGACTACAAGTCCCTCTGTTATATCATCACGCACGGAGACGAGAAGGAGGAATCTTAATGTTGACTAAAAATGCTGGAAAATGTTTCAGACCGGCTGTTGGAAGTTGGATTATTGTTTGTACAACACGAAGAAGAAAATTTGAAAACTGATCTGTTTATCAAACTCATTTTATAGTGATTACATACTTCTTATAGATGCTGTGATCCTAAAATAAAAGTCAATTCATATAAAATGTCTTGTATTCATTTTAAAAAATGTTTGTACTCACCCACAAATTTAAGATTCAATTTCAGGTCCTCACACCTAATTCTAACTGGGTAATTCAAGTATTGTGCTATATCTTATAGGGAAAAAAGTGTGTTAACAGGTTTTTTGTGCTTTGATTTATTTAATATATAATGTTACAGGCTAAGATAACCAGAAACATTCGATTTATCTTCTATTTTTTATGTTTTTAATCATTTCAGACAGTTGGCTAGAAAACCAAGAGTCCCCCGTACTGAGCCAAAACTGTCCACATTTGTTTGATAAAACATTTACTTAGAGGGATATTCCAGCATAAGTTTAAGCCATGGTCAAACACAGCGTAACAGAGTTTGACACCCCCTCGATAGATGAATGTTGCCGACCGCTTGTTTCTCCAGTTATACCAACTTCAGCAACGACCACACGATAGCAATACACAGCTAACTTCATCAACAGTACATAAAGGGTCCTAGCACGTGGTACTAGCCACCAAACATCTTTTTATCTTTGCCTGGTTTCTTTAGCAAAGAGACCAAACACAACTCACCCACTCTCCTCCAGCAGCTGCTTGTTTGTGGCGGAGCCCCGACAAGTCGATCACCGAGTGCAGCGGAGTTTCACAGCTCAAGGAAGAACATTTATGATTGTTACTACACTGAAATGCAATCAGAGTTCTTGTGTCTCTTGTATGCGCACTAAAGGTGAGGTAGTTCTTCTGCCTTGGCGTCTCGGTCTGATTGCATTTCCATGAAATAATAATAATAAATTTTCTTCCCTGAGTTGTGAAACTCTGCTGCACTCGGTGATAGACTCATCAGGGCTCCCCCACAAACAAGTGGCTGCTGGAGGAGAGTGGGTGAGTCTTTGCTGTGAGTCTTTGCTGAAGTTGGTGTAACTAGAGAAGCAAGCAGTCGGTCTAACTCTGTGTTACGGTGTGTTTGACCATGGCTTAAACGTACGCCAGAATATCCCTTTAAGTATAGCCATTTGGTTTCCAATATTTTTGTGTTATTACATTTTTGCGTTTTATTGAATTAAAAAAAAAAGTGATATCAGCACCGTATATCGACCACCAGCTGACCCGCTCTCTCATTTGGTGTCAACATTATCTGTTACAACACTAATTAGTAGACCACTTCTCAGAACCTGCAACAAAACCATCTCAAAACAAAGCGGATCAAGTTTTCAACAAGAAGTTAAAAAAGTTTTTCCCTGTTTGGAGACAAATGGGATCTTTTTGAAGTTGTATTTGTAAGGTTGAAGTAAACTGGGTAAATAAAGCAGAGAAAGATGTCCGTGGACCTGTCTCATTCACAGAGGCCTCACTGCTAACCCATTCTTATGGAACCCTGTCACCATGGATACAACAACAAACATCTCCATAAACTCCACGGCCACATTTCCCTGCTCACACTGCAAACAGCAGGTCCACAACCCAGAAAGACGGGGGAGTGTGTGAAACGCTGCAAGGCAAGCTCCTCTTACAGCAAGAGTAGCAGCCAGATGAGTGTGAGTTAATCTGTGATTGATGAAATCTTTCCCTCAGCTGACCAACACAGATGCCTACTGCATCTGGAGCTACAGGCAGGGTGGATGTAGGAGTAGATGGACCGAAGAGGAACACTAAACCGAACAGGAACTGTGACTCCTATCTGCAGCTGTGAGTACATCACTACTTATTAACTCAAATTGAACAGCTTTATATATCCATGTTCTACATTGTTATGCAGTTTTCTGTGGATTTTACATTCAAAGCTATTGTTTAGAGATGTCAGCTGTGTAAAAACTGCATGTTAGAAAGTGTGTATGAGCTGATTTCTACTACTGAGAGAGATAAAAGACTCTTGGTTAGAAATGCGTCTGTGTTTTGACTGCTCCAAACTTTAATTTTGATCAGTGCTAATTTGGCATTCATTATCTGATAGAAGCACAGAGTGAAAAATGAATTCATCCAGATAAAACATTAGAGATTTTCAGCTGAGCAGCTTTATTAGCTTTTATTGCCAGGCCATAAAAGAAGCTTCACTTTACTCACAGCATGTCTGAATCAATATGAACCTCTCTGTCTTTTAAAATGTGCAGACAGAGACACAGATGTTAAGGGCACTAATCAGGCTCATAAATATCTCAGCATAGAGTTTGTTTCTCATGGCTCATTCACCAAAAACAATCAGGCCCGTCTCCAGTTATTGGATCTCGCAGGTAAACTTCTTTTCTTTGTTACTGGCAGGTATCAGGAGCAGAAAAAAAGAAACAAAATCCACGTGCTGCCCGTGAGTAATGACATAACACTGGTTAAAAGCTTATAAAGACTCTAAATACAGTGACTGTGGTTGAGTGATGTGTGTCTCTATTCAGAACGTGCAAGAAACTACTTCCCCAAGTGTTAAGGATGAGAGTGAAGGTGAGAAAACTGATCAATTCAATCAAATTAAGTGTTAAAATTCTGTGATTTAAAAAAAAACAAAAAAACATATTTGATCTGCTTTTAGTGGCCAACGAGGAGACCCCGCAGGAAAACAGCAGCACAGAGGATCAAACTCCAGAAAAAACAACCACTAAAAAGAGATCCAAGAAGTCTCGGCTGTGTGCTATCCTCTAAGGCCGTCACATCTCATGTGGACATTTAATGAACTGAGCTCCTCACGCTCAACGCCATCATGTATTATTTAAGTGCCAAACCCTTGTGTTTCTCCTGTCCTTGCTTTACCTTTGCGGTTGAGTGAAAAAGTAGAGAGGGGTAGAGGGTAACCTCAGACTCTGAAATGACTAAAAAAGGAGATTATTTGTCATGTAGCTTGTTTAAACAAAGTGTTTTAGGTTACACCATGTTGTATTGGTGCTCATCAGTATTAATTATATTTCAGTTTCAAACAGACAGACAATATTTAAATGCATGAACTGGACAAAATAATTGATGATGTTTAGAAAAATAGCACAGCTACCTCCAAGTGTCTTTCAGCATGATCACAAAACAGATGCTGAAACTGTAAACTAAAATTTATTTTAAAAAGCACCATAACTCATTATTAGAGATTAGAGTCATAATCCCAGTTTTTCTTACCAGCGTTTCATTTTATCAATCAACAGTGCAGCATCTTCCACAGCAGTTAAAACGGAGAGTTTTCTCTTTCCCACAGTCAGTCTGTTTCCCCAAAAGTTCAGTATTGCACTTGTGATTTCTCAGAATCACCTCATTCCCTCCTTTCAGCAGTGTTTTCACAGTGTTTAAGTTCATCAGACTGGACTCCCAATCAGGTCCAGCTAATGAGAATGTGCCCAAGAGGAGAGGCTGATTCCAGTGTACGATCTGCAAGAACAGGTCTGGGACTATAGCGCAGCAAACTGGTTGAGGGTCTCAGTCACTGTGGCCGCTGCTGTCATCTCCCACCACCATACTGCTGTACTGCTTCTGCTGCTGCTCTTTGAAGGACTCCTTTACTTTTGCTCTTTTCAGGCCTCCGTCCCTGCAGAGGCAAACGGTGAGACAAGACACTCTGAGCATGGTGCGGCTTAAACTACCAATCTGCTGTTTTGTTTTTGTTTTGTTTTTTTTGTCTGACTTCCAGTTTAAGTGGATTAAAAACGTCATCACTGCTTTAAAAAACTTGAAGAGGTGGTATTATGCTTTTTTCATATTCTAAAAACAAATGTTACATTAAAATGTTGGGTGTCAGCACTATGGCTGAGTAAAGTTTCAGATTACAAGGTTGTTGTGTGTTGAAGTAATCCTCAAATGGGACTACAGGGTGATCTGAATGGATGATCAAAAAGTTGCATGAGATTTTATGTGGGAATTGTTTAAATCGGGAAATTTGCGCAAATTTTTCATTTTATAAACAGAAACACTGCTTTGTTGCTTGGCAACAGTGAAGGAGGCTTCCAGAATGCTGTGTTCTGGCATGCTGGGGGGTCTCAAAGGGACAGCAGCTTAAATGAGGGTTTCATAAACAGCTGAATGAAATGTGTTGAGAATTTTATTGTACTATAAATCAAGATGCTATCAGAGGGACAATATAGAGCTAACAGAATTAGCATAATTATTTATCTTAAGGAATCCCCTCTGGTTTAATTCAAAGATCAATAATAACATTTAAAAACAACTTTTTAACCCACCCACTTTGATGTATCATTATGCTTTAAACACTATTTTTACAGTCACAGCTCAGCAACACTGTATTTTAAAGCAGTCTTACAGGAAAAGGACTAGGTCTGTTTCTACTCAACATAAAAAAATAAATATATAACACAAGAACAATTATTAATAAGTATCGCATGAGAGTGTGATGTTGCTATTATACAGACATAAACATTAAAGCTTCTGTGAGGAATTTGTGGCTTTTATGAAATAACCTGAAATTCATACTGATGCCTTTTTATGATATCCAAATGCAAATTGCACCATCAGGGTCAAGATTGGTAACATTGATTCAGTCATTTTTAAATCCTGAAACTGGTGAGAGGGGGGAGGTGTCAGCTAAGCAGCTAGAGTAACAGTCCTGTTTCTGCAACTTCTAGACAGTACATTTTCAGTTAATGGTAGATTTGACTGTCAGAAGTCAATAGGATGGTTTTTTTTCAAGAGGCATTACAGAAGAATGTAGAGGACAGGATAAACAAAGACTGCTTTGTCCACAGGGGGAAATGGAGTTGACACAAAGAGAAAGTTCCTCACAGGAGCTTTAAGAAGCTGAGTACATCGGTAGAAAAAAAATACAACAGATAACTGTTGTATTTTTGTGTCATGTATCTATAATTTTGTATCATTAAAGATATCAATTGATCTTCAAACGGAAACAAACTCACCACTGCAGATCTACCAGCCCTCCCTGGTGAGCGATGGCTGATTTCACTCTGTTGGCAAACTGGACAGCACTTTCCCCCTCCTGCCATTTTCAAAAACAAACTTAGTCCACTGTAGTATGTGTCTGTGAGTGTTTTCACATTTGCAGATGGTCCAGGGTGGCACCTCCTGGCAGTGATGTCAAACTCACCTGTTGGTGCATGGCGGGCAGGTACCAGACATTACAGACAAGGGCCCAACTTGTCATCATCCTCAGCAGGTAATTGACCATGCTGTACTTGGAGCTGTTCCAGAAAGCGTCTCCAAACTTTGGGTCATACTGAAAAAGAAAAAACCACAGGTGCTGTGATGGACCAGACTCAGGGATGGAGCTTTAATGTCAGTCAGGACTGACGTACCTTCATGGCTACAGGGTAGATTGTTCCTCCAATTTCAAAACTTCCCTTCTTAAACATCATGACAGATGTGTTGTTGACACACGTTCCTATGGAAACCAGACATGAGAGGATGAAAGTGGGACAGAGCTGTGTAAGCTGAGTCCAAACCCACATGAGGATTCTGCTCATTTGTCACTGCTTACAAAAAGAGTCTTATCTTTGATGACACAAAAACTACACACAACAAATGTGGAGATAGTAACTCTATCTCTGTCCACGGTCACACTCACCCTCTGGGAATATCAAAATGGGAAGCTTTGTCTTGTCGCTCACATGATCCCTTAACCTGAAAGCAGCACAAAGGTGAAATGGAAAACATTTTCTCATTATATAAATATCTACACACCGCACCTTTAAAAGGGACATTTGAGACAATACACCACACATCTACTGGGTGAGGACATGATATGACGAGCTACTGGAAACTGTGTAAGCCACTGTTCGACATCCAAAACATGTTTGAAGAGTTAGAGATATGCAAAATTTAGAGGCATTTACTGCCAGGACAAAATACAAACCTCTCTGTTGCATAATTTTCCACTGAAAGAAAACACACATAAGGAAGACAAGGAGTAACAAGCCTGGGAAGATCTGCTGAAGCAAGCGTTGACTGACCTTTTGGTCACCAGGTGGCGATCTTTCATCTCTGCTCTCTCAAACCAGACATGAGGGCAGGACCTCACCATGGCTCTCTGCACAACTCCCATCAACCCTCCATGTACCTGACCCACCTAAGGAACACGAGTGGAAGCATGTAGTCATTTCACATGAAATATAACATTTGGATGATGAGAGATTTTAATGAAAGTAACTTGGTACCATAGCATAACAGCCATCATTGCAGAGGATCACAATGTCGATAGGGGAAGTGTGATTGGCAACACAGATTCCTCCTTTTTGGGGTTTATTCTCCCTGCAGTTTTTAAGTAAAAAGATGGAGTCAGACACAGAATGAAATCCTGTTATTTATTTGATCATTACTGTGAGAGAGGGCGCACTGACCTGTTGTGATAGCGGATAGTGGCAGACAGTCCTCGAGCGCAGATCCTGTAGCACATCACATGGACCCACTCACTGAGCCAAGACTTGATCCTAAAAAAATATAAAACAAACAAACAGGAATGAGGAGAAAACTCTCACTCTCATGAGAAAAAGCTAGATGAGGCTGTTAGTCAATATTTACCTCCAGTTTGGTAGGAGTCCCACTGCAGATGTTCCTATGACCAACCAGGTGAGGCCAATGATGGCCAGAGTTATCCTGGAGAAGAGGAACATGTGTTTTACTGAGCTTTATACAGATCACGATTAAAACCCATTTGTAGGTCAAAGGCACATTGGATTGAATAACACAAAGGAATCTTAAAGCCACAGCCTCAAATACAGGTCACATGGCTGGAAATAAGCTGTTAAAAACATTGCTGATTTGAAACTGGTGCATCATAAACTTAAAAACAGCAACCAGAAGACTGAGAAAGGGGAAAGTCTCAGATTTTAACTCGATATTTTGACTCTGTCCTTCAATATCATGACGACTTTTAGTCTCTTGCCGCTGATATACCTCAGAGGAGCGAGGATGCAGTATCTCACAAAGATACCAATGCCGTAGACCAGCGTCAGCTTCAGACTGATGAACTGGAAGTCATTGGTGCGAGTCAGTAAGTTCCAGGATACCAGCTCCTCTGAAGTGAATCGCTGAGTCACCTAAATTTAAAAAAAAAAAGATGTGTTTTCAATGCCAGGTCAGCAGATAAAGAAAATTCTCAAAGTTCACCTTAAAAGTGTGAACATGTACCTCATCCTCTACGATGCTCTCAATTCCACGCCGATAGAAATAGAAACAGTCACTGAGAGTAAAATCACCGCCCTCGGGTGGCTTGGGCCGACTGCGTCTGAGTTCCTCTAGCTCTTTCTCCATGGAGCCATCTTCCCTTTGGATGAGGCCTAATAAACACAGACATACACACACGCACCGTCACACACTAACCTAATCTACTGATATGAGTCGCTATCTTCATACCAAGTCTCAAGATAAGTCAGCCTCCTCATATCTGATTGTGCTGACAGTGCTGGAGAATGAATTGGTTTGGTGAAACGGGGAAAAAAGAACCAATGTTTTCAGGAGTGTGTTTCTTGGAATGATGGTGTAAGTATAAAACACTGAACGAAATGAAAACAATAAATCAGAGCATGTCAGAGATATAAATCAACACCTTAAAATGTAGAACTGTTATCATTTGGTAAAAAAGCCACTTTTGGCTCTGATACAGTGATATCATAGGTAAGATATTGCAAAGGACGTCAACAATCCACCTACTGCATGGCCTTTTCACCCTCTGACCTGACATACATAATAACAGGAGTGGGCTGATTAGAGAGCAGTCTTAGGCAATGAAGACAACCCTGCTCAGGATCTAACACAATGCACTTCACAGGTCTAACAACAGTTACTCCACATTATCTGATAACCAAGGAAGCAAAGTCCAAACCCTTAAACTCAATAATGCATCTAAACTCTTCAGTTCTGCTTAAAGAGCACTTTCACTCCAAGTTCCACTCTCCACTTTTAAAGATCTGAGTATACTTTATCTTTGGCCTCTCTTGTTGTTGTTAACAGTATTATGTATGCCTTTCTACTAAAAAGAAGCTTATTTATTCCTATTGTAGTATTCTTTATTCTAAGATAAATGCAGTGTCCAAACCTTATCCTTGTTTAGATCAGGAAATGAATATAACCCTGACACACTTTGGACTTTGCAGAGCCCTCATTCTGCTGTCATAACTTAGACTTTTACTTCTTGCAGCAGGGGGATAGCACCCTGTGCAGCTTAGCAACTGATAAAAGAGTGGAGTAAATTCATCCTGTGAGACAGGCAGAGTTACCAAATCAACTTCACCTTGCTTTCTGTAAAAAAAAAAGTTCCAAAGTTAAATAAGTCATGGTGCTAAGGAGAGTCAGCTCTGTAGTCTAAAATAAAAGCTCTTAAACCTGACACAAAGGTCACAGAGCTCTCGTCCTCTGATAAATTTATCCATATGCAGGGACAATGCAGTTAGCACTGCACAGATAAAACAAGTCATCTCAGATGTGGGTTATATCAGTGCAACATGCATGTTCAGACTTGATGTAAAGTATCTTGTGAAATCCAGTCTTGCAGCTTGATATCTGTTTTTAAACACCCATCTTTCACAATAAAGGATGTGAGTAGGCTGCTCTCTGCAAGAGTTCCAACAACACAGGAATTTCTCTTCTTCAGGACTCAAAATCTCTCTGAATATCTGGTTAGTGTTTTTAATGTTTAGATACTTTAAGGCAGAGCTTTTCACCCACCATTTGAAGACGCTTTGAGTGCCTGATCATCTGTTTTTGCTTTTTGTATCTTCAGAGTGGCCCACTGCAAAGAAGGGACAGTCAGGTGAAATTTATGCTTCATGTAACAGGATCCAGATCTGACCATCTACATGGCTTTAAGAAAGCATGTACAGTGTAGCCAGAAGAAACATAAACCTGTACCTCCAAAGTTTTGACCAGGATGTTCATGTAGGTCTCAGAAATGCCCAGAGAGAAGCCAAACATGGCCGGAAACATGATGAGGCCGACGATAAGGTACAGCCAGATCTTCAGGACCCAAAGGGCCCCTACCCAGAAGTCCTCCATCTCCTCCTCCTGAATAATTCCCTGAGTGCTTCAAGAGCAGCCCTGTGACTGAGATGGAGCTCAGACCTGCCAGTGGAAGAAGTACATTCAGCCTACTTTACAGTAAAACACAGGAGTAAGAGAAGCATGTAGTGTTTGGTTAGAAACATTCACGAAGAGTAAAGCCTCTGCAGGTCACAGAAACACAGTGACAGCTCACCTAAAGACACCGACGATAACCTTTTACATCCACTTATGCCAATATAAACAAATCTCCGTGACCGGCTTCTTCCACAGCCCCCCGGAGTTATAGGTAAGACGGCGCTACAGTTTTAGTCTACAATTAACAGCATTTCACTCACTTTACAAAGTCTTCTCTCACCTAACACTTTCGCTCCATGTCCTTTCTTCCTGGAGAATAACTCAGTTGTGAGCACAGAGAGCTAACACACCCATTTACAACTAGAACAAAGTTCAGGCTTTCAGGGTGCAACAGCGCCTCATGTGGACAGAGGGGGGAGCTCAACCTGGCAAATCAGGCTGGTGTCAAATAGGGACTTCTTACCTCAGAGGTAAATAAAGCCTGTGAAAATACGACCTCGACAGACCTGTCATGACGCTAAGTAAAGATCTCTCTGAGACATCGCCACCTTGCTCAGCATTAATCCACAAATACTGTCAATAATGAAAAGGAGAAAATAAGAAAAAAAAAACTTTTGAGAATAGATGCTTCAATGTCTACATAGATTTGGGCTGCTTTGTTAACTTCTCTTCTTCTTCGTCTATCTTTTAAAACGTGATTTTTACTGTATGCAACAAGATTGGGCAAAGTTGTTGTGAAACATGCAGTCAAATAACTGAGTTGAGCTTTTGTAAAAAGGATATAAACAAGATTAAACTGAAAATTTGTCAATTTTGTTAATTATTCTCTTCTTTCCCAAAAATAATGGTATATTTAAAGTATTTGTCCAGCTTAACCCTAGAACACTATTGCTAATATTAGTAACACCACCACTATAGCAGGGTGATTTTTACCCGAAATAATATGCCCGAAAAAAAGTAGTTGTCATCAAAATACATCAAAATAGGACAATACGTGACAAATTAAAGTAGTTTTCTTTTATTTTTTACTGTGCAAATACATACATATATATATATATATAGACAGATAGAAAGATAGATAGATAGAGAGAGAGAGAGAGAGAGAGAGAGAAACTGTAAACTTGTTTTTTTTTTCCACCGACTCCTGGGGCATGTGTGTCTTCCCTGGTGAAGACTCAGGGTCTTTGCAGGAGAGAGAACCAATTAAGGCATATTTTGAGTGATTAAAAATGACCAGCTGACTAAAATATTTCTTATTACCTTGAAAATTGAAAATCACAACCTAGTGATAGTTATTCATAACCACTGCCCTAAATAAAGATAGCATGCAAATTCCAGGACCACTCTTACTGACCTTATTCACCTACATGCAGCTATCAAATCCACCCAAACCTACTTACCCTCTATCACTATTGCCGTGTGAAAATCACCCTAACATGTGCCTGTATGAAAAAGCGCGTTTGAATCAGGGAAACAAATATGCCTTCAAAGATCTCAAAGGCAAAGCTGAATCTACCCAGGGACCCATGATACTCAGACAAACACAACATAATGAAAATCACATAAACATGTTGGGTCGGGTAAAAATCACCCGGCAATGGTGTTCTAGGGTAAATGGAAGGAAATAAGCATTGTGATTGGCTTGATAAGGTCTGTTGTAATAACCCTACTAGGAGGAGCATTTTGATTATCTAAACAGGAGCTATTTGATAAACTATCTAAGGAGCCCTCTCATTTGAGCCTTTTGATTGGAAAGGGGAAAAAAGTATGCTGATGAGCAAACTACAACACAAGAATTTTAACTATCCCCAGAGGGAAATTCATTTGAGTGGAATCTCATGACAAATTTTCCCTGGGGGGGGGGGTTAACAAAGTGTGTAAATCCAGTCACATGAGAGGGTGACATATTGAAGTCTCTTAGTATTACCACAAGTGCCGTAGGATGTTGAGTCTATATTCTAGCAACAGTAGGCTATCATACAAAAGTAATGTTATGATATGACTGAACTCCCTTGGAACATAATAATATGGCTGAAGCGCGACTGAAAACAGTTCAGTATCTGAACAACACAACTTCTTTTTGACAGTCATGTGTGAAGAGTTGACACTACCTTTTAGCATCTCTGTCTGACCTAATGTGAGTAAAGCCAGGTAGATCTGTCAAAGTTGTTATGATTCAAGCAGGTTTTAGTAAAACACAGGAGACTGCACTCACAGTTTGCTTCTCAGTCTTCTTCTCATCAATATCTCCAGCTCATTGCTTTTGTTGGGCAGAGAGTTGACATTTCCCATGATGACTGATGGAAGAAAGGGTTTATATCTCCATTTCCAAGCCTTCACCTCACCTTCACCTTCACTCCATTAAGAAGCAGCAGCCTTTAACACCACAGCTGACTTTGCTTTACTGAGTTTACTTTTTAGGTGTTTTCATTTCACTGTCTCATTGTTCAAGAGCAGCTTAAACTACATGTGAGGAAAATGTGTCCTTTCACACTCTTAGGTGTTACTTTTCAGGGTTTGCTTACGTAATTTGATCTATTTTCTGCTATGTTGTGTTGATACAAAAGCATGATCTAGACTGCAACTGTAGGAAGCCAGAACTTTCTAGACATTTATAGAAAGCCCCTCTTGCATTGATATTAACTTTGAACCTCTTTGCCATGAGATCAATATTATTGGCTTTCAGATCGGATTACTCAAAACAGCACACTGTCAAATTAGGCGAACTTATAATACTTATGCATGTAATCTGACGCATACGTTGTTCAGCTATAGAAATGGCAGAATAACTAATAAAATATTTCAAATCAAAGTGACTTTGAATGTGTGGATAAAGATTGTTTGAATATGACTGAATTGTGAGCTCTTTATTCTGAAAAAATATGGATGTTGTTGTAACCTCGTGATTGCATCTTTTATAACTAAAAGCTGTTTCTGACTGAGCTGAGTTTCGCAGAATCATGAGCTCAGCTTAATTGCAGTCACATTTGACATAACCTTTATTTGTAAAAATGCCAGTAAGGATCGTGTTTCCACAGGGAAACAGTTTACAGTAGCCGAGAACTGCTACTGCTGCAAATAAAAAAGAATGCAAAAAAAAGGAAGCCACAACGGAAGTTACTGATGAAAAAACAAAACAAAAACGAAGCCCGCTGCAAATAAAATAAAGAAACAGTGCAGAATTTTAAAAAAAAGGCCACAATGGAAGTTAATGAGGCAAAAAAAGTGGCGATGCAAAAAAAAAAAAAAGTTATTATGTGATAATATTTTTTATTATCTTTTTTTTTTTTTTTTTTTCATTCTTTTTTATTTGCAGCAGTGGCGGTTCTCGGCCACCGTAACAGTTATTGTCAGCCTGCTTGTCTGAACTTCAATTTCTCTTCTTCTTTTTCTGTTTAGAAACGTCTGAGCTTTGGGATTTTTTCCTCCTCGGATCAGGCCCACAAACCGAGCGAGGTGTAACATATGGTTCAAGGTTTGGGCTAATTACTGCCAACATGGAACAAATTATGTTTAGCCTCGGTTGCCGGGGCGACTGAAGAAAGGTGCGCTGCACGAGCGGGGTAGACCCCGGGAAAGTGACGTCAGCAGACGGTGCTCCTCGCACGAGCTCTCAACCAATATCCAATTCAGTCCAGTAACAAACAGCCCGGGCAGTGGCCGTCTATGTGTTTACAGACTCCGCTGAAAGTACCGGGGATGGTGTCATTTGAGGACGGTGAGTGTGGCTCTGAGGCTGTTGACAAACGGAGGAGGACGACCACAACAGACGCGGTCACACCGGTCCAGCGGCGTCACACTGTCCGGCACAGGAAGCAGAAACTTCAGTCAAAGATGTGTGACTCCGGTTTCGAAGAAGACTTGGGAGCCTCGCCCATCTCAACCCCGGTTAGGATGGTTGTGTCCCCTCTCCGTCCAGACGACCCACCTGCTGGAGAGCTGTCCACCTGGTACCTGCAGTACGGAGACATCGGTTACAAGATCCAGAGGGAGAGAGAGGAGCTGTTTCATCCATGCAAGAGTCTGGCACGCCAGCCACAGGTAGGACTCTGAATCAAACAGAGACAGTCACACACAAAGGTTTCCAGTTTAAACAGAACTACAGCGTGAACTCATGTAGTCTTTGAAAACATTTATTTCTGGTTTTGACTTTTTGTTGTTGTTGTTGTTGTCTTTTTTTTGCATAGTATCAACCAAAATATGTACAAGCATTTTGTCAATGTGGGATACAACTGTAAATAGCACGTCTTTCCAGTGTGCCCATTTTTTTCATATTTCAGATCACTACATCAAGGCAATCACAGTTTTGTGCCTCTAACCTTCACAGACTCCATGAATTGATGCCCATCTCCTAAATATTTGGTCACATGATCAATTTCTTTTTACCATTTCTAAGCAACAGAGGGTGGCTCAACTTACCCTTTAGCTCAGCGTACCCCACTCTCCCCTATATCTTCTTTAAGGCAGAGCTAAAATCCTTTAGTCTATGATCTGAGATCTGACCACTGATGAAGATTGGTTTTATTTTCAGTTGACTGCAGAGGCTCGGTGTAAACTGGTCAGCTGGCTCATCCCTGTACACAAACATTTCCGTCTGTCCTTTGAGTGCTGCTGCCTCGCGGTGAACATCATGGACCGGTTCTTGGCATCCACACCAGTGGCTGCTGATTGCTTCCAGCTCCTGGGGGTCACTGCCCTCCTCCTGGCCAGTAAACAGGTGAGCAAATGAATAAGGAGTATAAAATTTGTATCTTTGCATTACACTATATTAATCACCAACTCTCTCCTCAGGTGGAGGTGGGCTCACCGGGTATCAGCCATCTGTTGTCGTTCTGCTGTGACGCCTTCACTAAAGAGCAGCTCTGTAACCTGGAATGTCTCATCCTGCTGCGCCTCAACTTCTGCCTCTCTGCGCCCACCCTGGCCTTCTTCTTGGACTATTACACCAACTGTGTTGAGGTTGCTCAGCTTGCATGTGCAGACGCCGACAAGTTTGCAACAGTGACTCCTGACACAAAAAGACCCAGACTCTGCAGCAGCCTGGCACAGGAAGTGTGTGAGTTGAGTCTGGCAGACTATGCTTTCAACAAATACCCTCCATCTCTGACCGCTGGGTGTGCGCTGAAGCTGGCTGGTGAGCTGCTGAAAAGTGAACCAAGGATGATGAAGTGTGCAAAGACTCAGACACAGGAGGACATATGGGAAAGGTTCGTGGGTGAATTATGTTCCCAACAAGTGACATCAAACCAAGGTCTGGCCCAGGAATGCAAAGAAAACTTGAAGCTGCTGGTGTCATTGAACAGGGAGGCGCTTGGATGTGATGTAGCTAGAAATTAAGAGATGTAAGAAAATGCTAAATTAAAAAAAAAACATCCCCTGGCTCTTATGCATATTCAACCTCATACCTCAAAGACAATCAGCTGATTGCAACAACTGAATGTTTTACAACTTGGCATACTGGTTTCATATTTATTGTTAGGAGATTATTGTTTACCACAAAAGTATATTAATATATTCTTTTTAATTTAAGTCAATCAGTCTTTTTTTGCTGTTTATGCACTGAATTACTGCAGCTGTCTGTTACTGTTGCAACGTTTTGTAAAGTAATGAAGCATGCTGTGTTGAGTTGATTTGTTATGATGAAATAAACTATCAATCAAGTATTTTGTGTTGTGTATAAATGGGTAATCAAGTTTGAAACCACAATTATAACACAAAATGTATGATTACTGACAAAATAAAATGCAGTCATGCATTCTTTTGGACAGTGTCAGTGAAGCTCAGAGGTGATAAGCAGACTCCTGCACAATAACTCTCCAAAACACACATGTTGGCTGTACACAAATGTCAGGAAGTTAAAGTAGATACAATAAGTTGAGACAGAAAGAGTGAATCTTATCTATTTTAGTCTGTGCATGCATATTTAAACACCAGCCAGACATGAGTCAATGTCCAAGCAGGGTTACCTCAGTCAAAATATCTGAAGACACCCCTGCATTTATGAGAGTCTACGCAACACTTTAAGGTTGTTTCCTTCCAGATTGTATCTGCACAGAAGAGCAGAGGATCACTCTCACCACACAGGTCATCTCTGCAGTGTTGTGATTTTTTTTAACAAAATAAAAGCTGGTAACACTTAACAATAACCATTACTTATAAATGGTATAGACCATTCATAAACACTAAGCAGATAGTCTATTAAAGTTTAGTCATCATTTAAAAAAAGTATATAGACCATTAATAAATTGTAAATTTAATCATTTTAAAAACCTAACCCTAACCCTAGCCAAACTTTACAATAACCATCTAAGTAATGCTCATAGTTGGTTTATCAACCACTTATTAATCATTTACAAAGTATTACAAACATCAGTTGCAACTTTACAATAACCATCTAAGTCATGTTTATAGATGGTTTTAAAAACCAAATATTAACCATTTACAAAGTGCTACTGACACATATTTAATCTAGATGTTTTACAACCAATATTTAAACCTTCAATAAATAGTCTATTAATAATTAATGAAAATCATTAATCATAATTTTATTGCTTGTTAATGGTAAAATAACTATTAACTTACATTAACAAACTATCTCTTTGCCACTTATAATTGGTCTATATGCTGTTTTTAAATGATGATTAAACATTAATAAACTATCTATTTACTGTAGATTATGGTTATTGTAAAGTGTTACCTATAAGCCTCTGTTAGATTGTTAAAAGTAATAGCTGCTGCTCTCAGACTAATTTGCCACTTTACTTCTACAAAGGATAAAGCTTACTTGTAACATTCACATTTGCATTAATGTAAGATTGGGGTCACTGAAACCCTTTTTAAGTCAACAATGAAAAGAATAGTTGATTTCTGTGGCTTACAGCCCATTGTATCTGTTTGCATGGAGTTCAGTTTACCCTCATCATTACTATCTGTTACATCACTATTTGCAACAGCACTGTGCCAACACAGCCTGCTCCATTGAGAACCTTTCACTGATAATCCATTACGCGTGGCATCTCGACCTGCTGACACGGTGTCGACCACACAGGTGCATTCAGCGTTAAGGGCCAACAAGGCTTGGTGTTGTTTGTTTACTAATCGAGGCATTTGTCACCAGTGTTTACTGAGCTGTCTGTTCTAATTACCCTTTTCCTTTTCCATTCGCTGAATGAAGCAACAGGCCTTGACCCAATTTGGGTAAATATGTCATCCACGGTTGGGAAGAAATTACGCACTGGATGATATAGATATTAAGAAGCATAATGATATAAAAATCTAAGATCCTTGAAGGTCTATGAAGACTACAGCTAAAGTCACTAATTTTCTAAAACACACCTGGTCGGAATAAGCCATCCCAGGCTCGATGTGCGCCTCTGACAGAGTGCTGCGAGTATTTGGCCGCAGGCTGAGGGAGGGTAACTCTGGCGTAGAGGACACCTGCTGTACTGGCGCCGTTATTGCGCGGTACCACTTCACACTTCAGACCAGAAAACCGTTAAGTCTGCACCAATGTAATCTCCGAGGACGCTGTCACTCCCTGGAGACCAAAAAGGTGCATTTGATTGGGCCAAAGCTATGAGTCCGCGGCACGGAGAGACACAGACCGGGAGAACTTGGTCTATATCAGCACTGCATCAAATCACCATCCTGCAGCCCTGCAGCCAGAGCTCAGCTGAGAAGATGCTAAGAGACAGAAAGGCGTTTGGTGACTTGTGCCCTAACAAAAAGGTTTGGTGTCTCTTTCACTTCTCAGTATGCTGTCAATACAGGTCTGTTATGTGGAGCTAAAAGATGTTTTCTCTGCAGGATAAAATGCTGGTTCCGAGAAGCAGTAGTCCTGTCACTGTGTACGTGGAGCTTCCTCTCATCATCGAGCAAGGTATGCATGTGTTTTTGCACTGCTATCATGCGCGCCAGCATACGTGCGAACGCACAAGTATCCACAATGACATCATGCACAGTCACTTTTTCTGTGGTTGCAGCTTTTTCAACAATTGCGTGGGATGACTTGGAGGATTGTGCATCAGTGGCGAGACAGAGGAACGATTCCCTTAACACTCAGGTGAGGATCAAGATCTCTAAAATTCCATGTTCTGTTTCCAATAACTGTGACCCACTTGAGTGATATAATCACGGGTAAGCATCCTCATCACTCTCAGGCTGTTAATGTTTGACACGCTGTGGTGGAATGAAGTGCTGTTTACTCATGACACGCAGGCTACCGCTAATTGGCTGGACCTCACAAGTTTTTGTCCGCAAGCTGCCTCTTTGGCACAGCTCCCCGTGCGCCAAAAACGCATTACGCGGCAGCAAATTTACTGAAATGACCACCATGACATATTTTGCCATTGATTCAGATTACCCTGCGTGGTCATGGTGGGGTTCTCAGGTCTGGGATGAAATTGTTTGTCTTTTGAGAATGAAAATTTCAGGATGTATTCATGTCTGTTAACCATGATTTTTACGCACACGCAGGTGAACGAACCGAATACGCATGACCAGGATTTTGGAGATTATGCGCTGGACTGTATGGCAGGTGAGCAAACAAATAATCTCCGTTGTTAATGCAAATTTGGCGTGCAAGCATCTACATATATCTCAGTCAATGTAATCGTTTTGTAGACTGAACCACTGGCTGTTTGTCTCCTCTGTCAGATTCTCCTGCCACGTTAGAGAGCAGTCTGTCTCCAGCTGAACTGGTCCCATTTCACGGCTGTGTCATACCTCCACTCACACCTCAGAGGTTTCTTTCCACAGAGGACAGTTTGGTTCAGTCCTCCACAGAAGCAGGAAACCAGTCCGCCCAAGATGGAGCTCTGTGGATGGATATTACCCAGTGCCAAGAGAAAGCATGGGGGGAGTCCATGGAAGTCAACCACCAGGTAAACCCTCACTAAAGGATTGATAGTAAATGTTCTGTCTTTGAGACTGGTGGATTCTCATCTGGACTTGTCGATTATTTTTCACTCATTAGGCTGCATTTATGTGGATTTTGTCATGATGGATGAATGAGTTGGTGAAATGTGTGATGTTTGGAAAGAAAAACCAAAACTTTGGTGACTTCAGGCAAATTAAAAGTGGAGTTTGCAACTAACTTTGACAGACTTTCAGGGGGAGATGACAAAGTGACATGATGTGGCAAGTCTGATTAGTCCACTTACATAGCTACCCATAGGTAGGTAGCTATGTAAGGCAGGCAGTTTACTCAGGTATACTTGGGTAAACTGCCTGTGCGCTCAATGTGCATGCTCTCAGTGTGCCATAAACCTAAACTAGCAATCTAATGGCACAACAATGACCAGAAAAGGCAATCTGACTGTGAAACAGGAAAATCAGCACAAGTATGTTGCATAAACACATAGTTGTACATACATTTTCCATGCAAAGGCACAGAAAAGTGCAAGTTGTCCTCTGTCTGAACACATTTCTTTGTGTCTCTGCAGCTCAAGGAGACTCTACAGAGGAAACAGGAAGAGATCGACTCGCTTCAGGAGAGAAATCTTCATCTCAAACAGCTTGCTAGCCGAGCGAAGCACCTAGCCTCAGTGCTAGAGGTGAGTAAATGATAGTTACACTACATAAAGGATACACTACATACAGGATTGTATTGTCATAGATTATGTCATATTCTTAATGTCTTCTCTTTTCCATCATTTTTTTCTCAGAAACTAATGACAGACAGAGATTCAAATGCAAGCGAGCCAGCAATGCCTCATGGTGAGAAAACTTCCCTGAGTCCCTGTAAGCGTCAGCGTCTGGATGAGGGATATGAAACGGAGTCATCTGACTCGGTGGAGGACATGTTGAGGGACATCAGCACACGCTGCAACGCTGTCCTCCACAGCACTGCCAAGGGGACTAAACCTCATCAGGAATCAGAGACTGTTCGCATGTTCGGTTCATTCTCAGGCCTGCAGACTTGTTTTTCCAAAGACAGCAACGTCACCACAGATGAGGCAGAGTCTGAAGAGAGTGTCTCATCTTTCAGGACTTCTATCAGAGAACACAGCACCATCAGGACTCAGGTGTTTCCTCACGGACGGGCCTTCACGTCCACAACTCAACAAGGAGGATACCGCTTTCGCTGGGTTCCAAACCACAGCTGAAAACAGGGTCAACACATAAAGAACTGGGTCCATCAGGCCCCCTAATCAGGGATCTAAAGGGTGCTATTAGTCTGATACAGACATGGAGAAGGTGTGGGTGGGCTCTGTGACTGTCAATGGTTAACTGATAATCTATAGTGATATCTGTGAATGATTAAATTATGTCTTCCTCAGGTAGCATGTAAGCTAATCAGTCAGAGGTGATGTCTGACAAAGGAAATAACACTGCCTGAGCTTTTGTGTGTCTGTTTACATGCCTCCATATGTAATGATGTAGCCAAACAGAAGAGCAATGCTGTATTAATTTTTACTCCTGAATATGTCTTTACAATGTGGAAATAAAAATATGTTTTATAACTCTGTCTGAGAGGTATTTCAGTCAGAAAAGAGAGCTTAGGTCAAAGTTAAATAAATGTTAAGAAAGTTTTCAAGGTGAACTTTCCGTGTTTGAGCAGCGAAACAAATGTGACCTGATGACCTCTTTAAGAGGCCGGACTTCCTTCTTTTTTGTCTCCTAGCTCAGTGACTGTGTGGTCTGGTAAAAAGCAATCAGTCAGGAGGCTTTGCAACCAGCTTCTTTGTTTGAATCCTTGTTTTTGGCATTGAAATAGATTTTTCCATATTGCATAACTCAGCCAGGCAGCTGATCCCACATAAGTAGAATCCAGGATTTAACACCACATCAGCCTTAAATAAACATCAGTGACTTTTTTGTGTCACATGGTTATTTTATTGAGAAGCGGGTCATTTTTAAAAACTAGCCAGGTTTAAAAAGAATAATGTTTCCTGCAGACACCACATAAAAAAAAAACGCCTAACTGCTCTCCCTCTTTTCTATTTCATTGCACGATACAACGCCAAGTTAACGCTATTGTGAGCCATGTTTCTATATTTCAAGAGCTCCCCTGAATCTAAATGAGACCGATTACAAAATAAGATTAGTCAAACTTAAAGAACAATGTAATCCCTTTTCTTCCAAAAAATTACTTATCAATACCCTGGAACCTGATCCTCACTGTTTTTACCCATAACTGTTTTATACACATATAAGAGTTGTTGTTATATAATCAATACAAATAGATAGTGATAATAAAAAGAGTCATACCAACATTATAGTTTTAGAAATGTAGATCAGACAATGGTTGAAATTAAAGCAAAGGAATAGATTTACCTCTCTAAAGAGGATGTGACCTCTGGCCTTTGTGTATCTGTGATGTAATCTCGCTCCACGATCAGGCTTTAGCTGTAAAATCTGAGTTTGTGTAAGGCAGACTGATGCAGACAAAGTCAGATCTCAGGTCAGACACCTGTTTAAACTTCCCAAACCCGAGTCTGTTTACTTTAGAGCAGTGAAGGCATCACTGCAGTGTGTTGAGGACAGTTTACAGGACTGCCACTGCTGCTGACATCAACAACACAGGTGAAGATAAGGAGAACCTGATAAAGAGAAGGGGGATAGATTTAGACTTATGGCATCCTGGGGAAACTGTTGTCTATTATGTGGACCCTTGACATGTTTTGCTGGGTCAAAAACTTGCATTGAGATCCATTCATAACTTGACTTAACATGTCTAATTTTGTGCTATACCTTGAACATTTGAAACTTCCTGCTGAATTAATTCTTTAATGATCATGTTCACACATGTACTTTTTCTAGTTTTTTCAACTTAAGTTTAATTTTAAAATGACCAAAAGGGCTTTCAAGTGTAATGGATATTTTTTACTTTAAGGTTTGGCTCCTTGAGCAAAGGATCCAGTGATGGAAAAATGACACATTCAGCAAGACAGTATCATTGTATATGTTCATCATATTGCAAATACACTTATCTTTGAAATAATCAGATACACATTGCAGTGTTTTACAGGCCTAAAATTAGATGTTTTCATCCATATTTTAATGTGATTGCCTCTTATGAAATATGAAATATGTGCATGTTTGCAGAGTTGAGCCAGAATCTGCTCTTTAAAAACAAACAAACAAACAATAATTAATTGTAATGTAATCTCTGATGTTTTAAGAAGAGGCTCAAGACTCACCTTTTTAGCCAGGCTTTTCACTGATTGCCTTTTTATATTTCTCTTACTGCAAATGTTCATTTTAATCAAAGCTCTTAATGTTTCTTTTATATCATTTTATTAATTATTGTTCTTAGTTTTTTCTTAATTCCTGTCATATACGTTTTTACTTCTTTCACCCCTTTTACATGGTAAAGAGCTCTTACTTATCTGTTCATTTAATATGATTTTCTTGTTTTAGTCCATTACATTTTACTTTTTCTTTTTACCATTTTGAAATACATCTTTTTGTCTGAAAAGTGACATACAAATAAATTTGGATTTGATAAGATAAATTGAAAAAATGTTCAGTGTGTTTTCATGAAACCTAAACCCAAATGTCCAGTTTTCAGTGGACCTACATCTAGACTTATAAAAGAAATCATCCTCTACACCTGTTAATTTGTTCTGCAGGACATACAGTATAAAGCATCATATGAAGATCCCTGACCGACCCTGACCCTCCCTCTTCACTGCAGACCTGGCCACCGTTAACTGCTCATATTCCTGCTGACAACGTAAATCAAACAGGACGCTTGTTGTCAGTCTTCTTCACTCTAACAGTTCACGTCAGCTTAGCTCGACACCAGACTCGCCTCCATCCACTTAGTCCAGTGACTCACTGTGGAGGTAGAGCCCAGAGGGCCCAGAGAGCTTTGTTTAAGCTGCTTGAAACACAGCTGACCGGTTAAACTACCGCCAAACTGCGGGGGACGATGCGGGAGGGGAAGGGACAACACACCCACAATAAGTTTCTAGGGTGACTGAATCCAAACGTGGAGGAACACTGCGAACCAGACTCAGTCCAGCGGGAAAGAAAGAGGTGATAACGAGAAAACAATCCGCTCTGGATGCTGCTGTAGCCTGGTGCTCACTAACTTTGACATCTGATACAATTTTTAATTAGGAGCGTTTTAAACACATGCCAGCCTGTTTAACATTTCCAAGCCAGCTCAAACATGTGGAATTATAGGCTAAATGGCAAAAATATTGCGTCCTTATAGAGGCCAATATGAACAAGTAGATAAACAGCCATCAAACAGACACGACTGAATTAGTCTACAGTGATTTACATATGACTCGTATCGATAAATTAAGGGTTAAGTTGTCTTAAATCGATACTGTAAACTATTCGGAGATTTTGCCCAAATGTTTGCCTGCTGCTGCTCTGATTTTGGTCGACCTCCTCTGTGTCACTGAGAGCACGCGCGCTGTCTATCCCACAGTTTCCAGGCTCGAGCTCGTGGTGTGAGCGCAGATGGAGGTGGCAGGTGGCGAGAACGTGCACCGGTCTCGCGCCGTTCAGCCCACTTAGCGCCACAGCAGTTCGTCATTAAAGCCAATTGAGACGGTGGGACCCGCGGACTCACGGCGTCTTCCCGCAAAACTGCGGGACAGTTGAACAACGGAGCAGTTACCTGTGTGCTGTTGCTATGTGAACAAGTCATCCTGAATAATGCCTGTTTGGACATTCATCAACACACTGTCTGCTTTAAACGGTTCTCAGATGTGTTTACAGATTTTTAATAGCCTATAAAAATGTAGTTCATAAACTTCTATTAAGGTCGAATGCATTTTATTTTACATCAGGCTTTAGTAAATACGTCTTTAATCTCTATAGTCTCAGTTCTCTTAAGACTAATCTGTATCAAATAAAATAAGATAAAATATTCTGCTCCAATTTATTTTATTTTATTTTTACAGAAAAATGTGTTTTACTCATTTTGAGGAAATAAATTAGTGTTATAATTGTCTGAAACAACTTAATTCGGAAGCAATTATAATAATGAAGAAATAGTGCACTGTAACCCCATTTTACTGCAGTGAAAGCTTATTTCGATATAAAGTATCTGGTGTCAAATAATGTAAGCCTACTTAATTTTTTTAATTCAAATTATGATTTTTTAAATGGTTACAATTCTTGAGGATTTCAAATAGTGTACAAATTCAAAGCAAAAGTACCTCTGTATTTTGACATAGCCTAAAACTAAGCAAATGTTCCGCACAGTCAAAATTATTCTTGTCAAATTGAGTATCCATAAACAGTGTCTTATTATGTCATATGAGATGGTCCATAATAGACAGGTGAAAGAAAACTACAGTCATTCAGCACGTTTATTAAAAAAGAGGTAAAAGAATCTGCTTCTTGTTTAATAAAAAGGGTGATAACTAGGCTTATGAAAAACATTAAAACCTCCGCCTCTTAGATATAAAACAGGCTACTCAGAATCAACCTATGATTTTAAATTCAATATAAAACTGTCGTAATTACTGCTGATAATTTAATGCCAATACCTATCCCATTACTTACTGTTAGCAAAGGGATGATCATGGTAACTTTTAATTGTAGTCATGAGACAAAATTAATCAAAGTTAAATTTTATACAGAAAAATAAAAATGTTGCACAAGAAAATAAACAAAACATGTAGGCCTACCACAATATCCCTTTTTTCCATTAAACTGAGCATGCCCATGGTGGGTATCCTAACTCTAGCTGATTCTTTTTGGAGAAACTGTGTTATAATTGAACCCTGTTGTCTTTACAATAACCGTAAAACCTGTAAAAGCTTTTAGGATCACATTTCTCAGTTAAACAATTATCGAAATAAACAGAACTGACTTCGTGTTTTAACGTTTCCATGCAGTACCTAGTTGTTGTTGTTTTTCTTCTTCAGCAAAGTGACAGAGGCTGAATGATAGGCTGGTATACAAAAGATAAAGAGTGTAAATTTACTCCTCTTAAATGACTAAAAGTCTGTCCTCGAGTGTGGTCATTAACCGATAACAGCATCGTTGTTTTAACTGTTGCTGTTTGTCTTTTGTAGAAACCAGGACGCGGAGGAACTCCTCGAGCACAGAGACTCGTTAAAAAAAAGGAGGTTTACTGACTGCAGCTCTGAACCGCCAATAGCAGGTCAGAGACCGGGGCTTCCCGCTCCTCCGTCCGCCCGGGGAGACTATTTAGGAGAGGAGCACGCGGAGGAGAGCAGACGACAGGTGCACGAGGCATGACCTGGTCCTCAGACCAGCAGAGAGGAAGGCAAGAGGAGTTTGAACCATGAAAACAAAGCTGTTTTAACCATGGAGGCTGAAGTTGCTTCAAAAAAGTGGATATTCACTGACAGGGTGAGTTTTTCATGCAAAAATGAGGAAAAAGTTGCAGTATGAGGAAACAATTTGACGTGAGTATCACTTATGGTCTGTTGCTGTTGCTGCTGCTGCTACCAGGCAACCACTTCAAACTCCAAACACATGAATGGTACACACAAAGCCTATACTGCCACACATTACTTCCTGGTAAAGTGATAAATAACTTATTGCTACTTTATCTGAACCACAACTTTTTTTTAAAGTGATTCACTGAAAAGCAAATTTGCAGACTTTAATGGTACTTTGCTGCAACAAGAGCTGTTTTTGATGATGCCAGTGTTGTAGTTACCTGACTTTTTCTTTCTTCATAACCAGGACAGCAAGTGGAGGATGCAGAGATATTTCAGAGGAAAGAGGAGACACTGTCCCTTCAAGGTAAGAGAAGAAAACATGTAATTTAGTTTGTGCTGCAGCATAATTTTTCCTGGCTGCTACAGTGTGGCAGTGTACTGCTGCTGGCTGTGTGCTCTGTGATTGACAGCTGTCAGCTGCACTCCTCACTGCAACTGACCTGAAACATCCTCCAAACTGGTATTGCAACATGCACCACATCATTCAAGAAGAGTAACGTTAGGGGGAACGCATGGAAGATGTTAAATTTCACAGTTCAGTTCAGTCAAATCAGAGTATTTGCACACCCCGTCTGAGGAGACGTGTCTGGTTGGGAGGCAGTGTAATGTTAGCTGATGTTTCTTTACCAGCTCACTTTGCTCTGCTACCCAAACAGAGACATTTGACCAAACTTACCTGAGTCAGTGTCTGCTGATGTTGGTTCATCAGCAGATGGCAGCAGAGGCTGTCTGATTTTTCCGTCTGTTTTCAGTTCTGTAATCGTGGCTGGCTGGTAGGCAGTGTCTTGTTAGCTGGTTGGTGCTCTGAGTACCAGCTTACCTGCTGCTGCCCTCCAACTGTCCATTTCGATCAACACAGGAGAGTTTTCACCGTTAAATCTCACATTTTAAAACAGCACAGTGATTTTAACAGCTGCTCCTGTTCCTCAGTCTCAGAGCTGAAGAAGTTCAGTAGTTATCAACCATTTATGTAATTACCAACATTTTGAGTAAACATGAATAATTAATTACATTTTTATGGCAGAAATCAACTAAAAAATAGACGTGAAACTGCTGATCACATCCTTATTCAGATTAAGTATTGAAACACAAAAACATGACACATGAAAAAACTGACAAAATTGCTTATAGGAGCTTGAAAAAAACATTTTCCCTTTTCTTGTGTTGCTTAAATGTATGCACATTAACATGCTGGTTAATTCACTAAATAAATCAAAGATTTAACAAAAGTATGTAAATCAAAAAAGTTGTTTTATTGTTGTGTGGACAGTTTGTTGTGCTCAAATTGGTCAAAAGAGGCCAAGAGAAATACTCTTATGTAAACATCCAGAAGAGATTTGGAGACGAACTGAATATAAAATCAACACTCTAATGCCAAAACAATCCTTCAGCTGCAGCAGCGCTCTTTTTATCAGGAATGTTCATCATGATTGTCACTGTCTACCACAGGATGGTCCCCCCCCACCACACACACTCACAAACACAGACAGAAACACAGACTTACACATGTTGACAAGCTGTGAGTGACTCTTGTTGACTTTGAGGCTAAAACTAGTGAATGTTTTCCTCCTGTTTTGTATCTGGAGTGAGAAATCACTCCAACACACTCACAGTGACAGTTCAGAGTTTGGTCAGTCTTCTGCAGGAAACATGAACGCAACACAGATTTGTGTGCATTTGTTGATGTGAGCTCTCCATCATAGCTCCTGACGCTTCTTCAGGATGATTCCTCGCACCACTGTTGCCACCTCTTGTCTGATGCTCTCAATGGACTCATCCGACCGCCAGAAGCGAACCACTTTCCCCTCCGGGTTCACCAGAAACTTCCAAAAGTTCCACTTTGGGAGTTTCTGCACAGAATCTAAAACACAACACATTCGGTTATATGATTATTATGATTATTGTTCCTTTAATTAGCAGTTGAAATTCTCAGAAAATAGTTTTTGGAGATGAAGTCCATCCAAAACATTTCCCCTATATAATTATGAGTTCAGACAATAATTTAGCTTTTTTTTTTTAGAGCATAAATTATTTCTATAAGTTAGGTGTAATCAACAGACACTTGATCTAAAAATGTAAATTTGCAGCTATTAGGGAAGGTGTGGTGTGAGGAAAATAGGGGTGACCAGGGTTGGTTGTCATACTTTTGACTCTTAAGAAAATTTGTCATAATCAAAACATACTTCTCCGGTCATTTCTACATTCGTCAAAAACATACTTTGACGAGTAGCAGCCTACTTCTGAAATGGGTATCCTTTGTGTTGTAGTAAATTATTCAACAGAAAGTTATTTACCGTCAAGGTTAAATCATTTAATTGTTTTGTGTGAGTGTGTATGAGTCAGATAGGGAGTCTTTTGTATAAGGCCATGCCATGCTGTCTTTGTGAACTGTATTGGCCAAAATAAAATGACTCTGCTGGTTTACAAAGATAACCTTTAAGGATGCCTTCATATTACCGACTTCTTTTTTTGTTCTTTACAAGTAGCCAAACTTGAGCATGTGTGTGTAAACATTCCCACCTGATGTCTTGAGAAAGATTAAGTGTGACCTACCACTTGGATTTGATTAAAAGGATATTCTGGCGTAAAATTAATTTAGGGTCAAACACACTGAAACACAGAGTTAGATACCCCCTCGAGAGATGAATGTGGCCGACCGTTTGCTTCTCCAACTTTGGTAATGACCACACGATAGCAAGACTCAGCAGTCTGAGGAGCCAGAAACAAACTTCAACCAAAAACGCCACTCTATAGCCACAAATAATGTTCAGAACAGCACCTAACTTTATCAACAGTACATATAGGGTCCCAGCCATAGCACTAGCGCCCAAACATCTTTTTAACTTTGACTCATTTCTTTAGCAAAGAGACTAAACACAACTCACCTACTCTCTTCCAGCAGCCGCTTGGTTGTTTGTAGACCTTGGGCCAGTCCATTACGGACTGCTGCTGGGGAAGGCAGCTCAAGGAAGAACATTTATCGTCATTACTTTATCATTTCCTTTAAGTAATAATCACCATATTAATCAATTTGCACTGCAGATGCTGTAGTTCTTCTGCCTTGGCGTCTTGGTCTGATTGCATTTCCATGAAGTACTGATCATAAATGTTCTTCCTTGAGCTGCGTCACGCCTTAATAGTCCGTAACGAACTGTCCTGAGGTCTCACTACAAACAAGCGGCTGCTGGAAGAGAGTAGGTAAATTGTGTTTAGTCTCTTTGCTAAAGAAATGAGTCAAAGTTAAAAAGATGTTTGGTGGCTAGTGCTATGGCTGGGACCCTATATGTACTGTTGATGAAGTTAGGTGCTGTTCTGAGCATTATTTGTGGCTATAGAGTGGATTTTTGGTTGAGGTTTGTTTATGGCTCCTCAAACCACAGAGTATTGCTATCGTGCAGTGGTTACTAAAGTTGGTATAACTAGAGAAGTAAGCAGTCGGCAACATTCATCTCTCAATGGGGTGTCTAAGTTAGTGTTACGGTGTGTTTGACCCTAAATTAGTTTTACGCTGGAATCTTCCTTTAAGAAGCTGAGACTGGGCTTAAATAAAAGCGGTCATCTTCTACTTTTTTGGTTTTTGACTTCAGAATGCCCAATCATCTTCAATTTTTTAGAAGTAGCTATGGTGTCTGACCAAACTTTAAGACACACCACCTTAAGGTTTGGCGGTATTGAGCAATTTGACAACCAATCCCGGTCTCCCCTACAGCCTAAAGTGCCACTCAACTCCATCAGGGTTCATACTCCCACAACTCGACCCATAGAGACGCATTAATGTGTCATCCCTAACTGTGTGATGGTGTTTGTGTAAAACAAAGCAGACGTGTGTAGTTGGAGGGTTTCTCTATCCACCTGTGAGGAACCTGAAGGCAGGATCCGCCTCTGAGCCCATTATTTTGATCTTGCTGAAGAAAGGGAAGGTGACTCCGTATGCAGACTTGGCGAAGGCCTCGATGTCTCGGCTGGCCCCGGTCTCTGTGTCCCCGAACTGACCGCAGGGGAAGGCCAGGACGTTGAAGTGAGAGGTACCCAGCTCCCGGTGCAGCTCCTGGAGAGACCTGTAGTTCGCCTCTGTGTGCTCGCAGTTACTCGCCACGTTTACAACTAAAGACGCCTGGAAAAGTAGGAAAAGCAGGGTTAGGAGAGAGACAAGAAAAGCTGGAATAGATAAGTCTACTGCATGAAAGCCTGTCCTTAGATGACAGTAGGTAGAGTCTGCACAGTTTGCACAGATTTCCTTCTAAACTTGTCCGATGGGTGATGATGTGGACCTACTTTTCCTCGGTACCTCTCCAGAGAAACAGTCCTTCCTTTGGCGTCTTTGACCTCGAAAGAATAAAAATCCTGCGGTTTTCTGGGCTTCACCAGTTGCGTCTGCAGGAGGAATAAACAGCCCACACCGACTGTCATACTGAGCAGGACCGTCAACTTTTTCGTATTTGGATTAGAGGATCTCGTAGGGTAGCCCCCTAAGGCCTCCATCTTGGAGGGGGAAGATTGAACCAGCAGAGGAGGAGGAGGAAGAGTGGGGGATCCAGCCAAGAAGTTTTGGGGCGGATCAGTGAAAAGGGATAAGTTAAGATCACTAAAAACTCCACAGTCTTACCGGAAACGAGGAGCCACTTAATACAAAATAAGAGCGATTTAAAAGCTTAATACGCAAACCTTCTGTCCGTTATGAAGTCTAAGTTACACAAACTGTTTATTTAAGACCGTCCTGTTGTCATTGTGGTTCCATTCAAAATGGCTTCATTTGCTTTAGCTTTCAAAAATGTCAATTTGTTGAGGCATGTGCCTACTTCAGTGCAGTCCAAGAACTTTAGAGTGAACCCAACTTCAGTAACATGTTACAGTTTTATATCAAAAGGGTTACAAGCAAAAAGCAAGTTAAGTGTTTTGCTAGTCTACTTCTATGGTCTCCATTAAAGGGATATTCCGGCGTAAAATTAATCTAGGCTCAAACACACCGTGACACCGAGTTAGACACCCCCTCAAGCGATGAATGTTGCTGAAAGCTTGCTTCTCTAGTTTTAACAACTTAAGTAACGACCACAGGATAGCAATACACAGTAGTCTGAGGAGCCATAAACAAACCTCAACCAAAGCGCCACTCTATAGCCACAAATAATGCTCAGAACATAGGGTCTCAGCTGCAGCACTAGCCACCAAACATCTTTTTAGCTTTCCCTTATATCTTTAGCAAAGAGACTAAACACAACTCACCCACTCTCTTCTGGCAGCCACTTGTTTGTAGCGAGACCTCAGGCCATCCCATTATAGACTACAGCGGGGTGACGCAGCCCAAGGAGGAACATTTATGATCATTTCTTCATGGAAATGCAATCAGACCGAGACACTAAGGCAATAGAACTGCCGTGTCTACAGTGCAAAATGATTATTATGGTGATTATTACTTCATGGAAATGACAAAGTAATGACCATAAATGTTCTTCCTTGAGCTGCATCACCCTACAAACAAGTGGCTGCTGGAAGAGAGTAGGTGAGTTGTTTCAAGTCTCTTTGCTAAAGAAATTAGGCAAAGTTAAAAAGATGTTTGGTGGCTAGTACTATGGCTGGGACCCTATATGTACTGTTGATGAACTTAGTTGCTGTTCTGAGCATTATTTGTGGCTATAGAGTGGCTTTTTGGTTGAGGTTTGTTTATGGCTCCTCAGACCTCTGTGTATCACTATCGTGCGGTCGTTACTAAAGTTGGTATAACTACAGAAGCAAGTGGTGGGCAACATTCATCTCTCTAGGGGGCATCTAACTCGGTGTTACAGTGTGTTTGACTCTTACTTAATTTTATGCCCCAGTATCCCTTGAAGATTGAACTACTTGAACGGTTTGTCTGTCTTATTTTGAAAGTTCAAACCGGAAGTTTTTCTTCTTATTTCTCAAAACTGACGCTATGAATCAAAGCCTCAGTAGTCTTACGCGATTTTGAGTTTTGGGGCCAAAAATTTGAAAACTTTGATAAAACTTTGTGTTTGTATTTCTGCGTTCTCAGGGACAAGACGACGTCCATCATACTTCATACAAGCGGTTCAGGAGGAGGATCTTCCAGAGGAGCGGCTGTGAGAGTCCCGCTGCAAGTACACCACTGACCACACGGGGGCAGTGTGAGCCCAGCTTTGAGTTTGATACAGTCTGTCAGAGACTGGAGCTGGACTCACCTCAGAGACACGAAGAACCAGGACACACAGTTATACACGGAAACTCGCAAGGTATTTGTTCTGAACATCAGACTTCACCAACGAAGAATGAGGAAGAGGTCGTGTGTCCTTAAGTGTGATCTCACTCACATGTACGAAACATCTGAAAACCTTACTGTACCAAAACTTACTGGTCAAGGCATTACTCACAATCAACCTGTTATATGCACTCATGTAAACTGTGGGCTTAAGTAGGCTGCAGTTCTCTTAGAATAAGACATGATAAATACATTATTATTATGATTATCATTATTATTATTATTATTATTATTATTATTATTATTATTATTATTATTATTATTATAGAAATAAGAACTGACTTAATTTTTCTGAGATGAATCTAAGTTGTTCACATGGTGTTCTTTAATGGCATCTGCATTTACCTTGTTTTCAATGTAGTCTTATTAAGTCAATCTGTCAGAGCAGCAAGTATGACAATAATCAATGCATCTTGTACCAATCAGAGAGGCTGACAGGGAGTGCAACCTGTTTTACAGCTGTTTCACCTGAGATCATGACAGCGTGCACTCTCACTGCACCACAAGGATGTCCTTCTGCAGGAAACGCCTCACAACAGGTGTGTTTTAGAAACTGCTATACTCCCCATGGATCAGAGATTTTTAAGTGTGAAATCTGCCTGCAAAAACAACAAAATGAAGGATTTTACAAAGAGAGAAAAAGCATTGAACAGGCTAACTTTATATTGAATGATAATGATATATTCTACCTGAGGTATTGTGGAAGCTGCCTCCATATCCTTTTTTTTTCTTTGCAGGGATGGGTGTGGAGAGCTGCCACTCAAGAAAATGAAAACTCTCTACAGGCTGGTAAAGCATGAAAGTGTTTTTTTCCTCTCGTTGCAGTTACGTACTACAGCCACAAACACATGAAAACACACTTGGGAAATAACGGATTGTGCAATGATACTTAAAGGACGACTGCATTATGTCATTCCAGGAAACAGGACAAAATGCCCTGACTAGTCTGCAGAAATGTAATAGAGAAACTTCATACAAATCAATCTTTTAAAGTGTCAGTCACACACCTTTGTTGTGTTTCTATTTTTACATTCACATTACAGCAGTGTAGATGTTTCCCCTTTGATATGAGACTTTGCATCTGGGTTTTAAAGTGCCGTCATGACGTCTCTTTTCTTTGCAGACTCAGATGGGAGAAGACATGATGTGCAGCCATTTGCTACCCTGGGAAAATCTTTTCGGGGTCCACAAGACGGGCCAGTAATGAAGATGGCGGCACCGTCACTGGTGAACGACTACTGTAAGAAGGGATTCAAATCTGCATTATTCTTGTAAAACAGGATTTATTCAGAGCCAGTGACTCCGGGGCGTGGCTGGACTGAGGAACACATCTGCACCTTGTTTTGTAAAGAAGACATGTAAACATGATGAAAGCTTCATGTTGTGAAATAAAGCTTGAGGAAACCTGATGAGCAAACCTAAATATGCATTTGTTTCTGGTCAAAAGTATCTGAAGGTGTGTGGGGGTCGTTTATGAGCCTCATACTTTCCACCTGTAAGTTTTGTAAAATAAGTCAGAAGTTCCTGTTGTCTGTTTTCGGACCTTTCTAAACTAATAATACTCTCTGGAAACAGCTCATTCTGCTATTTTGATCAATAATAATATGAACACAGCAAAGACTCATGCCGTTTGACTCCTCTCTTCTTCTCAGGTGTTGTAAATCCTCTATAGTCCCCCTCTCTTCCATCTCTCCTCTTCAGACACTAATCTGCTCGACTGCAGTTGTAACGGTATGATTGCATTAGCACTGGGCTCTTCTGTTTACCTTTGGAATTCAGAATCTCAGGCTTTGGTGGGATGTTTGGAGAACCATCCAAAACCAGGACCTCCGTACCATCAAACCGATTCTGTCTCATGCCTTTGCTGGAGCAGAGACGGCAGAGCTCTCAGTATCGGGACAAGACGAGGGGAGATTCAGGTAAACGGCTGGAAACTGATTCATTCAACCGCAGTATGGGGGTCATCTGAGTGGAAGTGTAACACCTCAAGCTGAATATGACGGTTTGTGGTGTGTCTGTGTTTCTCTTTCTGACTCCTCAGTTGTGGGATGTTGAGCAGAACCAGAGGGTGAGCTGTCTGTCGTCACACCTGTCTGTGGTTGGAGCTCTTTCCTGGAACCAGAAGTTACTCAGCAGGTATGTGATGTCAGTGTTTTCCAGATAGACTGAAACTCCTGCACATTGTTGCTATCACTCACAGGCTTTTATCTAACCTCAGAAAACATCCCAAACTCATTGACATGGATTAAATTTATGGATCATGTGTGATTTTCTTTGTATGCAACGTTTCAGTGTTTCTACAGTGCACTATATTTTTGTCAGTTCGTAAAGGGTTACTCTCAATCTAACTTCGACCTTATCTCTTAAACTTTATCCAAGGAGGAATGACACAAAACAAGCTACTTATCTTTAGTGGTAGGAGAATAAAGCATGACGTGTGTTCGTTTTCTGTCCTAAGTCATACTAACAGAGAATTTGGATTCAGAACAACTGACTGGCCTAAAGCTTAGAAAACACTCAAAAAAGCCAAAACTGGCCCAAACTTAAAGGGATATTCCGGTGTATGATTAATTTAGGGTGAAACACACCGTAACACCGAGTTAGACACCCCCCTCAAGAGATGAATGTTGCTGACTGCTTGCTTCTCTAGTTATACCAACTTAAGTAATGACCGCACAATAGCAATACACAGTGGTCTGAGGAGCCAAACACAAATCTCAACCAAAAAGTCACTATATATACACCACGCCGCTACAAACAAACGGCTGCTGGAAGAGAGTAGGTGAGTTGTGTTTAGTCTCTTTGCCAAAGAAATTAGGCAAAGTCAAAATATTTTTGGTGGCTAGTGCTGTGGCTGGGAACCTATATGTACTTTTGATAAAGTTAGGTGCTGTTCTGAGCATTATTTGTGGCTATAGAGTGGCTTTTTGGTTGAGGTTTGCATGTGGAGCAATAGACCACTGTGTAATGCATTCATTTGGTTGTTACTAAAGTTGGTATAACTAGAGAAGCAAGCAGTTGGCAACATTCATCTCTGGAAGGGATGTCTGACTCAGTGTTATGGTGTGTTTGACCCTAGATTAATTTTACGCCGGAATATCCCTTTAAAGTTCCCCACATGAGCTTTAACATGACACAGTCAATGTAGAACTTTATCTTCATTTTCTGGGTTAAAATACTGCCAAACTGTGCAACATGACACCATCTGTCATCTGTGCTTGTTTACATTTGGATAGTAGAGCATCATAGTTATATGGTATTATTTATTAAAGCAACAACTGTCCAAGACAAAATCTGTGGTATGTCACACCCTCAGTCCTAGAATACAGGAGCAGGTGAAGGAATTCTTGGATTCATAATGGTTGAGTTCTTTAGAGGAAAACGTAACAGGAAGTGATCAACATAAGGACTGGTGACAGTTTGCTCTTCCTTGCAGTGGCTCTGTACTCGGATGCATCCATCACTTTGACCCTCGGGCTTCCACAACTCTGGTGGGTGCAGCTGTTCAGCAAGATGGGATCTGCAGCCTGCAGTGGTCACCTGAGGATGACATGCTTGCCAGTGGCTCAACAGAAGGTCTGCTGTGCATATGGGACAGAGACATCGCAGGGTTCACAAGAGCACGCCAGCCAATCACCAGGATGAAACAGCCCAGCGCTGTAAAGGTCAGGAGATACTTCATGGAAAGTTTTTTGGGGGTTAAAATGATGATACAGCACATTTTGCTAACAATGTTTCTTAATAAGAGTCCTTGTATTTGCACATAAAAAGGAATTTTTCAATCAGGTGGTCAAAGTGTGTTGAAATAATCCTGTTTGAGTTTTCAATCAGTTACTAATGAACTTGTACTTCAAACTAACCTTGCGCCTTGCTGTAAGATTTGCAGATGAGTAATCCTTTTTTCATGCAGACTCAGGTTACATGTCTCTGGTGTGTATTTATCTGTTATTATAGAGGTTAGAATAATGAGTTTGTCCTTCAGCTTTTCACTGGGCAGTCTACTTAAACTGTCAGACAACCAGCTGCCTATTGTGAGTGTGCATTCATTGTGTTTGTGTGTCCAGGCAATGGGCTGGTGTCCATGGCAGAGTAAAACGATCGCCACAGGTGGAGGGTGGAAAGACGGAGAGCTGAGGATCTGGGACGCGGATTCAGCAACTTGTGTGTCCTCTGAAAACACAAACTCACAGGTGCTTCACACTTCAACAGTAACAGAGATACATATTTTTACTTCACAAATATGTCTGAAAGTTGTTTCCTAATGACTCTAATTGCAGATCTGTTCTCTACATTGGGCTGAAAAGAGGAGATATCTGGTCACAGGTCACGGCCTTCCACGTCACCAGGTCACCTGCTGGAGCTGGGACTTTCCCCACCTCAGCCCAACCCTCCAGCTCACAGGTGAGAGATCCAGAATTAGTATTAATGTTGAACAACACAGGCCTCGATGATTTCTGTTTAACACTACCGTCTATGTTGGAATTAATTTATTGTGTTACGATACATGCTGAGTAAAAAAGTCACAGAATGAGTGTGACAGTTGAATCACAACTGTGGGCTCTGTCCTCGGTCATGACATAAATATGTAATGTGGAGTTTGTGCTGACTCATCTGTGTCATTTTTAGAGTAAATGTGAAACTTTGAATTTGACAAAGAAGTCACACTTTGAAAAGTCAGTGTCTCCTGAGGTATTAGGAACTATTTTGCTGTGAACTTTAGTTGAGGTTGAGGATGAATAGACATCAAATTTGGCAGCATGTTGCTCAAACCAACAAGATTTATCAAGTGTGAAACCAACAAGATTAAAGTAAAAGCCAAAGAATGGTCAGGTGGGGGTTCATTCTTTATACATATTATTCAGGGAAACTTGTTTTCTTTTATGAGACAAAGTGTATTTCAATTTCTCTTTCTCATTTTCTCACTTAGGTCATTCACAGAGAGTTCTTCACGTGGCTGTAAACCCTGACAACACTCAGATTTTTACTGCTGGAGCTGATCAGCATTTGCAAATCTGGGATATTTAATGATCATCGCATCGTCTCCATTGTGTCATGCATTTGTCAAAACTGTGTCTGCACACAGAAGAAGCTCACTTTCTTGGAAAAGTCATTGTGAAAGAAAAAAGTAGTATTTCCTGTCCCCTTTTCCTATCCAACCACAGTGAGAGGGCAGCTCACCACACTGACTCCTCTCGGTCGTTGTTTGTCCCCTTCTTCAGTTAGATAAATATCTGTTCCTCACACTAGCAATAGTTAGAACTGAAAAAGCTTCTTGGATAAGAGCCGAAAAGTCTTCTCAACTCTACACAGTCCAGTTGCCTGTTTTTTTGAGTCTTTAAGAAAACCATGACCCGGATGAACGAGAATCTACATGAACACACTGACTATGACACTAAGATGACACGTCAAGATTTGGCACCTTTTCTCTATTGTATGCAAATTTCATTTGCTTTGTCTCATACTAACTTCCAACTAGAACAATTTACTTTCCAATTTAGGGTGACAGCAAAAAAAACAAGAAAAAAAAAAACAGTTTTATGTGATTTAATGCTCGGTTTAAAGTGATAGGAACCTGTGTGCAAACTAGGCCACGTTTTTTTTTTTTTTTTTTTTTTTTGCAGAGGGAGCAAAGTCTACTAAGTATCTCAGCTCATTTTGAGAGACTCCGACCCAAGCACTCATCTTGGGTTAAGTGAAGGTTTAGGACTTTGCCATCAGACGGCTCATACTTTTTGCACTTTTTGCAGAAGCAACACATTTACTTTGCTTGGTAAGCTGTTTGGGCCTGCGTCAAAGAGACAAAAGTACAACCAAATTGTACAAGGACTGATCCTGAAAGCATGTTTATAGACACAACTGAGGGCCCACTGTAAAAATATCTAACTATCTCTTTAATAGCTGCAGCAGAGCTTTGACAGCATGTGGAAACCAGAGGAGAGAGCCAAGCCACAGTGTTAAGGCTCAGGAAAACACTTAAAATCATTTTTTTTTTCATTTTGTTAAAGCTTTAATTTGGCAAAAAGCTGGAAACTTGTAAATAATTTATCGATTTTGTCATTGTTTGGTATAATTTAATGTCTTGCTCGCATCTAAAAAAGGTTTCCTATTGATATGTTATCAAAAGTTTTCTTGTGTTTTATATCTTACACCATTAAAAAAACTTCTTGCCCTTTGATTCTGTTTATTTTCTGTCTCCTTCATTCCCACGTTTTTGTGTTAATGATGATATATGACAGGTTTGCTTTTCTATCAGGTGTTTCTAAAGTCTTATTCAAACTAAATTGACAAATGTGACTTACTTTTCTCAACGTTGATTTGACCAAGGCTATACTTCTCTAAGAGGAAACTACATGCAAATGGGTCTGTGGTGAGGACTTCCTTAACAAGAAAAAAAGCCAAGACCCCCCGTCTTTTGTGAAACATCTTGTGGTCAAAACGTTCTCTGGCTCAGAGGTAGAGAGGTTTTGCAACATGTTACACAACACATCTCTGTGAAAAAATACATCAGGGCACTTTCCTTGAAGATACAGACTGATGATTACATCTAGGTAGAGTATACAGGAATATAGTTAGAACAATATGAGTGATATTTTTACACGTGCTTGAACAGTGGTAGTGCATCCCAAGACAGTCCTAGACCCGATCACTCTAAATGCAGAGCAGAGCTGAGAGATAAAGTCTAGAACCACAGTTTTAGCTACTTTTACATAGAGATCTATGAGTGAAGATGAATGAAAGCAGTTTTTTTTTTTCAAGATTATCTTTCTTTTTGCTTGACTTTTTTCCCGAACAATGTGGTGAAATAGTTCAGAGACTGCTGCCTGCCAATGAAATGGTTCATGGGTTTGACATTAGTGCAGGGTGAGAGCAAAGTTAGCAAAGGACAGAAGACAGATGAGGCAGGGAGAGTAAGATAATGAGCTATGGAGAGTGAAGGAAAAAGAGGGAGAAGAAAAAAAAAAAAGAAACATGTCCACCCCTGTAGAGAGGCCCCTGACCAATCAGAAGGCTCCTTTCATCCAGCTAAACAGAGTCTTTATTATGAGAAGGGCCTTTGCCTTCAGTTTATCCAATGGCTTTTTTTGATCAGCCAATCAAAATGCACCCCTTAATAGTTTAATCAGAACAGATCTTTCATTAAGCCAATCAGAATGCTTCTTTCATTCCAATAAGCTAAGGTAAAACTTTAAATCTACCATAACTATCAGGAAAGAAGACGATATTCTTAAAACTAAATCTGTATAAACATAACAATCCTCAAAGTTTATTTGTGCTCATACTGCAGTGAAACACCAGGAAAACGACTCACTGTGATCTTTTTTTTCTTCTTTGGCCCTGACAAAGTTCTGTGACACACCATCACGATAACCAGTCCACAGTCCTGTAAGAGGATACTTGGCCACTTATGACAGGACTTGTCATTAGAAACAGTATTTGTTGATTAATACTGGGTGAACTGGCGACGTTTGAGTAAACAATCATTTCGTCAAAGTGTCCTCCAGTGCAAATTGAACATAGACTGCATATAGAATGGATACCATCTGCCTCCTTGCTGGGTGAAGCCACACCGAGAACAGCACCCTCTGGTGACGGGCTGCAGTATAGGTCATAAATCCCGCCTCTGTCAGCAAAGCTTATAGGGTTGTGGACAAACTTTAGAAATTTATTACACAGAACATAAATTTTTCTCCCCCCACTTGCGATGTTGACATGTAGTAAGACTGGTTTGTGCTCAAGTCCTCTTTTTTCTGTACAGCTCCATTTTTAAAAGTGATCAGGGGGTTCATGTTTTTTATGACTGACACTTGATACAGCCTATTGGAGTACGAAGATTGCATAGCTCACCCTGGGGATACACTGTCTGAGCCAAGTGTCATCACAGCGACTCTCCCGTGGAATGCGTACAATACTGCGTGATGTTGGTTTCAGGAAATGGAGAAAAATCGCGTAAATACCGAGATCTATTCACCTTCAAATCTGTATACTGGCGGAAGGCGGAACCAAGTCGTCCATTGTATATACTGTCTATGATATTGACTCTGTACTACATTTTACAGTCAGTTTACTAAGAAAAGACTTCATTTACTGTAACTATCCCAATACATGTGCACTTGAAATTTAAAAGTAGCCGAGCTGACCATGAAAAAAGAGGAGCAGCTGGCTTGACCGTAGTTTCCTTTTCATTGATGTGTGGCAAACAGAGCAAAGGACAACCACGATGAACTCAAGATATTGCCTCAAAGCCACATCAGCTTCATATGTGGACAGTTGATGGTAAATATATATTGATAATCAATCAGTAAATGACAAAAACTGAGACCAACAGAAAAGCAACCACTGATTCCTGATACCTGCTCGACCAACAGGGCACACATCCAAACCAGTTTCCCAATCTTTACCCAAGTGAGCTCACCTGATTACATCAAACATTTCTCAAAGTCTTGGCTTGTTCAAGTAATTTATTGTCAAAATGAAAAGCCTAAAAGGTCAAAGTGCACAGACTTTTTATCCATGCAGACTCTAAAAATAGACTGAGGGGCGGAGCTGTGGGTTAGTATTTTGATGCCTCCTATAAAAGCTCTGTTCACCTGGTGTCTCGTTACACTGTTCAGCCTGTTCTGATAACTTGACAGTTTCAACAACACAACCAGTTGTTTCATATTAACCAAAATTAACAACACAGATTGGTAAAACAGTACATATAAAAGTTCAACATATCCATGAGAGGGCTTTGTTTTGATAGGTCAGTTTGTGAACTGTAATATTTCCATGATGAACGCTGACAGCTCACAGAAACGTCTAGAAACTGGTTACCATTCCACTTCACCACTCCCATTTTTCTCCACCTCTTGCATCAACATCTCGCACGAGCCGGTTCTATAAACTTCCTGAGCCGAGGGAGTGTTAGGCAGAGAAAAGCGAGACTTAAGAGAATAAAAGGTTGCTGAGGGATGAAGAGATATTTCAGAAACACAATAACAGACTCACCTGCATGCCTGCCTGTGAGACCCAGTTCCTGCAGCGGCTGGCCGTTCTTGGTAACTTTTACGTGTTTAAAGTTTGACTCTGCACTTGAAAACTCTGCTGTTATTTTTGTTAATATTTAGTCAGATGCAGAAAATGAAATAAAATAAGACAGTTACAGGCACTACCAGGTCCTGTTTTAAGGTTCATGCACTCTTAAGTGATTGCTCTTGGCTCTTTGTGGTTGTTTTGCGTGCCTTTGTTTCAAAGTCTAGCTTGAGACACATACTGCAAATTCTTGTCTTTGAAGAGGTTTGTTTCTCTAAGTTGTTTGTGGTTGTCTCTCGTCTCTCGCTGTATTCAGCATGAATTTGTGGGTTTCTTTTTCACACCTTTTTTATGGGGTGTGAATCAGATGGCAGTACTTCTTTTGTCTCTTTGTCTTTGAGGTCAGTTTGTTAGCTACCCAAATCAGTCTGCTGTCATTTCTGTCTGTTTGAGGTCACATCAGGCTTTTCTACAGATGTTTTGAGGGTTTTCATTTTGGTTACATTTTGCACGTGAAGTTGAGCTGAACACTTCTGATCACGGCTACCTTTGTTAAATGCTGTTCTGACAGACCCATGCTTCACTGCAAAGTCACTCTGAATACTCCAGCACACTGTGGAGTGTCTACTATTGTGGAATGCAACACCAATATGTCTTTTTCTTCCTTAGCGGTGTGCCTTGGATTATCACTGGGCCAGTCCATACCTGCGTACATCCTGGTCAAGAGGATGGCATCCTGGTCCAAAGCCCGGGAGTTCTGTCAAAAGCATTACATCGACCTCGCTGTCGTAAACAAAGAAGAGCAATACTTCACTCTCCTCGACCTCACCGCTTCGGTCAAAGACAGCTTTTGGCTCGGTCTCCAGCAGCAGAATACCTCTGTCAGCTGGATGTGGGTGGATGGAGAGGAGCTGACCTATGATCACTGGTACAAGAGGTACCCTAAAGGTCACTGTGCAATCTTGGAGGCCATGTTGGAAGGAGACAAGACACTGCTGGGTCGCTACTGTGATGAGATGCACATGTTCATCTGTCAAGGTGAGGTATGCCCGTTTGATTTATATTCATGACAATCACCGTAGGTTATTTGATTGAAGGGAATAAGCTGTTTGCCTAAAGCTGACACAAAAGTTCATCTTGAGGTAGATTACGGACCAAAATATTAGAGCTGGGAGGCAAAATGTATGTCAGAGATTCTTACAGTCATGAATGGACTGTCCACATAAGTGAGATCAAGACATAACATCCAGCATCCTCGCTTGTGTTGATAAATGCTGGCAGGAGGTTGAAATTATTTTTATATTCATGGCCCAGGATTTTTTTCATTGGTTGACATAAAACCTGTGTTTGTCTATCTAATTTTGACCTTCACTCTTCCTCAGGTCCTGTCTCTCCACAGTCAGTCAAAGTGGACTCTGTGAGCTCAGATGGCGTGGCTCTCAGTTGGGAGGTCTCTGCTTTTATGCAGATGACACCACACAGTTACAATGTGACGATATATGGCAGCACACGTGAAACACTCATCTACCACTACGCTCACGGCTCCACTTCAATGAGCATCAACATCACCAACTTAACTTCAGACACTGAGTTCCTTATTGAAGTTTCTGCATCTGTTGTTCGGCCTGATGGTGATGCTGGTCGAGATGTTACCCTTCAAAGTCCCCCGACAGCTTTAGAAGTTAAAACAGGTAAGGACTGAAACCCCCTTTGTGGCTCTGATTGAAGACATTAATGTGGACAGAAACATACTTTAACATGCAGACAAGACAAAACACTTAAAAAGCTGGTGGTCTCATGTGTCAAAATTTCTCCTTCCAGTGGACTCTTTCAGACAGCCCAGAGGTATCACCCTCATGTTGAAGTTGCTCAAGCTTGTCTCTCTGGGTCCTCCACTGTTTGTTCTTTACCACATCCTAAAAAAGAGTAAGCCTTCTAATATACAATGACCTTAATCACTGTCACTGTCATCTATCTACCTCTGGTCTCTTATTGGTTACTCTTCTTTCTTCTCTAGGTGATACCGAGGAGTCAGATCATGACCTCTCAACAGATCTGGAGCATGCAGCTTTAGAGACACGAGTTGAATTAGTCCCAGAGAGAATCAGAGGAGTCGGTTGAAAACAGAAAAAAACATACATCACCCCCAGAGAACAATGCTCTCAAGATTGGGGTCCAGATTTCAAACAAAATAAGGACATGTTCTCTTGATTTAACCCGTTAGTTTTGTGATCTAAAACTAAGCAGTGTTTGGTACTTCTTCTTACAACAATCATGGTGCCAGTGCGTAAGAGTCATGAGCTGACATCAAGGCAGTTGTTTCAAACTTATTTTACCTCTTTGTTACTCATATTTCAATCGACCCCACTTTCAGTATGAATATACTATAGTAGCTTGAAGGCTAGGCATCTTTTGTACTTTTATTTTGTTTGTTCTTTTAAATAACATCCAGTTATCAAATGTGTATTTTCCATTTTTGTTTTTGGATCTAGTTCTGACGTGCCTTGAAAAGCTGCCGCACAGAAGGTGAAGGCCCAGTGTGTAGATTTCCTTTAATGTGAAAAGCAGCAGTGAAAGCAAAAAGTGTTATTCTGTGTCATTGCAGAACTTACTTATAATAATGGTGCTGTACCATCAACATGGTTCAAGCTTGCAGAGGAAATAATGAAGTTCCTTATAGTGAAAGTTAATGTGGTTGTATCTGTCGGTTTTTGGGAAAAACTTAACTAGTTTATGAAAACGGCAATCACATTTAATTCCGTTAGCTGCTGCATTAATTTTCTAATCAGGATTTTCCAGTTAGTTATTAAGTTTCAAAAAGGTCAAAGTCAATGTGAAATGGTTTATATAAAATCAAAGCCTTGACTGAGAAACTGTATTTAAGTTACACTTTCTAAAGATAATATTTCAATGTAAGGCTTTGAGAGAAAATTGATAGTATTTTTGCATTTTCATTTATTTGCACTTTTTTATTTTTTTATCGATACATTTTTTTTTTCCAGCCAGTTATTACATGCAGTTGTTTTATTTCAGGTACTTATTTCTGACTGTGTTTTCCACAGATGATTGGAAAATGGTAAGAGTCGATACTCATGACTCATGTGTCATTAGACTTTAGGTGGTTTACTTTAATATAAGCTAAAATGCTGCAATCCAAGACAGTCAAAGAAGCATTTATGTCACTCTGATTTGAAATATATGTGTGTATATTTATTTATTTATGTATTTCTGAGTTTTAAAAGTAAAGTCCACAATGAGGCGTTGAGAAATAAAGCTGAAGATCTGTGGAATATAAACAGACTAGTTGGAAATGATATTGTTCTCTACATGAGCAGACTGTTGCTGACTTTGGTGGCTGATTGTGCTACTAAGAGTTATACACAATGTATGAACGCTCCACAAAAATAAAAATTTCCAACAATGTCAAACGGTTTCCATTCATAACATCAAATACGACTTCTCTTCATCCAGCTATTAGTTATAAGTTATTTAATCACTCACAGCTGCAGCTAGGTGAAGCTGTTCCACTCTCGGCCCACTCACTGCTGAGACTTCTGTCTGTGAGTTTTTTCACATAAAGACCACGTAGCTTCTGATTAATACAGCTATTGACAGAAATAGATACCGTATGTTTGTGGGTTTTTGAGTCCATTTCGCTGACTTAGCATTTCTAAGGTCAGACCACATCCTGTGAGCCCAACATATATATGTGAGTGTGTGAACATAGAGGTGGGTTTCAGAGCGCTCACAGCCTCAAACACTTCACAATGTTTCACCTCAGGGCAGTCACCTGCTGTATGGTCGTCCTTATTGTCCACTTGAGTAAGTATCATCTCCTATGTCCATGTAGATTCTCATTCATCCAGGTCATGGTTATCTTGAAGACTGGACTGTGTAGAGTTGAGAAAGAGTGTAGAGTTCTCAACTCTACACAGTCCAGTTGCCTGTTTTTAAGTCTTCAAGATATCATCTCCTATATTTCAGAGTTTTTCACTTTAAGATGTACAAAATGCAAAGTGATGCTACTTTTGACATTACAGTGTTTGCAGGGTCTATTGGTTTGATTCATGCAGTCTCTAATTGATTTCCTGTTTTAGGTCATGGCTCTGAGATTATCGGGGGGAAAGAAGTGAAGCGTCACTCCCTGCCTTTCATGGCCCTGCTGATGAATAGAGGTCCGGACTGTGGAGGGATCCTGATCAGTCCAAAATGGGTCCTGACTGCTGCTCACTGTGGAGAGTAAGAACATGATACTTATAATTGCTGAAGACTAATTATCAAATGTGGAACTGTTATATTTTTAAGTGATGATGTAAGAAATGCAAATATCAGATTAGCTGTCTGCACATTTTTTGCCAATGTTGGTGAACGCCAATTAAATTTCCCACCTATATTGAGAAATAAACAACATATTGATATGATTGCTAATAATATATTTTATTTATAAGCACCTCTCTGAACACTCAAGGAAACTTTACAGAGTAAGAGCAGCAACATAAAACAGCAAGATAAGAGCAACAGAGAGTATATATACATACATACATATAGATAGATAGATAGATAGATAGATAGATAGATAGATAGATAGATAGATAGATAGATAGATAGATAGATAGATAGATAGATAGATAGATAGATAGATAGATAGATATAGATATAGATATAGTGCATATATGTAGTGCATTGAGCAGTTGTAGGAGTTGCATTTAGTCAATATCATTTAAAGGTCAAGTGTTCAAGTCATTATTATAAGATTCACATGTTGACCTTTAGTGCAGGAAATTCAGAGATGATACTTTTTTTTCCTGCTCTCACAGGATTAAGGAAGTGATACTTGGAGTTCACGCCATCAATGAAACAGAAAAAAACGCCAGGCAGGTTCTTAAAGTCAAACGTTTTCCTCATCCCTGTTACGATGCAGACGAACATGTCAACGACCTCATGTTGCTCAAGGTAAGATGGCATTACAATGACCGCAGTTAAGCCAATACAGAGCTAGTATTTTTAAAAAAGTTTTAACATTTAATAATCTTGATAAAAAAAAAGAAATTAGTGTTTTGCAGATCATTTAAAATCTATATTTAATAAAAGTGATTAGTGTTGAGCCAGTTTAGCACTCAGACCCCTTTACTACTGAGCCATGCTGCTTGTTGAAATGTGCAGGTCTCCCTGAGATAGGCATTGTCTGGATGGCAGCATATGTTTCTCCAAGCCTGTTTATGTTGTTAAGGGGATGATGTGAAAGTCAGTATCGTTATACCATGAAATCTTTCATTTCAGCTGAAAAAAGCAGCAAAGAAAACAAAGACGGTGCAATGGCTCGATTTGGGTAACACCATCAAAGACCCTGCAGCAGGCACCATCTGTAAGGTGGCTGGATGGGGGAGAACAAACAACATCGGGAAAATGTCAAACGTCCTGATGGCTGTGAATGTGACAGTAATCGACAGATACAAGTGCAACTCCCAGGGTTATTACAACCTCACACCTATAATCACAAGAGGCATGGTCTGTGCTGGCTCAGACGGCCAGAACAGCGCAGATACCTGTCAGGTAAGGATGTAAACAGCTGTGAGCACTTTGTCCATACCTGCTCTGTATGAGCCTATAAATAACAGGTTTTTTTCTCTTGATAGGGGGACTCAGGAGGTCCACTGCTGTGCAACGGGCAACTAGTGGGAGTTACTTCTTTTGGAAAAAAATGTGGTCTTATCAAGAAACCTGGGGTTTACGCTTTTCTTTCTGAAAAACAACTCGACTGGATCAAAAAGACCATGAAGAAGTCTGACATATGAATCCCCTTCCTCCCTCAGTGGTGTATTAGTTGTGGTCTTGATTGATGTCAGTTAAAGCTTCAGCAACACGGTGTGATGAGTTCTGCAGCTGTACAACAAAGTCTTTATGGTGAAAGTGAAACTCTAGATTCATGTTTCTGCAGAAGAGCAAATGACACAGTCTTGTCAAAAGGGTGTAACTCATGGCACTCTCATTATCTCCCAAACATCATCCACAGCATTAATAAAAAACCTCTAACCAAAGAAATTGAAGCGGCCTCTTATAAATCTGTGTTTTAGTTTGTGAAAATAAAGACCTTTCATGCCTCTGCAAACATACATCATCTAACCTGAATCTGGTGCAATTGACGGTAATATCAACAGCAGCTTAAAAAAAAGAGCGACAAAATCATGTGCTGACTCAGACTAGACCACAAATAACAAAATTCACACGCTGCATCTGGAGACCCCTTACAGGAAGTGTGCAAGATGATGCAGCAATGCCATATGCAGTAAGCAGAAAACAAATCCACATCAGTTTCCAGTAAAAAGAAACGTATCAGCTGTCATTAAGGTTGAAGCAGCATTTGTTTGTGCTCATCATTCACCAGTTTTTTTTTTTGTCTCTTTTTCTCTCACACGGGCTTTCACTGTGATTCACTTAAGAGTCGACTTCTCCGTCTATGATGTCCGCCTCCTGTTCAGGATTTTTGAGTGTTTATTCTTGTTTGTTACATCTCCTTTAAAGACTGTTGATCTAAGATTTACTGTAATATCTCCCTATTAAACCTCATCACTAGATGGTGCTCTCTGCTTTACTGTGAGTTACACACAGAGTTGGGAATTATAATGGTGTATAAAAAAAAGGTGATCCGGCTGAAGTTGTCTTGGTTATTAATGTGATTCTATAACTTTAGCATGATTACAGTAGGGCTACCCTCCCTATGCTCCACAGTTACTGCGACGTGAATCATTTCTTTCTTACTTTCTTTCTTTCTTTCTTTCTTTATCTCAAACTTTAAGAACAACAACAACAAAAAAAACTAGAAACAAAAACATCAAACAAAATAATACATATGTACACTAAAAAAGGAACTGAGAAGGAAGTGAATGAAGCAAAGAGCTTATCTAGTCTGAACCCCTTCCTTGCAAATTATAAATCAATCAAATCTAGCAGTTTTAAAAACACAAACTAACTACACAAGTCACCAGCAAAGCACAAACTCTAGATGGCGCCTTTGCTTCAGTCCTTGAGTTCAGCTGCACCCTTGCTGTGGATGTAAGTATGTCTCTATCTGAGCTCTTTTTTCTCACTATGGAAATAATACTGCACCTACTGGACTGCGATACTGTTTTCTCACAGCTCAGAGAAAACGATCATGTCTGAGTACAGCAACTCCAACTCACAATGTGTCATTTAATGTGGATTTCTTTTCTATGAGGTTGCTCTTCTAATATCTACCCCCTCACAGCGTCTTTGGGCATGAACTATTACAATCTAAAAATCATCAGTCTTGTCACTAATTGTCTTTTCTGCTTTTGGAAAATAAAGTAAAAAAGTGTTGAATTCAAAAAAAGGTGATCTAGTTAACTGAAGTTGTCTGGGTTATTAATGTGATTCTGTAACTTTAGCATGAATACAGTAGGGCTACCCTCCCTATAGTGTTGAATTCAGTCCATTTCATAAACAATAAAAATCTTCTCATAGGACCTTTACGCGTGACTAGATTTGCTGAATTTGCACAATTTTCTGCTGAGGATGTCAGAAGTTTGAATGTTTTTTTAGAGATTTAAAAAAAAATAATAAAAAATTTCAGCTGTTGACTCTGCCTGGGAAAAAAGTGACTGCAATTGACTTTTCGATTTCATATTCATTTGTTCATTACTTTTTGACATTTTTCTCTTGAACCACAAATATATGTCAGAGGATCACAGAAGTTCATGGACTCCATCCTTTGGGTATTATTGGTGTCTGTAATAATCACTTGATTCTCTATCGCGCACTAGTATGAGTGAAAAAATATTAACATTTGCTTCACAACCTGTTATTTTGGTGATAACTCTGTAACATGTAGAATCAAAAACAAGAGAAAAATAAAAACCACTCGCCTTGGTAACTGACCTGCCCCCTTATGCAGGTGATGGAAAAATGGTTACCCCACCCAGGAAATTCCTGTGTTTCCTTTATGTGAGCTCCTGTTGAATTATCGCTGACCAGCTGCCTGCCCGTATTTATCCTGTTACCATGGTCACCATCAAAAAACTCAGGCCCACCTTAGTGCCACTGAAACCATCAAAGCTAACCACACCTTTATTAACTGATTTTTTTTTTTCAAGTGGATGAATGCAGGAGTGTAAATCAGTTTTTTTGGTGTGTTTAAAGAGCCATATACCCCTTGGGGATCTCAGTCACACTCATGCAAACAGGAAAGCAAATGTTTACCTGGACTTGCATCACCTGGATGAGTTGCCCACCTTGCCTCACCTTTTCCTGTGCACACCAGTGACGCAACCCCACACGCACAAAAACCTTGTTTTATAACTGTAACAGTAGGAAGTTCAATCCTAGAGGGGGAATTTTCATCTGAAATTTGTTCATGGTTAGAAACCTGGACACTGCTCTGAAAATAATCATGTCTAAGTGATTGGTTCCAGGTTTGTGAATTAAATCAAGTAAATGCAGAGAACTAATAAATATGATCATTTCACTCGTGCTCAACTCAAAATTACTCATGTTCATTTTATCGATTTATCGACTCTATTGCCAGTGCTGATGACTTTATGCTTGTAGGGCAATCCCCTAAGTGATTTATGTGTGTTGGCATCTTACATGGAGGCCATTATTGCACCGATTTACAATCTGTCACATTCAAACCTCACAGTTTTCATGAAACACTTCATGAAACACTCCGAAAAGTAGTCATTTAAAAGAGTCTGAAAACCATTTTAGAAAAATATAAATACTAAATTGTTTTTACCCTTAAGAAGTTGTAGAAGTACAAAAAGGTGTTAAATTTGCCAAACTTTAAGGAAAAAGTTTGTAAATAACTTTAGACACACAATATGTTACTGTTGAGCAGCTCAAATGAAGAGTTAAAACAAATGTTAACAGAACAGGGATAAGGCCAAAAATATAATACAATCGGATAACTGCGTTTTATTGAAATATGTATGATAAATTATGCAATCCTCGCTGTGATGTGTGTTTGTTCGTTTACAGGAAAAAGGAGTGGTGTCTTTATAAACAATGTGGGTAGATCATAAACTCGTGTGGAGTCACACCCGTCTGCCCCATTCAGAGATCATTTATTCACTGATACTCATACTTAATCAGGATAAAGGTTGAGTCAGGCTTACCTCTTACATTTAGGCCTTTAAAAGGACAGCCTGCAGACTTACAGCTACTATCACTTCCTTCTTAATCCATCCGTCTAACTCCACATAACTATTTCTACTCCTGATTTTAAATCACTTCACTTGCAAACTTCTGTGTTTACATTTACAAAGGTTACATTCAAGCCTTTGTCATAGGAGTCTGAAAATTACTCGGAAAGTCTTGAGCCAGTTGGTAAATCTCTGAATATGAGTTTTAAACTGTGTCTTATTTAAAAGTGTTTGAAATGCATTTGAAGAACAACCTGAAATAATTGGGACGGCAAGGTGGAAGGGGGGCAGCGGCAACAACTTAATGGGGCAGCTGTGGCATAGAGGTTGTCTTTCAGGCAGGAAGTTGATGGTTCGATCTCAGCACTGGCAGTCACATGCCTTAAAGGGGTATTCCGGCATAAATTAATTTAGCCGTTACACTGAGTTAGACACCCCGTTGAGAGATGAATGTTGCCGACCGCTTGCTTTTCTAATTATACCAACTTTAGTAACGACCGCACGATAGCATTACACAGTGGTCTGAGGAGCCATGAACAAACCTCAACCAAAACATCACTCTATAGCCACAAATAGCCACAAAATGCTCAGAACAGCACCTAACTTCATCAACAGTATGTATAGGGTCCTAGCCACAGCACTAGCCACCAAACATCTTTTTAGCTTTGCCTGATTTCTTTCGCACGGAAAGAAATGCAATCAGACAGAGACGCTAAGGCAGAAGAACTACCATGTCTGAAGTGCAAAATGATTAATATGGTGATTATTACTTAAAGGAAGTAATAAAGAAATGATCATAAATGTTCTTCCTTGAGCTGCGTCACCCCACAGCAGTCCATAATGGACTAATGGACTACAAACCAGTGGCTGCTGGAAGACAGTAGGTGAGTTGTGTTTAGTCTCTTTTCTAAAGAAATGAGTCAAAGTTAAAAAGATGTTTGGTGGCTAGTGCTATGGCTGGGACCCTATATGTACTGTTGATGAAGTTAGGTGCTGTTCTGAGCATTATTTGTGGCTATAGAGTGGAGTTTTGGATGAGGTTTGTTCATGGCTCCTCAGACCGCTGTGTATTGCTATCGTGTGGTCATTACTGAAGTTGGTATAACCAGAGAAGCAAGCGGTTGACAACATTCATCTCTCGAGGGGGTGTCCAACTCGGTGTTAGGGTGTGTTTGACCCTAAATTAATTTTACACCGGAATATCCCTTTAAGGCCAGATACTCAATGAATGGTATTCACCTGCTCATGTAAAGGTTGGAAAAATACTCTGAGCACCAACTAAACAGGGTCTGTGTGATAGCCTTTTGGACGAGTTTCTTTTCATTCCTGTACTTTTCTCTGAGAACAATCCTTGGACTCTCTGGGGCTCATAGTATTATGTAATGTGTAAACATACGTCATTAGAGCTAGTTGACAGCGTGTCATTACCACAGGTGAGGAAAGACGTTCTGCCCTGCACTTTAACCAGCCCGTGTCTCCCTGTGTTTATCTGAAACTGAGCTGCCGTCTTTGTGCTCGGTCTATTCAAAAGCCCTGAACCATCCAATTATGTTCACGTCATGTTTGTATTTGCATTGGGAGAAGATTTCAAGTTACCAAGACATTCCCAGAATAGATAAGACGAGACATGCCCCCATTTTTTAATTTCCTGTGCAACTCTCCAACACTGCACCCCCTTCACATTCACAAAGCTTTTGACGTCAGTCCATTGTAAAAGAAGGAGGGCGCTCTGCACAGTGGTTGGTTCAACATGGTGTACAGTATAAATCCTTTATAAGTCTGTTTGCAGGATTGACCTATGAGTGGTCCAAAACTTGGAGTACAAGTGAGACACAAAACCAAAGACACAAAAACGCCAACAACTCACACTTTCACATAACACTGAGACAGTTTATTGGTGATCAAGCTCAATCTCATTTCCAGAATGAGACCAAGAGTGTTTGTCTGACCTATAACAACAGCAGTGCAATAAATAAAACCGAACCTACAGAACGTTAAAGGAAATAACGGACATGATAACAGCAGTGCAACTTATAAATACTCAAAGTTTTTAGCAATAAATAATCACACTAAATAAATTACATCCTAACTTTTTTTTTATACACAGCGTCTAATAAAGCAGTCTATCCCCTCCTCCCCTCCTCCATCCCTCTGGTCTTCAGACTTCTTCGTCTGCTTCGTCTTCGAAACTTGCATCTGGCTGAAAAAAGAGGGAGAAATGAAAAGTCAGTCAGAGTTTACATGCAGACAAAACACTTTTATCATACAAGGATGTTTCACAAAACTAATTATAGTCACTACTTATGATGGGGAGGCGATGTAGGAGCCGCAAACTACACAGAAAATTTCCAGTTAGTGTAAATTTTCAGTGAAATTAGAATTATAATTGTGAGTCTTTCTAGACCAGGTTAGAGGCTCAGTGTTTTGTGATTGTTCACGTGTTGACATACTCTTAAAGGGGTTTGAATATTCTTAATTCACTGTCTTGTTTGCCTAACTCAGAGCATGTCTGATAAATACTAAGTTAAAGGATATGTTCCCTAGAATCACAGCTATTTCATGTGCTTTGTTACACTTTGTAGTACTGAGCATTTTGTGAGCTATGATGAGAATGCTGCAAGGCCACATCGCGCGTCTGGAGTCTAAAAAATTTCCATGTGGCGAAACACGTGCCATCTGCAGGCGTGTGTGCGTGTGATGTTCAGTGAGATCTGACCACATGTAAAGCAGAGCGATTAAACCCTTACACCAAGGTCATCACGTTCAGTCAGTGTGTCAGTACTGTTACTGTGTGGACACACGGGTGAATGTGTACAGAGTGGTTTTGCTCTACGCCGCGCAGAGATGGGACGGGCTGAGACGCTCCGTGGTTAATCCAGGCTAATTCCCGTAGTGGGGATTCCTCTTTGCGTGATGCAACTTGCTTCATTCAAAAACAACAACAGGCACATGGATGTAAGTCTTTGGGCACATTCCTCCCTGTTAAGCCTAAATCTCACGTGAGAAGAGGCCAAAATCATCACCTGAAGAGTTGGGCAATACTTCTGAATGTTGTACATCATCAAAATATGCAAACAGAAACACATCCATGTCTGATTACACCTCTGCATACATGATGCTGTTTGATTTTGACTTCATGTATCATGGAGCTACAGTTTTAGTCAAAGTTTTATGAGGCTCTTGTAAATTTAGCCTCCCTTTGGTACCTTGTTTAGCCGCTCAGCTAACAACGTCAAAAGCGGGTTTGCTTTGTCGGTTGTGTATTTGTGTATTTTTGCGCTGTCTTCACAGAGTCTGAAAAGGTGTTTTGATGCTGTTATAACTGAATTGATTTGTGGCTGTATGACCTCGGTTCAAAGAACGCAGTAGATGATTGTGTTTTTGTGAGGAAAAGTGGGTCAAAACCTCAACGCACACCTACCTTGTTGTAACGCTCCGCCCTCACACGACAGCGTCGGCCATTGGTTTCTGCAGCTTTTCCTGCTCCGACCCAGTTCCCAGGTAGGATGCCAGGAAGTTTTTATGTGATCTGTAACTACAAAAGGCGTTCAAGATGAGACACATAAAAGAGAAAAGCACTTGTGATCATCAGATGATAGCTATGAAGTTGTTTTGAAAGGCGTGATTGCAAGATTCAGTGAGAGAATTGAAATTTGAACCACGTTTTTGTCATGTACTGGCATACATTTCTAAGAAATACCGCTCCTTCTTTACAACAATAAACCCAGCTTTTGATTTTCTGTCGGTCTTGATGTGAAGGTGGATAAGAGGTAGTTTCGCTCTCACAGTAATTAGTTCCACTTTGACTTACTTTAGCTGTAAAGTTTAATTACACTGCTGTAGGGGATTGGACTGTTGACTTTGTCCTACACTCCAACAAAAGCTGTGATTTGGTGCGACACTGATAAGGACCCGTGAGTATACAGTTAGACACTTTCAGAGACGAAGACTAAAGTTTTAAAGAAAGCTTGAAAAACGTTATATAATTTCACTAATATGACATATGATGGTGGCTCAGCTGACTACAATACAAACCAAGACACGATGCCAGAAGTTACTGAGTCAACCCCAGGTAGGTGGTGAGCAATACTGTTATATTATGGGTGTGTTGTAAATGGGTGTGTTGTTGTAAATGTGCTTTTCAATGTGTCAGTGTGTCTGAATGCCAAGGAAGTGTTTCTGGGCAGGATGTGTGAGTTGTGTTGCGTTCAGAGTGGATTCGCCAGGGTGTGGACGGTTTTCCTTGTGGATGTTTGCTCAAAGTTTCAATAATCTGCCCAACAATGGTCTACGAGCTTAAAGACGAAAATGGGGGGGTTTGTGTCAAACCATTGGCATCGGGTCTTTACACTTGTGAAGAATAAAATACCCACAAAGAATAAAGAGAAAGGATTTATTTACATCACTCAAAACGTATTCTCTGAGATTGGATCAACATCAAGACCCAGACCCTGTCTGCATCTCGAATGCGTCCATGCTGATTTCTCATGGATTTTGCTTTAAACTCAACATTTGACTCTTATTTAGTGATGATTGTTGTGTCTTAATAGATCCATTTAGACTTTTCCAACAATTCTAAAGCTTTTTTCTGAATTATTAACGTTTTAGGGTAGAAATCTCGGTCTTCCTCTTGATCGCATTGGAAGTGCTAAATTCGACCAAGCCTGGAGGAATGGATAAATGGCAGCAGAAATGTTCTTCCCTATACTAACATCTTTTCTACTGATTATTGAGGAGTTTTGTTTAAGATCCTTTCCTTTCTCCCGACCTGCAACAAGAAGGTTAACTCTAAATGAGCGTAAGAGTGTGGACTTACTGAGCACAGGTCATAAGCAGGATGGCCAAGCAGCTTATGACTGACAGGACCACGGCAATGATCACCAAGACCGTCTGCACCAACTCAGTGTTGTCCTGGGTTGTCACTTTGCTCCCCAGGGTTTGGATCCCACAGCGCTCCCCATCGTAACCCTTAATGCATCTGCAGAGTGAAGTTATTGCAACACATTTATAAAAACGGTCCAACATTACACCTCAACATGGAGTTTGTACGGTTGAACATGCAAAGATATGAAACTGAGACAGTACTCACATGCACACTGGCTCTTGCAGGCCCTCTATGTGCTTGCAGTGGCCGTGAATGCAGTAGCCCAGGTGGGTGGTTGTGCAGGGATCCTCTGTGGTGCTGTGAGTCGATGAGTGGGTTGAGAAGTGAGTCGATGCGTGTCCGTTGGTGAAAAACGTGTGCTCGGGGTTGAATGGAGTTGTGCCTTTGCTCCTGAGCCGGTTCTTCTTCTTGCCTTTGCCTCTCCTTTTCCTCTTGTCATCTTTACCGGGGTGTAAGTCTGTGTGTAGGAGGAGGAAGTGTAATTGTATCAGTGTGGGCTTAAGAAAAGTTTCTAAAAGTATACCAAAAACCACTCATAAATGACTGCTGGGTTGTACTTTCTAAAAAACTTATTTTGGTCATTTAGTATATGAGACTGTCAGCTACACATTAAGACTTTTCTGTCAACAGTGTTAGCCCAGATAACCGTGTTTTTTTAATACTCCACATCAAGGCTAACGACAAAGGTTGGTGTAGGTGGTCGTACCATAAGAGCTGAAGTTCTCGTTGTCTCCTCCTGACAGTTCTCCGTCTATTTCCAGCTCGTCCTCATAGTTCATCGAACTTGGGAGGCCCTCCCCAGAGGCCGTACCCCCTGTTACTCCAGTTAGTGCAGTGGTGAGGGTGGCCTCAGATCCCTGAGCACCAAGAGCTCTGTAGACTACTGTTAAAACAAGCAGACATATACAGAGTAGAGTGAGATATTCACATCAGTCAGACATATTTAACAAAGGAGTAAGAGTCAGTTGGGAGTCCAACTTTATCTCCTATGATGCAGTTTGATTTTTCCTGCGAGGACCTCTGCCTTTTGGTCCATTTTTGGTGCCCCTTATGGACAAGGCAGTCATGTCATCTACATGGTCATGTAGTATCTCCTGAAAAAAAATTCTCATCCTTCTGACTTTTGATGGTAAAATGTGTTGTTTAACGTGAATATTTTACATGGAAAATGTAAAAAACCAGTCACTTTCACAGCTGCTTATCTGACACCTACCCCCTCATATCACCTTCAGGTATTAAAAATTATAAATAAAAACTATCAGTGCTGCTGCTGATGGTCTTGTTTGGTTTTCAATGTCATAAAAATGTATCAAGGTAAATTTCAGTCTATTTAATAAATGTCAAAAGACTCCTCAGGTCCATTTGAGAGCATGAAGACTTTTTTTAATGCTATAATCAAACCAAAGAAGTTCATGATAAATGTTAATAAAAATGAGTACAAGATAGATATACTTTAGATAAACATCAACCTTAGTTTAAATCTCTACATTTTACTGACTTTTTACTTCAAGAAAAAACCTTGACTCCTTTATCATAAAACTTTGAAGCTTCTCTGAAACTTGTTGACTAAGTGGTATTTTTTTTAATTTTTGCTTGTACTGAACATGTTTGAATGCGTCTTTCAATAGTCAAATGTTAGATTTGCTGTGAATCTATCACAGTAATGAAAAGTCTGATTTGCACTTTGCTGTCAATCTCCTTGACACCTACGCACAACAGAAGTTACAGGCATGAAAAATTATGATAGAGTCAATAACTCCTTTCTCTCTGATAGTCTCTTTTGACTTTTTAGTTGTAATAAAGTCATCAGTATTAACCTCAGTCTGTTTCTTTAACGGCTAAAAACTCCTCACAGCAGCTTTAGAAACAGTTAAAGTCTCTAATTTTACTACAGTGACACCAGTAAAAGCGCATATAGCAGCATAATGTAACTCCATTCCAAATATACAAGTGATTGAGGCTCATCAGTGAGATGAACTGATTACAAACAAGTCTTTTGGTGGATTTTACTAGCCAGAGGTGCCATTTAACACCCTTTTCACTCTAAACTTAACTTTTGTGTGACTAGTCCACACCTGCAGAGACAATTCCTCCTTCCTTCACTCCTTTCCTCTTCCTCATACCTTTCTGCATTTCTCTTCTGGCATTTCATTGATCTAAACTCTCTGCATACACACTCACACATATTGAGTACCAGTACAAGTCCAGACTTACCGAAGCAGAGGAGGCAGGTGAGGACGAGAGTGTTCATATCCCAGGAAGACAGAGTTGTGTGTAAGACGGTCCTGTGCTAATCTGAGTGTGTGTCAGAGTGTGTGTTTGTCCGCTGCTGGTAGAAGTTGTGCTTTGCTCTCTTAACCTCCTCTGGGTGCAGCAGCTTTTATAGACCTCTCACCTAAGAAAAAAAGAGGGCGTGTGTGCATGTGCGTGTGTGTGAGAGTGTGTAAGAGAGGCACAGCTCCAGACACAATATGTGTGTGTGTTTATGTGTTTGTGTGTGTAAACTTGGATCACCCACACACACACATACTAACACAGTTACATCCAGAGAAGTAAGAGGGGTTCGTGTAATTAAGGTGTGTGTGTCTGAGGAGCTTATCTGTGCGTGTGTGTGTCTAATAATTAATCTGCCCCAGGCTACACATTTTACACCTCATGCTCTCACACATGACCAAGCTTCTGTCCGCAGAAAATAAAACCTGGACAAGACTGAGACTCTGAACAGCCTGATGTATTCTGACTTGTTTCTTGCAGCATTAAAACATGCATTAAAACATTCGGTCCTGCTTTAGTGTGTGTTTTTGCTTCCTTGCCTCTTCTGTCACAAAAAAAACACCAGAATTAAAACCTCAAACCCCCAGGAAGTCACACACATCCACAACCTGAGACATACTACCCGAGACAAAAACTTCACATCTTTTAATTTTAGGTTCCTTTGGCACAGAAAAGCACATTTTTATGGCAGTAAGTGCTTATTTTTATATTTCAAAGTTTTTTTTTTTTTTTTTCGAATGATACAATCAGCTGAAAGAGTTGAAACTAAACAATAAACGAAACTGTGATGCAAGATTTGCTCCCTTGGCAGCAAGGATAAACACAGAGAGGTCACGACAAATTCACAGCAGTCATAAACGATCATAAAAAATGGGTTTCCATGACTGAATCTACCTGATAACCCCCTCTAAACAGACGTAAACATGATAAATCAAAGACCTTGATTATAGTTTAGCTGAGAGTAGCAGAAAAGTCACCTTCTGAAGCACATTTACACTCACATGGTTTCATTTCTGTCACCAAAAACAAGTAAAGCTGTCAGCTTTAATGCATTATTCCCAATCCAAAATTGATGCTTATTTTTAAAAAGCATGCCTTTTTGTCCCTTTCAGCACACCATAGTTGAGCTGTCACGGCATTTTGCTGTGAAAAAGATAACAGCAAAAATTGATATGCAGTTAATACAGACGTAAAGCTCTTCTGAAATGCAAGGTAACATTTTAAATATACAGTTAAGTAAACATTATATATAAACTAACCATCGAAATTCAGCAATTGACTGAAATTAAAGGTGGTTCTATGATCCTACTATTAAGAAGAGAAACCTTGTTGGTTTGATTGAAAAGACTTTTTAAAACAATACAAATGCGAACTTTTTTAGTAAACTCGCATAGCAAAAGAAATATCGCACTAGAGAGAGCTACATGGTCACATGGAAACTGCACATTGCAAACTTTGTGGAGTTCATCGCAAACATCAGCTTAGATGTAACATTAGTCATTGTCTTATCTACAGTATTTTGGTTGAAACCAATCTTAATATTGGGATGGTGGTCCCCAAAAATGCAAAATAGAACTGATTTGAAAGAGTGAGAAGCACAAAAACAGATAATTATACATTCAAAATAACCTTTCTTTGCTTTATATCCTTTTCTCACAGTTTTTGATTACAATCAGCCGTCACTGTTGCCTTCTTTGACTCATCTTTGTATAATTCATTTTGATAATCAGGGTGTCTGTCTGTGTCTGAACTGACGTGAATACTGCTTGATTGAATGATGCCTGATGTTACTATTTCTGTACTCTGTAACTAAGAGGAGACCTTCAGGCTTGGGTGGGGATGCTGCTCTGAAGGGTGTGTTGGGTATGTTGTTGTGTCTGTACACAGAGGTTATCCCATCATTCATGCTGCAGCGGCATCCAATAGAAACCTGCGAGGAATGCAGGGAACTCCTCCGTGTCATTCCTGAACCACAACAGCAGCCCAAAACTGTGTTTTGTTTAGAAAGACAGAGGAATGGGTTTGGTTAGATAACATGTAACGGCATTGGAAAATGGTGATATGAACATTTGGAAAGTCTGACACAAGTCTGGAAAGAAGAAGCACCTAACAGCATAAAATCTTTGAGATATACAAATATAGCGTTTCTATTTGGATAAAACTTTGAATCATGGACTTATATAAAACAACAAAAAACAGTAGCCATAACAATTAAGCCCAAAGTCTCCTGGAGAGAGATTGTTGCCCTCACTGAGTGCAAACTGAGTCCTTACCTTTGCACACCTGTATAGACTTAGTAACTGCGCACAGTTTGTCACTAAGGTGGTTAAACTGGCCCTGTGTTGTGCTTTGCAGCACTGCAGCGTTTGCCTTGTACAAATACAGTTTGTAGGATTGAAGTTAAATCTTGGTAAAAGGTTTTTTTCTTGTTTCAGAAACTTTTATCACATGCATGTTTGTATTCAGTGTGCAGTCAAGTGAAATACACTTTTTGGAGGATGAGGACGATGGTAGCAGATGTTATATGCAAATTTTTGATGGAGGATCAGAAGCGTCTTGTCCTCAAAAGGCCACCATTGTTTCATCAACAGGAGGGATGAGCAAGAGAGTATCACAATCAAGAATCTAACTGCTGAAATCACTTTTTGATCCCATTTTACACACTTTGGGCTCTATTTTCGTGTACACCGGTGAGACGACGGAGGGTGGCGGACCCCGCGCAGTTTTATTTTTGTCTGGCGGAGCCCAGCGTTCAGCCAGTTTGGTATTTTCGTGGACTGAGGCGCACAGAGGTGAACCGAGATCCGCTAAGCTGGGCGTGGTGGCGTGGCAGGGGGAGGTGTCGACAGAATCAGCGGGCGCAGTGACATTTTCGTGCTCGCCAGTGGCGTGTAAAGTGCGCTGAAAGCTCGCTGGTGGCAGATTTAAAGGCAAGGAGAGGAGCTTATGTGGTTGGTGAAAACAGGTCTCGGCTGTGTTAAACCCACTCCACACCCTCTCTCCTCCCTCGCTACGACTTATGCCGCTGGGAGAAGCTGAGTTAAGGGAGGGGGGATACTTACGCCGGCCTGCGCCACTCTCCAAAATACCAAAATGTGCTTGGGAACGCCTTGTCGGCGCGGCGGACCTGACTTACGCCGCGCCTGCGGCACGTCTCCGGCGAGGCACGAAAAAATAATCAATATTTTGATTAATTTTTGTTCATCTTTCAAGCCAATTGGTCGCTTGTTGTTTCTTAATTGTCCGTAACTGCACAATTGTTGTACGTTATTTAAACACATAGCTTTGGGTTTGCGGAATTTGCATTGAAGCAGTTTTTACAGTTTTTGCTGTAAAACAGACCAAACATATATTTTATTTTTTAAACCAGGGACAAACTGAGCTTAAAGTTTGTCCCTTTTGTCTCATTCTGGTTTGTTCTTGATGCTTTTTGTCATCATTCTTCCCCCATGATGTGAAGTTGAAATCATCTTTTGTAGTGTCTGATATCAGTGGGTGACTGCTCTATTGTATCCAAATGAAGGCCTTAATGCGAAAGCACAGATTTTCTTTCATTTTTTTGTATTTGTTGACCCTAAAATCATCAAGCTGATTCACACTTGTGGCAACATTATAGTTTAGCACAGAAGCCATGCTCAAAGTAATTATTATAGAATAAGAATGTAGATTTTGACGGTAAGGACTGAGGGAGCGCCAAAGTTATTGTCACAACAGTTCATTCAGCAGGTGGTTAAATTGCCTGTTTCTGATTTGATTGCACACAATCACAGAAACTTGAAGTCACGACATTAACAAAAAAAGTTGACATGATTCATCCTCTGCGGCTCATAAATGTCCACACAGATTGTCCCAGTAATCTGTTTTACATCTGTCGACATATTTCAGGATAAAACATATTTTTTGAGTGACCAACCGACCTACATTATCATCCCTGGATCCATGCAGCTTGCGTGGCTGGCAAAGATATCACAGTGAAAACACAACATGAGTCAACCTTGTGTTGCAAAACATATGTGTACATGGCACACGTGGAAATTTTTGTTTTGTTAAAGGACACGCAAGGATGAAGCCTTTGGGACTCCACCGAGCGCTCTACTCACGGCACGAGCAAACCTACTATTATTTATGCAATAATGAGGTAATAACAGGAACACAGATTAGAGACGCATTTCCTGGACTTATTTTTAGACCAGGATGAACTCACCTGAGAGGGTGTGTTTGTGGGTCCTTCCATGTGTGCGTGCATGCTAATGGGATTTTATGAAGGCCTTAAGCATGGCAGCGTCTGCAGATGGGTTAATGTTTACGTGTAATCACTGCCGGTCATTAGAATAAAGAACATATTAAGATGCTTCAGTTAGGTGTTAAAACGGCTCATTGACTCTGGCTGAAGCACTAATGAGGGTACACAAAGTAAAATGGGGTTGTTGTTTAACTTAAAACCGGACTCTGCATTCAGGATGTCGCACCACCTTGACTTTGCATATCTTGTTACCATTAAATCTTTGAATTTAAATCTAATAAATCACAACCGTTCTATATGGAGGAGGATTAGGGGCTCTGGAAAATTCTGACTTTTTTCTCAGAGTTCTGATCTCAGCATGTACAGTGTGATTGTAAAGCTGTATCAGCCAATTGACTGTTACCATTTAATAGGGCAGACCGGGGCTTGTTGTCACACTTTTTACACTCTTATATATCGCTTGGAATCAATACATCATATTAAAACAAAATGTGCAGATGAAAGACCAAAGTCTCAGGTATATTTTTGTATTCATTTCATTTTTATATCTTGTGTCAGTGCAGAGTTATAAGCAATCAAATAGAGAGTGTGAACATGTGACATGTTGCCCCACCATTAGGTAAGTTGTCTCACATGGGGTAAGATGTCACAGTGGATTTTGCAGCTAATAAAACAGGGACAAAAATATTTTTTTACTTGAAAGTGAACATCAAAGCCAGGCACAGAAAATGTTTATCATTGAACAAGAAAAAGTCATTAAACAAACATTAGCATAAAATATTATGCAGCACGCTCTGGAGTTTGGAGAGCTGTCTGACTGTATTTTTAGCTGGGGTGAATGTTTTGCAGTACAAAGCCAAGGTATGGTAGTTGACATTAAAGTCCTTTATTGTCCTCCAGATTGATTTATTAGCTAGGGTCACCTGGCTGACTGTCCTCAGCATCACGTCAGGTACTGCACTGCCATGTTCTGCTTTCCTTTTGAAATTCCTGACCATGTTTTCTCGCTTTCTCCTCTCCTTTAAACCACTCTTTTTTCTGTAAAGATAAATTCAAAATTTCAATATGACAACTGCTGATAAGAGGACTCTATGTTAATTTTAATCCCTTTTAAACATGTGACAACTAACCCCAAAATGACTGAGACATGTTGCCCCAAACTACCATGTTTGCTTATTAAAGCTCTAGTTTAAAGTTAGTTTAAAACAGAACAATGACTGAGGTATGACAGGATGTCTTGATTTCTCCTCTAACAAGTCCACATGTTTCACTGCTAGGATTTTTATCTGGAAGAAACTTATTTTAAAATATATAAAGTTAATTTTCTTTACTTTAGGTTGTGCGAAATGGTTAATTGGTGCTCATCTCAGCTCACAATGTGCTGTTCTCTTCTCAGACAGGACATGACCTCTGACCATGTAAAGGAAGAAAACTAGTATTCCATTTTTTAGTTGCGCCCTCTGGTGGCAAAGATAATTGCAATGTGACAACTTACCCATGTGACAACAAGCCCCGGTCTCCCCTACTAATGAGAACTGCTACCTACAAACATACGCTTAGTTTTGATGCTATTGTAAGTAATGCCACTCAGCTGATGTCCTGTATAGAGCTGAGGGCAAACCAGATTTTGGGGCGTTTTTAATTCTCTCTGGGTCGGTTTAGGAGACACTGTGGAAATACGGGGAGAGAGTTGGAGATGGTATGCACTGAATCCTGTCAGGGGAAGGAGTCAATTCTACAACCAGTGCGATGAGGACTCAGCCTCTGTACATCAGCTTGGTGTCTGTTTGGTGATCTAAACTCTGAGAGTCAGCGTTTAAATGAAGAAAGCACACGCATAAAGTTGAAAAAGTTGTTCCTTTAATTCAAACTTGAGCACTTTTCTTTTGGGGACACAAAACTTTATATCCCACGTAGTAAAATAAAAAAAATTTATACAGGAGGGAAAAATTCAAGTTGCAGGAGTAACAGAGAACTCAGCGCACACATTATCAATAAATTAAAAGAGACAAATTTGATGACTAAATAACTTTGCAAACAATAAAACAGACAAGCTCAATTGCTAAAATAATGTTTACACTATATTCTATATCTGCAGAATTGCTACAAAAGTGACTCTAAGTGCTTGTAAAAGGTTGACTGGGCAGAAATGTCAGGTATAAATTTGAAACTATAAAAGATGTCAGATCTGAAACATGGAAATAAGCTCTCTGAAGAATTTCTCACATCAATTTGCAGCAAAGAAATGAAGACACTTCAGCTTTAACCGGCCTCAGAGAGCAACCTCGTCCAGAACTTTTGTGTTGAATTTGTCATAAACAAACATCCAGGTGAAATGTTGTAGAAGTGAGTGAGTGAGAGTCTAGGCAGACTGGACTCCTTTGTAGCCCTGCCGCTTCTGGGGACGTGAGAATTTGTTTTTCTTATACCTGAGAAAACAAAACAGAGTAGGAATTATTCATTCAACAAGCACAGACCAACACAAATCAGCTGGGTGACACAACAGCAAACACACACACACGCAGAGTCTAGAGTCGTACCATTTGCAGCAGAAGTACAGCGCTCCAGCCAGACCGATCATCAGCAGACTCACACAGAACACAGTCAGGACGATCTGCTCCTCTCCCATTGGCTGAACCACCAGCTCCAGCTTCCCACACCTGGGCCCGTAGAAGCCGTTGTCACACCTGCAACCCAGTGAGACGAATCACCCCGAGATGATGACACACATGATTCACTGCAGCAGACACACACTCACACTCTCTCACACACACACACACACATGCAGGATCTTACTTGCAGTGGTGTTCATTGATGTCCACCAGCAGCATGCATTTGCCGTTGTTCAGACAGTACGTGTCGAATGTGCTGTCGCAGTTCTGTGTTGACCGTTTGACCACATGAGGGCGCTCTTCTCCCTGACCTGAGATAAAGAGGCAGTGTTAGGAACTTGACAGGGGAAACTATCAGTGTGTGGGATGCTTTAAAATAAATACAATCAAATACATTTTTATAAATTCTCATGTTTCTGCAAATCTGAGACTCAAGATTTTACTTAAGCAACATTTTCATGGTGCAGAAAATTCAACTTTATCTTGTTTCTAACAAATTGACTCAGTGAAAGAACCGGGGCAGTTTTACTTTGCTTGGACGCAGCTGTCAAAGTCGACTTACTTACTTATGTTATTGTTCTGTTTTCATAGAAATAGTTTCCTTCTAATATTTCAATTTACCAAACCAAATTAAAAAGCTCCTTTAATTTCACTCTTATCAAAAACTTTGATACTACAGGCTGAAATCATGAAGTCATGGCAGCTGTTGATTAGATACCTGCAGAGAGAGTTGCGCTGTCCTCAAATTCAAGTCTTGATGAGACGCTCTTGGTGAGGACGTACGGCCAGAGCAGCATGACACCTGTTGAACAAAATACATCTAGGATTAAGACTTTGTTAAAGAGACAGAGATTTTTTTTAAGTTTCGCAAACACTTCGAGTTTAAACAGCCTCGTTTTACGTCTTCTTTCCTTTAATTGTACTATCTAAACTTATTTATTGATACATGACTTGGACAATCCTTGTGATTTAAACTATTTTGCACTGTGTCCTCCTCTCTTTCTTTTCGCTGCAGGACAGAAAGATTCAGAAGATCTTTTGTACCCACAGCAATCCAACTTCACAACTCTTCTGTAAATAGTAGATTACTTTTTGACACATGACAACTGAAACTACAGACAATTGAATGTCCCTTCAGGGATAAAATAAAGTTATTCTTATTGTTATTCATAAACCTATGGCTTCTATCATAGTCACTGTGTATAGGAGTCGTTATCAGTAGTAAAAAAGGGAGGTCCCCTCTGATATTGTCATACTCTATAAGGGTCTTGAAAGGTCAAATTATCTAATATTTTACTAAAACGGGATTATTATGAAGAAATTTTTTTTAAAGTTTTATGGAAGAACTTAAATGTGTCTAAAAATACTTTGTTTTTGGAAAACTAAATGAAAATCCTTTTTTATTGTTGTGTTTTTATTTGAATGAGGAAAATCTTCATACACATGAACACTTTGACCTCATTCCTCTGCTGCTCTTGGTCAATAAGGACAGCTTTGTCTTTGACACCTCTCCGGTACACACATTTATGACGTGATACTGTACCCTGGCGAGGACTGTCATCTCAGTCCTCACTGTTTTTTTTGTTGTTGTTGTTGTTGACTGTGGTAAGATGAGACTCCACAGTAGCATTTAGGAGCGTTTCAGTCCATAAATATGAGAGAATAAAACATTTCACCAGGAAATGTTCGATTTTCAGCAGGTTTTTGGGCTAAAATTCACCAGTACAGGGTGTGATATGTAGCCTGGCCCACATGCTTGTACCGGCCTGCTCAACTGTGTAATGTGCAAAGTTTGCAGACGCCCACATTCCTGCAGGGAGGACAGAAAGCACAGGAACCTGTGTGCATGATGTGTCTGGTTGTGACTGGTTGTGAATCTCACCATTAAACCCTGTCCATCCGTTCTCCCTCACTTTCTCTCTGTTGTTATGGCTGCAGAGATATTTTGCTCAGTGGTTTCCGTCAGAGGACTCTGGCTGGTTGTTGGGTGTTTCTGATGGGAATGATTGGTCTAAAGTACAGAGTGAGCTGGAAGTGGTGACGAACTGTTGTATCATTTCACTCATTAATAACTGTTTAAGCAGCCGATTACCCTCTGACTCACTCCTGATACCAATCTTCTCATATCATAAAAACTCTGACAGGAATAACACTGGGATCTGAACTAATAACTAGACCTCTCTGAAGGTGTATCATCTTATGTAAGAGAGACCTGAGCTCAACCACAGCATTTACTTTCATTTACAACAGAAGTACCCCTCTGTATCAATTACCCCCAAAGATATCCTCAATAAAGCTCCAGTAAGGAGTTTTTGGACATTAATGAAATAGACAGAATTTCTTATTGTTGCTTTTTTATGGTTTCCAAAATCAAATGAGACCATCAGCAACACAACTGAGGGTAGGTACCAGCCTTGTAGCTGAAGAGACAGCCCTGTTTTTCCTTTTCCCAACAAAATGTGAACAATTAATGAAACATTTGACTAACAGGGTGAGAATTTTGTCAGAAAACACGACTTAGATTAAAAATGACGAGATAGGCAAAGACTGCTTTGTTCACAGAAGGCGCAAGAGTTGGCAAATCGGAAGTTCCATACAGGAGCTTTGAACCTGAATTAACATAATTAAACCTTATATTTTCATTGGTAAGTTTGACATACATTAAGTAAAGCCAAGTTCTCCAAGTCCTCCACAGAATCTGATCATTTTTTGAAGGAATTCAACACGTTTCAAACCTTGTGACAATTTAAAGAGGGAAAATTATAATGAATTATTTTCTTTAACCCCACCTGTGTTGTATGTTTGTCAGCATGGTTGACAAATTAGCATGTTAAGAACATTTGCAGAAATTTTAAGTTTAACAGTGATTCTTTTTTAAAGAAGTGTGTTTCAGTCTGCAAAAGCTGCTAAAAGTGCCTCCACACTGTTGTAGTGACTAAATTAACTGAATGAAAATTATGGACACAGTTACACAACAGCTACTAAGGCTATAAAAATGGAAGATTCCCTGAAATAAAAGATCTGATAACTTCCTCCATCACTTGGTTGTGGTCTGTTTAGTCTAGGGAAAACTAAAATGTCTCTTTGTTTAGTTTAAGGTCATAAACCCTAACAACCAGAAAATGACAGATTTATATGGACCGCATTCACTTTTCAAACAGTAAATCTTACAATCGTGTCTCATTTGCCAACATCCTGCAGCATCCCTCAGGCTCACAGCAGCTTGTGCGTCACCTCATAAACTATGTGCCACTGTTTCCCAACCTACCACCTCCTCAGCGTGCATCAATAAGAATCATCTTTATACTTTTCATAAAAATTAGACTTTTTTTTTTTTTTATAAAAATAAGACTTGAAGGTTCACGTATGTTTTATCACTTGAGGAACATTTTGGATGCATGGCCCCTAAATGTTTAGTGATATGATTAAGGAGTAAATGTGGTTTCCTTTATCATGTCACAAACTTGAGCTAATGTAGTTATTAATAAATGGATCTTTAAAAATGCAAGTGGAAGAGTTAGCTGCACATTTAAAACACCTCTAAGACCTAATAAAAGTGTATTAAGGTCATATAAGCTTATATATTTCTATACCTTTAAAAGTAAAAACACCACTGCTGTTTTGCAAAATCATGACTGCTACAATTGGTGTGTTTATTTCACATTAATATTGGACCTTTTTAATGTTGTGGTTTCACTGCATTTTAAACGGTGGTTTTCACAGTGCTACAAGGCTATGACAGGATTTAATCTACAAAATAAATATATAAAAGGAGAAAATGTCGTAAAAAGTGCAGTAGTTAGCTCTTAAATGTTGGGAGTATGAGTGAAAACTGTGCCAACATGAAGTGGGCCTCCAAGAACACTGAGTACATCTACGTAAGGAACGTGCTAGGCTACTACTCAGTTACTTCATTACGAGCTTATTAAAAAAACACAGTAACTTTAGATAAAGTAAAAGAAAATAACAGGCCAACAAACTCTTTATAAATGTCATTCTTGTCAGTATATTGAGCATAAACTTACCGATAAGTGAGAGGAGTGTTGGAGGTTTGCTGTTCCCCATTTCCGAGCAGGTCGCTAACTAATCAGCAGGTAGGAGGATCTGTGTGTGAGCGCAGGTAAGAAAAAAAAGAAAGAAAGAAAGAAAGAAAGAAAGAAAAAAACTCTTCCGACTTCTCAAAATAATTACAAGGTGAAGGAAGAGCAGCTGATGCTTCTGCTGGAAGACACACAGTCGAAACCGATGGTTTTAATCCTGCGGTCTGGGTGTGGTGACAGACTCCTATAATTGAGACTTATTCACACTTCAAAGGTCCACATGAAAAAGACGGACCCTGACGGCACCAAGACAAGGAGGGGCTGCTCATCTCCGTCATCCTCTCATCCCTTTGAGATGGACTCCTTCAAGTCCAGCCTCTCCTTTAGGCCTTTAGGTCATTGTTAGCCAATACAACACAGTGGGAATATGAAACCCTAGAATAAATAACAAAAGCTTGAAAAAACTTCTAAATTATTATTCATTAAATCAAGTCATTATGATGTCTTTCATCTGTTATATAGTGTATTCTTATTAGGGTTACTATCACTTTTGTATGAGGTGTAAGAAGCATTTTACTGTTGCTCCTGCTCCGTTTTAAAACTAAAATGTACTGTTTGTGGTTGCAGGTATGAAGGCAAACAACTAAATTATAAATGTGGGGCAAGTATTTCATAGTTGAAATACTGTGGTATTGATGATACATGCTTTATAATATTCTCTAAATTTAGATCAGTTAGATTTTATTAGAAAATTAGAGACCCAGCTTATAATAAACAGACTTCAATTTTCTACTCTTGTCAGAATACTTGAGTTCAGTGTTGCAGGTTTTCAGTATAAAATTCACCATATTACAAAAAGATTGAGGAATAGCCCAGGCTGTATTTACAGTCTTATTGTGAGGATTGTTAATTCAGAAAATTATGGGAATAAATTCAATTTATTGATCAAAGACACTGTTCAGTCAATCGCAATTTTAATAAGAAAATAATGACTGTCCACTCCATTTTGGACTCTTAAACATGTGTTATCCAGTCTTCTCTTTTTTACAGTTATATCTTGAAAAAATCTAGTCTCTCTTTCCCCAATAGATTCAATCAAATATTTCTAAAGCCTCCTTATCAGACTGCCAGTGATGCATTTGTGATGGTGTCACAGAAATTCAAGAGACACAATGGTGATTGTTTTTATTCATTTATTACAAAAATTTAAATAAACTAAAAAAAACACAGAATAAGTTAAAATACAATACCACAATAAATAGCTCAATTTGTTCTGAAAGGATGATGAATGGATTTGCATTTGACATAAAAGGCTCTTTCAGCGTAGACACATGGCAATCTTTCCTCAGACTCTGGTAAATGTGGCGGCTTGTTTACGTTAAACAGCAGGATGAAATGTTTTGACTCTTGTTTCCTGAAGAGAGTGATGATACTGCAAGCAATGAAGCAGACACGGATAAAGAGGAGTCGTAGGGTCACACTGACGTCTCGGAGGGTGCAGATTTAATGAGGGGTGCTGATTTTATACACCTGGAAAACAAAATCATCGGAGTTAGAATTAATTCTCTTAACATCTGTGACCATTAAAGACCAAATTTGAGTTATTTGACTGACTCAAACAATAGCTCTGTAGGACACAGACACAAATATACTAGATAAAGTTTTTGTTTCTGGATTAAATATCTTAAATATGTGAGATCAGACTTATAATGGTTTCCAAACATCAATATTCATTCAAGCAGAGTATTACGAGAGGAAATCCTGTAAATCCTTACCTCTTATAGGCGCAAAAGTAGAAGATGATACCCAGGACAATGAGGAGCATAAGAACCCCAAAACTGATGCCAATCAGTTGTTCCAGCTCGGGCAGACTGCGACTGTTATCTGAGAAGAAGAGGCAGCGGGTCCCGCTGTGTGTGGACGGGCAGCTGCAGAGTAAACAGAGGGAAATGTGAGTGCATTCCAGAGGGAACACGAACTAACATGTGCATGAAGATATGAGGGACATTTTACTAATCAGGGCTAAAATACATTCAGACTGAGTTGAAGCATACTGCCTGTGTCTGTGTGTGTGTGTGTAATTACTGAGAGTTCTTACATGCAGAAAGGTTTGTCGCTGTCTTGGGGGAACATGCACTCTCCACCGTTCTCACAGAAGTTCGCGTGTTCATCTCCACATGATCTATGTAAGCGCAGAACCCGAGGTCCCTCCATGGTGCCTGCACGAAAGGACAGAGTGGCCTCATGTTAAAGAAAGTACGGTGGCCTGCTTGTGTCACAGACTGAAAAAATTAAGGGAAAAGTGATTGATCATGTTCAAAAGTGAGTGATGGCAGAACTTTCATCCAAAGTTGCTCATATGTTTTTTACTACAATGCAGCAATAAGACCCTGATGACTGTTATAGACTCTTCTTTATGCACAACCCCTGTTGAGAACAAGAAACTAGCTCAGACTCTATTGACGACACTCACTGTTGCTTAGTTGTGTAGTCAGAGATAAGTTTGACAGAGCTGGAGCTTCTGTGGTCTGAGGGACCACGGTCAGCATCGCAGATTGTTCAGATGAGGTCAGGAAAAGCACAACAGCTGCTACTGAGAGGATGACTGGAAAATAACAGAAAATATGAAGTTAGATTAGAGAGGTTAGATTTTGGCTGATATTTGACGCAAAATTCAAATTTCTTTAGCCAAGATTCTTATCTAGAAATCTATTAAATTTTCTTTTGCTATTTTGACTTGAATCTGCAGTGATGTGATAACATTACACATACTTTGATTAAGGACTTTCTACAACTGCAGTAACTGTAAGTAAAAGTGCAAAAATCTGTGTAAGTACAGATTTAAGTGGAGAAGAAACTCACCCTTCTGCATGCTTGTCTGTCTCTGTGTTGTCTGATCTTCTCAGCAAAACTCGTTCTGCTACTTGTTCGACTACTGTGCTGCTGCAAAGCTTTAAATACTGAAAATCCAACCACTGAAGACACGTTTACAGCCAATCAATGAGAAGAGGATTTCAATCTGCATCATTTCCTTTATGGGCCCCGATTCTCTGCATGCCCAGGCAGCGTCTTCAGAATGGTGGTGCTGGTGCTGGTTTTGGTGGAGGGGGCATGTGATTTACCCTGCAGCGCTTTAAATGTGGTTTCCTCTTTGGAAGCCTCCAAACCCACGCAAATTGATAGTTTAACGTGAGTGCCCGCCTCAGGTTGCAGTTTCGAATACTTGCTTCAGGTGTTGAAAGCCGTAATTTATTGAGGGGGTGATAAAAGAGGATTTTTTTTTGTCTCTGCTGTAATCCAGGTGAACAGAAGACTGAGACAAAAGAGAGATGGATACCTGACAGGTGCAGTAATGAGCAGTGAACTTGAGGAAGTTCTCCGAGAGGAGGAACACCTCTTTACAGAGGTCTCAGTCTCAGGGGGACAGAGACGGAGTAAATGTAAAATGTTTAGCAGGTTGGTTCCTGATCATTTGTTGACATGGTAACATGGGTTATGGAGCTCTGGCATCAAAAAACCAACAATAAACAAACCAATCCTGATTTTTCAGGTGTGTCAAATACACAAATTGTGAGAACGGGTACAATATACACCAGATGCAAGAAGCCTTCACTATCATACTACCCCCCCGCAAAAAAAAAACTTCAAATCAGAATATAAGACAGAAAAAAAAATTCATGTTGGCACAGCAGTGTTTTTTATTGAATAGTCCTTTTCCAGTGAATCTGGAGTGTTCAAAAATGAACCCGAATGACTTCAGTAGAAAAAATATTGATCTACACTCTTAAAAAGTGAACTCTGAAATAAACAACTTAAATAAATAGATGAACAAAATATAAATAAAGTACATATCAAGTTAGTTTCCCAGCAGGTATGGAGTGTTGAGCTTATGAGTAAATCATTTAGTGTGTATGTATTGTATGACTGAAACTAATTGATGTGTGTGTTTGCATATATGCCTTCTCCATTATGACATATCATTCAATAAATACCAGCTTTGTAATGTGTGTAATGTGTGTTTAATGCATCAGTGCGTTTCTGGCAGCAGTCACTGTGTTCCTCATCAGCATGGCAACTGTCATCGGACCCACACCTCCGGGAACGGGAGTGATGAAACCCGCTTTCTCCTTCACTCCTACAAAGAGTCAAAAAATCAACACAGAGTTTGAGTTACAGTGTTTGACATCAAGAACAGGAGCTGTGATTGATGGTATGATCTCTGTTTGGCCTCTACTGTCTGAGGAGGAAGATCAAATCCAGTAAACTGAATCTTTGAACCAAAACTGATAAAATGTGGAGGCACAAGAATTTAGAAAAAGACATCAGCTGTTCATATTTGGACATAACCCCTGTGGAAGAATGAATAAACTAGCAAGGATTCAGTTCTAACGTAACACGATAAATTATATAGAAATAACTTAATTCACAGTTTTGCTGTACTTGCAGCCTGCAGATTTAGAAACCACTTATCTAACAATGCCTTTCTACGGAAATTCAAAATTGCCCTAGATATTTACCTGCAAAATCCACGTCACCGATGAGTCGGAGTTTTCCCGTTTTTGGATCTTTGATGCGGTTTATTCCCACGTCAATGACTGCTGCGCCCTCTTTCACCATATCTGCTGTGATCAGCCCGGGAACACCTATAAACAGAAATCACAAAGCGGCCGGAATTAAAGGCAAAACTGTCTTCAGATGTAAGTAAAGTTGTTATGTAACATCTAACGTGAATTTAAAAATAACAAGATCTTAAAATGAGATTTTAATTCACACGGCCAGTGTACACCAAAACTGAAGCCCCACTTCTAGACAGCATCAAGATCAGGCAATAAAGCCCCCTTTTCCCATTAAGACAGGTGAACTGACTGTCTTTACTGTATTTAACTTTACTTACAGAGTCAAAATGAATCAAATCACATAAAAATGACAAAAAAGAAGAGAGCAGACAAGGAGTTGGCAGCACACAGGGCTCAAGGATCTGGCTACAGTCAGTCTCTTTGATCAGCTTTAACGTGACATGTTTGGTATATTATCTTTAAATAACAACACTGAGAACTATTTGGATGTTATAAAGTAACTCTAACTTTTTCTGAGTTAAAAACTTTTTTAACCAATTGTTTTCTGTTAGTGGCCCTTATCCTTCTCTATATAAATTGGCCTTATAGGAAAAGAGGAACATGCTGCAGGTTACATTTAGTGACTATTTCTAAGTCAGTGAACTGCCAGCTGTTGCAGTGATGCTTGTCAGTGACCTTAATTACAGACGATGGACTGTAAAAGAATGACAATAAACACCTCACTTCAGACAGCAGCAGGATGAGATCACACCTTGTTGTCACCCTGCTACCTATAAAAGGTGAAGTATTTAAACGTGAAGTGTTTCTGTTTCATCTCTGAACTCAGAAGTATGAAATTACAGCTAAAAAAACCCTGGGATTAGGTCTGAGTTTAATAATGATATAAAGCATATTCGTTTTTTGTAAACGGCCCACATACATGGGGCTCAAAGACATACCGATCCCAAACTAAACTCTAAGCACAGGTTTGAAGTGTAACGGCACACATCAGTTTCCATCAACACCAAAACCAAACAGTTTTGATAGCTGAAGAGGGTTCACTTAATCCCGCAGTGCAGTACAGATACATTTATCCATTTCTAAATGTGAAACTTAACAGATGGGTGAAAAGAAAATGAGGCGCCCTTCCCTGAAAGCAGCTCTTAGTCATCAGGGAAAGACATTTGTTACAAAAGAGGTAAAACACAGCACCCCCTGAGGCATGTCATTTCAACTTAACTGTCTTTCAACAGATACTCCAGCTCTGCTTCCATTAATCTGCTCATCGCCACAAATCACTGATGCTAATAAAGAAAGTAGTGATTTCTGAAAATAGTTGGGCAGAGAAGCTTGTCCCTGAATGTGAACTCAAAGCAAGGACAGAAAAAGTAGAAAAAAGTAGATCGTACTAAAAAAACATGATTTTTACTGAGCCTGTGGTGAAAAGGAAGATGATAATAAAGAGGTGAAACAATAACTGAGAATAAGTGGAGTATATATATCCTGTTGGTTTTGTCCGTGACTTTATTCATCTCTTTCTACTGTAGTAAAGAATACATATGTTTAGTATTACATACCTTACCAAAAAGAAGTATGTTTAGGGGAGCTTCAAGTACACTCTTTTTAAACTAAGTGTGCTTCACCTTATTTTTTATGCACTTTTCAGAGATATACTTAACTAAGTTAATGTTTAGTATACTTGGCTTGTACGTAGAGTTACACCAAAAGTCTAAATACATTTCACATATACTTATACTTAAACTTTTGATCAAGCTATACTTAAGTATGTATTTGTGCCTTACATTTAAGTATACTTGGTCAGAGAACACTTCCATCTAACTTTTTCAGAGTATACTCTGTCAGATTATAAGACTATACTCTTTAAAAGATAAGCAGTACAAGCCAAGTATACAAATATGTACTACTATTGAAATAAAAGCAAAGAAAAAGGTACTTTTAATTATGCTTCAGAGTCAGCCCGCAGATAGCTGAGTAAATTAAGGTACACATCATGTTGGAGACTGTCCCTGCTGTGGTCACAGGGTTTGAATCCTGTCCTGACCATGTGCTGCATCTCACCCCCTCTCTATCTGCCACTCTGTCCTGCCCACTGAAGGCACCCCCCCCCCCCCCCCCCCAAATAAAAATAAATAAATAAATACAAATAAATGAATAAAAATTAGTCAGTATATAGTAAATAAATAAACACAAGTTTTAGAGTGTACTTTTATGACCTAAAAAGGGGACTTGAAGTTAACTAGTAAATGAATAGTAATCAAGTATACTTCAAGTGTACTTTAATAAAGTATTAGTTTATTATCTAATTGGGCCATTTTGGTCCGAAGAAGTTTACTTGTAAGTACACTGGTAGTATATTTGTATCAGTGTACAAAGTATACTTTGGGAAGAATACTGAAATGAACTTTAGTATACTTCATAAAATGTACATACATATATATATATATATATATATATATATATATATATATATATGTATATATATATACATACATATACATATATATACATACATATACATGTATATGTATATATATATACATACATATACATGTATATATATATATACACACACACACATATATATATGTGTGTATATATATACATATATATATATATATACATATACATATATATATATATATATTTATATATATATATATACATATATATATTTGATAAGGGTGACCAGGAATAGATGGGATATTTCAGGACTGTTTCCTAACCTAACCAGCTCAGTCGTGTCAAGTTTTCACTGATCCTTTTCTGTACAGTATACATACCAGTCCTCAAGTCCTGAGAAACTCTGACCCAGAAAACACAGTCTTTTAAATCTGTGTGCAGTAAATCACCTGTCTGTATCCAACACAGTTTCCCAGTCCCACACAGCAGGTTGGATGGTAAAGATCATAACTCTCACTTCGCGTGCTGGCTGATGTCATCAAAGAATGTGATTGGCAGATGACCTGATACTGAAAATAGTTTAAGGTGACCCCAAAGTAAAGGGACATGCTGTGAAAACCCTGCACATGCAGTTTTAACCCATGTAAAAGGCTGCACTCAAGGTTTACTCTAGACTCTGGTCATCACTTGGGCTGTAAAGGACACAAGCGTGAGTGTGTGTATGTTTTAAAGTGTATTTCTTTTACCTGCAGCAGCAATAATGATGTCAGCCAGGCTGGTCAACTCCTTCAGCTGCTCTCTGGGTGTACATCTGTGAGCGATGGTCACTGTGGCATCACCTGAGACAATCAAATCCCCCAAAATCAGAAATTCACCACATTTCAAAGGGTTTTTTCTTCAATTTTCTGACATTAAAAGTTCGCTAGCTGAAATTTGCTAGTCTGAAAAATGCGATTTGATAAAGGGCATTTCACTTTTTTTTGCCTTCAAGGACTGTCTCGCATTAGGAAACTTATTACATTTTTATACAAATTAATCATCAACCTTCAGGGAAAATAGCAAAAAAGACCTTGTGTTCACTGCATGTGGAGTGTCATGCAGGTATGCACCTAAGGCCAAACAAATGTTCAACATTGGGAGCCTTCAGTTCATGAAATAGCTGGAATTTTTCAAGTTACGATTCATTCTACTTCTTTCCCTTCATGTTTTCAATCAACGTGCTGATGACACACTTCAGGTGAAAAAAGGTCAGATACTGTAAAAACTCTTAAGAAAGTTTTACATTTTAGCAGAGCTGGATGGTAAAACAATAGTGTCTTTTCCATGTTTTCAATTTATTCATATCTGACTCAGCTAAGCTCTGAACAATCACACTGAAGGAGAAGAGGAGAAGCGTGCTGGAGTGTTCAAGTGTTTTTACGACTTTGGAAAAACACAAGCAGCCTTGGCTCGGCGTGTCATTTCATAACACTGTGAGCGGCCTTGAGAGATTAAAAAACAAAGCTCTATTCACCTCCGTCAAAAAACATACATTCAAAGCTGGCAAGAGTTTCAAAGGTAGATAACATCATCCAAACTATCTGCACTGCTTTGAACAGCTAAGACACAAAATTAGATATTCCTTTGCATGCTGTCATATGTCTACTCAATGAATATACTCATTGCAGTAGCTTATTTGTTATTATCATATTCCTCTAAAGGAAGAACCTCTCTTTAAGATCTAAATCAGAAATCTTCGGCACTCTGCAGTAAACTCCATGGCGGGTCGTGGTGTAATCATCCCATTTGATTTAGTCATTGATTGCACAACGAACAAAAACAACATGATGCTGTAAACCCTGAGCGTTACCCTGAATGTGTGAGGACATCCTGTGTAATAACAGCTGAAGTGTGACCAGGAGAGCAGGAGTGGGGCGGAAAAGAGGAACACACAAGGAAGATAAGAATAAAAGGAAAGGAAGAGCAAGTCAGAGCACATCAGACCTCCGGGTCACATACCTAACGGGACATGTGTGGAGGTGTTGGTGTGTGTGTGTGCGTGTGCGTGCGCGCAAGAGTGGGAGGTAGAGAAAAAAAGAAGAGAACTGACCCAAAAAGTAAAATTAAACCAGAGATCTTAGTGAAACTGGAAGCAAAATCTATTGTTTTTTTCCTTTTCTGAATCTGAGCAGAGCGTCTTTGACACAGTTGAGAAGTGCCTTTTAGATCCACCAGCTCTGTAATCTGGTTATTCAGAGCCATTCTGCTTATTTTTGCAGCTTTCAGAAAGAGTGAAGCCTTACAAGCCAAGTTTCAAACATGCACAGCATTCCTCTTTGTTGATGCGCACTAATGTAAAATGCAAATGAGGGTTCAGTTCCAGCTTAGTGTGGGGCTTTGTTAAGAATCCAGGATTAATCTAGGTTAAATTTTGACATGCTTTTACTTGTTGGCTCCCTGTTAAACAAAATGCACAATGGAGGCTCTGTGAAAAAGAAGGACTTTTATGAAGTTAGCTGTGTAAACTTAGTGTGTAGGGTTTTTGGAAATATCTTCCTTTGTATGAAAGAGATTAATTATCACAGGAGATCTCCTTGGCCCTGTGGTTTATGACCCAAAAATACATTATGAGCAGAAAAAAACAATTCCAGCTCTTCGCTCTTGTGCTGATATTTCATCCTGTTCATGTTTGTCTTCTCTGTAGTTGGTCCAATGTAGTCTAATGACCACAAATACTCACTGTATCAGATTGCACTAACAGTAGGGGAGACCGGGCTTTTTGTCACATGAATAAGTTGTCTCATTGCAATTATCTTTGCCACCAGAGGGCACAACTATAAAGTGGAATACTAGTTTTCTTCCTTTAAATGGTCAGAGGTCGTGTCCTGTCTGAGAAGAGAAGGGCACATTGTGAGCTGAGATGAGCACCAATTAACCATTTTGCACAACCCAAAGTAAAGAAAATTAACTTTATATATTTTAAAATAAGCTTCTTCCAGATAAAAATCCTAGCAGTGAAACATGTGGACTTGTTAGAGGAGAAATTAAGGCATCCTGTCATACCTCAGTCATTGTTCTGTTTTAAACTAACTTTAAACTAGAGCTTTAATTAGCAAACATGGTAGTTTGAGGCAACATGTCGCAGTCATTTTGGGGTTAGTTGTCACATGTTTAGAAGGGATTAAAATTAACATAGAGAGTCTGCTTATCAGCAGTTGTCATATTGAAACGTTGACTTTATCTTTACAGAGAAAAGAGTGGTTTAAAGGGGAGGAGAAAGTGAGAAAACATGGTCAGGAATTTCAAAAGAAAAACAGAACATGGCAGTGCAGTACATGACGTGATGCTGAGGGCGGTCAGGTAGGTGACCCGAGCTAAAAAATCAATCTGGAGGACAATAAAGGACTTTAATGTCAACTATAACTTGGCTCCGTACTGCAAAACATTCACCCCAGCCAAAATACAGAGTCAGACAGCTATCCTAACTCCAGAGCATGAGAACAACAATAATTTTTCCTTGTTTTATTAGTTGCTACATCCACTGTGATATCTTACCCCATGTAGTGAGACAACTTACCCGATGGTGGGGCAACATGTCACATGTTCACACTTTATTTGATTGCTTATAACTCTGCACTGACACAAGATATGAAAATGACATGAATATGAAACATATACCTGAGACTTTGGTCTTTCATCTGGTTCACATTTTGTTTATATATGATGTATTGATTCCAAGAAATATAAGAGTGTAAAAAATGTGACAACAAGCCCCGGTCTCCCCTACTGATCTAATACTGCTGAGTAACTTAAAGGGGCACACCTCTCTTTGTGACAGACAGCAGGAAAAGCGCAACTTTTCAAGGATCCTTTTAAGTTGTTCCCCTTCGATGGATGAGGGGGATGACTGCCCTTGAGCAAACGCACACACACAGGTTTGCATGCAGGTATTATTGAGTTCTCGTAATATGTCCTGCCGTATTGCATTACCTTGACAGGGCCAGCTTATCTGGATGCTTTATCAGAACAGAAAATTCCATGTCATTCCTTTCCAAATCTCCTCCCTGCTTCCTGAAGCCTTATTAGGATTGTGTTTCCGTCTGCCAGCAGTGCCCAATACCAAATGTGTCGCCCTCTTTGGACTTTTCCTTCACACTCCCTGTTTTTTTTCGCCTTTTTGAACTCTTCTTACATGTGCATGGGCTTATATTGTTTGGTTAAAGATCCCGAGATTTACTGAGGCATGAATTTATGGACCAGATCCCGAAAAAAAATTAAGCAACATGTACCTTTCAGGGAAAGTCAAGAGTGGTGCAATACTATTAACTACAAGGGAAGCACTCCAATCATAATGCAACACAGTCGACAGGTGGACCTTCACTTGCGCATACGCACACACAAACACACACACACACAAACACACTTACCCCCTGGGCGTTCATGGTTGCGATCCGTGTGTAGCAACATCGCAATGGGCATTCCAACATTTTTAGAGCGACCAGCGACGAGCACATTCTTTCCCACTGTCTCAATACCTGGAAAGAAATACTTATTGTCAGAAATTGTCCTAAATAAATAAATAAAACTTGACCTACCTTACTGCTCAGAAAAGAGACAAAAAGTTACAATACACAAAGATGAAATGGTCATCCCACAGAGTGCCTGGAGCAACACTTCCACATTGACTCACCCCACAGGTATGTGGAGGGATGTGATTCTGACTCCTCATGCAAGGGCAATTACTACATGCATTGTCAGCAGACAAAAAACTAATTAGCGGTTCTGGCTGGACATGTATTCTGCTGTTATCTCTGTTTGCTTGTTAAGTAACTGTTACATATTTGTATCCTGCTCAGTCATGCTGTGGAGTGAACTTTTCCCCTTTTTGTGGATTTAATTCTTCGTTTTACATCTTAAGATTTCCTTTAGGTTGTCTACAAATCAAATCTACATGATCCCTCAGTTCAACAATCAGAAATCAGGGTATCATTTACAAAACACTAAACAGCAAGCAACAGGAAGCTACAGTTCCTCCAATGCCATTTTTTTTTTTCAACAGTTTTCAGAAAGCGGGGTTCTCACCAGAGGCAGTTTTTTCAGGCCAGCAGAAAAATTAAGCGCTACTCTGAACTACAGTGCCCTCTAGCTGCTTTAACGGGCAAAACAACAGAGGAGTTACAATACTTTCTGTGGAGGTCCGTTTTCTGATATTTTCTTTCTTTTTTTTCTTTTTTTAATAAATATCTAGAACTTTTTTTTAACATCACAAAACTGTTTGCACCACACCCATCTGTGTATTCAAATTTTGGACAACGTATTCAGCCAAATACCAGAATTGCCCAAATATTCATGTCCATATGCCACCAAGAAGTTAACTGAGTGATCTTGTGTAACTGCCATGAAGCAAGTTACTTTTACTTTGAAAAGAAATGAAAAAAAAAAATTGATATAAAAGTGAGGGGAAATTGTTCTCAGGCGCCATCTAGAGGATCAGACGAAGGCAGTGAGTATCTTTCAATCATGTTTTGTAAGGATTCAATCATGAGATGTGCCTCCATGAGTGTAGTACCGACACTGCAGAAGTTCTTCACTTTACCAGTGAGTAGTAGTGATTTCAGATAAAGTAACAGGCTGTACAAAATGTAGGGCTTATGGTAATGATTATCCTAAGACCTAAACAAAAAACAAACAAGCAAAAAAACCCAGATAAACACGTCAAAGCCAAATGTATAAAAAGTGATGTTATAGATAGAAATTTGGGAGAGTTTACCTGCTCTTTTGATGATCTCCCAGACAGCTGCAGGTGTGGCAGGCACCATGGATCTCTGGTCCAGACACAGCTTACCAATATTCACTATGTGAAAGCCATCCACATCTTTCTCTGGAGCGATGGCATTACACACTGCTCGCTCATTGATGTGCTCTGAAGGAGGGATAGAAAAGAACATTGACTCAATAATTTAAGACACAATAACATTAAAACCTAACAGCTACTTTTGACAATAACTTTAAAAATGGGATAACATGTAGTTTTAGACACATAGTTTGTAGGCGTATGCATAGCCAGAGTTTAAAAAGTTTTCAGAATAGCTATTGAAATACTAATATCGCAAATAAAAATTACTCATTTTGTAAACGCCATTTCAGGCAGTTTTTGTGTACAGCTATTGATCATTTTATCATTTTAAAAAAGACCCATATATGAGCAGTCTCAGCTAGTCCATTCAGACCAACTCCCGTTTAAACTGGATGTCAGGGAGGACATCAGCAGTACAGCTGTGGATGCCTGTGTTTACCTGGAAGAGGCAGCTGCACTAACAGGCCGCTGACCCTCCAGTCACGGTTCATCTTGTCAATCAACTCCAGCAACTCCTCCTGAGAGACAGAGCTGGGCCGAATAACTGTGTCACTTGAAATACCTGAAAAGAGCATAAACATTGCGCACACTCCGTGTTCATAATCTTTCCATATGCATCACATGAACTATGCTTGTGCAAATCATGTTTATTCATGTGTATCTACAGTTGATGTCCATGAATGCACCAAATATTGAAGCATGCATGAGGGACATCAGTGTGATGTCTGTGATGTGAACAGTACACAGTATGCATGCAGTGTTTAGAAACGTGTGTAATGCTCATATCTGACCCAGGATGCTGGCAGCCCGGGTCTTATTCTTAACATAGGTTTGGCTGGCTGGGTTGTCCCCCACCAAGACCACTCCAAGGTGGGGTCTCATGTTGCCCTGTGCAACCAGATCTTCCACATCACGCTGGATTTCTCTGTGGATCTGTCGAGCCAGCTCCGTCCCAGATATCACCACTGCGGCATGCCTGGAGAAAAAGAGTGAAAACATGTGACATGAGTCTGGTTCTGCTCAAGGTCTCTGCCTGTTAAATGGAAGTTGGGAAAACTAACGACTAATTGTTTAATTTTGTGACTTTTTTTTTCCTGTAATGGACCAACTAAGCTTTAAGAAACCTAGATAAATTACTATCAGAGGTCATTTTTATGATGTACTCCCTGTCATGACCATCCTTGGCTAAACTCTGGAGGGGTGTGCAGGTCCCACTTGGTCAATCAACCAATAAATGAAGGAACAAATAGAGGTAATTATCTGCAGCACCCATAGGCACCCTTTCCACATGCTCAGTCTTGAAAATAGACAACTGAAAAAAAAAAAATGTAAAGAATCTTTTAAGTAAGTCCTGTTGTTTGTCATCTTTTACACTGGTGTGCATTTGCAATACTGAGTCATGTGACGTGCATTTATTGTGCAAGTGGGAGATGGGTATCAGTGTGCAAGAGAAACAATATTAGACAAAAAGCCTGACTGATAGGTCTCAGACGGCAGGTTGAATCTATTTTCATGTTAATCCTACATGATACAAAGCCGGTCTAAGCCCTCAGGTGCACAATGCATAGAGCAGTGGAAAGAAAAAGAGGAGCAGGAAGCCGAATGTAAAGGTATGCCATCTTTTACAGCATAATAAAAAGACATTTAGTATGAAGTTGATGCATTTGCATGAGTGATCTAAGTTTAAATAAAACAGCTAAAACGGCTGGATGAAAATGTTGTGATAGCTGGACACTAAGTTTGAGAGCCTGGGGGGGACAAATCCTCCATATTGTTGGCCATATAAGTGTAGTGTTACCTGTTTCATTGTAAGCAGTGAATAATGATTATTAGGGAGTCATTTATGTCATGTTGAGCACATTAGGCTGCTGCAGTTTGTCTTCCTCTGTCAACCACACAGTGGCAGACTGTTTCTCTCTCGGGACACCAAGATGGCTAGAGCCTGCTTCCTGTTAACGGCTGTAACGGTAGCTAACCGTCCGCTAGCAGCAGCCAGCTCTATAGGTATGCAGCGTGCTGACATACGGTCGCGTACCGGCAAAATGCGGCGAGTTACGTAACCCCACCGATGTGTTAAAAGCTTTGTTTTTTACTCCAAATCTGTTACTGACCTTCTAACCAAAAGGATGCCCGCCTAGCCTAGCCAGCCCAGCCCTCCCTGTCCCCTCTACCGTGAACGGTGAGACCTCCTGTCAATCACTCTCCTCGCACACGTGACGGTGCACGCGCCTTCACCGGTGCAGCTGAAGCGTCGCTCATCCTTCCGCAACGTACAACCATCTGTACGTTACATTAAAGGAAAAAAAGCTGCACTGTTTCAGTCAAAGTGCCATTTACCTCGTCGCCGTCTGGTGTAGATGTCTCCTTTGACTCTCGCATTTTCTGTGCATTCGCAGTTTCGCCCGGCAGCAGTGATGGGGTAACGTTAACTGGCTACAAATCCTGAAGGAGGAGCGTAGCGGTGTAATAGAGGCCGCCATGTTTGTGTGTGTGTCTTAAAGCGTGTGTACGTCGCGCGTGTGTGCGTTTGTGCACGAGAGAGGGGAGGGAGAGAGGCAAGCACAGTTTACAGATAACACAGCTTATCAATGCTGGGATTTACACTGCAAACTGGACAACGCTGATTAATTAGAGCATGGATGATTATCCTTGTTTTTTATCCTCAATCCAAATTAAATTTAAATACATTTAACTAAATTGAAATGATTTAAAACAAAATCAGTTTTTTAAGCAAACATTATTTTTCACAAGACATTTTTCCGTTTTAACCATAGACTGCATATAGAATACAGTATAGTATATACAATCTATGGTTTTAACATTTGATTTGCTCTCTTAGCCTATTTTCAGTTCAATCATTTACAAATGATAAATTCTGTTTTTATAAATATTTTTCACAGAGGATTTGAGGTTGTGTATTTTCCAAACAAGTGATGAGACCAATCAAAGCAATGATTGCAGTTTACACTGTAATCTTCACCTTTAAGGCAATGTGGGTTTTCTCAACAGCATAATATCACACTTAGAGTGGGAATGAAACAAATAGAAAGACACCTTTGAGAAACAATCTATGACCTGTGAATACATGTACTGACATTTTTTGCCATTTCAGCACATCATAAAGACCCTAAATATATTTAAGCACTAATGTAAAGGTAACCATTAATATTTATATGTTAGAAGAGAAAGCCAACCTAAACACAAACACTAGAAACACTGTAAAAGAAGGAAACATGCTCTGTCCTAAGTGGAGTAACAGCTTCTCTTGAGTTTGCTAACAATACTCAGGAAACCACTGAGCCCAGCTAAGAACTAGACCAATACAGACCCCTTAGCATCAAATATGTAATTTTCATTGAGGCTGTTTAATATAGCTGTTTCACTTTAAAAGCCAAGGTGTTGCCACTTTATAAAGAGCATGCTCAGTATGTAATCTACATATTTACAAATATTAAGTAGTTATTAATGCTCCAAAAATAAATATATAAATAAAATAAGACACTAATGCTTTCTTTTGCCACAAGATGGCAGCAAAGATTGAATGCATGTTCTAGATGCATTCAGTCCATATTGTAGAGTTGAAAATCAAGAAAAAGGGAAATGAGCATCAGTTTTGCAGTCAGGTGTATTTTGTTATTGACTGGAATACGTTTAAAGCTTCTATTAGGAGTTTTTTGACATTTATAAAAGTGACTGAAATTCTTGTTGGTGCATTTTAATGATACGCAAAAGCAACTGTACACTCAACCCCCTGTTCACCTAAAGTATTTGCAGTGAATGATAGATTTGATTGTTAAAAATCAGCAGGTTGAGAAGTATTGTCATAAATCACTACTCAAGCATGGTGCCGAAAGGATAAGCAAAGACTGCTTTGTCCACAGGGAGTGCCAAAACTGACACAAAGTGGAAGTTTCTCACAGGCCCTTTAAACTTATTCTCAGTGGTATGACCATCAAAAGCTTATTCGGGACATTTAACTATTGTTACAGGGCCTTGAACAAAGTTGAAGTTTCCGGCAGAATTTAGGATTTAATGTAAGGAGCCAGTGTAATAGACATTAAGGGATTCTAGTTTATCAAAATGAAAGCAGAAAAAAATAGTGTATGATTTAATTTTACAAACAACAAAATGTTTCTTAATATCTTACATTTTGAATCTAAAATACATAAATACATTGTGCACCACTTATTACTTTTCTTCAATACATACATTAAAACCATCCAAGAGCTCAAATGAAGAGTTGGTCTTGTCTACCTATTAGACTTTAAGTAGTTGCTCTTGTTTATGTAGTCGATAAGATAATAAAATGTCACATTGTTGCCACCCACAGAATTGCAAAATCAATTCATGCATCCTGAGTTATAAGAAACTCACATCCCCAAGCTATCTCTACGGTAACAATAGGAAGCAAGATATAAACAGAAAGTAACACTATGGTAACCGTCCAAGTAATGCTGCTGACAGCAGAGCAGGTTATGTAATTGGATTCTAACATAAGCGTGTCAAAATGTTCAAGAAAAAAGTTATAAAAATGTGCAAAGAAAGACATTCGGTTTGAGAGCAGAGAAGGATAAATGTTTATTGCCCAATAAAAGAGCTGATAAATTTTAAAGACAGATTTTATAATTGTACACGAGGCTCAGAACAAACAACTGTAAAAACACCAATCGCATTATCTTGAATCAGTGTCTTTTTATTCTGCTGAATAACAGCACTGTGTTAAACTCAAAATGCCTTGTATTAAAATACGTACACACTCAAAAAGCAAATGTAGGGCAAAGGTTTGTTCGAGTGGTGGGAGTGTATTCAGGAAATTTGGTAAACACTGCTCCCTGCCAGGCTTGCCTAGACACGAGGCCACAGAGAATGTACGCATTATCCTGTGTGACTCAAGCTAAGCTGTTGATAAATGACTTTTACATTTATGGTATATTTGCTGATCCAAAGGCACATTTTTAAAATAAATTTGATTCAATATAAACTACACCGTAAATAGTACAGTCATTAACCGGTTTGAGAAATCTCCAGGAAGGCAAGAACAAAGATGATCAATTTCCTGTAAGTGTGATGAAGCTGTGATATTTGTGGTGTGACTGTTAGAGCGCAGACAGTACATCTGAGGCCCAAGATGTCGACCCCTTAACTGTTGAGTTTACAAGTTACACTGTTGAGCGAGAAAAGAAACTGCATTGAGGTTGCTCTTTTTGTACATTTGGATCATCCTCTAAAAAAGGACATTTAACATCGTCAATAGTTGAAAAACCCAATGCTTGATCACGCGAGGTGGTCTCTGTGAGAAATGACAAATTCTCTGCCTATTCTATAAATTTTCCATCCATAATCCAAGAATAGTTCATTTTCAGAAAAAAAAAAAAAACCTGCATATACTGAATTTAAATTGTTTTCAAGGCATGAGCTGAAGCTTTTGGCTTTGTCTCAGTGACTCCACGGAATGAGTGGGGTGAAAAAAGGCACTTCTCATCCTGGAATAAATTTGTTCTGACTCCTGTAAATCATAAACACAGCCTTTTAAAATCATTGTGAAGTCCTCATCTGTCATTGCGGGGATTATTACAGCTGTAACAGATGTTATGAGCCTGTAAATGATGCTCAGTCCATCAAGGCAGTCAGAAACCCAAATGCATACACTGTTTACTACTTTATACTTGCAGGCTGTTTTTTGGTACATGGAGATTCCCCCCCCCCCCCCACCAGGCTGACAGTTTGGTTTAAGGGGTTGGGCTTAGTGTACATCTCGAGAACATTTTAATGGCTGTTAGGTCCAAAGTGGAATAATAAGGTAAGCCCTGTCAGGCGTGGGTGAAGCTGTGTTTGGAGTAAGAGTCAGTTGTTCCACCCAACCTCTGGATGAATGGAATTCATGTCTCAACAGGACACCGCATCTGCTCAAATCAAAGGGGAGAATTTCTCATAACATGTACCTTTACTCCCAAGTTGGTAAACAGTTTGATGGGGCATGTGCTGAACTGTTTCTAAAACAATTAAAAAAAAGAAATGTTTTGATATGAAGGTTGTAAACATCACATTTAACTGTGATTTCATATTTCACTCTTAATGATTTAATAAATTGAATTAAAAGTGATGAAGCTCTGCATTTACTCTCTACTGTACAAACTGTACATTTACAACATAAAGCCACGCCAGGTTTAATTACCCTCCAAACGACCCCTCCTTCCTCTCTCTCTCTCTCTCTCTCTCTCTCTCTCTCTCTCCCACCCACCGTTGTTGACTGGCTGCGCCGGTTACGTAACACGTTTATGCCCAGCGCACGTGGCCACAGCCATAATAGATGGCATCATTTTGACGGATTAAACATTACCATCGACCCAGTGATCACAGCCTTATCACGCAACCTACAGTTTACCTTTTGAGGCGTAGAATAAGGGCGAGGTCAGGGGGAAAAAACAACCAAATCAATGTTTTTTTCTCCCACGAAAAATACGTCAAGACGGAGTCCCTCTGTTACGGTTCGAGTCCACTCCGGCTCATATGGTTAATAAAAATAAGGACAAAGAGACAGAACTGGGACAAAACATTTGATCATTATTAGAATGTACTGTTAGTTCATTCACAGCGTGGGAAATAATGCATGAAGTTTGTCTTTTATTTATTCCATTTAAATCCAGGGTGCATGAAAAGATAGTTTGACCACTTTTTGGACATTCCAAAAAAATAGATAAATAAAATAAAATAAAATAGGCCTAATTAATCTACAAATTCTGCAAATATAATGCTCAGTGGTATTGGGTTAAATAAATAAATTAATAATGATCAGATCAATTAAGATTAAAATAAACACCAAACACTTGTTTAATTGACAAAGCCCTGCATACACACGTTTATGGTCTTGGTGTATTTTGCCCCCCTCTCTCCCAATATGGTGTCACCATCCCCTCAACAGATTGACCACTACTCTCTCTCTCTCTCTCCTTCCCTGTCTCACGCTATCCCCCTCCTCCTCCTCCTCCCTCCTCTTCATCCCATAGCTGTCATCCTGAGCAGCGCTGAGACGACGGCTCAATCCCCTAAACGCCCGGATGAGAGCAGCAGGCGACATTCAAGGCAACATGGTCGCATAAATCCGCCGAGTCGAGGGCAACCAACCATTCTGGTGGGGGACGACGGCCACTGCTGGAATCTGTGACATTTTCGACGCAGCCCACGGAGGGAGAGCGGTTCTGGGAAAATACAGTCAGGGATAGAGGCGTGGAGGCGGAGAGGAACACGGCACATTTCCCCCCTTGTGGTGTCCTATTTCGTTGGTAAGTACATTTTGTCTGGCAGAGATAGACACGTTGCCCGTGTGTGTGTGTTTTTTGCGTGGACAGGCTCGCTGTCCGGTCTTGCGACTTTTTCCTCACGCGTTTTTTTCTTTGTGGTGAGCGTCTGTGCACGAGACGGAACGGGCCTGGTAAGTGAACACAACGTGAAAGAGGAATGTCTGTGTTTTAATCAGCTGCTGCGGCATCCCACGGCCACGACGTTTCCTGAATTTGACTCCAAACTCCGACGTGAATCATCCGAATTGTTAAATCGGACCACAAGTTGCTTCATTGTGATCTAACGTGCTGGCAATGTTGTTAACACCGCTCGCACGCAGCTGAATGGAGCCGCCGCACGTGTGTGACTCCACATCCGACTGTGAGTGGATCACAATAGCCCCGATTCACACAGACTGTCTGGTGGTCCGTCCACTGGTCTCAACCAGTGTGGGAAAGTGGAAAAGCCAAGAAAAGGCGAGAGCGTTCAACGTGCGTCTAATTACTTCGCCGTTAATCATGCGAGTTTATTTCACTCTGCTGAGCTTTTGCACCGAGTAGACACTATTTGACGACAAGGCGGGTCAACAGCCGAACATGCGCACTGAGCGCAGTAACTATCGCCCCATTGCCCAATAACAATAAGAAGTTGGGACAAGCCTATCCCTAAAATCTGAGAAGTGCCTCAGGTCTGTTCCCTTGTCCTCGCCACCAGCTTCAGGGTTTTTATTGCCTCTGCGCTGCTGTCTCTATACCTTGTTATTTAACCGTGGATTTGAGCCAGCCACAAATCTAGTCAGAGCCAGTCAGACAACACAGCAAAATAAACCTGATCTGCTCACCTGCAGATATGAGTGTGCGATAACAAGCCAGGCACCTATTGTGACAGTGTGTCTCTGCTTATGAAGCCCCAGGGCGAGCCTCTTCCTTTGTCCCCATTAAAGATGGCAACACTGAAATCAGGCACAGCCAACATGGAGGGGTGGAAAATAAAACATCATCACCCCGGACTAAAGAAAACCCTAAAAAGTTCCATTTGGATAACTGCAAGGTGACCCATAATATGATATGATACTGCGATAAAATACGATCATTACAGTGTGACATGATATTATACGATTCCTGGCCCATGATCCCGCAGTACTGCAATGATCACCAAGTAAGAGTAGGAATTGCCAGGTAAACTAAGGTACGATAAGAGGTGATACGACACATTACCATGCAATATGATAGGTTACCACAGTGGCCAAGAACCGCCACTGCTGCAAATACAAAAAGAATGCAAAAAAAGAAGTCACAACAGGAGTTACCGATGCAAAAAAAAATGAAGCCCGCTGCAAATAAAAAAAAAAACGGTGCAGATAAAAAAAAAAGCCACATCTGAAGTTAACGACGCAAAAAAGTGGCGATGGGAAAAAAAAGTTACTTACTGCGGAAATAAAAGGATGCGGATAAAAAAAGCCGCAATGGAAGTGAGCTGCCGGGGACCAATAATGATGATGCACCAGTGTTTTACGATCTAGGCACAGAAGACGACGACGAGAAGACAAGCAAAGAAGTAAGCGTAAAGGTTATTGTTTAATTTCGCTTCGTGTACTTTTCAATGTGTCATTTGGTCAGGCAGTGTCGCGCCTGAGTCGAAATAAAGTTGAACTGAAGCTAACACTACACCAGCATCCTCCAGTTCGACTTCATATCGACTCAGGTGCAACATGGCCTGACGAAATGACACATTGAAAAGCACACAAAGCGAAATTAAACAATAACTTTTACGCTTACATCTTTGCTTGTCTTCTTGCTCTCGTCTCCTGTGCCTAGATCGTAAAACACCAGTGCATCGTCATTATTGGTCCCCGGCAGCTCACTTCCGTTGTGGCTTTTTGCAATTTGCATCCTTTCACTTTCGCAGTGAGTAACTTTTATTTATTCTTTGCATCGCTACTTTTTTTTTGTGTGTCATTAACTTTGTTGTGGCTTCCTTTTTTGCATTCTTTTTATTTGCAGCAGTGGCGGTTTTCGGCAACCATAGGATACCTTACCCACGATAGTGATACTGCAATCATATACATCACAATGTCTAATAAACTTAAGAAGGCCCCTTAAAGGCAAAGTGCACAGATTTAATTCTGTTTTTTAACTGCAGTTAAGTTTGTTTCCACTGAGATGAAACAATGTCCAAGTATTTAAAAAAGAAACACATGCAAGATAAGTGTAAACTGTACTTTTCATTAAAAAAAGCTTCTTTAGAAATTAGCTCAGATTTTAGTGCTTAAACATAATCAGCTCCTGTATTTAAACTTGTTCACGTTTTAAGTTTAACCCTTAAAACATAGATCTGTTAACTGATATCACTGTATGTGTAACAGCTGTAGTGGTAGTCCCATGACGTTGTCAGCTACAGATGGGTCTGTCAATCAGCATCTATCCCACAGTCGTCTTCAGTTAAACTCATGTCATGAAATCGCGATGCAGTGCGTCAAATTGGCAGGGAAATCTGTTTAGTGTGTCATATTTTCAATCGGATGTCAACTTAGTCTTGACTTGTTGATTTGTTGTATCCCTCAGATCAATAGAATATATTACTGTGTTGATATTTAGTTGTGTATATCTTCAGTATAAACCCTTAAAAGCAACAATAGTCAAGTATTTCAGCTTCCAACATATTTATCTGTTGTATCCTAACATCATGCATCATGTCCTGTTGTCGTACTATTTTGTTCCCTCCATGGTTTGAATGTGTCAGAATGTGTCAAAACTGAGTCATCGTATTATATTCTTTATCCTGAAGCAGAAAACATCCAATGGCCTGCTATGTTGTGGTCAGTGTGAGTACATGGAACCCTGGCAGCAAGAATGAGGCCTGAGTTAATGATTAATCTCCATATTACGATAAGACGGAGTGAAAAAGGTGAAGAATGCAGGGGGCTGGCACCACCTTGCATTTTTTCTTTCAGTTGTTTTCTTACATAAAAGATTTGCTGAGAAAATGTAGCATCAGTGCTTTTTACACAACATAGGCTCATAAAGTGGAGGAAGTAAATACACTTCTATCTCGTCTAGCCATAAAGGTCAGTGGACTGATATAAAAGTCGATCAAGATAAGATATACTGATTAATGACTTCCCCTTTCTTCAAACCCTTTTTATGTGGATGTCCCTGTCCCTCGCCCATCCTTAAGCCACCTGCCTTTGAAATGTGCTGAAATAAAGTTGTGATCAGCAGCTCCTAAAACCTTTTACATGTTTATATCTCAGATACGGGATTTGCAGAGCTCTTGTTAGAGGATTAAGGAAAACAACTTGTGCCCACACGGTTTAATCTGCTGTTTTGTATTTGAAACTGCCTGATTTGCTGAGTGAACCTGCTTTCTAAGAAACATTATAGATTTATGGACAACCAAGCAACCTCTCTCTCTCTGCGGGGATACTCTGCTCAGACTACTTTGGCACAGAAGAGAAGTGAATATCACTGTTGTTGTTGCTCTTGTTATTGTCGTGCTCCTTTTCCTTGAGCTCTAATTAGATTTTTCAATCACCACCTTGTGGAAATGAGGTGAGTTCACAGAAACATAAGGGACTAATTTAATTTATATTTTCATTGTGCTATGACCTGCCCTTAGTGAGTGTAAGCCTTGTGGAGAAAACAATCCAGCCAGAGTGATTCACACTAAATTGCCATTGTGCAGCAGCCACAGCTAAGAGCACGCAGCCAATAGAGCCTCTCTTTTATGCTAACCCATGAATTGAGAGGTTTCAAAACAGGCGCACAGCGGTGCATATGTAAACAACGGTTCAGGTCTGGCAGCTGAAGCTTGTGTTTTGAAAGTTCAGTGTTGAGGCTGTCTTTCAGCAGAGGAGGGGCGGAGGCGAGCTGTTTGTATGCACGCATGCACAAAGTGTTTGTACATTGTGTAATGTTTTCACGTTCAACAAGATAATAACTGAGCAGAGTCAGATCAGTTTTTGAGAAGGTGTGCTTTCAACACACGTGGACACTAACTTCGGTTTCTATGAATTTCTGGCTGCTTTAGTTCTGGTGGATGTTAAACCCATGAAAGGGCAACAGGTGAGCAGGTTACACCACATTATTGAGCTGTGTCGCTCTTTGGAGTATGCTGTGATACAGGTTTATGGAGATGTAGTCCAGTTCCAGATACAAAGTATTTATCAAATAATTTAAAAAACTCAATCTGGTTGGATGTTTGGTAACTTCTCTAAAAAATGAATCACAAAACACTGTAAAGTGCTCTGTCAGTGGTTCTGAATGTGATATTCTATTGTGATCTTGAATCATGGACACTATGTTGGTGGCCCTTGCACGTGCAGTGTCAGTACATCCACCACTTTGGTTCAGACTGAAATATCCCGGCAATTATCGGGTGGCTTAAGATGACATTTGGTACATACCTCTATGATCCCCAGAGGATAAATTCTAATGGCCATGATGATCCCCTTGAACTTCCCCGTAATGCATGTTTGCAGTGAGGTCACCTTTCGATTGGCCTCCTAAGTTGATTGTCCTGATTTGCAGCACCTGTCCCGGGCGGGTTGGTGTAAATAAAAGTCATGTGACTGCTGCATTTCATCCTGTAGAGAGGAGGCAAAGTGCCAAGATCTTCATCCTCATTAGAGTAATGAGCGTTTGGCGTTGCCATATTTTTTTTGCAACCACCGTTAGAGATCAAACTGTTGATGTGTGATGAGGACACTTTTCTACAATTGTCGAATAGATTGCCATGACATTTAGTACAAGCAATCATGATTTCCCTGTAGAGAGATCCAGATAACTCTTACCTGTTGCACCGTAATAGTGTCCAATTCCTGTTGAAATAATGCCACTTAACTTCTCATGAGAGATTTTTCTTAAACTTCTGTGTGTTTTCATGTTCTCAAAAAAACGTGGGAAAGTCCAGTTGCACAGAGCTACTCTCATGGCTGCAGGCATTTCTTTTTGGATATGAAATCATCAATCCGTGAACCATTGACAGCCTCATTTGAAACAAATCATCTGTTAGATACAGCCCCGCTGTGTCACATAGAAGCTGTTAGCAAAACAGATGGCTGCTTATTTATTAGAGCCCTGCCATAATTAGACTGCCGTATTTTTGTAACTGATAGTGTAAGCGATCTTACTATAGGGAGGACAGTGGATATAGTCCTTTTTTAAATCACAGGTTTTTTCATAGGCTCATGAACATCAGCTGACAAAAACATCCTGTGAGGTCCTGACTTTAAGCATGGTTATGTTTTTTTCTATCATAAGACTTTTTAAAAAGTATTATAAGGACATGACCTTACTGGTGTCAGTCGACAAAAGGAGCTAAGTGTGGTGGGGTCTGTTGTGTTTTCCGTGATGGTGGGGCCCCCGGGCAGTCCGGCCCTCCTGCCAGTGGGTGTGTCGGTGTCCCTTGTGGGCGGAAGGGCTGCTGGCACCAGGGCTGGTAGCGTCACCATCAGAGAACAGTCTGTGTCTCTGATCGGCCCACCTCGCCCTCTGAGCACAATCACACTGTTATGTCTAAGCCCTCCTTCGCTATGGCAACATCACATGATAGCACTGTGGAAATCTTCATGCTGTGTCAGTGTGTGTGTGTGTTGCATGTCTGCCTGTGCTTGCATTGCTGAATCCATGCTGTTGCCCAAACCTGGTTAAGCTTGTTGGTGATCATATGGGGCTGATAGCGGGTGTTAAATTAACTGTACTTGCAAATGTATTGTTGCCTGTCTTGGCCAGGACACTCTTGTAAATGAGATTTTTCATCTCAATGAGGATTTTCTGGTTAAATAAAGTTTTATTCACTCAAATAACAGAAATCGGAACGAACACAGAGGAGGGACAAGAGCGTAAAGGAGAAATTTCTGTTGTTTACAGGAACCTGAGAATAGCACGTGTTCAGAAAACGAACTGTTCAATCTGAGTGCAGTGCTTTTTCAAACATCACAGATTCATGAGTGACTCAGTGAGGGCCCTGCCTCATGAACAAAGGACTGCATAAGCTTGGAAAATAAATCAAAACCTTATCAGCTCTCAGTTAAGCGACTGTAAAACCACTGCTTAAGCATTTAACGTGATTTACAAAGAGATAGTTAAGGCAGTATTAGTGGTTTTTGCTCATGTATATGTATTCAGCTGGTTTTAAGTGGCAGGCTAACAACAGGTTGAATTGTCCATCCCATAATGCTTTTGTGTCCTCTTGTAACCAGTATCACGTAGGCAAGCATTTTTCTGTGACCCTAATTTTTGCCTTAATTGGCCATAATACTCAGAGGTCACCAACATGTCTTCACTGAATTAGTGAGGGTTTTTTTGTGTCTCCTTGGCAAATAAAAGTCATAACTGTCAGCATTTATGATCTCTTGAATCACAATTCCTGGTACTTTCCCCAGTCTTGGTTGCTTTGAAGCAAGAGACCCTCACTGAAACTGCTGATGCTGACGCACACAAGAAAACCTCTCCTCTTGAAGTTATGGGCTCCTAAAAGAGTAAACCTCTAGGTTCTCCTCATAAAATGGAAAATCATAACAACTAACATGGAAACAGTTAGCCATTTATCACCCTGGTTAGCATGTGACTGCTTCTGCTGGTTGCATCGTTTTTCTCTGACCCTTTTGTGTGTTTTTTGGCTGCGTTTGTCCTCTCCACTCGGTCATGAGAGCCGTTTTGTAGTGTTTCTGGTGGCCTTCTGTAAGCGGCAGGGTCTGTATCAAAGCGTTGTCACACAGAGCGTCTCTTGTTTTGGTGCTGGCCTGGTGTTAACTATGCTAATGACAAGCTTACTGCTGAACTGTGGAGCATTGTGGTAATATTTATTGAATGCAGCATGACTGTTATTTTACTGTTCTTCTCATTTAAGTGTATTTTTACAGGAGAACCTTTCACTGGACTGAAAAACGTTTTAATCTAACCAGTTAGATCTGTGGTCAGTTTGAAGTTTTCATAGCCCCTCATGGAAAAAACACTGAAAGGTACAGTGAGAAGCATTTGAAAAGCTGCTCTTGGCTGGTGTTTGATGATATCTTGTTATGTAAATGGCAGGTTTTATTATCTTTTGCCTTATAGATACAGATCTCTGCCTTTACTGCCCATAAATTGCCTCAATAGTAAATGAGCTGCAGGATCAGCCAAACTCTTTGGGTGGCCTGCAGATCATTATGAAACAGAAATGATTCTTTTCTAAAACTTGTGAATGTGATGTGATGCTGATGAGATGCTTAAACCTTAAGTACACTTTAACGACTAGGGTTATCTTAACTGAACTGTCAAAGCTCAGTGACTTTACAATGGCCTCTTATCAGAAAATCATTTTCTCACAACTTCATTCTCTTTCTCTTCAAGAAAATGAATGAGACTTTTTTCAATCTTGCAAAAATGTCTAAATTTCGAGAAAAGTCATTCATACTCTGCCATACATTATGAACAGGCCCTCCTAAAATACTTGTTGTGGAAAGATGTGAACTTCCTAGTGTGACAACTGACTATGCAGCTCACTTGGTGGATTACTCCTTTAACCCAAACCTTCAGTGTCAAATGTTGATGTCTACTACTCTGAAAAAGAGGAAGCAAAATGGACCGTATATTTGTGATGAAACTGGCATTGTTCATAGCTGTTGGACGATAGCAAGCTGAGCATGTTTTCCTGATATCAGCAGAGTTTGGGTTGACCCGTCTAGATGGCAAAGTTAAGTATTATTATTGTCTACAAGCCACTGTTTTAAGTTTACACATATCAAAACTAATTATCTAATTTAGAGGTCAACCGATTAGTCTTTCAACGTGGATACCAATCGTGAGAGAGCGGGTTGGTCAGTGGTGGATATATGATGCCGATACTACGTTGTTAAACTGAGAAACAGTATTACTGAACTTCAGTAACTGTCTTATTTATTATGTAATCATAACATTTAATCAGCCTATCGATGAATCGGTCTACCTCTAATAAAAATAGTATTTCACAAGTTTCACAACAGTACCAGCAGTACAGTAAAGCTTTTATGTGCGCTGTAACACACCTACTTCCTGATGAAATATTTCCTAGTTGTTGTTTAGTTTAGTCATGTGCATTTCATGTGGTCTGATAGGAGAAGGTCCTCTGTTTCCTTTGTCCGGAGTTTGTAGAAGTCTGTATGTTTGAACAGGTGTGGGCTCACGTGTCCTTTAACCCAGCTCACTGAATTTCACTCGGGATTGTGGTGAAGGGTGTGACAGGCCCCAGAGACGACTGATCAACCTGTCTGCACTGGTCCACACTGTTGTGTTGATAATGTTACCGCCTATTTGCATTTGATTGTCGGGATGGGGCAGGGCTCCATGTAAGGATGAGCAGCTGGCTGACTGGTCACTGCACACACTCATGTGACGCTGCTATTTCTAGCCAAATCATTCCTCCTCTCTCCTGCCTTTAGCAACAAGAGCGAGTGCCGGATATGTGACACCTCAGAAAGCAGCGAGGCTGGAAGGTAGAGGCAGTTTGACAGATAGAGTCCAGTGGCTTCTATTCAGAGGCCACCTTGCTGGGTGGCAACCTGCAAGGTGGAACAATGGCATGTAGAAAGGTTAATGATTGAGTTCAAGATAAGAGAGGAGTAGAGGTTTGTGCTCCCAGCAGTGGGGTCGACTTTTCCCGCTGCAGCCACCAGTTTGTCAATTGTCCTGTCGTGTTTTCACATTTTTCACTTGACTCAAAATAAACACATCTGTCATGCCAGCTGACACAGTGTCAAGGGATCGGGGGGGATGCTGTTGTGTCATTTTGACATAGAAACAGGAGAGCGTGGGTCGCTTCGTTTTGCTCTTCAGTCAGAAATAAAACCACTCGAGCCAGAACCTTGCCAGCGTGCTTGTTATTTTAAACATCTGGTAATGTTAAGCAACTTGTTTTTTTCTCAGTTCGCTGTTCTGTGGCAGTACCCAGTTTGATTGATGGGGTGAAGGTAACTGCTGCACATACTCTCACCTTCTCATGGTACTTGGTTTCAAGCTGGGTTTGACATCATCATGAAGTCTCCATGTCAGTACATGACTGGTAGGATTTACCCGCTAAACATTTTCCCTGTGTTTGTATACTGTTTGTTTAATTACACGACAGAGGGACTAGTATTATGTATTACTGGTTATAAGGTCCTCCAAAAGTATGTCCTTAAGTGTCAAAGTTATTACAGTAACATGCTGCAGGCTGCAGGTTGATAATTAACTTTGTTTTATCCCTCTGTGACATTTAATTGTACGGTGCCACCATAGTGACTACTTATATGACGTCTTCACAGAATTAATTAATTATGTTTCAACAAGCTGGGAGTGCCTACTGTAGTATTATAGGCAACTGTTCCCCTTAAAATGAAGATTTAATCACAGTAATCAAACTGACTGGAGGTTATGATTACTGATTTTATACAGGTCTCGCTGCCCTCTGATTTAATAACGCTGGATTGTATAATTGTCCCTCTTATGATCTATGGTAAACCAAACATAGAAATGAGAACTGTTTTGGAACAGAGCCTGGAAAAAGCACTGGCACCAAAAATACCTCTGTACTACAGGGAACCCTAGGGAAAGCACTGAAAGTGGAGTGTACGCGAAATAAACTGCTCCTGTCCTTGAGGAAAGATGCTTTTATAGGGTAAAGTCAGGCCACTAAACTATGGGGGACGAGGATTAAATATCATAGAAAATCTTCAGGGTTCCCTTTACTGAACAGGCGTTGACATCGTCATAATGTCTCACACATTCCAGCCCGGCTATAGCTCCGGGGTAAGTGACCTCCCATCGCTGGGGGTAATGCTGAGAAGGCTTACCCAGCCTCAGCCTGATCTGTAGTCAACAAACCTGTCAACATGATCTTTACGCATAAACACTTCGGTTTGTTTCCTGCTTGCAAAATATATGATGGGGCACATATTTTCCTGTTACCTAAGGCTGGAGGAACAATTGTTATCATTCAAGCTGAGTATGAGTATGTTTATGCAGTTTATTAATGATCAAGAGGATGGTACATCTCTTTTTGCAAGGTACAGGTTTTAGGGTGAATAGAGACTGAGTCTGAATTTCCCATTTGGCCTCTATTAGAAGTTTTACAGTACTTTCAAATGCAATCCTGACCTATTGTTGTTATTTATCTTCACTGCAAATCAATATGAATCGCACCGGTGAACACTGATGACCCAAAAAACAACACGGATGTTTATAAAAGATGTTATTCTTCTAATGTCACACTCTCTCACTCCAAATTTAACACATCAAGAAAGTCTCTTCTTTTCTGCTTTCTCTTTCTCATGAAACACAAGCTGCTCCACTTTGCACGCTCCCCAGAGGCCTCCTGAAATTCTGTTGCAGGGACTGGATATGCAGAGATTTTCTGTTCTTGTCGATGTTGCATCAGTGTTTCTGGTTTTTATTACATCGAAGTATAAAGTTATTGTCTGTTGATGCTCTGTGCAATCATATCTTGTTAGATGAACGAGTAACCCAGACCCGATCATGTATTCATTTAAAGACAGTGACAATTCTGATCACAACCTTGATACACACCGTTATTGGCCAGAGTTTATAGTTAGATTTTCCCTCAAATGGTTCTGCATATCAATAGAGATAGTGCTGATGGGTTTTGTTCTAGTGCAGCTTTATCTGGCTCTTCATTATGTTCTTTTTGCGCAGGAGCGGGAGAGGCAAATTGAAAGTTGGAGTGGAGAGGATTCATCTATCTACAGACATAAATTGAACTCTTCACACTCACTCCTGCTATAATGGACCTATGTTTCTCAGGACGGCTTTGGCTTTTATAAAGTCATGTCAGGGGAAAAATAAAATATACAATTAGATTTAAAATAGTGGATCACTGTAGTGGGGGGCAACTCTGTGTGTGTGTGTGTGTGTGTGTGTGTGTGTGTGTGTGTGTGTGTGTGTGTGTGTGTGTGTGTGTGTGTGTGTGTGTGTGTGTGTGTGTGTGTGTGTGTGTGTGTGTGTGTGTGTCAGCAAGTTTTCAAGAAAGACTCCTGCAGCCCACAGCACACAGGAGGTGCAGTGAGACAGACTAAAAGAGACAGCGGTAACCTCTAGCTGTGACAGCAGCAGTACATGAAGTGTTTAGGCTTGAAGTGGCCTAGTGGAAATACCTGTGTTTAAAGGGCACGTGATAAAAAGAGGATCTGAGCTTCACTGTGCCCCCTCCTGGCTGAGCAAGACGGTGTCCCGATTTGGAGCGATGGGCGGAAAAGTCTCTTGAATATGATTTATCCCAGCAAGATCAGAGGTGACCCTCCTCCTCATCTACCCCTCCATCACCGGAACACAAACAGACCACTTGTCACTCTGAGTTTCCTTCATTGTCGAGCATGCTGTGACAGCATTCAAAGACGCAACAAGCAGCACATGCCGAGAAGCCTCAAACAATGCTGTCCCCAAACTACCTCCTCCATTATTTTGAAATGTCTTTTGATTGATTGAGATTTCTGGGACATTTCTACACAGCTCAGGTGTCGCTACACAAGCTCTTCTGTTTAAAGAGTGTTTGTTGACTACAGGAACACAAAAGAAGACACGCATACTTTTCTATATATAATTCTCTGTGTGTAGCATGGGTGTAGCATGGATTGCAAAAGCAAGCAACCCTCCTGTTCCTTCAGAGTAGAATTTGTGTGTGCGCACCATGTGCTGAAAGTGTGCAACACAAACAGCAAACATGTGATAGATAACACTGGTCACACAGCACGCACTGTGTAATTTTAAGATTAACTCATTCATGCTCCAGAGGTAGTCGTAGCAGTCAGAGCAGCACGGCGCTAACTCTCCTGTCAGGCGGTGTTTTGACTTTGTTTTTTGGGTACAAGATGATTTGTTTCACTCTCAGGATTCTTCAGTTCTTGGTGAATATTTGGGGTATTGATGCACCACCTTTACAAACATCGTAGGTATGTAGGGGAAATATCTTCCCTGCAGGAATTACAACACACAGCTGATCTCCTGTGGTGAGGACACGCTGCGCTGAATCCCCAGCAGATTACCCTCTCCAGTATTGTTTTTAAATTCAACCAGCTTCACTTCTTCTCCTTTTCTCAGATTTTGAAGGCTGCTGCCAAAATAACCGGGTTTCATCATCATTATTTAAACATGACTTTTCGCTTTGGAGAGGATAAGCTTTTTGTGTTTACATGATTTATAATAAACAAAACAGATTTCTCTGGATTGTTATGAAATCTGACTACAGATTGAGTTCCCCGTTTTTATTTCAGTGTCATCTTTTCTGTATAAAATCAAATGCTTATAAATAAACGTCTCCCCTTGCAAGACCCCTTGATGCGATTAAGGCCTACTGCTAAAGTCGTCATGTGAAATTCTCCTTCCTGTTTTGACCGCTCTAAGTGCCATTCTTGAAACTTTTTATGCGGCTGCAGCTTATGCTAGCAGCACGTTTTTCAGTATTACTCTTAGTTTTCACCTAGAATAACAGTGCCGGGGTAATCCGCTGACTCACTGACTTGAAGGCCTAATCCAGCCAGCCTCGTGTCTTTTCTTCCGCCGAGTATAGACCGAGGTTAAACCTACACCCAATTCTTTGTGAGCGCGTGTGTCTGTGTGTGTGTGTGTGTTTGTGTGCATACATATGTAAGCCTAGCATTCCTGCAAAGTGGTGGCAGAGAAAAGGACTCCATGTCCTCCCACCGTCGCCAAGTCTCCCACTACGTGCGCACAGCAGCAGGTCTAATCAAAGCACTCCATAATACTGTTAGCTGGGTCATGTGCTGGAAGCCAGGATTAAGAGCAGGAGGGCACAGGCCACTAGATCCAGCTTAGGAGGGAGCGCTCTCCCTCTTTTTCTTTCTCTTTCTCCCTCTGTCTCCCCCGTCTCTCTCTCTCTCTCTTCCCCTTGTTATGCTCATCTTTTAACCATTGTGACTCATAATTGTCGGTAATTCTATTGTAACACGAGAGTTTAATGGATGAAGTGTGGGGTTTTCCTGAACTGCACAGAATCCACAGTTCAACCATTAACTTGTTTATTTCTACTTTCCTGAAATGAAGAGTTCAGACTCCGGCACAGAGATCTGATGTCCACACCCCTGCGGATACTTAAAACTCTGTTTATGAGTCTGATTGTGTCCCCCTTTGACCTTCTACCACCTGGTACTCTGCATACTGGACACAAGCGCTCAACTTTCCTAGACAGCTCGTACTTTGAAGACCTTCACTCATACATGACTGTAAAGGCTTTTTTTAGATGTCTGGTCATCATTTCAGAATAAAATAAAACTATTCTTCAGATTAAAGCTTAGAAGATGAAGATATACTAGTGGATGGACGCTTTTTAATTGGCTCTTAAGATCTCTGGTTCAAGATTTAATTGGTTTGCTGAGGGGCTGACAAAAAGGCGACACCGTGCATTCATCCTCATTTGAGTTGATGTAACTAAAACTGATATTAATGAAGCTGTCACTTCTCTTTTCTTACAGTCTCTTGCACTTTCAGCGTTCTGTTTTCAGCTCTCCTAATACCGGCACCCACTTTGCCCCAGTAACACATTTTAATACCTCAGAGCATGCCAACGCTAGATTATCAGTCTCAGCAGTTGAGAGAGAGGTGGGGAGGTTAGAGGTCCTGGCCGTGTTTTTGCGAGAACAGAGCCAGATCAACATTTCTCTGCGTCCACAACCAAGATGAGGAAAGATCCCGAGGGCTAAGCAGAAGAGGAACAAGGGGTTAAGGACAGGGGCGAAGGGGACAGGCTTAGCTATTGGGTACCTACGCTGATACGTGGAGAGAACTGGAACTGTCCGGCTGAAGCTGAGCGTGGGAGGGGCGGGGGGGGCGGGGGAGGCTGAGAGAGGAGAGGGGAAACAGAGGAAGGGTCAAGAGTAAGATGACTCCCACACTCAGGAACATCGAGACAGGTGGCAGAAAGAGAAGAAAGCGGGAGTGCAATCTCAAGAAAGCCACAATTGTTGGTGAGTACTGAGCCTAACTGTGCCAGTAATGAATGATGTGAATGCTAGCCAAACACAATCGGGCCCCCTTACTGTTAGTAATAAAGTAGCTGGCTCTATTTTCATCGTTGAGGCACATTTTGATTGGTCAATTAGGATCCCTGTTGTGAGCTGGGGTTATTCTGAGAGATGACTAATAGTTTCTGCCGGGCTAAAAGCTTTATTTCAGTCTTTCATCCTTTGTGTTGCTGCACTTTTAACATTAGTGGTTTTTACGCTCAGTGTGTTTGTGATTGTCAGTTGGACTTTTTCCATGAAACTGCTTCAATGCCTGCGTTTATTAACTCAATAACAGGACAAGACTACTTGTTGGATTGTCTCTTAATTTTTATGACCAGTGCATGGCTGTGAATTAGTCTCTTTGTTGAGTGGTGTCGAGTGTGTCTGCCTCGCTTACTTAAATCAGGGAGGAGTCACTTTAGTCACTTTGCCGTTTCAGGCTGAGGGAGTCAAACTCGTGTACGACCTCCACTGAAACCAGAGAGAGCTGACCTTAAACAAGCATTTAAACTTTAGGCTTACTAAACAAGGAGAGCCAGAGGGGGCTCAATTGTTTGCTGTTGTAACGCGGCCTGTTTTAGTGTTGCTAAAGGCTCAGTTACTTATTCAATCTATGGAGAGGGTGACTTTCACCGCAATTTGTCATCACTCTGTAAACGATTGCAGACAGCTCACCCAGCCATGTAACGTGACAATGTTTCAGTGCAGAGACTGATAAATTATGTGTTATGGATTAGTCGGTGATGAATTGGTTTGCCAGGATGTCATTCGAAACCAAAAAGGGGAAGTTGGGAATTCGAGGAAGAAATCGTAGAGGGAGCTGCAGAAAACTGGTAGCTGCTTGAAATGTTTGCAGGAGTAGGCTGAGGACAACAATAACAGTTTTGAAATGCACATCTCTGCCTCAGACCAAACAGCGCAGACATCATGTTCATACAAGAAAAGGAGAATCTACGACAAGAAAAAAGCAGCAGCTGTTTCTTTTGTTTATACATTTCACCATAAACTGATCACTGTTTCTTTGTGGCTCATTTTTCACCTTGTAATCCAGATGATCAGGTTGTGATCTGATGTCCATAGATGACTCTGAGTGACTTATTGCTGTTGGTAGTTTCGTTTGTCTCTGTCCTGAATAGTTGGAAAGTGCTTATGACACCAAACCCATTCAGTGTGTTGAATAATGACGACTGTGCCAATTTTCATCAGTTTGAATCTGGCATGAAAGCAGCTACCGAAATTACATCAAAACTCCTAAAGGTCTCACATGCCGTCAGACTGTGTGCCAAATCCCCCCAGAAAGCAATGCACACAATGGTGTAACTAAGTCAATACCAATAAACAATAAAAATCGGCCTCCACTGGCAGATACAAACATTATTTTTTATACATACATATTTTTTATGTTTTATATTCTATTTTTTATGGAAGTAAAGTGTAGTCTATGCACACCAGAGGATGGAGAGGCTTCGATTTATGTGTTAATATTCTACTCTATTCTCTTAACATACAAAAAGCTATCTGTATTGAGCCTTATCCATTTCATGTCAACCAGAGCATCTTGTGCCTGCAATAAAACAAAATAAAGCCTTCATGTGGTCCATCTGTCTGCGGTGGGACTCGTGTCACTGATGCTGCAGTGAGTGTGTTAAGATCTCACCAGGCAGGAAAGTACCTGTGACTCTAAATACTGTCCCAAATAGGTCATTATCTGATGAAATCTTTGGTCTCCTACCTCAGACAAAGAGGGGTCATTAAGGGCTGTGAATATAGTCATTTCTGGCATTAATTGCTTTAGCTTTGGGTGGTGTGTCAGTTAACTGTACAGTTCTCAAATCATCACGAAAGCTAGCGCTGCCATAGTTATGGCAAAGCAACATGGTGAGTGAAATAGAGAAATGTTAAGGCAAGGTTAGTGCAACATAAATATCAAAAGACTGTAACTTTCACCGATAAAAACAAACCTTAAATGGCGCGCTTATATGATGAGTAGTCTGTCTTGCATTTCTGTCGCTTTATTTCCCTTATTGTAAATCTGAGCTTTTATTTTGAAAAGTAAACTACTTCCAGTAAGTGGTTTATAAGTGTATAAGTTTATAAATATATGAATGCAGAATTTATGAGTAAAAACAAAAGGCAGAAAGACACAAGCTGTAATTTTGCTATTAGGTCGAAAACAAATCATGTAATTTCAGTTTTTGAAAGTGCCGAGTCATCCAAGGTGAGTTGCTGTAAGCTAGTTCACAGACATGCTGAATGACGTGCGGCAAACCAGCGTTGAGAACAACAGCTATGAACTCATAGTATCTCAGTTTGATAGTGCTAGCACAATATCATTTTTTTAGTGTTTTAATAAAGACGTTACGATCAACGTGCTGTGAACATGTTTTTCCAAATTGCAGTTGTGTTCTCCTTTGAAATAGTGAGAAACAAAAACACTGTTGTTACTCTCTGTTTGTTGTGGTTGAGCTTGTTTTTCCTACAGTTTTTACAGATATTTTCAGTATTTGGCCGATATATTAACCCTTCATTTTACAGAGGGCCAATAAAATTGATGTATAATTGATGTATTAATCCCTCTGAGTTTTAGTTTTTTGCATCACTTTGTCTCACCTTTTGTCCCGCCTATGACACTACTCTGATAGGGATGGGAGAAAAAATTGATACAGCATAGAATCGCGATATTTTGTCTGGTGATATCGTAGCGTCTCATTTACCAAGTATCAATTTTTTTCAAAATAATTGTTAATGTGAAGTCAAATGTATGGTAATGGAAAAATAAAATCAACTGTTTGTCCAGCGAGGTTGGCAGTGACATCATAGAGAAGGAGAAAGTTAGTACAACAAATATATATGTGCTACATGATAATAAGACAGCGTAAATGAGACAAACAGAAAGGAAAGACAAATGCTAAATTAGCTTAACAGTTAAAAAAAAATGTATAAATCGCAATATATTGTATGACAGTACTCACTGTATTGTAAAATGTTAAAAATCACAATAATTTCGTATTGACTCATATTGTGGCCCAAGTATCGTGATAATATCGTATCGTGGGGCCACTGGTGGTTACTATCTGATTGGTTAGACTTCAGTTGTTTATTGTACATGATGTTGAAATTTTTTGTTATTTTTACAGTCTACACATATTGATTCCAAATATTTGTTATGGGCCTCATAATCAGTGTTGGTATCAGTGCTGAAAACCAATATTGATTGAACCTCGGATTGCACACTGCTTTCTGCAGTGATGGAATGTGCCAGTTTGTGAATGAGTAAATAAGAGCAGCTTTTACTAATTAATCTGATAAAATTGTATCAGAGGATAAAGAATAAAATGTTTACTTTATCGGCCCAATATACATGATATCATGAAATCATACAGCATGAGCTTTAGAGAGGTTGCTGCCCTGGATGTTTGACTGCAGCTTTGGCTGAGACTTCAGTGATGGCAGGAGGGTTATCACTCATCACTAGCAGGTAAAACCAAGCAAAAAATTATTGATTTAGCTGCAGCCCCTCATTACTTTTTGACAGATTGCCCCTGTGCTTGTAATGGCTTTCAGTTGCTGACTGAAGGATTACCAAAGTAACTCGCCTCTTGACAACCTGACTGAGTGCTGCAATGCAGAGCCATGAATGTGGAGAGAAAATGGAAGGAATGAGAGGATTTATGGAAATGTGCGCGAGGAGCTTTTGAAGATGGTGTTGAGAACGACATGCTCTTTGCAGTCATGCGCGCGGTTGTTGTCATTCTTGAGCAACCCCCCTCCTGCCCGTGGAGGCTGACTGATCTCAACACTGCACAGAGTGTACAGTATGTGTGTATGTGTGTGTTTTGGTTTTGGAGACAGCGCCTCCCTGCTGTGAAGCACAGAGTTGGAGGCAGCAGGTGCAGCTGACGCAGACAGGCTTTTAGCGGGCAGGGACCAGTTGAGGGACAGAAAAGGAGAGAATGAGTGAGAGACTACAGAGAGGAAACCACAGGAACTCAGACAAACACAGAGTCGGACCGCTGAACTGTACTGGACAAATGAGTTTATCGCTCCTTTTCTGGTGCTGGAACAGTATGTGAGTACAGACAGAACAGAACCTGAGCTTATTTTCTATGCTGTACGTGAGTATTGAGTGTTTTTCTTTATGATAACAGTGCTAAGATAGTGTGGAGGTTAAGTAAGAAGCTGTACGACTGGATTGTGACAGACAGGTGTTTTGTGATTTAACCAAATCTCTGGAAAAAGTGTATTAAAAACTCTAAGGATGGCATCATTTAAGAGCCAAGATTATCATAGTTTTGAGAGAAAAAAAACTCCAGAAATCTTCAACTCACTTTTTTCCCTCTTGCTTCTGGGACTGGGTTTCGTCTTGTCCTGCTTCTTGTAGCATTATCAGTGAGTGTCAAGTAACTGCTGACGAGTACATGGTCAGCAGTAAGCCTGCATTGACTCCGCTCTGTGCGCTTCATTGTGACGGCATGAGCTCCCATCTCTGCCTGTTGAGACCGAGCGGCATAAAAGGCAGACTGTTCAGCACGTCTTTTCAAAAGGGACAATTGTGGCAGAGAAAGTGACGGGCGGATCGGAGCCAAATACAGTGTTGAGACGGTGTGCTGCCAAGAAAAATGGCCAAACTCTACCAGCTGGTTTGCAACAGGCATCTTAGGTGGTCGTCAAACTGAAAGATTGTTATTGAAGTTTGTCACACTGTGGTTTTCAGATTTCAAACATGAATCAGTGTTGAGTTAGAAAATGAGCAGCTCGTATTGATCTTTCTAAAGCCTGCTTCATACTGATGTCCAGGGGAATGCTGCTGCTCCGAATGCCCTTGATCAGTGCATGCTTTTCTCCGGCTGTAAACCACATCCACGCACAGCCTCTCCTCCCTCTTGTCGGTTTTCCTTCTCTGCCGTCATTGGCTGCCTCCTCTCCATCTGTCCATCCTCTCCGCACGCAGACAGCCAGTAAGCGGTGCACCTCAGCCCTTCTGACGTTCGTTATTGGCCGGCGTGTGATGTGAATGCGGATACTCTCCTTTAAGAGGCAGTCTAGACTCTCTCTCTTTCTCTCTCTCTCTCTTCCTCTCTTTCTTTCTCTCTCTCCTGCAACACCACCACAACCTGCTGATTTCTCACTCAGCTTCTCTCGCTCCCTCTTTTCTTTTCACTCCTCCTCTCCTCCTGTCGTCAGCTCTTCTTTCATATTTTCCCCCATCAATCACATGCCCACCGCCGTCTCTTTGCCACACTGAATTATCACCCTACCGTTTGTGATCCTCCTCATTTTGTCTTTGACTTTCATTCATCTCCACCACTCTCTCACCTTCCACTGATGTGAGGAGATACGAAGGTGAGTGGAGTTGATTTCCAAAGCCTTTTTGTCTCGGCTGTTATCCTCTGAACCATATCTGTCTGCTTTTTTAACTTTAAGAACCCCTCTCCTAGCTGTGAGCATCCTGTGTCCTTGGAGGACTGCAGCTGCGTATGCTTCAGGTGTAACAATTAGTCGGCACGTGTAGGATGCTGCCATGAGTCATCATCTGACGCTGCATGTATATTCTTCCCGCGTGTCCCTGGAGAAGGAGGGCTAGTTAAAGAGAAGAGAGGAGGGGGGGAGTGGAGTTGAATGAGTGCGTGGATTGTGCAGCCGCGTGTCAATGCAGACTGTAGCTCGTGACACAGTGTTTCGCACCAGCTGTGGCTGTGCTGCAGTGGCATCTCTGGCAGATTAATGAGCACTGTGGAGCAGCGAACAGTTCGAGAAGTGATCACTGTAAGTAGTTTAAACACCGCTTTCTCCTCACAGTCACGGCACACAACATGTGCTTCCAGAGGTCAGTGCTGTAGCAGGTAAAACAGCGCTCGGGCTGTGATGGAGCTGTATAGTTAAAATCGTCATCTGCTAATTCTCAAAACAGGTTCATATTCAGCACACGGGAGCAACACTTTGTCCTATTAGTCTTGAATTTGTCCTCTAGACATCAGCTCCAGACAGGATACAGTTCCAGACCTAATTCAGTCCTATCTCCCCTGTTGTGGGGCTCCTTTTTGTGTCATCGTCCTCATTATATGAACTGTTTGCCACCTGACACCCACAGGAAGACATTGTCTGCCAGAAATAATCCTCAAGAGCACGTCGCCTCAGACTTTGTCTGATTTTTCCTCCTTCAAGTGTGAAGGTGGCTGCAGTGGTTCATTTTAAGCTCTGTATTAGATGCTGAATGGTAAATGGGTTTCATTTATTCTCTGCTTTTTTTTTTGCCTCAGCTGAAACAAGGCTCTAAAAACTGACCTCAATGCTGCCTTGTCAAGTGCTGACCTGCCTACTGGGAGCAATTTAGGGGTCAATGCTTTTGACATGAAGACTGGAGGAGCAAGAGATCATGTTTCCAACGACCAATCAACATCCTGAGAATAAAATTCAAAAGCATCAAGGAAAAAGCAAAATAAGAGAAGATCAGAAGACAGAAAAAGAGATATTTAAGATTGGAAAGATGCTGAAAGTGAATATTTATTTCTTGTAAATTGTAAGTAGATATATCGAGCCTTTGTCTGCCATCTTTGAGGCCCCAGGAGATAGGTTGTTCAAAGTGGTTACAGTTTATAAAACCAGTTCAAATTGGCATCAATTCAACAACCACAAATTGAAATTCTCAAAATCCTTCAGCAGAATAGTTCACGCTCAGACACTGCTCCTCAGTCCAAAGTCAAAGCCGTGCTTTCTTCCTGGTGTTATGAAATATAATGAGAGTGAACAACAGCAATCACTTGGACAGCGCCCACATCCTTGGTGGTCTCATCTTCAGCACCTTGGACAGCGGTCGGGATAAACACGGTCCAGAATATCACCTAATATCGAAAAATGAAGGATGTTCAAAAACATAAATTAGCCGACCTTCTGAAACGTCAACAGCAAGGCTGAATTTGGTTGTGTTTGGTCTTGTTGTGATCTAGCAGCCAAAGGATTCATTATCAGTCTTTTAATCTTTTAGTAGCTGATACACCAAAGAAGCATTTTAGTGATGATAACATTTGACAGAAATCATTAACAGAGTTTGTCTCCATTCAACTGAGTATCATTCCAAACATGTCCTTGAAAATGTTGAGCAAACACTCTTACTACAGGTTTCCAAATTGAATTCAGAGTCAGGTCTCCTGTGTGTGTTTCCCCATTGCAGTGATCAGTGAAACAGCAACATAATCATGCAGCGCATTCTTACCCTCGTAGCAAAAGCAATTATGATCACCGACTTTGCTGTTGAGTCTCCATTATGACTCTGCTGCCTCTGCTTGTTTGCTTATTAAATGGTACTTTTATGTGGCGAACTCGTTGAAGGTAAATTAGACAGCATTCTGGTCACGGACATCATTGCCGTTGGTTCGGACAAACGGAGAGGAAGAAAAACTGACAACCTTCACTCATGTTGCATAACATGTTACGCAACTACGTTTTTTTTTTTTTTCTGTTAACTTGTGAAGATTTGATCGAGTCTTTTTGCCTTTTCAAAGTTTCAAGGTCCCAGTGACTCACTCGATTGAGTCCCGTTCCCTGAGATGGCGAGGATTCCTCTTATACCGCCAGCCTATTTGTTAGGAATCCATTTCATGTGAGCTTCGTTACGCATTCATTGCACGGGCATAAATCTGAAACTCAATCTTTGGCACAGGCTGTATTCTCTGAGTGGTTACTGTATGTACGGATCAATTTATGTAGCGAGTCGTGGCAGGGTTGTTGACTTATTATTCAAGGTCACAGGGTTATATGCCTCTTCTTCTGTGGGAATGTTTAAACATGCTCAGGCTGTGTTTTCTACGGGAAAACTGCTAAACATGAGGAGATGATCTTACAGCTGACAAACCAGATACTGAAAGCAGCACTCCTGGGATTGGGAGTTACAAAGCACCAACCTTTATCTGACACTGTCCCACATTTTAGGGTCCATTTTGGGTCAAGTCCATTTGTTGGAGCTCAAGTACGTCCTTTGTTTCTGCAGGCACTACATCGTGATGCTCAGTCGTGTGTGAATGAAGCAGACATAGTTTGTTGAATTTTGTGTCCTCGCTTCTTTAAAAGCAGTAGGATAATTAAAAAGTTTCCTGATATTTCCAAACACATTCCTCTGTAATGGTAATGAAAAGTTCTGCTGCTGGCCCTCGGGTCACTGAAGTTTCCCTGCAGTGAGTTGCTCCCTGGATGCCCTCTGCTACTTAATACTGAGAGAGTGTCTCATGTGGAGAATGAATATTCCCACAGGCATTAAGCAAAGTTTAGCTTATTATCCGTACCATCTTATTATTCTAAATCTGGAGGTTTTAGAGATGCTTAAACTAAAAGCAGAACCATTTAAAAGAGACATTAATTTCCTCTGGACAGAGAAAACCATCAAACCCAAAGTTTCACAGATTATTAGACTTAAGGTTCTCTTACATATGAGTGTCTAATTGGCCTCTGGGCCCTCATGCAGTTATTCCGGGTATTACTTCATTAACTGACTGTATCCTGTAACCATGACTAAAGCTATTAAAGCTAAAGCACATCATATTTCAACATTCCCCTCAGATGAGAAGAGTTTTTTATGTTTTGGAGTCAAAGGAGAGCACTTTGAATCCCCTCTGTAGCGCAGCAGTCAGTAAGAGTACTACACACGTCACCGCCTGACTCTGGTACTGTGAAAGTTCCAACCGGGGGAGAAAATAGTTTTTATGTGCACAACTGGGAGCGCTGGTATGTGAGCTGGTGTTTCATGTGCCACAGTCCGATGAGTTTTCAAACGGTCAAAGCGTCAGCTGCAGCTGTCATCATGAGTTTCCACGTGCAGAAAGTTGTAGACCTGATTGGAAAAGACCTTTTACTTGTGTACACCACAGACTCTATAAAACCAGGATGCAGTCTCAGTGACATTGCTTGTTGCTTTTTGATGAGGTGTTTTAAAGCCTAACAAATGCTGTCAGCCTTAAACAATGTTGGCTCAACTGTCAGTCATCCTGAACACAGGCAAACAGCTGAAACACGTCCATCGTGCTCCTGATTATGCAGATTTATACCATGTGCTACAAGCATGATGGATGCTTTATCAAAAAAGACAAAAATCAAACTGCAGCTTTTAGCGCTTATGCATCATCCTCATTTCTCAAGACATGAAGTCATCCCCTGAACTCATTGGGCTTTTAGCATAGACTGTGTATAGAATGGACGCTGTCTGCCTCCTGAAGCCAATGTGAGAACAGCACCCTCTGGTGATGGGCTGCAGTATAGGTCATAAATCCTTAACCAACGAGCAATCCCTATGGAGCTGTGGACAAACTTTAAAAATATATTACACAGAACATACATTTTTTTCCCCCCTGCTTGCGATGTTGATATATAGTTACTGTAAGACTGGTTTGTGCTCAAGTCCTCTTTTTTCTGTACAGCTCTGTTTTTAAAAGTTATAAAGGGGTTTTCTATGATTGACACTTGAAACAGCCTATGGGCGTACAAGGATTGCGTAGCTCGACTGGGGGATACGCTGTTTGAACCAAGCGACATCACAGCGACTCTTGGAGACTCTCCCGCTGAATGCGTATGACGCTACTGCATCAGTGGTGGAGTGCGTACAACGCTACTGTGCAATGTTGGTTTCAGGAAGTGGAGAAAAACCCGTAAATACGGAGAACTTTTTGGCTTCAAATCCGTATGCTGGCGGAAGGCGGAACCAAGTTGTCCATAGTATATACAGTCTATGATCTTTAAGAGACAACCTCTTGTGGGCACTTGAGGAGCTGCAGTTGTAGCCCCGCCCACAGTGGCTTCTCTTTTCAGCAGGTTAATTTGCATGCCCCCCCATCTTTCCCATGCTCAAGCACAGTTAGAGATTTTAAAGTAGTTTAAAGATGGACTACAGTGTTTACTACGGCGACTTGTTTGAGTGCAGCACAGACCGTCTCCTGTCATGATAGTGAGTCTGTTTCTGCACACTGGAGGTCCATGTTTAACTTTGTGGTCCTCCTGTGGCGGAGGGATTCCCCACCTTAAACATTTGTGCAGCTCCTAGAGTGAGGCCTCCTCCTGTCAACACACTGACTGTTTAACCTGTTATTTAAACAGCACTTCTCAAAGGTGCTTTAGAGGGTTTTGAAGAGCACATTTGATCCTAATTCACATGGTAACCTTTAAGTTTACTTCCTGAATACATAAAGACTGAATGTGTCTCTTTAATGAATCTGACTTTTGTAGCACTTAAGGAATCCAATCGTGGCTTTAACTGGTATATTAAGTCATGAATAATTGACTCTGTTGACTTTTAGCAGCACCACTTTTCCTGATGGACATGAGCTGATAGTCGACACACTGAAGTCACAAACCCTGGAGTCTCTGTCTGAAAATTTAAGTCCAGAGGCACTGATCCTCCGCTCTGATCCTTCACGCTGATCTGTCTCGGCTGAGAAGAGAATGTGCCTTCAGGGATCAGTAAAATATCACATACATTTTAGACAGTCTCTGTCAGATTTTGCACTCGCTGAGCTTTCTTTCATTGGAAAAAAAAAAAAGGAAATGTTTTTTAACTCTGAGCGAAAAATACCTTTTACTGTCTGCTGACTCATGGAGGTCCTGGAGGGGACCTGATCAAGAGACAAGTTATTATCATCCTTGTAAAGTGTGTGTTGTGGTTCAACAAAGGACAAAGGATAGCTGTTTGTGACCTCAACTGTTCCAGATGTTGGTCGGGGGGGGGGAGATAAGTTGCCGCAGGCTATTTAGAAAGGAGCTGCCTGCCCCCACGCGATGTGGAGCTCACAGTCCGTTCCTGCCCAGAGAATGGCCCCAAAGCTGTTTTGATTTAATGCTCCCCATTAACAATTGGCTTAACCATAGAGGGGAAAAGTGCTGCCATTAACTGGGACGACATGACTTTGATGATGAGGCACAGACAAAAGACGAAGAGGAAAAAGAGCCCTGATTAAGTCATTTGTGGTGGAGAGGTTTCTCAGGGACCACCAGAGGCTGCAGTGTTGGTGGCCTCAACATCATTATCATCATTGTTGTTGGGATGTAAAAATGACTTCTTTACATACAGTCAGGAAACATGGCATCTGTGCTTACAGGCTGTTTTGTTGGGTTAAGTCATTGTACTGAATTATAATTTTTAAAAAAAAGTGAACCAAGGCTGCACGATATTGGAAAAAACTAACATTGCGATTTTTTTCAACCCTGCGATATATATTGCGATATTAAAAAATACAGGAATTTTCACCAGATGACCTGAATAGTACTTGATGCAATGCTGCACTGCTGAAATCTTGAGGGCAGTTAACCTGCTCTGATCTTACCTCTTTTTGTGAATGTTAGTAGAATGGCTTCTGTCTGTCTCAGAGATATTTTTAGCTTTTATTGTGCTGGGACGTTATTGTGGCAACAGATGAACACAGAACACGTGTTTTGGTCGACATCATCCATCTTGTAACCGAAATAATTCCAGATAACTGACTTTCCTTTTCTTTTTGCCAACAAGTCTTCATCTTCTGTGGTTTTCTCTGTTTGTTGCTCAGTTTGCGATTGTTGTTGTTGTTGATAACGGGGTTGAGCTGAGAAACGCATGTCCTCCGAGAATTGCATGCACCTCACAAAACGCGCACTGCTTGTAGTAGAGTGGTCCACGGAAATGTACAATTTAAAACCCATACAGTTCTTATTTGTGGGGCTAAACAGTGATGAAGAATGTTCCGAAAGTAATTCTCAGCGGACACGCGTTTCTCGGCTCAACTCCGGTAGCGCCAGCGATTCACTCCATGTGCAGAACATGTGCAGGGGTGGGTTTCCTCTTCTCTGATTTTGATTGACAGCTGGCAGGGTAGTCTGGTTGGCAACTGAGTAGCACATGCAGAGTCACATGCAGTGTATCTCAGTCAGTTACCCTTGAAATTAGATGAGTTCATTCACCTCCGACATCGCAGGCTCTGCGATGTGACTATCGCACACATGTACATTGTGATGACGATGCTCAAACGTGCAGGCCTAAAGGGAACTCTTAATTTCTTTTAAAGGTTTAGGACGCATCTTCATGAAGCCAAAGTCAGTTCAGTTTTAATTGGTGTACAAAATCTGCAGGCTTGTTCCCATGAGGGCCGTAGAAACCTTCATAGATGTGGTCGCCGTGAAGTAAGTTGCGTGTTTGGATCTCTGTTAAAGAAACATGATTCAAACTTTTATGCAGATTTTTAGGACCCACTAAATGACACAGAAGACCTCTGAGAGGTTTTATGCTTCCAGCTGTAGAAGTTAGTTACCTGGGCCCCAAAAGTGCAGTTTTTCCCTCTCCCACATCACTGCTGATGTTCTTGCTGCATTGCAGTCTTAACATAAATCCTTTCAGTTTTTTTTTATTTTGTACTGCAGCGAATTGTGTCTGAACTTGTTCCTTTGTTACAAAACTTGTGTGTACCTTTGACTGTCACCCGGTGAGTGCAGTGGTTGCAGTCATGCTGAGACCGAAAGAGCAAAGATTAGGAGGATAATGTCATTTGTCACGCAACCCACATCCACCACCAGGCCGTCTACGAAAGTGACTCTTGGTTAACATTTCAGGCTTAATCGCACGCACTCCAGAAAAGTGCTGCGATATCACGATGCCAAACATCTGATATCCTTGATGGTTCAGCCTATCACCAGCTTTCCCTGTCAGTCATCAGTGCCAGTGTTTGAGGTAATCTGCTGACATGAAAACAGTCGATTTTACAGCCAAAGGAGGAGCGGTAAAACAAGAGCAGGTTTGGCAGAGGAGTCTGCCGCCCTGCTGTGTGAGGATAAGGTGTTAATAGTCCACTCTGGCGTTGGAAGCATCGCTCAAATCTCACTCTGGACACCGTGAGCTTTTTATAGCCTCTCTGCTGACAGCAGGCCCTTCGGATCCGCCTGATTTGATTTCTTTGAAGTGCAGGCTGTGATTTCCTATTGTGGCTATCAGAAATGTCCCCAGCTTTCCCCCCCAGCGGTGTGTGCGCTGGAGTGTCTCTCCTATTTCAATCCAAACCAAACCTGCACAGTCATCATTTAATCCCAAACCTCTTCTTTTTCATGTCTTTAATTCTCCTCCTCCTCCTCCCCCCTTTGGCCCCTCCTCTCCTTTTGTTTTAGCTTTTCTAAGGAAGTCACATGGAGGTGTTGTCAGATCCTTGCTGCCGTTGAAGATGAGCGATCATGGCTTATGACACTAATCTGTCTGTGTCTCCTCTCTCTTGTTTTTTCTGCAGGTGAAGGAAGGTGCAGACAGGCTGTCTCACACTAAACTATGGAATGCTCCCTGCACCCACCATCATTAGTCTCCAATCTCTGGACTGAGCTCCAAACGCTTAGTTAGCGGCTGTGCTTCTCCCCTCGAACTCTTTATAACCAGGGGAAGAAGAAAAGGAGCGGGCTTTGATAAGTCCTCCACAAAAAAGCGCACAGAGCACCTCTGTTATTTGATTAGATCTTTAAGCCTCACCGTATTTCTCCGCTTGGATTTTCCTGTGCTGAAATCCCATCAAGATGGATCTGGAACCGTATCTGTGGATGGTGATCACTGGCTTCATCATCGCCTTCATACTGGCCTTCTCAGTGGGAGCCAATGATGTGGCCAACTCCTTTGGCACAGCGGTGGGGTCCGGAGTGGTCACGCTGAGGCAGGCCTGCATCCTGGCATCCATCTTTGAGACCCTGGGCTCCATGCTGCTGGGGGCCAAAGTGGGAGAGACGATTCGGAAGGGCATCATAGACGTCAGCCTGTACAACGAAACGGTGCCCGTGCTCATGGCGGGAGAGGTCAGCGCCATGGTCGGTAAGTCGAAGTGAATTTGACATCTAGTTTATTAACCTGCAGCTGATGCTTTGTGTGTTCAGTGTGTTCAATAGTCACATGACTGTGTGTTCAGTCATGTAGATGTCCCTCCTCTGCTGCTTTGCTTATTCAAATCACTGGAAGGGTAAACCTCATATCGTTTTCAGACTGTTCTGAAAAATGTATCTTCACAGGAGGACTCCTGCTGTGTATCAAACCTAGACGCAGACCTCATAAACAGACTCGCAGAGCCCTGCAATGCCGTAACCAGAGTTCATAATGCAGCAGCCGCTCTCTGTTTGTCCAAACTGTTCCAAAGAAGAGAGGCAGCGCTCATCGCCTCTTCAAATGTTTGAACTCTGAGGTTTTCCTGGAGGGGAAGTCTTCAGCCACATTTCCCCCAATGTGTGTTTGTGGCTCCACATAGGAAACTAAGCTGCTCCGGCTCATAAGCCCTACAGTGTTTATTTATTTTTTCAAGTTTATTGCAGAACGTTGACCATCAATTTTCTAATATAATAATATTTGGGAGATGGTATAAAAAGTTTCAAAACTCTGATGAATCAAAAATGAAACTCATTTTCTGTGAGACACAAGCATGAGCTGTTGAGTAACAATAGCAGCTTTACACATCCATGTAACATTACCTCAGTGAATAAACAGCTGAGGACTGAAAACAATGGAGTTCCCGTCCAGACAATCCTCTCTTTTATCATGCGCTGACTGCGAGGAAGCTCTGATAAATAAGGCCATATTATGAACAGGGGATTCCCATGTGGGTGAAAACTCAGGTGTGGCCGACTAGTTTTCATAATCTTGAACAGGAAGCAGCTTTCACTGGCATATTGTTTACGCAGGATTTCATGGGTTGTTTGGATAAAAGAGGGAAAGACTTTTATTTTGTCTCACAGTTTGTTCTTTTCTCTGGAGTTCTTGCTTTGACCAAGTCTTCCTCAGTACTTTTTATTTAATCAGTGGAGTATTGTGAGATATTTGAATGAAAGTGTTCAGGTTTTTGTGAAACTGTGATGGTTAAGGCTTCTGTGAAGGCTTTTTTGACATTCATATAACAGACTGACATTCAGGTTGAAGACTTTTCATGATACCCAAAAGCAAACAAGGCCATCAGTACGACGGAGTATTAGAGCCACATTGAGAAAAAAAAAATTAAGACTTTGAGATTAAAGTCATTACTAAGGAGAATAAAGTTGTAATAAAATCATTATGGTACTTATGATAATGCGGTGCTGATGTGCCAAAACATTAAGTGTCTCCTTGTTTGAGAAACTTATATTGAAGTACATTTTCACAAAATGCTTCAAGGCTCTCATTACAACAGCTGTCATCTTAAACAACAGTTTTGAATATAAGGACTTTATTTTGACTTTATACCTGTAAGTAATTACTTTATTAAAACTTAATTCTTGTTAGTAATGATTTTAATACGACTTTATTCCTGTAAGTAATTACTTTATGACCTTTTAATCCTGAAATTTTGACTTTATTCACGTAACTGTTTTTTTTTATCTCGAAATTTCGAATTTTTTTCATTTCAACTTTTTAAAATTTTTACTTTAATCTCAAAATGGAAATTTCAAAAATCTCCCCCCTGTGATTATTTTTTTTCTCTTCTTGTTGCCCTCGTCCTCTTTTGTATATCATAATTTTTAAGGCCTCAAACTGTTTCAAGAGGGTCGGAGTCAGTCAAGCAGCTGAAGAAACACTTTTGTTTTTCAAACCAAGCGAAGGCTGCTTTGTCCACAGGGGGACGCCAAAATTGACACAAACTGAACGGAGCTTTAAGAAAAAAAGTGTCTAAACTTCTCAGATTTAAAGGAACTTGAAAAAAACGTATTTCTGATATTTTTTTACAGCCTTTACTGTCATTTAAAATTTTGCGCAGTCTAATCTTTTTAAAAACTGAACTATGAAGCGAAACAAACAACAGCAGAGTTTTATCAAATGAGTACAAATGCGGCTTTTTCCTCCCTGCTCCCAGCCTGTTCTTCTCCATCTTTCAGAGCTACATTTATGGAGAATGGTTGCAAATTAAATGAGAAAAATGTCCTGACTTGTGTGTCTGTTTTGCCTCCAGGATCAGCAGTCTGGCAGCTAATCGCCTCCTTCCTCAAACTGCCGGTCTCTGGGACTCACTGCATTGTTGGCGCCACCATCGGCTTCTCCATGGTGGCCATCGGCACCAAGGGCGTCCAGTGGATGCAACTTGTCAAGATCGGTATGGGCTGGTGGCTGTATGAGCCGCGTGTCTGTGTTCCTGCGCTTACATAAGATCCACTGCATGCATATGAGTGGTGTACGCATAAATAGTCACGTAAATCCTGCTGAATACTAACTGTAAATCAGCTCTCTGGGGTTTTCTGGTGCAGCTAAAAGGGAGTTTGACTTCAGAAGGGTTCTCAGACTTTGTGGTCAGCAAGTCCAGCTCCCTCAGCCATTTCACACAGTGAGCAATGTGCTTCAGAAGTGGCAGAATAACCGATTTCTGCAGTATCAGGAGCCTCAGTAGAGCTGCAGGATAAAGACAAACTGAAACACTCTTCTGCTTTATCTCAGGAGTGACTGTGACATTTATTAACCGGCAGCTTTGTTATCAGAGTCTGTACATGCTCCTTAAAATTTCATAGCTTCTCTTGGATGTGAGGGGATTACTAAATAAGGTCAATAAGAAACAGATGATGACTCACGGAGGAAGGATGATTTCTTATTAATGGGTGATTTCACTTTTTAGCCAGAGTATACATTTTTTTCCTGATGATGTTCTCCTCTCCCTTTCCAGTGGCATCATGGTTCATCTCGCCTTTGCTCTCTGGACTCATGTCTGGACTCCTCTTCATGCTCATCAGACACTTTATCCTCAGCAAGGTGGGCACACAGTTACCCCTAAACCCCCAAGGTTGTCATCTGTGGAGTCAGCTGTAAACTTTCTGATTGTTGCAGTTTGGTTTTTGTGTCAGAGTGACACCGCCAGCGTGCCGAGTGATGTGTTGATCCACGTGTTGAAATAACTCGTACACTGAGTTACACGTGTACGCACAAAACTTGTCCAAAGAACTTCAGCACAGATAAAATCCATTTGATTTGGCAACATTCACGGATCTGCTATTATGTAAGAGGCAATCTCTGGCAGACCAGGAGAAGGAAAGTGTTGTAGATCATCATAAGGTCACAACTGCAGGATTATGTGTGTGTGAGTCATAGGATGATGATTTGTCATCTGGACTGGAGAAACTGTGCAGCTGGGTCAAAGTGAGGATGGGTTTAGCGCCCTCTCTGCAGACTCTTTGCATCTCATTAGTCTGAATATGTGATTTTATTATCTATGGTTTGCAGAAACGTCAAGATGCTGGATTCACTCTCAGATGTGAAGGTTTTACAACATACAAAACATCATCAAACTGCCCATAAACCGGAGTCAATTGCTTCATATCAAGTTTGACTTCGTGATGTGCTTTTTATTATCCCCACACCCACATTTTATGAGGTGTCATCACGACAAAAAAACACAAGGAATCAGAGTGCAAAGTTTTCCACAAATAACCTTGTTTACATTTGAGAGCTGCTGATCCGTTTGCTAACACGAGCTGTGACTGTGATGACACTTTGAAGACGGGAGCTTTCTTCACCAGAGTGTTGTTTAGCTCGTGGGAAGTTCACATCCCCTCAGGATCTTTGTGATATGATGGCAGCTGCTGATGATGCGAGGCGGGTCATCTTGAATAAAAACTAAACAGGACTGATTAATGGAAAAGTTTGATGTTTTTATTTCATTATTGCGTCACACAGCTGTTTTTTTTTTTTGCATTTATGTCCTCTATTCTGCTTTGGATAGGTCACTTTTATTCCATTTTTCTATCACAGTATTGCACAAAGAAGACTAGCGTCATCCTCACACCAACTCTGACTTATTATTGATTCATCTTTTCATTATTTGGAGTCGTGAAAAAATGAAACTTGTCCTTACTTGTTTCAAAGGTCCATGTTGATTTTAAAATGTCTCGTTTAACCGATTCATCAGAAGTTCAGTTCACTGTCATGTAAGACGTAAAAATGCGGTGTGCACGTCTCAGAAGCTCAAACAGTCAGCAGCAAAATCACTGAAACTGTGAAAATAGGGTGAGCCATTTCTGCCACTAATTATGAGAGTTGCTGATAATAGTTTTTATTATTCATGTACAGAACCATAATTATGTATTTTAGCAAAGCATAAGAGAAAATCCCAGATCGTTAAAACTCGACACAGCTTAGTATCCTGATATCTTGTCTGGTGATATATAGTATTGTCTCATTGACCAAATATAGATGTTTTTCAAATTAATTGGTAATGTGAAGTCAAATCTATGATGATAAAAAAACAAAACTGTTTGTCCAGTGAGATTGGCAGAGGTCACATGATAGAGCAGGAGAAAGTTAGTGCAATAAATATAACAACACCTGGGGAAAAACATTAGAAATTCAAGCAGGGCACAAATGAGATGGACCTGACATACGAGGTTTGCAAGATGTGCTAGATAAAAGTAAAATACTGTGTAAATAAGACAAACATAAAGGAAAGACAAATGCTAAGTTAGTTAAACAGTTGAAAAAACGGTATAAATTGCAATATATGGTATTGCAATACTCAATATCAAGTATCAAGTATCGTGATAATATCATATCGGTCACTAGTGATTTCCACCCCTACTGATTCTGTTTTTTTTTTTTGTTTTTGTTTTTTTTTTTTCAAAGCAATGATTCATGATTTCTTTTTTTACTATCACTCAGTAAATTCTCCTCTCCACATCTCTATAGAATTAAACCTAAACCCCCCCTTTGATTGTTTGATGTAGTAACAGAGACAATAAGAGAAAACCCTAATGAATGTCTCCTCTCCACAGGAGGACTCTGTCCCCAACGGCCTACGAGCGCTGCCCCTCTTCTACGCCTCCACCATCGGGATCAACACTTTCTCCATCTTGTACACTGGAGCCCCATGTGAGTGCTGCAGGACACTTTTGTATTCTGATGAAGATTAAGTCTGACACTGACGTACGATCAAATTATCATCCCGGTCCTAACTGGTGCCGCCGGTGTCACTGGCGTGTTCAAAATTCCTTTTGGAGGTGTGATGGGAGTATAAGTCGAAATTAATACTCTGAAACAGACTGTGAGATGCTTTTTCTTACACCTCAGTGTGTGTGTGTGTGTGTGTGTGTGTGTGTGTGTGTGTGTGTGCGTGCACGTGTGTGTGTGTGTGTGTTCTTGAATTGCAGTGCTCGGGTTAGAGATGCTGCCCATATGGGCCATCTTCCTCATCACTTTAGCGGAGTCGCTGGTCTGCGCGGCTCTGGTTTGGATATTCGTTTGTCCCTGGATGAGGAGGAAAATAGCAAGTAGGTATCTGTGTGTGTGTGCGTTTTTGTACTTCTGTTTGTGTGTCCACTCTTTCTCACGCCATGTGAAACCCCAGCCCTCTAACCCGGGTCTAGTAACAGAGCTGGAGCTTCTGCGTGCTCACTCTGTGCCATGACACCAAGCAAAGGATGCCAGGGGATGTGCTGGCCTCTGCCAGCACCGCTGAGGCCACTAAAACAACTCTGTGAACTCTGTGTAGTACTCCACGGCCCGCAGTGGAGGAGGCTTTCAGATCAACATTCAGGATAGTTTCCTTAATGGGAAAATCAGCCTGCAGCAGAGCAGACCTGTTTTAAAACACGTGGTAGAAAACAATGGAAAGATTGGTCAGTGGAATAGTTGAGAGTGCATAAAGCAGCTAGTCTGTTAAATTTGACTAAATGTCATCCAGAGTGAGCTGCAGTTCTTAAACTCTAGTCCCACAAATCTGATAAACATGAGACGGTAAGATCAGGATGAAGGTAAACGAAGCGTTAATGTCCACGCTCAAGCTTAAAATAGACGCTTTCCTGAAATTTTCCTCCATCAACAACGACACACAGCTGAAACTGATCCAACCTGTTGCTTAACATGTCAAGACCCCCGCATGCCTTCGAGGATTAGAGGTGATGTTATCGACCCTAATCTGGAAACAGCTGCATCTGTCACAGTGAAGCAGGGGACACAAACTGAGTTTGTGTGTTTGTACTCAGGCCTGTTTTGAGGAGTACGGGGCAGCGAGTCTATCAGCGCCGGGATTAGTTTGGATCAGCTGATGGCTGTACTTGTGTTGGTGGAATGTTGCTGCATAGCTTTCACTTTTAGGACTCCAGGGAAAGTTTTCCTGACTTTCTCTTAAGAGTTATCGTTGAGATTAGAGTAACTTTACAGCGTCATTACAAACATTATATGTATTAGAAGAAATGACAAAAGTTATCCTTGTGCTTTCTTAGAACAGTGGTTCTCAACTGGTCTCACTCTGGGACCCATGTTTTCCCATGATCCTCAAGTTGTGACCAGCTTTTTACAGAATTCAAATGAAGCAAATTTATAAAAATAAAAAACTTTAAAGACTCTAATCTCTAACATAAATCCACTTTTCTGTATATGCAACTACTGAAGCTGCATATACAGAAAATATAAAATATCTAAAAAATTTCACATGAAATATTTACTTCTGATTCGTCAGACATTAACTACATTATTCAAACACTATAATACAAAATACATTGTGTTTGCATTCTTAGAAGAGCTCAGATTTATATCTAGTTGAAGTGTTTTGTTTCTTCGGGGCAGTCTCTCACTTTAGCCTTTCATCACTTGATCCCCTGCAGGTCGACTAAAGAAGGAGCAGGCTCTGTCGAGGATCTCTGATGAGAGCCTGGATAAGATCCCCGAGGAGGAGGAAGAGAGCCCCGTCTTCAAGGAGCTACCAGGGGCCAAGGGCACGGATGAGGCTGTGCTGCCGCTCACCGGCAGCAGCGACCGCAGCACCCGCGAGTCCAGCGGAGAGCTCACCAACCTGGCCAACGGAGGCACTGTCCTTCCGAACGGCAGGGTCTACGGTAACACTGGATTCTTGTTTAAGATGTGCCAGAAAAACACTTTCCACAAAAACTCAGGACCATATTAGATCTGTAAACTTTTGTAGGCTGCGTTTTTATGACTTAAGATGTCAGCTCTCAACAAAAATATAGGCTGAGCAAAAAGCACAAAAATAGTGATAATTGAGCCTAATTGCAGCTTTTGCATCTCTAAAATAAACCGTTGTTGTATTTCTGGTGTCTGTGGTTGAACTTAGTAGCTGCTGGATACTCCTCCGTCACCGTTTTGTTGTCACATATTCACGACAGCCCTTCTCTCATTTAGGCCGAACTCACTCCATGACAAACGGCTGCCTTAAGTCCCCCGTCTCTAACGGCAGCTTCAGCTTCGATGGCCACATGCGCAGCGATGGCCAAGTCTACCACACAGTGCACAAGGACTCAGGTCTGTACAAAGACCTCCTTCACAAGATCCACTTGGGCCGCATGGACGACAGCGAGCGTTCGGGGTCCAACGCCGGCGCTGCTGACAACAATTACCGCCTGCTGCGCCGCAACAACAGCTACACCTGCTACACCGCGGCAATATGCGGCATGCCCGTCCAGCCGCTCATCCGCACGGAGTCACGTGACGACAGCGAAAAGCTGGTGGGAGAGGGAGGGGGCAGGAGCAACAGCGTGTCCTACTCCAAGAAGAGGATACGCTACGATAGCTACTCATCGTACTGTAACGCCGTGGCAGAGGCAGAGATCGAGGCGGAGGAGGGTGGGGTGGAGATGAAGCTGGCCACAGAGCTGGAGGGGGTGGAGGAAGAAGGAGCTCCGGCCCCGATGCCGCTGGACGAGCTGGCCGAGGAGGATCATGAGGAGAAGGATAAGTCCGAGGTGTTCCAGCTTTTCCACTTCCTGCAGATCCTCACCGCTTGCTTCGGCTCCTTCGCTCATGGAGGAAATGATGTCAGGTGCTGCCTCCTGCTGCTTATGAGACACACAACATCCCAAACATCCACTAATTGAGATCCTCTCAGAGCACATATTTTTATAGCTGAAACTGTGTTCACATCAAAGTGTTGTCAAAAATAGAAAACCCAGCCTTACTCTGCTGCCTGTGGTTCTTCTCCGCTTTTCGCAGTAATGCTATTGGGCCCCTGGTGGCGCTGTGGATGATCTACGACCAGGGTGGTGTGATGCAGGATGCTGCCACTCCTGTTTGGCTGCTGTTCTACGGTGGTGTGGGTATCTGTGCTGGTCTGTGGGTGTGGGGCCGCCGTGTCATCCAGACCATGGGGAAAGACCTGACTCCCATCACCCCTTCAAGGTGAGAGAGCCTCAGCATGGGGGAGTGTGTGTCTGAGTGTGTGTGTGTGTATGTGTGTGACTAGAGGAAAAGATCACTGCAGCATGCTTGGTCCGCTCGCTCTGAAAAGCCTCGCCATGCTGACGTACGCAGGTCTACTCAGCAACAGCTCCTGTGGTGAGTGTTTATCTGCAAACAGCTGTTTAAAAATGTCAAACTCACACAAACACACAAACACACGCCGTCTTTAAACACTATTGAAGCAGAAAATGCGATCCTACTGACGGTGAAAATCCATAAAACTAAAGCAGCACAATCACTGCTGAAGTGGCTGCTCTGCCGGAGGAGCCCTCTGTTTACAGGTACTGTCAACTTCTCTGACTAGTTAAGAGTCTGTATTCAAACAGAGCTGCTGCATGTAATAGACATCACACACACAGACTCACACACATACACACGAACAACCTGCAAGTCCAATTTGTTGGATTTTTAATATGTAGTTGCATTTCTAATCATTTCCACTACATATCAAAACAGTTTTTTAAATACAACATGAATAATATTGTACATTTGACATCTTAAGATTGCATCAAAAAAAAAAACATTGATGAACTTTTTTGAACTCTAACAAAAACTACTTCCATTAGTTGATATCAAGACTTTAAACTTTGCAAGATCAGATTTTTCCTGCTTCAAAACATCTTCCTGGGGGATAAAATAGCAACGATACAAACTCTATCTTTCCTCTTCCTTTTCCACGTTACATAACATTTATGAATAAATAAACAGCGTACAACACATAAAGCCCCGGGGCCCCCTTCGCCCTACAACCTCGGCAGCGGACATCACGCAGCCTTAGCCGCTGACTGTTGCTCCTCTGTCCTTGACATTGATCTTCCTCTCCTCCTCTCTTTTCTCCCGCTGTCCTCTTGCTTCCCACGCATTAGCCCAAGAGAAAGTGTGTGTGTGAGTGAGTGTGCATACGTCAGTGTTGTTTATGCGTTTCGTGTCAGCTCCAAGAAGCCAGCCTCTGCGCCTGTAGGTCGTCACGCGGCGAGTGCACCGTATGTGTGCGTGCACGCATGCAACTCGGGGTCTAATTGTTCCAGTTATTTATTTGACGGTGCGTGTTGGTGAGTGCGTGCGTGAGTGTGTGTACACTGTTGCCTGGCAGGAACATCACACAGGGTTTCAGGAAGTTGTTTGGCATTTTGGATGGAGAGAAGTGGAGCAAGGCAGGGTGAGGGAGGGGCAAAGCCACAGTGGGAACCCTGGCCTCTCCAGTGCAACCACAGGGAGGGACGCCAGCCTGACTCCATCTCCTCGCACTTCTCTTTTTCCCCTCTGGCCTCCTCCTCCTCCTCTTCTTTTTTTCAGATTCCTTCCTAACCTCTCTTTTAAACCTCCATCCTTAGCTGTGAGGTTAACCACCTTCCCCTCACTTCTTCCATTTCTTCATCCCTTCCCGTTTTCTTTCTCTTCTTCTTTCAGCATCTTTTGTCTTTCTGATGAGATTTTCACCTTCATGACTATCTTCTCTTCTCACGCTCACTTCCATCTCATTATTTCCCCCTCTTTCTTTATTACTCCTCTTTCCTGGCCCCTCTTTTCTCTGCGCCTTTATTCTGTCTTACTTAATCTCCGTCTTCCATCACTAGCTCAGTCCTTTGCCAGGCTTAAAGACAGATTCGCTCTGCTTCACAGCTCTAAAGGCTCTCTGTCCTGCAGTGTCTTTTTCCAAGCGTCGACCTGACAAAGAACTTTGTTTGGGGACAGGAAAGTGTGTGTATCTGTGTGTGAGAGCAGTTAAGTGTCTATGGCTGCTGGTCATATATTAGAGCAGGCAGCGTGGACCGTTCATCACGACGGTAAAAGCTGTTTCCTAACTTGAAATCTGGATTTTCATCAGCGTGTTCGGCTCACCTGTTGAACTGCTGCAGGGACAGACTAACACAGTTATTGCTGGCTCTTTTGAAACTTTGCCACTCTGAAAACAGGCTTTCATGCCTCTTAGTGAGGAGCTGATCCTGTGTGGCACATAGACACATGATGATCCAGCTTCACTAATCAGTTGAATTCTCCTTTGAGGCAGTGAGCTGTGTTTTCTTACCTCTAGTGACCTGAAATGTTGAGTTTTGGAGGTGAGACTTGAGACAGAAGGGAAACAAAGTTGTAACATGTGAAAACAATGAAGACTAAATCTGGTATTTTGGATGCCAGCTCACAGTCACGGCTTATTGTGACACCTAATAAGAAAGAAAGATGTTTTTTTTTTCCCCTCCTTGGAGAGTCAAAACATCTGCTGTGAAAAAGGACTTGTTCTTAAACACACTTCCTGATCACACCCTCTGCAGAGCAGGTTTCACAACTCTATAGGAAGACTGTGAAGGATTACGTCATCACTAGCTGCGTTCACATGGGCATAAATAATCGGAATAAAATGCCAAACGGAGTATAAAAGCGTCATGTAAACATGTCAATCGGAAAATTCTGATCCAATTCGGCCTAATCGGAAAGAAATTGTATTCTGTATGAGAGGGGAGGTTTATGCCGATCATTATTCCGAAACTTATTCCAATCGTGACTCACTAACCTGACTCGATCTTCACTCTTAATCAGAATAAAGTACCGATCCATCCATATAAACATCGGGTTCAGATTTCTGATCTCTCAAATTTTTATTTATCGAGGCCAGTACAGGAGGTTTCATTATTAAGACTCTGGCATGAATCACAACCGCAGGAGCCGCGTCTGCTCCTCCGATAATGAAACAAGGCATAGGCGTACATACAGCGTAATGATGTCACATCTGAAAAATCCTGCATTGGATGAAGTGAGCCAGTACTGTGCGTTTGTTGGTTTGTTGATAGAACAGGCGTAAATACAACTCTTCTTCTGTGGTTATTGTTTTAGTGAAATTGGACAACTCTGTACATGTCCAAATGCTTTTAATCTGAATAAAGTTTGGTGTAGGGCTGGGGGATAAACTGAAAATTTACCAATACTTAGGCCTGTCACGATAACAAATTTTGCTGGACGATAATTGTGCTACAAATCATTGCCGATAAACGATATTATTGACACCGTTTTTTGAATTATAGAAAATGATAATATATGGCATAATAATGCGAGTACACCATGTCAAAAGTGATAAACTTTAATTTCCGCTGTCTGTCAGCGCGCACCATTTTGCGGTGTTTTGTTTATATTTGCTTTGCTTACCAAACGCTTCAGTAAGCGGTACCTGTCGGGACGATGGCTCTGCAGCACCTCCGGCGGTACTTTTTTTGCTCAGTTGGGGAAAATGGAGGGGATGATTGTGCTTGAGGTGCGCATGCATGTTCGTTGTATTCCCCTTCTTTGTCACCACAACTTTGGAACAAATACGACATATCGGCTCGTCCGTATTTGTCGGCTCACCTCTTTCATTTGGTTTAAAGCCAAAATATTCCCACACTTGGGCTGTTGCGTTCGGTTTAGACACCAAAGCTGCCTTGTTCATTCTGTTTGCTTGCTTTTCACTCAATTGCAGCACTGTATCCAAAAGTCTTTGTCTGTGTGCCTGTGCGCGCCAGCTCTCTCTCAAAATGAATAAAGAAAAGTTGGTTTTGGATGTGTGTAGGTAGGCTATGGTTTCATGTCCGTTTAAGACGCTGTCCTATGTCAGAGATGTGACTCCACCCCGTCCATTCTGTAACAAAGAGGGAAAGAGGTGAGGAGATGGAGGACGGTTCAAAAATTGTAGCAGCTGGAACAACGGCTGAAGTAGACGAAGTTAATGTGGGAGAGGGCGAGCTGCTTGTGGAGTAGTTATCGTCCATTTATCGAATTGAACAGCTCAATACATCGTGATATTGATTTGAGGCCATATTGCCCAGCCTGCATGTATACACACGTTATGATCGGATTATTTGATTTTCCGTCCATATAAACATCAGGATCAGATTTTCTGATCTCTCAAATTTTGATTCAGATCTAGAAATTTTGCACATGTAAACATGGCTAATGTTATGTCTTAGCTAATATCATGTCTTAGCTCCACGGCGCAGGGCTGCCTCCTCTCCCTTCAGTGCTGATCACAGTCGCGCTGTCAACACCCCGGTTCCTTCCAGATGCGTCCCGGGAGCAGCTTTCTGCTCTGCTCCACCTAAAGTACACGCCCTGTCTATTTCTGATGGAGCCCCTCAAGCTGCACAGATGAGCCAGGCAAGAGGTCAGAAGGAGGAACAGAGCAGATGCTATTGGTTTTCTTAAATGAAAGGTCCCACAGCATCATCATTTCACAACTATCAGTACGACGGTGTGGGCTTTGAGGCGTTTTCAAGTCATAAGAAAAATTAGAAACAGGCTCTCAGTTGTTACATCCATGCGATAAAATCAGCAATAACAAGCAGATGGCATAAAAAACATAAATCAGTGCGAGGCGATACAGAAACACACTCATCCATCCATGGAGCACATGCAACCACACTTTTGTGCATTATCCTGACACCTTTATTGTGTATGAATGTGCGTGTGTGTTTGGAAGAGATCTTGTGTGTGATTGTCATTCCTCTGTTCTTGTTGTATGTGAGTTTCAAAGACATGTTTAATGTTCTCCTACAGTTAATATGGATGCTGGAGTTCTAAAGGAGCCTGTGGGGAGCAGCTCATCCCCGTACCTAACAATGAAAGATGTCTTTTTGCTCCCTCCTCTCCCCCCTCCCTCCCCCTTCCTCCACAGTGGTTTCACTATTGAACTGGCCTCTGCACTCACTGTCGTGTTGGCTTCCAATATCGGAATCCCTGTCAGTACCACACACTGCAAGGTATGACCGAGCGGCCGACCCCAGCTGGCCTCTCAACTCCCCTACAGGTGTTTTCCAGGGGAGAGGGTATTCACACTGCTGCCTAGGGCGTTGGGCTGGAAATAAACACTTTATGATGGTCCTAAAAAGTCTGTAATTTCAAAACCTGAGACGAGTTTCCCCAAACTGTCAGTGTCCGTCACTTTTCCTGCTTTAAAAGTTTTAAAAACGAGGCAGGAAGAGATAAATTTTCTACAACTTCGGTCTTGTTTCTTAGTTCTGGTCGTCTTTCCTATCCGTACTCATAGTTGTTGTACTTGTGTGAGTTATTTATGAGACTTGGGAGCATGGAGACAAAGTGTTATGACCGGGCAGGTTGTAAAACAAGCATTGGAGTTGCTCCAACCTGAGCGAGAGGAACATATCCTCCTTGCTTTTTCTCATGTCCTTAATTTTTTATTTTTAGTTTACTTCATAAATTGAACCAGACAAGTGCAGTTTAAATTTCCTGCAGCTGAAATAAAGAAGTTTTAACGTTTACTGGCTGTCTCCTGTGTGCGCAGCAGTGATAGATCATCAGAGTTTATTGCCTCTCAGTTATTTTACGTGCTGTTTTGCTGGAGGTTGCTCAAAGGAGGACGTCACTGACATGAACGTCTAGTGCGGTTACTTTTCTGATAAATAAATATACTTTTATTTAGTTAATGATTTTTTTTCATAAGCCACAAAAAGAATATGAACTATAACAGGATTTACACTCAGCGTTAACCCATGAATCAGCCCCTTTATCTGTCTCTGAAGTGTGGTTATCTTTCAAAATGTATCTTCAATACTTCAAGAAAACGAAACAGGGTTTTTATGTCAGGTTGGTGCATTTCAAATGGAAATTATGTCATTTTCCCAGATCATAATCATGAGTAAATGAGCAAAAACTAGTAGGACTGATCCCCCAAACTAAGAAACCAAGACCATATCACCCCAAACTCAGGTCCAGTATCAGACAAATCTCCTCTCATCTTTGCATCATTTTTCACTCTGAGAAAAGACAATCAAGCTGTTTGTTCCACGTCCAGCCCGCTGCAGACAGTCCCCCCCCCCGGCGGCAGCGTGCAGCCCCTCTCCCCTGCTCTTTTCAGGAACATTGGATCCAGGCTGGAAGATGAAGCAGAGCCTGCCAGAGCCAAGTCCCTTTTGTCCCCACCCCATCAACACGGTGTCTCATCCTCTGTTTCTCTTCCAACAACTCTTCCATTTTTTTGTCCTCTCAGCATTGGCATGGTTTGCTGTGTTGGTCGTCCACCTTCCTGTGCTTGGCTGCAAGCAGACTCCCTCCCTCATCCCGACAACCAGCCCCCCCTCCTCTTCCCCTTTCCCTGCGACCCCACCTGTCAGACTTGTTCTCCACTTTCTCACCTCTCCCTCTCCATCTTTCTGTCTCTCCACTCGTCTGTCTTCACAGCGGATTTTGCATTGAAGTAATGAGTGCGCTAACAGTGCTTGTTGCATCAAATGTGGGCATCCCAATAAGCTCCACCCACTGCAAGGTATTGGAGTCACTTTTAGTGAAGCAGAGTGGAGCCCTCTCTTGGAGCTCCACTTCACTGTTTCACCTGTAGCTGTCGATCACCAGAGCCAATCACAACTCCTAAAGTTGACGTTTTGACCTCTTGTGCAGTGACCCTCTGGGAACAGAGCCTCTAGATTCGCCTAAATCTGCAAATGCAATAAATGTAGCAGGTTTGAAAGTGTTTAACAGTGTACCAGCAGAGCCCCAAAGTCAGAAACCATGACTGTATACTGTGAATAAGAGCAAATTTGTCTAAAAACTGTCCTTCAACACACCTGATTCAAATAATCAGCTCGTTAGTGAGCCATTACAGAGCTTGATAACGAGCTGATCATTTGAATCAGGTGTGTTGAAGGACAGTGGGCCTCGAGGACTGGTTTTGAGAACCACTGCTCTAAAACATGGCAGACAAAAAAATGCTTTGTTAATGTTTAGAAATGTTCTTATGATTTATTGTGTGGCACATCAACTCTTTGCTCAAATATAATTAACAATTTAGTTGTAATCCACACAGAATGTCCTAGACTAGTTAGAAAAGTCATTTATTCAGACTAGTTTGGTATAAATGTCAGTAAATTTATTAAGATTCAAACTTGATTTATCTGTCAGTGTGTTGAACCCACATTTCCAAACTAAAAGCAAGTTAAAACTCAAAGTTTGAAGATTAATTCTCGACTATCTGAGCAGCACATGAACGCAGCATCACTTTAATGTTGGCACAGATGCGATAGCAGCATAAAAACTGAAGATCAGTCACATCTACGATTACAATAAACTCTCAAAAGTGTCTGACTTATCAGGGGAAACTGCACAAGAGTCAAAACTGGTGTTTAATTCCTGATGATCACATTATTTAAACATCACCATCACCATCCATCCCTTTGTATTTCACTCCTCCTCATAAGTACACCTGTCCCCTCCCTTAAACCTCTGATAATCAACAGCTCTGCCAAAATGCTTAATCTACTGATGGGTAGAGGTATCTGATTGTGGTGAAGTGATTCAGTTCCTGTGTCTGGAGGGCTGCCACAGATGTTGTTGAAAAATGCCAGCTATACTTCTCTATTTTGGAGGAATTTGTTCCCTAGAATCAAAGTTCAGAGGAATGACAGTAAAATTGTCTGAAAGCCAACAACATCTGTGAACAACCGAGAGCAGTGTGAGAGCAGTGATGGGCATTCATGTGGTTTCAGTTCAGAGTGACCGTTTTCCTGCAGAGATTTGGTGTCTTTTTGATGTTCAGATCAAACTGAATTGATGCCCAGCTCTGCTGTTAGGGGCGCTGCGGTGTGTTTATGTACAATGACTGCTTGTTTCAAAAGCTCTACAGGCACAAACACAGAGGTCACACTGAGTTCAGGCTTTTCTCCTGCATGCCTGGAATACTGCAACTGGCCGTAAACAGACGTCCAGACCACAAAGTTGAGCATTACGTCCACACAAATGAAGAAATTTCCTATCAGACAGTGTAATACTAACACTGAAGACACTTTTATGTAACATTAAGTAAGACTGACCAAAGTCTCCAAACACACCGCCTGCCTCTGTTGACCCTGACCTTCCACATTTAGTCCTGAGTGTGACAGAAGGCGTCTCGGGTTTCTCTGGCCGTATAAGTGCAGGCACAGTTGAACTCCCACCCACCTGCAGCGTCACAAACAGAGCTGAAACCAGTCACTGCACATGACACCTCAGCACACGCAGGTGTCTAAAACATGATCGCAGGACTTCTCCTGAACAGATTCGGGTTCTGATTAAACTCTTGAGTTACGGTTGACTGGAGGAAGTCTGACATGAGCAGGAACTAGTCCCAAAAAAAGCTCCAGAGAAACGACCCCCTCTGTTTAAACTCCAAATCTAATCAATAAAGGAACAAAATCGACTCTTGGTGAACTTGATCTGCTTATTTCGGACTTCCTCGCAGAAAAATGATAAATTTAGATAGGGATGACTTTAACAATCAGCTTGCTCTTACTAACAGAGAGTCTAGACTGAGCTGCTCATGAAGAGCTGATGGTTGTCTTCAGGCTTTTCTTACAATATGTCAGAAGGTCCCAAACTCATAAAGTAAAGAGACTATTCAAAGTAAGAAGGCAGACATAGTGTGAGCATGAACCGATCAGCTGCTCTTTGAAAAGAAAATTCCTCTGTCTTAAGAAAAGCCTGAACCACCCGCAGCTCTTCAGGGTCTTTGACTTGCTTTTTTTTTTTCTGTTCTGCTGTTGATTGTTTTCTTTCTCCTCCCGGCTCCGGCCTCCAGGTGGGCTCAGTCGTTGCGGTGGGTTGGATCCGCTCCCAGAAAGCAGTAGACTGGCGCCTCTTCAGGAACATCTTCCTGGCGTGGTTCGTCACGGTGCCCGTGGCCGGCCTGTTCAGCGCCGCCATCATGGCCCTGTTTGTTTACGGCATCCTTCCCTTTGTCTGAGGGCGCACGGCCGGGAGGGAGAGCAGAGGAAGAGGAGAGAGTCAGAGAGGGGAACTCGGGTAAAATCATAGCTCGAGTGTCGAGGGTGCAGATAAATGAGGAGGGGGGAGAAGAGAGGGAAAGAGTGAGGGGAGAAGAAGGAGGAGCTGCAGAGGTTTACAGATGGACTTGGTTGTACTGAGGATGTGAGGAGGGTTGGTTCATATGCTGCCTGGCTCCGTAGTCCAGAGATCTTTTTGACTCATCGGTTTTTATTTATTCTTGGGGTGCATAAGAAAGTGCGTGTAACCTCCGTGTTCACCATACCATTCGATCTGCTGTACATATGACATTAACACAGGGGTATTTCAGTAACTTCTAACAAGAGGTCTGGTTTGAGGAGATGCAGTGCAAGCCATTTTCTGTCTCATTAAAAAAAAAAATAATCATGAGTTAAAAAAAAAATAAGACAGCACACAACTAGAAATAATGAAATCCTGCACAACTAAACCGAGAAACCTGAACCTGCAGTTCAAACTGTTTCATCCTGCCTGTAAATCCGGGCAGCACCTCTGCTCAAGTGCTCATTATTATTGTTCCAGATTGCCAGAAAATAATCCTGTACATATTGTTCTCTCAGACTGAGTGTGATTTGTTGTATTGCGGCTTGCTTTAAAAGTTAAAAAAAAAAAAAAAGACAAAAAAGATGTGCGTGTGGTAAACCAACCCATCCATCATCTGACTTTGAAACATGCCAGCCAGGTACGACTAGGGCCAAACAGAAAAGACGCCTCAGAGAGGGGTGGTGGGACTGTCACTCTGCTTTTTTTTATTCTCCACATGATACCATAGAAACCTGATTTGCTAAAGAGTTGATTTTTGTCAAGAGCTCCTGTATGTTTCTAGAGATGGATCTCATATTTTTTAATGATGTATTATACTGTAATTTGTACTGTAAATACTGTCCGTACAGAGGTTTAGGGGCGGGATTAGGGGGAGGATCATGGTTCATTTTTAATGTTGTAAAAATAGGGGTGGCTCCTCACCTCTTCATGATGTCATATTATAAAGTATTTTTCATCCCAGAGGGTATACACACACTCACACACACACGCTGCTGTTGTGACAAATTCAGAGTGATGAATCAAAGCTGACGATGCCCCATCCCCTCTGATTTATCGTACCAGTCGAAGTTTTTGCAGAAAGTTTCCCCCCCTGGAGAACATTTTGGTTTCTGTCAGCAGTATGCAAAAGAGGGGGACTCCTCAAAGTAGAATTAGGTGCAGCAGAAGCCAAAAACTCTCAAACGCATTTTTAAGGTCTCAGAAAAAGTTCACATATCTTCATTTGTTTGCCTTTGTTTGCATACTGGAGTCATCTCATATTATCAGAGGCTCCCTGCCAATGCTTGACCTCTACACTGTCCATGCTCGGATCATTTCTCGATCTCCTACTCATCTTTTTTTTTATTTTATTATATCAGAGTTTATCTGTCTCTGATACTCTGTGTCGTACCTCCCTGAGGAAGACCCACCACACAGCGCTCGTGTGTCATATCAAACACTAACTCAGCCAGTTATGCAGAGGTGTGCCGAGAGGATACTCCGCCTCGGTCGCACCTGTAGCTCCTCACAGATGGCCGACGTTGCATAGAAGCATTTAGTCTGTCGATCACCTGTGTTTTAATCCAAGTGCTTGAGGTTAGCAGAGGTAAAACGGATCATGTCGAGGGCTGGATTAAAGCAGCTCATGTCACAAAAACAAGGCAGTATCTGGGATTGGGGGGGTAGTACTGATCATCACCAGCTTTTAAAACAGGGTCCTCTGCGACCTGTAGATGAACAAAGTCTAAGCTTTTTTTATTTGAACAAACTCAATGCCAGGTGTTGCAACTTCTTCTTTTTTTTTGTTCTTCTTGTGGTGTGTTTCCTAATTCTTTATTTTGTCTCATGAACAAATCTATGCTTAAGTAGCCACTTGCCTTGTAACATTGTGTTTTACTTTGTGCAGATACAGTAAAATTAAGTACTGTGGTGTTTACATTGTAACCATGTTGTAGAGTATCAGAAAAAAAACTGTTGCCTAATGATGCCAATGAAAGACAAACTATTAACCATGAATTTTTAAAGTGCAAGTAAAAAAAATAACCTGAAGTGTCTAGAGAGAGAGAGAGGAAGAGAGAGAGAGTGCGAAATGACTTGCTTTTTTTCGTCGTGGTAGCGCTAATGATGACCCCGTCACTTTAGACTGCTTCGACAGTACTACGTGTTAACTCTACCTGTATGGGTGCAATTCAGTAATGAAGAGAATGACTAGAGAAATCTCATCAAGACTATATATATTTTTCTACCATATCTGAGTTTAACCTGGCGAGCTTCCAGACACTCTGTAGGACACACTGTGGGCTCAATGGGAACAGGGATTCAATATTGAGATCTTATCATAGTCGGTCTTATCATAGGACGTCTCGCCTCAATGGTGCCATGTGCCACACCTCCTCTGTAAGCCCGGTGTGTTCTTCTAACATGTAGATTTGACGTGTCGGTTGCCAATAGATCAGATTTTTAAATTTTATCATTTTTATTTTTTGGGATTTTAGATGAAAACACTTTGTAATTTTGTTTCCCTATAGCTTCAATCATGAGCTGTGAGAGGAGCAGGACAGGCTTCTTGCTAAAACCAGGACGACTGCTCACTGAATGCAAAATCTTGAAGCTGAATCTCTGTAGCTGAGAAACTCTAATCTAAAAAGTAAAAAAAAAACAAAACAAAACTTGATAACTGGACTGTGAGGACATTTGTTTCCTTGTTTTGGCAGGTAACCACTCTTGAAGCTCATACCCTTCAACTCTTTCACAAGCGGTGTTACACAGGGGGCCGCGCAGAGCTGGTGCGGTAAACTCTCTCTGTACGTTTAACATCAGCCACAACAAAACAGCAACAACTGCAGTATTACTGATATGTGCTAAAACATACAGGAACAGATGAACTTAAAAAGAAGAGAAACTCATATTTGATGTTTAAACAGCAGTAATTGGAGAAGATGCAGCAGCAGATTTCATAGAATTGTGTTTGTTGCTTATAAGCTCAATATTTATAAAAGTAGAATCTGATTATTTCTCTTTAGGGTGACCCAATCCAGGCCTCGAAACACCAATCTGTCTTTATTAACAGGCATGTGCTGCTATATTAAAATGCTCTTGTGTGTCCTTATAGATGGCGAATTCCTTCTGAACCCTCACCCTCATGTTGGGAGTAAATAATCTAAGGTCACACAGTGCAGATAGATCTGATGTTTGCTCTATCGCTGTGCTCTGCAGGCGCCCTCTCTGTAACTCACTCTGTCTTTTTTGGTTGTTTTTTCATTCATTCTCAGTCCTGATAGGCCCAAAGGGATGCACAGCTCAAAATAGGAGGGAGAGTGGGAAACTGCCATCTAGTGGCTGTGCTAAAAACCTGGTTCTCACTCTGTAATGCCAAAATTTGGTGTATTAATACCCCATAGAAAAATTGTTTTGAATCCAATAAACAGTTCAATTTGTTTATGAACTTAAAGGCTGATTGCAAAATTTTATATTATTATATGCATCATTATTTAAAAGATTTAACAATTGAAAAGCCCAGCTAATCTGTCTCATAAAATGTACAAAAGAGGTCAAGGGTCGGTGAAAAAAAAAAGAGGTCCAATATATTTTTTTAATTATTATTTCAAGAAAAAAAGTCAGACTTGTGAGAAAAAAAGTCAGAATTCTGAGATTAAAGTCACATTTCTGACTTTTTAAACTCTGAATTCTGACTTTTTTTTCCCCTCAAAAGTCTGTTTTTTTTCTTCTCATAATTATAATAATTTTAAAAATATGTTGGACCTTCTTTTCAGTGGCCCTAATCCTCTTCGATATAAGATGTGTGTGTGTGTTTTTAATAAGACCTGGAACCTTAGACTGACCCTATACACTCTATATACAGTCTATGCCTGAAACACACTGAAAACGGTGAGGTAGAGGTATAAGCGCAGCCACTAGAGGGCGCAGTGTGTCGCTGTCTCTCCCTGTGTAGATGGACCGTGTTTGAGACCAGTCCGTGTCATCTGCTCACTTTTAGATATGAATGGTGTGATCGCCATTGAGGGAGTTGCTGTGCTTCTGTCGCGTTATAGCCGCTTTGTAACTTTTGTAGAGAGAAACTAGAGAAACAGGACGTGCCATTACTTCCTCCCTGAATGTGCAATACAAGGTGTTGTTCGTCGAGGTGCAGCCGCGTCGCTGCTGTCACCCTGTGGTGTGTTGCTCCACCTGCCCTGGTGTAATAGCGCCCCCTCCTCTCTGTATGAGGTGGAGGGGCTTCAGTTCAGACCTCCATCTGGATGTGGCGTGCTGTCTCTAGTTTTCTGGTCTGTTTTGTAATAGAATGTGCTCCTTGGCTGGCCTGCAGGCTTTACAGCAGCTCTGTGTTGTCTTTTTACTGTTTACTGCTATTTAACTGTCCAGTCCTTCAAAAGTTTGAAAAACATAAAAAATACATGAATAAAAAAATCAAAAGAAACTGTAGCCTGCTTCTACAAAATCTTAAAGCTCTTCTGATTTGCATATATCGTACTGTAATGTTTTATTTAAGATTTTAGTGGAAAAAAATGTGCATTTAAACTAAATTATGGGAATTAAAATTACAAAGAATACTTAAAATCCACTGAGTCGTGTCTTATTTTGAATCTGGATGAATGTGTGGGAATAAATGTTGCATTCAACTCCTTTTTTGTACTCTTATAAAATACAACTTTATGCATTAGGTGTGATATTACTGAGCCTTTTAACATATTTGAGCCACATGAATTCTATGACTTACTATTTTGTTTAGTTCTACCTTTTTGGAGGGCTACTCTGTTACCAAAAATCAATGATCTTTTGAGTTTAAGTTTGTGAAAACAATATGGTGTACTTATTTATTACACTAAAACTCATCAGATTTTCAGTGATTTGGTTTAGTTAGATTTTAACTCTGATAAGAGCAGTTTTTTTAAATGATTAAAGGTCCTGTAAGGAGTTTTTAACGGGTTATGAAAATGACTGAAGTTGATGAAAAATGCTTCCTTGTGAACTAAAAAAACAAAAAAGACTATACCATTGATAAAGGACTACTTCCATGCAGTTGTTTTTAATGTCTGACACTGCTGGTTGGGGGGTAGGTGTCAGGCCAGGTAATTTACATACATGCTGCTGATAAGATAATTCACAGTTGAGGTTTTAGTAGTGTGATTTGACTGTTTTAACAGTGGGTACGCATGCAGGACAAAAACAGCAAAGACGACTTTGTCCATTGGAGGCGACTAAATGCTCCTCATGTGTGCTTTGAGATGAATTTAACTTGAAAATGTTATACTCAAACTTACTCTGGATTCCCAAATTTGGTACTTTTCAGAAATGTTCCCACACTCATTTCAAGGCAGGATGTGTTTGATTTGAAAAGAACCTATTTCTCTGTTTTATTATCGACTGACTCCCAGGTATTAAAACCCCAAAGACGTGTTTACTTGCCAACTTTCTTGGACCTATAGAAAAAACGCTTTGTATTTATATTTTGTTTTCTTTATTCTATTTGGTGACAAAAAAAAGGAAAAAATAGTGGATGATCTAAAAACATTTTACACTTACCATCTGAGTTTTCAGGGTAATATTTATTTAGTTCAGTTTTGTAACAGTCCTGGATCGACTGCATGTTGTGGTTGTCCCCGCTCATTTCCTCTCTCTGCATGCATTCGGTTTCCTACGGCAACCAGCTCTTTAAAGACTGAATTCATCTGCCACATCTTTTTCAGGCTGCTGTAATTTAAAGGTTCGGAGCTCAGATAATAATTCAGAGACTTGGCACTGATTGTGCTTCAAGTTCCCAGCACTGCGGGTATGTATGCTGGGTTTAATTTTGAGAGGTCTTTGCAGGAACGCTGAAAAACGCTGTTTACATCCACAGTGTAATGGTTTCCATGTCATGTTGGTTGAATTAGTAACCAAAAAGACATGGAAACTCTAACCCCCCTTAAGTGTCACTGGAACAATGACACCGTTGAGGGTTTGAGGAAGGTATTTTTGTTCCTTTCGACTCATTTACTCGAGGTTTTTATCTTAACAGAAAACAGAAGGAACATGAAATGAGACAAATTGCGGCTCCTGCACGCCATTAAGTCTCATCTGGAGGGAAGTCGCGCTAACCATAACTTTTTTTGGCAGCAGACCGCCCTTATATCCACTAGGCGAGCCGATTAAATCTGCCAATTTTAGCCCGTTTGAGACTAAATGGCCGAAACTCGCGGATTTTCGCTGATATTTTCAAAAATAAAATGCGGAGAATAAGATCAAGTTTCACTTCGAAAATGTGCCACCATTTGAAAAGTTCCCCGACTTATCCTGTAGATGGCGTAGCGACCTCATGACGATCTTCATCCACTAACTACCTCACAGCACAGCAGAGTGACGGATCTGAAGCAGGCAGCTCAGGGTCACACGGAGGAGAGTGGTCCGCCTCAACGGTAAATAACCCAGTTTGTGAAATACAGAATAAATAAACAGGTTTCAGTTCAACCCACTTCACATTGTTCCCCGCTGTGATGGTCTCCGTCACACCGAGTTAATGGTGAAGCACCATGTAATATGCAAGCTAAAACAACCGGAGGCACCAATCGACGGGTGAAAACGCTTTTCTGGTCCGAGTTTGATCAGTCAGTCTTCCTGAAGATCAGTAGCCTACAGTATATATAAAGTATACTGTAGATATCTAGAGTATACTTTATATATATATATATATATATATATATACACATGTTTTTTTTTGTTTTTTCAACAAATTTTAAAAATCGGCCTATCAATCAGTAATCAGATTTTTTTTCCCCCCTAATAATCGGTATCGATCCCCCCAAAAAATCCATATAGTCGGGCCCTAATACCCACCTCCATTCCATTTACAGTTAAGTCTCAGCTGCATTGTCAACCAACATCTTCTTAATGGCTCTTCAGAATAAGATGACATGCATGAGGAGATGACAGAACTAGTTGGCATGAACTTGACCTGGAGGATAGGTGTTTATTTTTACCATATGCTGTACATGCTCACCAAGAAGTCAAGTAAAAACACAAAGCAGAGAGCAGGATTGGGTTAGTTCATTTCCATCCAAAACATTTTATTGTCCTCCAAACTGAAAGGGTTACCCTGTGATTTGGCTTGTTTGCTGAGCCAAAAAACATACATTGCATTTCTTCAGGTAGCAGTGGAGGCATACAAAGATCGTTTCGACTGAGAGAAATCAATGGAAAGAGCAATACAGGATTCTCTCCTTCAAGTCACATGATGAGTAAATCTTTGCATTCATGAGTAATGGAGAGAAGATTAATTTTTCAGATCACGGGAAGCTTGAGAAAGAAGCATCTGGTCTTCAGTAAAAGAGAGAGAGAGATAGAGAGAGAGAGAGAAAGAGAGGGAAACAAAAACAAAACAAACAACCGTATGTGTTGTTTCTTCCGTGTTGGAAAAGGCCTGAAACGGTCACACTGAAGAGACTGTTGCATCTCCGTCTGCCTCCGAGTTGTGTAACGCCTTTTTTGTCGAGCATCTGTAGTGTACACAAATGGACACTGGATATGCAATTCAAAACCAAAGTGCCCACAGTCGATATAAAGCAAGGTCACATGACCCAAAACAGGTGATGTCACACAAGGGGGAGGGGGGAGTCGAGACTGGACATGAATGTAACCAAACGCAGCCATCAGTCTGTTTGTGTGAATGAGTGTGTGTGGTGCAGAAATGCCAACGACCTGGCACTCAGCACCGTTCATTTACAGTTACTCAAGTGTCCAAACAAAAGAGAAAGACCTCCCCGCCTAGTGACTGTGCAGTTAAAAATGGGCACATGGTGATTTAAGCTCATGCTTAAGTTGTGGTAAACCATCCAAGCACTTCTTTAATTAATAACTATAAATACACAGCAGCGATTTTAACGGAGAGGTTTCTGTCTGCCTCCTCTCCCTGGGTGAGTGTGTGACGTGTTCGTCTCTTTAAAAAACGGCTAACTACGCTCTCTTGCTAGAGGAAACACGGGTTATGGTGATTTGATTATCAACTTTCATATAGATTTTTCTATAATATATTTATATAATTATTTTTTTCTCTTTCTCTCACGCACCCACCACGCTTGCTTGCTTTCACATTCTCACGTCTCACTACTTTTATTCAATGTACACAACGCAATAAACATGGGGGTCGAGTGGGGAGCGACAGAGCTGAAATGACAATCACTGAGAAAAAAAAATAATAAAACAAAGCCAAAAAGAACTGCAGTCTTTTTTGTCATCCATTGGCAGTCGGGCCGACTCGGCGGTCAGCCAGTTTCAATGGTGGTTTGAGGGGAAGAGGGGTGGCCATGTCATCAAAGGGGTGGCGCTGGAGGTTCTTTCTTCGCTGGTGCCGTTTTAGTCGTCGTCTTCGTTGTCTTTGTAGTCGGGGTCGTCTCCTTGAGGTTGAGGTTCTCCAGCGCCACGTCTAAGGTCATGACTTCCACGCAGCCCATGGCCTCGAAGTCGGCGAAATTCCGCAACGGGCCGTGACAGTCGTCTTCGTCCTCGGAGGAAGAGGCCGAGGCGTCCTCGTCGGGCAGTAGCGTGGAAAGCAGCAGCTCCGTCACGAACAGACTCCTGTCGGCCCACTGGGCTTCACACGCCTGCCGCTCAGCTTCAGAGAGCCGCGGTTCGCTCAGCCTGTGGGAGAAGGAACGTAAGATAATGAGAAGGTCCAGCACACTAGGAAGGGTTTCTAGTGAGTCTCAGTTTCACTCTAACTGAATACTCAGTCCTTATAACCCCTCTACAAACATTAAGACACAAATAACATGATGATGCTGATTTGTTAAAGTAAACTGTCCTCATGAGGAGGTGAAAACTTTTAAAATGCTGGTTCATTGAATGGAACTTGGATCAATAATTTCTAATGCATTCCAGGAAGTCGGAAAATCTGAACACTAATTGGTTCTTAGAATACAGCATCAAGCAGATAACAGGCACAAGTTGAAAAGTGCAGGTATCTGCGTAGAGAGATAAGTAAATCAATCAATGAATGGTCGATTACTGCTGATGGGGGCCTGGTTGTCATAGCTGCAGGTTCTGTTCCACCAGCTCTTTCTGGACTAGACTAGACTGGACTGCTGTTACATGGGGAGTAAAAGCTGCTCAGACAACAAACATACAACAACCAGAACTCTTCCCAGACTGAAATCCAGGCCCCCATCTACAGACTTCGTAAAGTAAAGACATCTGAAGTTCATTCAAAAAATCTTGAACCAACCTGCTGAGTAGAAACTGGGAGCTATGTGCAGAATGCTGTGTGGTGGACTCCGGTGGACCCGGGTTAGGACTGGGATTGGTATTATGGTTGGCGCTGGGGTTGGGATTCGTGGCAGCTGAATTGGTATTTAGGATTGCATTGGCTCGGCCCCCGCCTCGGGTGGCGTTTCGGGCCGTCTCTAACTGCTGACGCGCCGCCTGGGCCTGCTGGCGCTCCAGCTGGAGTTGCATTTGAAGCTGCTGGAGCTGAGAGGCCGAGGGACCGGAGCTGAGCTGCCCGCCCGCCGAGCGCCGAACCCCCGACAACTGGGACAGAAGCTCTGGAGGCAGAGGGTGGAGAAGACACAGGGGTTCAATGTTGGACTACAGTTTATAACAAGAGTATGAACAACAGGAATATGAAAGATAAAGGCTGTGTCCAAAATAAATCACTCAATCCCTTAGCCCCATATGGGGTTTCACTATATAGTTGACTATGTGGTGAACTCAATCACCGGAGGTTTCGGACACTACATGGCATGACGCAATGCATGACACCGGTGAGTGACCATCAATGCTTTATGGGAAATTTTGAGTTGCCTATATAGGGCACTGGAATTGATCACTGAGGTTTCGGACACCCCTCAAAATGGCGCTAACCCCCATGTAGTCACCTTTATAGGGTTTAGGGATCCATTTCGGAGACAGCCTTTGAAACAATCCCAGGGCTTGACACTAACCTTTTTCCACAAGGAGCACATGTGCTCATAAGTTGAAGAAGTAAGGAGAACACAAAGAACTTTAGGGGCACAATGAAAATTAATCAAATAATGTGCGTCTTATTGGTCGCCATAAGTACTATCATTTGAAATCAATTTATGGTCTTTTGGTCCCATGACACGGAAGCTACTAAAGAAAATGTTTAAAATTTGCCTTTAAATTTAACAAAACGTTTTAGAGCACAAATTAGGGGAATAAAGAGGTGCGTCTTATTGTCCGACCTTAGTACTACTGTTTGAAATCAATTTTAGGTCAGTTGGTCACGTGACGTGGAAGCTATTGAAGGAAAACAGCCTTTTCTTGAGAACATCAACCTGTAATTTATTGATGGTCCCTTATTCAATACCTGACATTGACAGCGAGGGTGCAGAGTAGATTTAACTGCGCTGCTCTTGCCGTTCCCGGTTACGGAGAGTGAGAAGACACCGGTAGATCCACAGTGAATGTCCGTCAAATATCCAACCTAAAACTAGCTTCACCGCGGTATTTACACAAAATCTTTTTTTGCTTTACTTTTTTTGCGCATATCTATTTTTAGTCGCAAATGCCAGTGAAACGGTCGCACTGCAGAGCCCTGGATCATCAGCTGAAAAATTTGCTGTGGAAAATTATTTCCCCCTTGCAGATTTCATTTTTGCTTTTTTGACACTCCCTCATGTTCCACTGTGAGTCCTTTTAAATTAGCGAAAATAAACCGTACTGTAACACACCTCAGAAAATAACATTGGAAAACTTTGGTAGGACCTCTATGTGGCCTTCACAGTCAAAGCGCCTCATCAGCAAAGTTTTAGGGCTAAAACTTGACCACTCAGGTCAACAGCCCAGCTTGTATAGCAGGTCATTAGAGAGGAGGCTGGTGGTCTGATAGTGAGGCAGACTGAACAAGTCCTCATTACAGCACAGCTGGAGTCGCCTTGGTGAATACCAGGCGCTGAACCAGATCAAAACTGGGGACAGGATAAACAAGGAATTGCCACAGCAACAACAACCCGGCCTGCACTTAACGGTGTCATCAAGACCACCTTTCAGTGCAAAGCAAAACACTGACTAGACCTGTGTGATAATGATGCCACTGCAGGCAAAATGCTTGAGTGTGTGTGTGGGACAATTTGTATAAAAGACAGCTCATTAAATGGGTCTATTTATAAAGGTGCCACATGCCTGGTTCAGTACTAAGCACTGGGGTTCTGTGTGTCAGACCTCCTGCAGCAACAGCTGAGTGATAATGACTCCAACCATAACAATCATAATTGTTTTCTCTCTGAGGATAATCAAGAATATGTTTCAGACCCTTCAGCTTCATAGCTTCTTTAGCCTGTTCTATCTGCGTCAGACATGACAGCATCATGTCAACATGTGTGTGTTAATGTCTATTTGTCGTGTGACTGACCTGCTATGGGGTCCATCGCCTCTCTGCTGTAGTTGGAGCTCTGTGATGAGCTCTGACTGGTGGAGAGCCCCCCTGTGGTGCTGCTAGTGAAGTGCATGTTGGACCTACGGGCTCTTGGACCTCCCAGCCCACGCCCAGGGTGAAACATCCTCCTCACGTGCCGCACCCCACTGGACTCGTCGTGAAGCTTGCAATTAAGGAAAACATCGACCGCATGATGGCCCTAATTCAATTTGCTGTTACACTTCTAACCTTAAAACCCAACTGTTCAGGGTTTGCTTCAAGACATGACGACGCTGTGCATTCCCAGAATGCTTGTGCTTCACCACCCAGCTGCAGTCTCTTCATATACGCACACGTTGCTTTCATGTCTCTGTAAACCCTGCATGCAACCCCAAACTAACAGCAATAGTGACACTTTACAGAGTTCTCCATGTACTTATATCACTTTCTTTCATTAAATCTACATTCTGCATCTTTTTTCTCTACTTATCCAAAGTTCTCTAAAAATAGTCTGCTGGCGTGACTCCTCTTAAGTCCATCCCAGAGTGCAAATGTGGTCCCTGACGTGCACTAACAGACTCAGTCGTTTCAAGCCCTTATATAATTTGAGCGGAATACATTTACGCTGACTATCTCACAGGTTTGTTAGGATTCTTCATTCCGTGCCCACTCATATCTGTAGGTGAGTTAAAATATGACCGTATAATAAACTTCAAAGAAATGAAGAAGATGAACTATGAGGATGAATATAAAAAATTATTCTTCACTCAGAAGAGTTTCACAGGACTACAAATTCATAAACCAAACAAGAACATTTTTTGTTTTTCATCGTCTGCTTGAGTTGACGGCTTCCTTGATGGTTTCATAAAAACTAAATTGGCTCCTTTCCTCTTATTTGTTTTGTTTTGCTTGTTGACGTTGTTTGTAGTCTTTACTTCTCCTGGCATATGACTTGTTTTCCGACCCCTACTGTTACCACCTTCTGCACTTGGAAGAGAATTTGTGTCACATCACTGCAGTGCTTATACCGTGCCAGTAAGAAGCGCAAACAAGAACATGAAACGCAGTTATGACGCAAGGGCTGAGCATTTTCAGTGAAGGCACTGTTTTTCAGTCTTCAAATGTGGGTATTTGTTTCTATCTCGCACCAATCTGTTCTCAATAACTGACTGTGATGCCCGCTGAGTGTGACTGATCAATGTCTGTATTGAACCTGACTAAAATCTCTTCAAAACAGCAAAACTGAAACATCCATGAGGTTGAAAATATCTGCAAAATACCACTCTTTGTGAAGTGTCAGCATCTCCTCTGAAAAGTCTGAGTAATAAAGAGACGGTTTTTACTTATGAGGCAATAAGAGTCAAAGTTGAACCAGAATTAATAAGGCAGAAGTGGACCAGAGAGAAATTAGCAAAGAGTCTAATTAAAAAAATTTAAGTGGGGGCAGCAGTTTGGCCCAGCAGTTAAATCGCACATCCCCAGTAAAGAGAAAACTGTCCTTAAAATAGGCTGACTGGACTCAAATCCGACCCGCAGCCCTTTGCAACATCATCTCATCCTCCCTCTCTCTCTCTCTCCCCAGTTTCTTACTCTATCATTTCTCTTACAGACTAAAAAAGGCAGCAAAAGTCCAAAATGAGCCTAAAGACGATCAAAGAATCTTGTATAAACTGTAACACAGGTGTTGTCTCGAGTCAATATTTCATCTTGGTGTTGAACTTCATAACAAAACTCAATTAATCGTCTTAGTTCATTTCCCACCACCTCTCAGGACTTTGTTTTCGCAGAGCTGCTCTTAAAGGAGGGATAAACGTAGCCTCTACAGTCTCTCTTCCTATGTTCCACACTGGCTACAAACAGCCTGACAACCTCAGGGATTTCTGCTGACATCAGCTCGTCACAGTGACATCAGACACATAATGTAGTTAGAGCCATAAAATCTTAAGTGCAAATATTCTGACCATTCACCTCATTGATGCTGACCCACCATAGTGATTTAAGCTGCCCTAGGAGGCTCAAACGTTATTAACCAAATGTCATCAAATGTCAGATTCAGTCAAGAGACGCTTCCCTGGTGTGTTCGTCTCTAAGACCACAAAACAATCTGGATAACACAAACGGCATCACTTCTCAGCACACGGCAAATATGAACAGTTTCGGTCGTGTTTTGGGGTAATGCGGTAAAAAGATATCAAGTCTCTAGGTGCTCTGTGTTCAAGTGTGAGATGAGCAGCAAAATCGTCCGTCACATGATTCGGGTCGCCACCTGGCAGCGCTGCGCATATGGGGCAGATCTAGGAGACAAGAAGAGAGAGTGTACGTGTTATTAAAGACACACTTCACTGCGCATTCAACATTTAGCGGATGGTGCTGGGTCCTCCTGAATAAACACAGATAGCTGATTATCTGTTGTGTAAATGCTGAATTTAAACAAAAAGAGAAGCAGCATCAGGAGCACCGCGTCTGTGTTGACTATTTAAAAAGTCGAACAGATATAAAGTGAAGTTAGAGGCATGGTTTGATATTTGTTTTGAGAGTTTGGTGGGTTAATTGTTTTTAAAGGAAACACAGGGATCACCCACTATGACAGTGATGTGATAGATGACACCTATAAACCAACGTTTGACATGGAAACTGAAAAGCATCGAGATTTTGAGGTTACTGTTTAAAAAAAGGGAAAAAATCCACACCAAACTAGCTTTAGAATTTATTTAGGTAGATCGCATCATATTTTTTCCAGCCTTTGCTTTTACTGCCTGTCTACCCGGGGGTCATTACATCTGGGGTTTACATGCATAAGTGAATTCCCTCCAGGTATTATGGATTCTCCCACAGGCAGAAGACATACTTGTTGGGTTAATTGGTGACTCTAAAATGCCACTGGGCGTGAGAGCGAATGTGACTTTTTTTGGTTCCTAAATGTCAGTCTTGTGATGGACCACCAACCTCTCCAGGATGAACCCCGACTCCCTGACAAAAATAAACACATTTCTGAGTGATTTAGAGTAAGTCGGTCCTCAGTCCAACCATAGGATTTCTAATAACACCCATTTAGAGAAGTTATCGTACCAAACCCTTACTGTCTGCCTTAGCTCCGGAAATTGAAATATCAAAACCAGCAACAACCATATTTCAAAATGTAAACATGTTATTTTTCCAATATTTACATCAAAACTAGGCGTCAGCTGTCATAATGTACAGATGTAAATGCACCACAGTATGATGAAACCAACAGGGTTTTCTAATGCAAAGGACTTGTTGGACACTGACTCAATTGACTTCATGAGAAATAAACTCAGAGCCATGTGAGGAAAAATCAACACGTATGTGGATCTTTCCAGGTATTTCCATCCGAGCAAACATCTTGTCAGGGTCTAATAGATGGCCGAGTGTGAAGCTTCAGCACCAACTTACCACTTCTACTGAGGTCTCTGTGTGCTCTGCAGCCACGTGCTCCTGCAGGGAGATCTCTGTGTAGCCCATCCTGCCACAGTAGGGACATGTGAAGGCCTGGGGCTGCTCGACTGAGAATGCCTCTCCACCGTAGTACAGGTCTGCAGGGAGGCAGGATGGACAGAGAATTCAAAGTCAGTGTTTGGTTTATCTACAAGTCTATTTCAGGTGCAGGGCTTAAGGTGTTTTGAAAGGGACTAAATCACACCTGTCACAATATCCAACAAGGAAATAACCTCTGAATTAATGATCAAGTCCAGAGTAGGGATGTGCCGATATACGATTTAATCGCGATATTAGATGGCCGCAATGATGAAATTGTAAGGTACTGTGATAGTCGTTCCACAATTATAATTTGAAGACGAGTGGCAGCGTCACTCAGCGGAGACGAGCGAAGCAGAGTACTTACCAACCTAACCCGCTTGGAGTCTTACCCACAGTGTCAAAGCCTCGGTAGCAAAATGTACAAACAAACAACCACAAAAGTAGTCCCAAATCCAAAACAAACTCTTGAATTAAGTACATTAATGCCAGCCTAATAAAAACAGGAACATTAAAAGAGAAAATGAAGAAATTTTACAACTAAATGCGTGGCCACCCAAAGTACTGTTGGAGCGTGTCCACTCTGTGAACCGGAAACAGTTTGAAGAAGAAAAAAAAAGTTGACGCACATGTTCCAACTTCGGACCAACGTATGATGCAGTCGGACCAAGAACAGTCAGAGACTGAGAATGAGGAAACGCCTCGGCTGTAATCTTCTATTTAAAAGGTTTCATCGGCACTATGGACGATTTACTGCTTCACAAAACAAACAACGCAGGTAAACCTAAGACCAATCGGAGGGAAGTTGCAGCGCCGTTGTCTAACACTTCAAATCTAAGTGCCCACCTCCGTGAACACCATCCAGCATCGTTCGCCCAAATCAAGGTAAAAACAACATGACTGCAACAAGTTTGGTCTACTCTGCTGCTTATTATTGACAACGTTAGTGACGTTTCTGCTAACTTTAGCTCCAAAAGGCTAATGCTTCCAACGTCGCGTTAGCTGCCTCTTGCTCATATCGTTTGTGCGTGTCATGCTGTGCACAGAGAGGTGATTTCGCAGTTTTTTTGCCATTTTTGATAACGTTAAAAGCAATACGCTAATATTGTGATAATATCGTGAATCGTGATATTTTGGGCCACCAATATCATGATATCAAATTTTTCATATCGGCACATGCCTCGTCCAGTGTGGATACTTATGTACCGTATTTTACAGGGATTTAACTGCAAACAGTCACCCATATGACATGTTTGATTTGGACATATTACAGCAATAAGAGACACTTCGTTATCAACATTTTGAGCACATTACAAAATACATTAAAAGATACATAGTTGAAGATAAGCCATCCCTGCTAACACAAAACAACCTGAAAAATACTTTCTGCAGTCAGTTCATCCTACAGTGCAACAGCCGGTCAGAACAATGACAGTAATTGCAGTTTACCCATTAATACCCATTACCCATTTATTCTGCTGTTAAACCACAGAGAATTGTGTAAATAATTTGGTGTGCCTGGTCTAGATCCAGTGCATCTAAAGTACAAACAAAACCCACAAAAAAGAAACGATCTCTGTGAGCTCGCACCTCCTGTCATGTAGACAACAACACTTTGTGTTTGTGTTCAACAGATTGTAAATAGCATTTTTCCCAACACATTTCAGAGCACTAACTCATGGAACGTGAGTAGAAAATATGGTCCAGGCAGTCCAAACCATTATCTAATTACATTTGAGATAACACTGAATGTGCAGGAGTGCCGAGTCTACTAATTATGATTGGTGATTGAATTATTACTAGTCTAATTAGGATTTGAATCTCTCCGTCGTTATTGCTGCCACAACAAAATGTTTTATTTATGGAGAGATAAATCAAACCCACAAACCCCATGACAGATTCCCACAACCTCTTCAGGCTGCCTGGCTCAAATCAATCACAGCCATTTACCAGCAGCTTCCTGTCTGGTGCCAGCAAAAGATAATGTACACTGCAACTGTTTTATTCATGCCAGCCTATTAAAACCACTGGGAGGGTCCCATAGTCAGCCCACATTAGAGATGTCTCATTTATGGCCTGCCAAATCTTTGCTCTGTTTGAGCAGCGTCCGTGCAGCTTGTTACACAAACAACTAAATCACAAATCTGAAAATTCTCAGTGTAAAATGATCTTCAGTCTCTTTGTTTTTGATGCTTTATTGTTGATTCTCAGTTTTCTTGAAGTAAAATGATGTTTAACAAATGAATCAAAAGAATCAGTTTATCAGTTTGATGCTGCTGCGGCTGACACACAAACAAGAGCTCAGTCATTTGTTATTTACTACACAAAGAAAGAAAAGAGCACACTTCTGTTTTGGCTCCTACTTTTCACCTGACTGTATGAACAAACTTTTACTTTTTCTATCAAAGCCAAAAATATCCATCAGACTTTACATCTATTTTACTTATCATGACAAACAGCACTATTGTTACTCATGTGAGTCTTTAGCTTAAGCCATCTCCAGTGCTGTTACCCTGAATTGGGTTGCACATTAAGATTACAGAGTATACAAACTGTAATCTGCCAGTCCAGGATTTCTACATCCTGCTTCTTCACTATCCACCTGAACATCTGGGGAATTATGTGTCCTGTGATCAAACTGCAATTTACAGAGCAGCTGAGACATGTTTTGGTAAAAATTCTGCTGTGTGTGGTACTAATAAAAACTCAGATTTTACAAATATGTGAATAAAACACAGAGAAATTAACCTTTTTTGTAAAACCGCCAAAAAAAATCTTCTACAGAATGTCTTGATACTTGAAATAAATGTTTGTGGAAAAATCACTGCACCTGTATTCATCTGCTCATCATGAACTTAATATGAAAAGAAATCCCACTTACCAAAGTCAACTCGAGTTAATATACACTGCATGGGATGCTCTGTCGTGTGTCTCGTTGTGGTAGCGCCGCTCTCATAGCATGATGCGCACAGATCGTAGTCGTAGCAAATTAAACATTTGTACCGTCGACCTCTGAAGTTGCCCTTTAAACATGCATCACAGCTGACGCCTGAGGGAAAAGGACAGACAGGAGAGGACATGTGTAAATACAAAAAACCTTCTCTGGATAAAATAAAGAAGATTACGAGGACTGTTAAATTATCTTACAGAGGGACTGATCAATGCATATTATGCCCAACATTTCTCTCTTTCAAGCTTGTGGATTCATGTTATAGCGTTGGAAAATGTCATTCAATAGATCGCTACTGAATGACATTTCTCTAGAGCAGTGGTACTCAAGTCCAGCCCTCGAGGCCCACTGTTCTGCATGTTTTGGATGTTTCCCTGCTCCAACACACCTGATTCAAATGATCAGCTCGTTATCAAGCTCTGTAATGGCTTAATAACGAGCTGATCATTTGAATCAGGTGTGTTGAAGGACAGTGGGCCTCGAGGACTAGACTTCAGAGCCACCGCTCTAGAGGTTTCTGCAAGAGGTCAACATGTACAACACCGAAATGTAACATGACAGACTAAGAAACGGCTGCAATAATTCACCCATATACAATTATGTTGGGTTAATTATGTGGCTAATACAGATGTTTCTACAACTGAGCTTTGTGATACTACAGGGGTAGAAGTATTTTCCAAGTGTTTCTGTTAAGCTGTGCTCTGCAGCACACTTTAAATATACCCATAAGTTTGCATATTTGCTTCTGTAATAAAAGGAGATGGTGTTATGAACTGCTGCAACATTGAAACTCATTCAATAAAAAGAGTTTTTAATAGTTTCTTTACTCCTCCATGACAGACAACTGAATATCTTTTGGTTCAAGGCAAAAAAAGGTATTTGAGATTGCATTATGAGAAAGAAAACACTAATTACATTTTTTATTATTATATTGGTCAAACGGCAAAAAGATTAATGACTCAATAAGAAGATGATGTGCAGTCCAATTTGCAACACAGGGGGACTGATGGCCTAGCAGTATAAACGCTCTTCAAACAGTGGCTATAGTCCTCACTGCATCAGGTGCTGATGTGTGTGATTTGAATCCAGCTTCTCTACAGCTGTCCTATCCAATAAACACAAAAATGACCCACAATATGTAACTTTAATTTTCTATGCATGTTATCAAACAACAGATCTGTTTGGGACATTAAGGAGAAATGAGTCACAGTGTGTATTCATAGCAGCGATAATGCAGTATATCTTCCGTTACATGTCAGTCTTCTGACTGAGAGAGACTATTTCATGAAACCTTCCTCATCACTGCATTTAGTCAACCACAACACACACAACACAGACCAGCCGCAACATTATGACCACCCAGGGGATCTGACGCAACTCAATACAACAGCTCTACCACTAATTCCACTTTCATGAAGCTTCGGTTTTTGTTGACGTGGTCAGACAGGTGATGATTGTGCTTTAGGTTAATTGATGAAGTTGGAGTGGGTGTTGGAGTGGGTGTTGGTGGTGTACTGAAGTGCAAATTATTGAAGGTGTTTCTGTTGTTATGGCTTTACTCACGGTTTTAAATTAAAGGGATACTCTGGCGTAAAATAAATTTAGGGTCAAACACGCCACAACACCAAGTTAGACACCCCTCGAGAGATGAATGAATGCCGACCGCTTGCTAGCCACCAAACATCTTTTTAACTTTGCCTGATTTCTTTATCAAAGAGACTAAACACAACTCACCTACTCTCTTCCAACAGCTGCTAGTTTATAGCAAGACCTCGGGCCAGTTCATTACGGACTACAGCAGGGTGCGCTGCTCAAGGAAGAACATTTGTGATCATTTCTTTATCATTTCCTTGAAGTAATAATCATCATAATAATCAATTTGCACCGCAGACGCAGTAGTTCTTCTGCCTTAGCGTCTTGGTCTGATTGCATTTCCATGAAGTAATGATAATAAATGTTCTTCCTTGAGCTGCGCACCCTGCTGTAGTCCGTAATGAACTGGCCCGAGGTCTCGCTACAAACAAGCGGCTGCTGGAAGAGAGTAGGTGAGTTGTGTTTAGTCTCTTTGCTAAAGAAATTAGGCAAAGATGTTTGGTGGCTAGTGCTGTGGCTGGGACCCTATATATACTGTTGATGAAGTTAGGTGCTGTTCTGAGCATTATTTGTGGCTATAGAGTGGCTTTTTGGTTGAGGTTTGTGTGTTGCTCCTCAGACCGCTGTGTATTGCTATCGTGCGGTTGTTACTATAGGTGGTATAACTAAAGAAGCAAGCAGTTGGCAAAATTCATCTCTCGAGGGGTTGTCTAACTCGGTGTTACGGTGTGTTTGACCCTAAATTAATTTTACGCCGGCATATCCCTTTACGTGGACAAAATATAACACTTTGTGATAAACGTCTTCAATAATATTAACCACTTTTTTGATGGTGAAATCAATAAATTGAACTCTAGAAGCTTCCTGAAATGAGTTTTTTCGTAGCTCTGCTGTATTGAGTCCCATTACAGCGCCCAGGTGTTCATAACACCATGGCTATATATCTCCGGGGACACATGGGACCCCAAGTCAAGGCATGTCTTGATTGACTAGGACAGTCGTGCTGTCTCGGTGTATTGTATGACTCCGGGCTGTCTAAACTTCCTCTTATCCCCATTCATAGCTAGTAAGCCGTAAAAGCTCAGTGCCAACCTGATCCTGCTGTGCAGCGGCTGACGACTAGCTGTTCATGACACGTTCATGACACCAACAACGACAACAACTATGTGTTACAGCTCCAACATAAATACCGCCATGGCTATACTGACAGCAAAGTTGACAACAACAAACACATGCAGGGAAAATAAAGGCCGCTCAGCTCAGGCCTGACTCACCTTCGCTGCTTGGAGCCGTTTACAGAGTCAATCAGCCTCACCGTTAGCTGACAAGCTAAACAGTTGTGTTACACTTTGTCTAACTTCACTTTTCCCCGTGTGGAGAGCTGAGAGTGTTTCCCGACACCTATTTGACACTAACAACCAACTTCTCAGCTCAACAAGGTTGGTCACAAGGACGAGGTGAGTGCACGTCTGCTGGATGTTAGCTAGTCAAACTACAATCTGCAGGCCAACTTCTGCCAAGAGGGAGGGTGAAACTAGCCAAAAAAATCACGAAATGACAAGCCTTGAGCCCGCAACGCCATCTGGGACCCGCTGCTCGCTTGTGTTTCCTATCCTCGGCACTCCCCCCTCAGCCCGGCTCGTCAACGTTAACCTACAAAACCCTCTCTCTCAGCAGTTAGCCCGCAGGCTAGCTAGCACGCTCAGCTAGCTCTCTCGGTTTGTGTCAGTGTTGTTGTTATTATGGGCTGTTGAACATTTTCTGAGTCAGACATGCCAAGGGAAAGGTCCGCTAGATGAGACAGACTGTTTTGTGGCCGCCATAATGTAACACTGCAACCTTGCTGCTACTAGTTAGCGGGGTGGGCTGCAAAACAAGAAATTCTCTGTAAGCTAACGTTAGCTAGCAGATCTCTGTCAACGGTTTTAACGCTCAAACTGAGTGGCTCGCGCCTCGGTGTTGGAGTGTGTTCTTACCTTCATGCCGGGACATCCTATGAACACTAAAGCAGCCCCCTGCTAGGGCTCCCCGACCTGCAATACAGTATAATATTAGTGAAGAGAAGAGAAGCCGGGGTTGGCTGGCTGTCCCTGGCCTCTTCCCTCATGAAGGATCCGGTCTGGCTCGTTGCCCCCCTCCGCCTCCTGCTGTGTCACTGTCCGGTGCGCTACGCGTACATCCACACGGGGGTGCTGTTGTCTCATTTTTGGTGCGGATGTTACTATGGAAGGTTGGTGATTGAGATACAGGTGCCAACCAACCTATCAACTTTCAGGGGTTTTAACCCTAGAACACTATTGCCGGGTGATTTTCACCCGACCAGACATGTTGATGTGATTTTTATTATGTTGCGTTTGTCTAGGTATCATTGAATTCTTGGAAGCTTCAGCATTGCCTTGGTACGGTGGCTGAGAACCGCCCCTGTTACAAATAAAAAAGAATGAAAAAAAAAAAAGATAAAAAAAGGAAAATTAAGCCTGCTTCAAATAGAAAAAGAAACGGTGCAGATTTTTTTGAAAAAGAGCCACAACAGAAGTAAACATTGCAAAAAAAAAAAAAAAAAAAAAAAGGAAAGGTTATTGTTTAATCTTACTTAGTGTGCTTTTCAATGTGTCATTTGGTTAGGCCATTTTGCGCCTGAGTTGATATGAAGTTGAACTGGAGGATGCCGGTGTAGTGTTAACTTTGGCTAACACGGGAAACCCACTCTGGCCTGAAAGACTACCCACGAGAGGAGAATCGAGTTCAGTAGCTTTACAGTTCGGTTGCTTTGCTCATAGAAATAAGTACGCAGACCCCTCGCTTTTTCATTATTAGTCCCCGGCAGCTCACTTCCGTTGTGGCTTTTTTTTTTTTTTTTTTTTGCATCCTTTGATTTTCACAGTAAGTTACTTCTTCTTCTTCTTCTACTTTTTTTTTGCGTCGTGACCTTCTGTTGTTTTTTTTTTTTTTTCAATCTGCACTGTTTCTTTTTTATTTGCAGCGGGCTTTGGTTTCTTTTTTTTTTCCATCTGTAACTTCCATTGACGCTTCTTTTTTTTTTTTGCATACTTTTTTTATTTGCAGCAGTGGCAGTTCTCGGCCACCGTACCTTTGAGATCTTTAAATCTATATTTGTTTCCCTGATTCAAAACCCGCTTTTTCCTACTGGCACATGTTCGGGTGATTTTCACTCTGCAATAGTGATCGAGGGTAAGTAGGTTTGGGTGGATTTGAAAGCTGGATGTAGGCGAATAAGGTCAGTAAGAGTGGTCCTGGAATTTGCATGCTATCTTTATTTAGCACAGTGGTTATGAATAACTGTCAGAAAGTAGTGATCTTCAAGGGAATTCATATGGTAATAAGAAATATTTTAGTTAGCTGGTCATTTTTCCTCACTCAAAATATGCCGTATTTTGGTTCTCTCTCCTGCAGCTGTTATTGTGCCAAGGACCCTGAGTCTTCACCAGGGAAGACACACATGCCCCAGGAATGGGTGGAAAAGAAACTAAGTTTACAGTTTCTATTTTTTTTATTATTATTATATTTTTATTTTTTGTAATTTTTTTGTTCATGGATGCCTAATTTCAGTTATTTTGTTGTATTTTTATACGGTCCCCTCATGGCACTTTTTTTCCTCCCTTTGGACATTGCACAGTTAAAAACAAAAGAAAACTACTTTAATTTGTCATGTATTGTCCTATTTTGATATATTTTGATGACAAGTACTTTTTCTTGGGTATATTATTTCGGGTAAAAATCACCCAGCGATAGTGACGGTGTTACTAATTTTAGGATAGTGTTCTAGGGTTCAGATTTCTCAAGAACAAAATTTATTCCTATCTTTTATTATTTATTTATACTATAGAAAAGATGTTGGATCTTTGGAGCAGATTTTGGAATTGCTCCATAATTTTGACCGGGCTGAAAATCTAATTCACTCGCCAGACATGTGCACATAAAAGGGATTTGACCCGGATAAACTTCACTCCATCTGTGGGCCTATAGCATTTATCATTATTACACTAAAATATCCAAGGCAGCATCAAACATATGTTTAATTCAAATGTTCAAGAATGCAAAAAAATAGTGTAATGATTGGAGTGTAAAGGATGCTCAATAAAAGAAATATACCCATATGATGTTATCTTAACAGATGGGCTAACTTACATGTGGTAGATGTACCTGAATGTACTTAATTTTACAGTATAGACATGAACAACATTGTGCAAAGATGCATGTAGATTAGAGGATGGTTTTTAGCCAACATGAGAAGAATGTGTCCGACTGAATTATAACAAATCCTAATAAGTATGACACTGTAGAGATATATAGTCATTTCAAGTCCCATTAAGTGTTTTTTTCTAAAGGGTAAATGCAGAGTGTTTGTTTACATGCTCTGTGAACGTTGAACATTTATAAAGTCTTGTTTCCCTGCCACTTGGTGGGGCTGCTTGACTGCACTAGGACTGACTGGAAAGCTGCACCTTAGTGAGTTAGCTGGATATAGGCAGGTTTTAAAAATGAAGTGTTGGCTGTTTGAAATATACATGCAGATGTTTTATGCTTAAAATTAAACTCTAAAATGATTAATCAAAACTCCCTTTATTCATTTGCAATTATTGGAAATACAATTTGACAAGTAGTTATCACAACAATGGACAAGGTCTATCAGAATTTTAAACATCATAGTCTTTCATAAAAAAGGGAAGTTTTTCAAACTTATTGAAGTAAGGCATGGAATTACTGAGAATTACAGGGTGTTGACAACCTTTGTATGAGTCTCCAAGTGAAGCAGTTTCATATCAACACATGTGAGGCTTGGTGAGTTAAACATGGGGCTTTGTTCTCATACCTGAAGTTTATGACAATGGTGTCAGGAATGTTTCAGAGCAAGGATACACAATGTGAAGATGTTAAGATAACACATTTTTTTGCAGCAGCTGGAAAGTTCTACGTAACTGTTTCTGTATTACACACATGTCTTGGAATCAGGTCTCACCAGCAGAGCTTGTACAAGAAAAAGATCCGCACAGGTTAGTGTGATGGAGAATCAAACTGGAGAGCTGGCTGAGGAGTGTGGAGTGATTGTGAAAAATGAAAGTGGAATAGAACAGCTGATTTCTGATCCCAGGTGTGTGCAGGCTTTCTCTAACTCCTGCATTATGAGTCAGATTAGAAATAAAGGATGGAGGTGGCACAAACTGTGGCAGAAGCCCAGAAAACTAGGTCAGAATCCTCGGGTTTATCTTGTTTTTTGTGGTATTGTTTCTTCCTCACTTCAAAGAATCATTTAATAATTTTAGAAACGTTGCTAAGGCTGACCAAGTAAAGTTGATGTTTGCTTTAATAACTTCATACAGACCTGTCTCAATCATCAGAGTTGTTTGATCCTTTTGGCAATTTAAATGTGAATTGTTGCAGTCTTTGATGTTCCAAAATTACTCTTCAATCCATTGTTGTCTCTGCTGTGTCAGTGCTGTTTTAACCTTAATCAGACTTTTCTAAGTTTTAATGAGAACACCACATCCTGTGATGCAGCAGACGTCTCGGCTGTCCTGAGAGCGAGTAAGTCAAATGGATTTATTTTCCCGCTCTCTGCCACATTGCATCACCTCATCACTTGAACTCTAGTGCCCTCTCTGGAGATGCAACATCAGGGGACCTTCTTCTGCTATGTTCACCAAAGCATATGATATGGCTATTAATACGAGGAGTAAAAATAGGACAAGTTATTTTGGATGCTCCTGTATCACGCACTGCCTTCCTCTCTCCCTTTGATGAACATATTTTTGATATTAGGGCCAGTTTTTGGAGAAGTCTGATTAAAAATATGCACCATTTCTAGTCCGGCCAGTTCAAAGCACAATGAAACACATGAAGTAGGGATTAGAGTTATTTGAATCAGGTATTATGTAGGCTTGAGGACCATAAGGCTCACCGATGAGTCATTACTCTTTCCTGGGAGGTTTGGCAATAGTATAAGACAGTAAAGTCTACCTTTATCCTTGTGTGTTTACAACATGACACATTTTTCAAACTGTCTCATTGATTTATTGCCCTGACTTTTTTTTTATTGTGTTTGTGTGTAACCATTTAGGTTGTGGCAGATCATAAAACGGGACCATAATCCTTTACAGAATTGTTTCTTAACTGGTCTAACTCTGGGACCTACATTTTCCCATGGTCCTTAAGTTGTGACCCACTTTTATAAAATTTAAACCAAGCAAATTTATTTTTCATATAAAAAAAACTAAAAAGACTCTCATCTTTAACATACATACAACCAATTTACTGAATAAAGTGCACTTCAGAGCACATGAACTGGGGATGACAACTACTGAAGTTGCTTGTGCAGAAAATATCAAATTGCACAAAATAAAGACCAAAAAAAACAACAACGTATTTTTACAGCATTCAGGTCACATTAATAAGAAACCGAGGAGGACCACAACATAATGCATGCCTTTCGAAATAAGCTATTTTTCAAAATAAAAGGCATGTCAAACATCAGATGCGCATGAAATATTTACGTTTTTGACCAGCTGTTCGCGACCCATCCAGAACGTCTCCGCGACCCACTTCTGGGTCGGGACCCACCAGTTGAGAACCACTGCTCCACAGGAAAACAAGGGGCCATAACAAAGAGCTGCTGAAAGTCAATCACTTCATTTGAATGTCTTGTGGGCTTGTTGACCTAACGTAACCGTCTAAGACACTGACCCAGTGAGCAGCATGACTTTGTTTTCACAAATGCCTCACAGCCGCTCGGATCCCAGGTACCAGGAGCTGCTGGGGCGGCAGGTGACACTTCCTCCTGGTGGGTGGACGCTGATGTATGTACACAAAACAGTGGTGTTATTGTAGCAGAGACCCTTGCGTGAGTGCGCCCATTCTTCCCTTCATCAATTGAAACCGGCCGGTGAGCTAAGCTGATGGTCTGGCAGAGGGCCAGCCGGAGGGGACGATGCTTTCAGGGGGGGACGCTGGCTCTCCCCCCTCAACCGGGTCGCAGCCTTTTAAATATTCCCATCTATGTGCTGAAGGGGGATTGTATGCTTTCCGAAAATGATAATGAGCAAGTGGAGATGTTTGAATGGTTTATATAACTGCAAACAGGATACAAACAGAAGAGACTGCGCGTTTTCAGGAACTGTCAGCTGCGTGTGTGTGATTTTATCACATTGTTAGAATCAGGTTTGACAGAAAGGGTGTGAACAACATGACCTTCATGTCAGTGCCAGGGCTACTGGATACGTTATATGGCGTCTTGCGTCAGTTACGCACACCCACAAGGGTTAAAACACGCGCAACGTGAGAAGCCTACTACGACTTCATTCAGCTTTGCCACGCCTTCAACGTAAACAAATGGGGGCTTGACCAATAAGATGCGCGATAGATCAGCCGATGATCAGATGACTGAAAAGGAGAAACTATTTAAAACTCTAATCACACACTTGATGCTAGTTTATACATTTCTTGAGCGGTGCTTTGACGGGCGCGCACCAGAACGCACCACCGGCTCTGTTGCTCTTTGTCACCAGTGGATTTAAACCCTCTTACCCTCATAGCGCGATACAACAGGCAACACAGAGACACATTTTTAAATCACAAGGAAGCTTTTAATTCCTCCACACACTCCTGTGACTGAGAAATGAATCATAAAGCTCTTTTACTGTGGATTTTCCTACAGTGTGCCACCGCGCTATTCTCGTCTGCTCTTGGAGACAACGCTGCTATTAAAGGTAGGAAAACGCTTTGTGTCTTTTGTTCAGTCTGGTCTATCAATGATTTATTTCCCAGCCTTTCAAGAAGTGTCAAAACATTATCCCAAGAAAGGAAAAGGAGTGCAAAAAAAAAAATAAAAAAAAGACAGGAAAAGAAAATCCGTGACTGAAATGTGTGATAGTCGCCTTAATGTGGAGCGTTCCCACACGCACAGTTTGATTTATGTGCGTTTTCTGGACTATTAGGCTAAATCACAATTCATAGCAAGTGTGGCGGAAAAGTGTGTGTGTGTGTGAGACACAAAAGCGGGGATGGATTCAAAAGACGTATCGGCGACGTGTCCTTTTTGGGAGAGCAGCAAGCTTTGACGCAAAAGATCCAAGTGGAGGACACACAACGCCACGTCTGTGTGAACTACTTGGAAAGATGTTCCGCTGAATCCGCGTTTTACATCGGACCGCTCAGCAGCAGCAGCAGCAGTAGAAGAGCCTATACCACCCAGCTGAAGTCATTTTGGTGTGTGTGGCCGCTTACCAGAGGGTGTTGAGTTCATTTCAATTCACATCTGACGTTTGTCATTTGTGTGGTCTGGACTGGTTTTCATTGCGCCTCATTTTCTTAGAGTAACCTACAAATAGACGCATGTCCTCCCCACTGCCAAAACAGTCCAGTTTTAAAGAAAATGCTTCATTTATAATCGGTTTTGTCTCAAAATGTGACTTCTTTGATGGTCTCTTTTTAGCTCCAGTGGTATAATTATGGGAGCTCAGACTGTTACTGTGTCCGAAAGAGAGGGGGATAGGATGATTTAGAAGACGAGAAGAAGGCTGGCGGTGGTATTCTGGCTCTCTGCCCGAATCTCCGGTACAACTTGCACCCAACCGGCATTATTAGATCAGATGTTGGCTGTGAACGCGCAGTGATTGGCTGATTCAGCCGCTCCCTGAGAGTGTGAGAGGTGATTGGCTGAGGGGTTTCTAGCTCATGGTTTTGAAATTGAATCATTAATAAAAGTAGGATTCATCCCCATTCATTGTAGACATCATAAAAGCAGAAAATAGAGATGTAATTTGGGCATGTCTTTAATTTTTGTGTGTTTTTCCCCCTTTCAGGTGAAGATAATCCTTTGGAAGAGTTCTCATCAGACGGCAAGAGTCCCAATGGCATCGTCAAGTACAACATGAGGAAGAGTTTAGATCTGGACCATGAAGGCTGCTACCTGCAAACTGGCAAGAAGGAGTGTCTAGAAGAGTGTGGCTTCAACGCTACAGCCAAGACCATCTTCATCATCCACGGCTGGACTGTACGTATCACTCTATACCTTCCCTCTTCTTTTCTTCTATCTGGGTCACCCTTGGCAAACTGCGACTCAATTTGTTGTGTCTCTCTGACCCCAAACTGCTTTGATTGTTGGAATTTATCATGTGGATGTGAGCCAGCTGAGTGCAGAGTATCACAGAGGGGTCAGCAGGTTAAAGAAGTCCATCTGGAGGAAGAATGAATGAATGAATAAGTCTTGTTGTTGTCTTTTTTTCCCCCTCCTCTCAGATGAGTGGGATGTTTGATAGCTGGATGTCAAAGCTAGTGTCAGCAGTAATGCAGCGGGAAACGGAGGCCAACGTGGTGGTTGTGGACTGGATATCGATGGCCCAGCAACTGTACCCTGACGCGGTCAACCACACCCTCGGCGTCGGTGCCGATATTGCCACCTTGATTAACTGGCTTCAGGTGTGTACAGTCATTTTAACTCTGGAGGTAGATTCAACTCTGAACATGAAACCGAAATTAGATGACACAGATTGCTATTTAGAGGTTTCAAAAGGTGATGTTCCCCGCACCGATCAGTATTTACCCCCCCTCTCACGTAGCTCGTTCTCACAAGATAAAGCTTTCTTAAGTATGTAGGGCAGATGGATAAACGGGTCTCATGAGTTCTCACATGCAGGGATGTGTTCCTATAAATGATTTATGGTGCAGTGCATGATCAGATTGTGAGGTTGGTAATCCTGAGCGACAGAGAGGCAGCTGAGTACCTTCAAATCCATAAAACCTGTCCCCCATAACAATTTTGTGAGCATGACAGGAGTGCCAAAACATTTCTGAAGAGGTGTAATGTCATGCTACAAATCCACAATGCTAATTTCAGATTTTCCAGAGGCAGGAGTTTAACTTCTTTCTGGGACCTGTCTTTGCAGATTAGTCTCAAGTTATTCTGCCCACTGGAGTATCCCCTAAGATCAATTCCTAATGAGAAGATTCAATAAAGGTCGTGGTCCTTTAGCGCCTCAGAGGGACGGATAACTATTCCCATTCAGCAGCACTGTCACAGAGCATGGAGAATTTCAAGAGAGCAGAGATTCAGGCATCCTGCCATGTAGTTGTAAATGTAGACAAAGAGGGTTTCATGGGGACTAAGTGAGACAAATGGTGCAGACTCTGTAGCATGGAGGGTAGATTCTGTCCGAGGTTAACTGAGCTTGGCTCACCCGCAGGCACAACTGATCATCACTGGCTGAAATCCAGGATTTGTTCAGTTTGGGGTGGTGCTGATGTTAGTGTTGTTTCCTTTGACAGGATGAGCTGCAGCTTTCTCTAGAGAAAGTTCACCTGATTGGATACAGTTTGGGCGCCCATGTAGCCGGCTACGCTGGAACGTACGTACGAGGGACCATCGGCAGAATCACTGGTGAGTTTAGTGAAATATAAATTCGCAGCGCACACTCTTAAAGATACTGCTGCCTTATTTTACTGATCTCCTTTCCTTTCTTTATTTCTAATAGGTCTAGACCCAGCAGGACCAATGTTTGAAGGTGTAGAGGAACAGAAGCGACTGTCCCCAGATGACGCAGACTTTGTAGATGTTCTGCACACGTACACTCGAGAGGCTTTAGGTGTCAGCATTGGTATCCAGCAGCCAATTGGGGACATTGATATCTATCCAAACGGTGGTGAAGTGCAGCCTGGCTGTGCTCTGGGGGATGTGCTGGCAGTGGCTGGAAGTAAGTTCATGTTGTTGGCAGCTTTACCTCGCAAAACTACAATTTTGCACTCAATCTTTCAGTTTAGCAGTCTGATACAAATTTGTGCAGTTGCCACAGACTTATATTAAGTCTTTGGTTGGGGGTTGTGCATTTCCAGTGGACTTTACCAGTTTTCCTCTCCTTCTCCAGATTTCATGGAGGTAATGCACTGTGAGCATGAGCGTGCTGTGTACTTGTTTGTGGACTCCCTGATGAACAAGGACCACATGAGCTTCGCCTTCCAGTGCACGGGCCCCGACCGCTTCAAGAAGGGTATCTGCCTCAGCTGCCGCAAAAACCGCTGCAACAACATCGGCTACAACACAAGAAAGATGCGAAAGAGGCGCAACACTAAAATGTACCTGAAGACACGTGCTGACACTCCCTTCGGAGGTGAGCTGAAATCAGGATGAATCACTGTAATCTGTTATCTTTTCCTACAACTATTTACTATCTACAACTTATCCATTGACTCTTTATCTAGCACGTTTTATGATTCACTACACTACTGCACAAAACCAACAGTGGCTCAAACATTAACCTATGTGTTGATATTTTCTTTTAGGCTACCACTACCAGATGAAGATGCATGTGTTCAACAGGAAACAGGCTGATGATGCAGATCCCACCTTTTATATCAAGTTATATGGAGCCCACAATGACACTACAGACATATTTGTTGATGTGTAAGTCTAAACTCTCAATTAATTTTTGTTTTCAGACCATAGCGTCACTGTCCTTTCATATTGAGAAGTGCACAGACTGCTACAATATAAATGTGGAATTTGAACTTTGTCGCTGCTAACCTTTTTAAAGTGCCAGACATGTAGGTTTGTTTAGCAGAGTAAGCTCAGACAGGGGGCGGATCGCCTCTAACTTTCAGTTGAAGTTTCCATCATTGTACATTTTAAACTCTGTCCCATTTTTGGTGTAAAATCATATGAAAGAGTTTAAGAGTTTTTTTTTCTGGCAACCGAACTTGACCTGATTTCTACTTTTCTTTCAACAGTCATGATAACACCGTTGGTCTGAACCTGACAAACACCTTCTTGGTGTTTACCGAGGCTGAAATCGGCGACCTGCTGAAGATCAAACTGAGCTGGGAGGGAGAAGCTGAATCCTGGAACTCTCTCTGGAAAAACCTTAAGAAGACGTTCTGGGCCTGGAACGCCAAACCTCCCAAACCTGTGCTTGAAGTCCGCCGCATTCGTGTGAAATCTGGAGAAACTCAGAAGAAGTAAGTAGAGGGAGAAGCTCTGTCAACATTTTTCAAATTTCTTTTCTGGAAAGACGTGAATTTACATGATTTTCATTGTTTTCATAGGTTTACATTCTGTGCCCAAGACCCTTCAAAAACTGAAATTTCACCTGGAGAATCCATTACTTATGTGAAATGTCGTGATGGCTGGGAAGTGAAACCAAGAAAAAGGTACGAAAATTGTAAAAGTTATAATATATGTACATAGAAGAATGTTTTAAGAGGCTAATCATACTCAGTAAATACCCTTTTTTTGTGATCAACAGGCTGGCAGTGTAAAAACTCAGCACTGACAATAACCAATGCACCATCACCATGGGGGACCCAACATGGATCAGAGATGGCACTGCCTTCTCTTTAATGAGCACTTTTGTAGGAGGAGGATTGATCAGCGCACGGTGAAAGGGGCTTGACTGGACTCTAAACTGCACCTGGAAGGTTTCCCTTGGTTTCTGGAAACACAGACTCTGAGGTCAATCCAGCCTGAGAGACGGTTGGGGGGGAAAATAAAAGGAGGCGCAGGTTGGAATCAGGAGACAGTCCTGAATTGTGTTGAGATTGCCGGTGGATCTGCAGAACGTTCCTTTTGTGTGGACTAGTGAGGTAGAAAACAGATCTTTGCCAGTGGACATACACCAGCAAATGTAGTCACTGTACTGTACATTTTTAAATATCTTTTATTTATGAAAAAGAAAAACGGAAGCACTGCAAGACCAACGTTATTTATCAGAGCACATCCCATAATGAAGCATGTGTTGGATGCATTTCTCCTAGATGCAGTATTTTTGTGTGTATGTTGTGTGTGTTAAATGTGTGGGTGTCTGTGCTTGTTGTGACCAAGTCGTGTGCCTTTCTGCTGAGAGATTACTGATACACTGTATAACTGAAGGAGATCCCTGATCTCATTGCACAGAGTCTATCTGAGGTTTTGTGCATAGTGTTACTGTTACTGTATGTGGCTTATTTTGGGGGTGTGTGTTTGTGTACATAATGTATATAACTTTTTGGAAGAATAAATTCACGTTCTTTGTAAAAACTGTTGCCTGTGCTTTGATTTCACCTCCCATATCTCTCTATCAAGTGCCTTCGAGGTTGGTTGCCCCATTAAGAATGAACCGATGGGTTACTTGTATCTTGGGTTGCCAGTTTCTCAAAATTGGCAACTTGCTCGTCCCAATTTGTATGTTTCAGCAATTTAAATAAATTGATCTATATATTAGAGATGATTATCTGTGAAATACGACCACAACTTAATGAGGGATCTTCATGCAAGCAACAAAATCCACTAATCTGGAACTGCTGCCAGCTAACTGTATGATTCAACCCTTACAGGAATAGAGGCAAGGGCTCAAATTAAGAGGAAACCGCATACAGCCCTGAGAGACATAATGTCCCAGACTTTAACAATCACATCTCAGATAACAAAGCTTTTGTTACACATTGACCCCTTTCCCCGAAAACCAGCACTCAAACATGGCACCCTTTTATTTTTTTGCATGTTCTGTTTTCTGTTCTACTTGAATCATGTCTGAACTTGAAAGTTCTGTATTGATTTAGCTTCCCCAGCCACATCGTCACTTACTCAACAGAAGCCCGGTATTGCTGTCTGTAAAATTGCAGGATTACAAACACAAAGTTGCAACACATCCTGGCTTAACTCGGAATCCTCTGAACGAGTGTTACACTGAAGCACCGTTAGTTTTATTTGTACAGCTTCAGAGGATATATGTGTTTAGTCATGCACTCACATAATTAAACCATGATCCAATCTTTCAACACAAAGTAAAAGTTCTCCAGGGTATAATCACCAAATCGGGTGGACTAATAAACCAGGAATGGCATCCACATTCCTGCGCTGTAATGACACATAAACATTTGTTGGTACATGGAGCTATGGAGTAGCTGCTTCCCTGCTGAGCTTTTTTTTTCTTGCCGTTGTTCTACTTAAACTTTGTGCCAGAGAAACTGGAACACAGAAAGTTGAGTGTCACACAATGTTCTCGCATGTGTCACTGAACTGTTTGCCGCTCAGAAGGATGAAGGATGGCTGAACATCAGTTGTTATGGCTGCTGTCTTCTAGCTTGAGCATCTCCTGTTTGCTTCAATTCTGCTTGCTGTCTGTTGTTGTTTTCCTTCTGTTATTATCCTCAGAGCTCTGTTCTTCTCATTGCAGCAGTGACCCATTTCTTTTAAAAGACAGGAAACCTGCAGAAACACCACAAGTCTGCTGTTGCTGCTGCTGCTGAGAGCATGGAGCTGTCGTGCCCCCTCAATCATCATACCACCCAACGTTGGTTTGGTGACTCACCTCAGTTTGTTTTATAGTCATGAAGTATTCTTAATGCCCTTGATACCATCTGTCTCCCACATATAACAAACCTCAACCTCTTTGGTCACAATTTGGCCGGACAGTAGAGCCGTTCTATAACTGGAACTTGGGAGTATTCGCCAGGAAATACATTACTGCACCAACCCACCAGGATAGAGTTAGCTTGTTAGCACTGCACTGTTAGTAGAGAAGAAAATCTGTGTGTTTTAATAGCTTTAAAGGAAATCCAAACTCAGGGTTGGTTCCCTTCTTTGGAAGTTTTCTAAGAAAATAGGTTGTGTAGTAAATTTTGTTGCTGACCAAAATGTGGAAGTTTCATTAAAAGGCAGCATGCTGTCATTAAGGAGAGACTCATACAAGTCTAAGTTTGAATGCTCCATCTGGTATGAATGGGAATTCACTCCCCTTTGTCCAACTACGAGATACACAGTCTACCCTTTAGCTAACATACAAACCAGATAAATCCATGGGCCCATATTTTGTTTGCTCTGGCAGACGCATCTTGTTCTGTACTGGTCAGACAGATTTTCATCCAGCCCTCTTCAAAGCAGGCCAGTCAAAACAATTTATATAATACCATAAGGTCAAGGCTCTCATAAGGAAATGATCTGGGCCGCTGCAAAAAGTTCTGAATCTGCTCACAGCAGGTGGTAAATTTAAACTTCTCAATCATGACATGCCCAAAAAATTGGCCTGGTGAACTAGTTCATGTCTTTTGTTTGGTTATGTGTTTATGCTTTTATGCTGACAACTGAAATGACTGTTAGGACTAGCTTGCCAAATGCTACGCCACATGTTTTGTTGCTTGCATACACAGAGTGGAGCCTCTGAAGTCAACCCAAACACTCTTCTCAACAGCTGGGTTTTCTGATTCTTCCTGAGTGATTTCATGTCATTTTCTAGATAGAACTAACAGTGTCACCCCTTCGGTGGGCTGTGTGTCGACTCCCAGATTGGCTGACCCCAACCACCTTTTGGGAAAACTGGTTTTAGTTGCTTGTACCCACAATTTGAATCTTTCAGTATTAAGTTGCAGTGGGTGTGCTTGAGTACACTTTACTGGAAGGTGGTCCTTATATTTGACTTCCCTGATGTTTTTGATGAAGTGGACATCTTTCAATATAACATGCTCCAGTGCACCCCATATCAAGAACAATCAGCTGTCTGATCAAAAACAGAAAATGTATACGGCTCCTGAAAGCAGCTTTTGTTGTATCTCTGTCGTTTTGGATTGTATTAGATTAGGTAGGTGTTGATAATGTTATAACTGGTGAGTGTAAATGGGCTGGTAAATTGAAATCTCCCTCTTCACCACCACCACCTTTCAGTACAACACCTGCATTACTTCTGCCCCAGCAACCTCCCACCTGTCGATCTCATGACCCACTTAACTCTCACTTATGAACAAGGCTGGAAGATATGGGAACTCCCTCAATCAGGGCAAAGTCTCACCTCCCACCCGGAGAGTAATTTCTGGTTGAGAAGCATGGCTGGGAACAATCTGGTCAAATATCTTGAGGTTTTATGGTTTGAAATGATCCAGAAATGATTCACAATGGGGGGGGGGAAGCACAACCAAATACTAGTTTCAAATAGACTGAAAGATGTGTTAGCACAGAGACCATCATGAGCATAAGTCTGAACAATGAGTTCTCTGAACATGGTGGAGTTTCCTTCCACTTTCACACTTTCTACAAGCGCTTTAAGCACTGTTCAGCTCTAAGTCATAACACACATGCTTCCTTGTCACTCTGGTATAAACCGCTTTGTGTTTTAAGCATATGAAAATGTGAAATCAAACCAACAAATGCAAGCCTGCTGTTCTACATTGTCTGTGCTAATTCTTATTTTTCTACAGAGTATGAATATACCTCTATGTGCTTTTATCGGAGCTGAAAGCTGAGTAGAGCTGAGTCATATATATCACCCTTTCTGACTATTATAACAGGTCTAACTGTGAGGATGTTTTATAGAAAATTTCAGGGGAACTCCACTGATGAAAAGTGAAAACTGAAACCTTAGAGGTTTCTTTTCACCTTCTCACTATACTTTCTAATTTCACAGACAATCCTCCTAGTCCTAGATAAGTTCTACTACAAAGCTTTAAATGTCAAATCGCACAATTAAAAGATTTGCAGTTCAGCATTAATTTCACTGTCTCGCTCTTAAATTTTGTTGTTGTTGTGAGATTCTCCATCCTTCCAGATCATTTAGCGCTGCAGGCCATGTGCACTTCTGTGTTGCTGGTTACACTAGTGCCACGTGCCTCGCAGATTAAAGAGTGTTGGTGCACACATCGCCACATGTTGGGATGTTGGCTCAAGCACCCCAATCAGCCGCTGCCCGGTCGGATCAACGGCAAAGAGAGGGAGGCGTAGCAGAAGGTGGAGGAGGAGGGGGAGGAGGAGAAGAAGAGGAGGGGGCGGGTTGGGTTACCTCACATGATCCCTGCAATCCATTGGCCCAAGTCTGAGAGGAACCACTGAAAGGCTGTTTCTCAAACTTTAGGAGGTGACGGTGGTCTCAGTGGGAACCACGTCAAGCAGGGCCAGTTCATGACCTCCAGACACCCACTGCATGTACTGTACGCAGTGTGATGCTGAGTGACAGGCATACCCGTCAGAGCCTTCCAGAGTTGAAAGCGATGGGATCAGGTGAACCCTCTGAGTTTCCAAGTATGACACCTATACATTTTCTCAGAATGAGAGATGAGACACAGACGGAGGCGGACCTGACTTTTGTTTTCATTAAATATGTTCTTACATATGATTATTTGAACAAATGATACAGCAGAAATGTAACCCAGAATCATGTTTTTATTGAGCACATGCAGTGATAATCCAAGGTGGGTCTCATGGAGTGTAACTCTAGATAACAGCCCATTATTTGCTTTCATGCTGACAAGGTCAGAGTTTGTTTATTTATGTCTTTTGTTAGAAAAGATGTCACACTATCTGCATTATCTATGTGGACTTAGATCAGTCTGAGTTTAGGACAACAGTGGACTGTTTCAGTCATGAAGGAAGTTGGCTTGATGACACACTGATAAAGAAGAAGATGACAAGCAGGTTTTCTCATGACATATTTAAGCTCTCCTCCATCCAAAAACATCAGTTAGAGCGTCAGTCTGCTGTTCAAGGTCTTCTCTATCTTGTTGATCCAGACCAGGGGACAGAAAGCTGAACATACCCTGCAATCAGCAGTCCACCCTGTTGGCCTATACCTTACCTGTCATCAATAAACCCTTACCCTAGACTACTAGACATTGGAACAAACAGTCCTTGATCTATTCTTGTGTACCATCACGTAATCCAGTTCAAAGACCAACAAAGTTGATTTCAGGGTATTCATCCCGAGAGTTCAGATCCTGATCAATGACTTATGTAACTATCTAAAGCCAACAATACAATGTTCAAGTTTGAACTCTTCTTCCTGACATGATGGGTCTTAATGCATACTTCAGTGCCAAGCAAGTATGATGTTTACTTGGTCCATGCCCCAGTTAAGGGTGTTAGTATGTTAACATTTGCTGATGAGTACTGAACAAAATGTACAGATGAGGAATGAAGTTTTGCATGTATTCATTGTAGAGCTGTAGGGCCTCACCATAATCGTGACTTTTAATATCATGTCAATATTGTCGCAATATTTATGGAAAATTTCAAAATAAAATGACACAATTGGTCAAACGGAGGCAAGGCAGGAC